CACCGACTCGATTATGTACGCATACACATACGTATATTCTTCGTGCATAATTTGATGGTATGTACGTCACACAGTTTGTGTTCTCTAGAAAGTGTGACGGGAAGCAATAGATTAGGCAAACAGACTTTCGTCACGTACGCGTAAATTAAAAAAAAATCGATAATATGTAAAGTTACGAAAAACTCTGTGCTTAATTTAATACACGTAGATGATTTTCTCTTACACTAAAAAAAGATTAAATTAATACATATTTAGTTCAATACTGTCAAATAAATCATTTATTTGAAATAAATAAATATTTATTTGTTTTGCAAAGAATTTTCTTATATCAAATAAATATTTTTTATATCAAATCAATATTATTAGTTTAAAATAAATGATTTTTATTTGGGTATTGAAATAAATACTTATTCCAATTAAATAAATTTTTTTTCAGTGTAGAATTACCCTCAAAATCATGGTAATCGTGGGACAATATTGGAAGAATTTTATATAAGAGTTTCTCGGAATTTCTTGATTAATATTTACCACAATAAGAAATATATTAATATGTACATAGTACATTTTATATTTTCTTATAGATATTAATATTTTTTATCGTGGTAAATATTAATCAGTGAAACTCTTATACAATTTTTCCAATATTATATTGTCCTATTATTATCATAATTTTCGGAGTAAATTCTAAAAATTCTCTCTGTGCATTTACACGAAAGAAAGTAAAATATATTAAAATATAATAAATATAATATGTTCATATAATAAATATAATGTGTCATAATAAATATGTGTGTTTAATTATACACGTAGAGAATTTTTTTTTAAATAATAATAAAATAAACATATATATATATGTAAATACATTTAAATTAAATAAGTAATTACAAATTTCGCAATACTTGATTTTCCAGTATTTAAATACTATATTTAAATAAAATACATATTTAAATACATCTCAGATATTTTAAAATACATATCTGCCCAACCCTGACCAATAGTTATCTAATTTTTTCCTGCTACCATTTGCGTCACAATGCGTAATATCGCCGAATCTGTAACGAAGTAAGAGTGAATCACTCTATTATTGTCAATATATTGTATTCGCCGCAAACGGGATCCAAATCTTCTTTCTCAGAATTACTTTTCTTGTTTTGGGCTCTGGGATTTCCGTGCATTTGTTTACGATAAATATGCAGTACGCGTCTTGCGGAAGAAATCGCGCCGCGTTGCAAAAGCGTTAACGTCATACACGTACGTGAAACGTACTGGTTTTAGATTAAGATCAAGATATTTCAATTTTGTCGCAGATATTGTGCAGGATGAGCCCCTGTCGAGTTAGTCTCCCCACTTTTCAGAAATAAACAAATTAATAGCGCATAATAAAGAGCTATTTGTGAACTTTTATATCCCGCAAATAAAAAATTTCAAGCTCGTCGCATTGCACAGGAATTTAAAACTTGTGGAGGGGCTCACAATTTTTTATTTGCGGGATATAAAAATATAGCTCTTTATTATACGGTATTAGTTTTTTATTTTTGAAAAGTGGGGAAGTCTCAGCTCGACGGGGTATTTAACACGGTTGATCGACCGATTCCTGATTATTTGTAAAATAAAAGTAAAATCTTTAAAAAATATTTAAATAAAAATAAAAATAAAATAGAATAAAATAAAAAATAAAATAACACTCCAGATTTTGCAGATTTTTTTAAAAGTAGATAAGAAAAGACTTTTCTATATTGTGTGTATATGCAAGAATCTTTTGTTAACATTTATTCTCGTATATTTATTATGTATTCATATTTTAATTTTATTATTAAACAAACAGGGAAGAGAGAGAAAGAGACAATAAAATTTTGTGAATTTCGAATATTAAATAAATTGTCATAAAATTATACTTTATCGAATATTAAAACATCTTATACATTTATATGTTTTTAATCAAGTATTAAAATATCATAATCATAAAATATCACAGAATTATTCTGCAAACTTGTCTATTTTCAAAATTATGTGCATATGAGCAATGTCCTTGTATTCATAAACTGTAATCGTTAAATATATTCAGTATATTGACTGTTAAATGTTGGTGCACTTTTTTATTCAGTTCACATACTTAACAAAGATAAAAAATGCCAAATAAATCAGGCAGATAGCGACTTTTTCTCATTTATTGCGTACTTGTAATGTGTAATTGAAATTATTCAATCCTGTGCGATCAATTCTTCCTGCGAAAAAAGAATAAATGTAACATTAACACCCAGTTAAATGTATCGTTTGTATAGAGATAAAAATATCACAGCAAAGAAATGTAATTTATAATATCTGTATTACGGAGAAGACAATCAGTGTACTTGTTTATCGAAAGTTGCATGCTTGACAATATTACATAACATATTTTACGATTTCCGATTTATTATTACATCACAAAGAACACAAGCGAACACACACATTGCATAAGCGATAGAGGATATTTACATATAAACTATAAACGTATGCATTAAATAATTAAATTCTTTACTTTCGCAGGAAACATTTTTCGCGCAAAATGTACCTGCATACAAATTTATTTTTATAATAATTTTAAATTTCTGTTACTGATGAATATATTTTTTTAATCGCTTATTTCTTTGAAACATTTGCTTGTTTAATATTTCTCATTATTACGCAAAAGAGTGCGGCTAAGTTTATCCCTTTTTTTCACCACCTCCAATTGAACTAAAGATTAAATGAAAATTTATGATTAGTAGATTAAATCTAAAAAATATTGTTGAGACGAGCAAGCGTTTTAAAAATGAGTAATCCAAAAAAGCCATCAGCAACAGGTTATAGTGACATTTAAAATTAAAAAAATTTAAGAAGAAATAGAGAGAACATCTGCATTATAAAAACATATATTTGCTTAAACAAGCACATTTTAAAGAAAAAATTAAACTTTTTTTTTATTTTATAATAATTTTAAATGTCTGTTACCGACGAATATTTTTAATTGCCTTATTTCTTTGAAACATTTGCTCGTTTAATATTTCTCATTATAATATATTTCTAAGAATTAATAAATTAATATTCTCCTCAATATATAATATTTTGAAGAATTAATTTATAATCATAAACTTTTATTTAAGCTCAATTGGAGGTAGTAAATCTCTTGTAATATTCTCTATTTGAAACTTTGTTTACAAAGCTTTCATTTTTTTCTTCAGTATTATGAATAAAAAAATATTAATAGATATATGAATAGAATATAGATATTGAAATTGATTAATAATAATATAGATAGATTATATGAATAGAAAAATATTAAGATTCTCATGCGATAAAAGAGAACGAATTATATTTTAAACTTACATTAAAAATGTTCTAATTTTGTCCAAAAATGTGGACAAAAATGTTTACAAATCCTTAGGAAATTATTTCAAGTTTCGAATAAATACCTCGTAATAGTGTACAAATATACGCAGTTTTTCGAAAAAAAAAAGATGCATTTTTCAAAAGTTCTAGGAAGTTCTGTAATAAACTTGCATAATTTACCAGTCTACTTTTTCATACATTTATTTATGTAGAAGTGGCTCATGAAAATAAAATTGTATTGTCAAAATTTAAATAGATAAGTATAAATGTTTCGATATTTGTTGTGTGGTATATATACATAGTATATTGTATATATATATATATATATATATATATATATATGTACATACATTTATATAAATATATTGTATATACATAATAATATACTTATGTATATTAAATGCATTTGATAGTATATACTTTTATATATATACATATAAATGCAAAAAAATGTGATATTTACGAGAGAGAAAAAAAAAAGAGACAATATAATTATTAGAAGACGTGCGGTTCAAAATTAATAAAATTTGAATGACACGTCATCGTGAAATGACAAATCTCAATTTTTTTAGGAAGGAACAAAGAGAAAAATATGTAAATGCACTTGGAGAAATATTTCAACATATACAAATGAAAAATTGGGTCTTATATCAACAAATATATTCCGCTCTCGCACACATACGTGCGTGCGAATATTATATGTGTTTCTCGACCCCTATGCGACCGACAAAGTAAATTCTGCGAGAACATAACCTAACCTACACATGCGAGAAATAACGATTGACTCACTTCTAAGCCGGGAAAAACCGTCAAGAAGGCATCCTTGCGTCGTCGCCACCTCTTCGTATATTCGATCTCATTGAAGATTTGCTCTTATGTCATCCAGGTCCAGTTCATCGTCAAATCTACAATACGTACACATGCATAACGCAGCACTCGTAACTTGCAGCAGGATTGCAGGATCAATGCGGACTCGACTCGAGCGACATCTGCCGGAGAATTCGGGAATGCGCTGAGCGATTTGTTGAAAATCTTTTGTATTATAAGTAATTATTATTTAATTATCGGAGGACACATTTTCGGCAGAATATTTTGATTTTTCGATTAAATCGTTCAGAAATTGTTAATTAATAATAATGCAATTCTATCTTCTGTCGTGTGTACATAATTATATATTTCTAAAATGCACATGTAAAAAAATTGCTTCTAAAGCTTTATTAGAAAATCATGAATTACGTTTTTATTTTATTGTTTATAGAATTTATTTACGTTGGCGGTCGTTTTCTGAAAAATTGTATTACTTGCATTCTCTTAATAAAATATTATACTTAAAAAATGAAATAGAATATATGAATGTATATATAATAAAAATAAGTTTGCTGCAGTATTATTAATTATACTGATACGATTATAATCTTTTAACATTTAGCGTTAATTTGAGCTATATTTGAAATACTATAACTAAAACATTAATGTATTCAAATGTATAATGTAATGTGCACAAATATAAAAATATAATTTGATGAAGAAATGAAGATATATTCATACCATAAGACTAAAAATCATTATTGTAATTACAATGATAAGATAATAAGAGATTGAGAAAATATTTATTAGAATATTATAAATATTCTCAATAATATAACTATATATATATTAGAAAATTTATATTTCATTTATTATACATTACTGTAGCAAGCATATACATTCTATTACATGTAATTTATGTATAAAGTTCGCATATTGATGAGCGGATTATCACAGAAAACCAAACATTTACAATAAAATATTTACAAAAGCATGTTTAATTATGAATGGTAGCCGATCTTTGCACTTCACCCGAATGTCTGGCATGATTCATCATGGACTCCACGCGATTCGCTGTCTCACGAACGACATCAGATATTTCATCCGGTAGATGATCCAATGTGGGGATATGCGCTGATAATCGTTTATAGACAGAGTCCCTGTTGCCATCCTTCTTGTGCCGTCTCTGCTCCTCGTACTTGAGTTGCTGTTTGAAGAATATCGCATTCTTGATAAACTCCAGGGTATTTTCAAAGCTCTTTCCAGCACCATGCATAGTCTTGATGGCACTGACAGCATATTCCACATCGTAACATCTGCCTAGTAATTGCTGTTGCAACGCCAGCACTTCCACACGTTTCTCCACCATTGGTGGCAGCGCTTTCCTCACATGTTCCTGTAGCCTGTAAAAGGCTAGTGATGGCTCGTTGGCAACAATGTGCATGTTCTCTGATATGCGTTCAGTCGCTGCAATACAACATAAAATAAATACATGAAAAATTACACACAACGTAAATTTAAAAACTTTTTCATGAGAAGATAGATATTATATAAAATACATTATATCGTTATATATTAACACAATATAATACTAACCCTTTTTTACTTTTGTTTCCAGCTCTTGATCAGGTTGATATATTTTTGCCGCCATTATTTCAATTGTTATATTAAACACTACCGCAATTTCACAATTTTAAGAGTATTAATTAGACATTTTACAATGTAATAAGTCAATTGTTTGTCTTTCTTTACGTGTATCAACACATCAATGCTAGTCACCGCCGTCTCACATTCTTCTAAAATATTTTATATCTCTTTCTTTTGAAAGACAACACATTGTTCCTTCAAAATTGTTTTTCCAAAATTCGAGTAAGCGTTAGATAAAATTGATAAAGTCGCACTTTTCTTTCGCATGAATCAAACAACTGTCACTGTCGCGGCGATCAGCTGATCGTTGACAGCTACGTTCAACTTGCTGCGTCGCGTTTCGAAACTCAGTGCCGGTATTGGAAATCTATAACATATATCGCGATATGAATTTTCGGTAGGAACGCAGTCTTAATAAAATAGCACATCATCTGTCCTTGATTAATTCTCGATGAACAATTCAATAATAAATAATTAATAAAATAATTCAATGAGCGTTGCAATTGTCAAATGGAACGCAACCTTCGATAATTATCCGCCATCTTGACTCTTACAGCGCGTACCGGAAGTGGCGATATGTGTACACGAATTTGTCATTCGTGTGCACTTGTGGCGGAAACGTGGCAGCGAAACGGGGCGCTGTTGGCGTTTTTAATATCCCCCTTATCCCTCTGTCTCTTCTCGACTGCTAGTTCTCTCATATGGATTCGAGATATACAAGACGTTTTCTCTGTTGAAGACAAGGATAATTATCGGATATTTTCTACACGAATAAACGTGAGTTTTTAATCATTTTTGATACATTCATTATAAACGCATTCTTATATTCACGGCACGTAAATGCAAACGTTTTCCTACAAAATTGGCCAAATCATTTGGTAGCATAATTTATTTGTTGAGATTGTGATGGATAAATTGACATAAGGTTGACATAAAGTCGTGATTATGAACTAATTGGTTGACGTCAATGAATTCATATGTGTTAACAATGTCTTAGAACAAAAATTGAGTTGACAATTAATGAAATCTTTTTTTTAATCTTACAGAAAATGAAGTGGCACATCTTACTTACAGCACTCGCTGTGTTATGCGCAATTGCATATGCAGAAGAGGAGGAAAAGGCTGCTAGATTATTAGTCTCTAAACAGATACTCAACAAATATCTAGTAGAAAATATGGATATAGTTATTAAGGTAGAGTAAGAAAAGTACTTTTTATATTCAACATATCAAATATCCATAGAATATCATTGAAAGATATTCTTTTAATGATAGTGATGGGAATATTTTGTATCATTAAAATATATTGCATTTAATGGATATTTTACATATCTCTTAAAATATCATATTTTGTTATACTAAGAATTAAAATTTACAGTATACTATTTATAATACTGGCAATGTGGCTGCATCCGAAGTCGAGATCACAGACAATTCATTCCATCCAGACCACTTTACTCATGTGAGCGGCGAATTAAATGCTAGGATCGATAATGTACCTCCTTACACAAATGTGAGCCACACTGTGGTTGTAAGGCCACGCAAATTTGGGTATTTTAACTTTACCTCGGCTGAAGTTTTGTACCGTCGCTTCCAAGAGGCTCCTAGATTACAAGTTGCAGTAAGCAGCGAACCTGGCGAAGGACTGATTGTGGCATATAGAGATTATGATAAACAATTTTCATCTCATGTGGTAAGTACAACTGCGAGTATCATATAAAATTTTATTTCTAATAAAGAATTATATAATTTTGTGGAGAAATAGCCTTACAATTACTCAAAAAACTTAAAAGAAAAATTTAATAAAAAACAAAGTGAATAGTTTATATAATATTAAAATTATATGTATACTCTGCATGGCACTCTTTTACATTTTATTTTTCATCCTTTTGTGCATTTTTATTCTTAGTTTTGTTTCCTTTCAATGTAAGATTATTATAAATTATTTCTATATTACATAGCACTCGTCTCACACATATAGTTGCATTGGTTTTTTTTGTTACAAACTTATAATAATTCTACTGCATATCTAACAGTTTTATATAATCTAAAGTAAATAAATCCATTCATTCATCCAGCCATATATCCTAAAATTAAAGTATCATTGTCTCAAATTACATTTTGTTATGTTTCATAGGTCGATTGGGCTGCGTTTGCTGTAATGACTCTACCTTCCTTACTTATTCCATTCGCTTTATGGTATTCAAGTAAATGTAAATACGAGAAATTGTTGAAGAATACGAAGAAACACTGATCATATTTTGAATATTAGAATTTTTTTCAGGAATATTTCTAGATCATTTTATATATAAATTTTCCTATGTCATTGTAAGAAATACGACTGTTCCACACTACGTACATCTACTTTTGTAATAAACTATCTCACTATTGTTTGTGAAAAATCACGCTGCATTTTTTCTTTTCAATATGAAATACATCCTTAATTGTTATACTATACATGTATCTTATGAATATATATATATCACAGTTTCTTACAGAATATATATAAAAAAATAAGATTTTCTCAAGATGACGTATGATATATCGTGTCAATAACAGAATTTACTGCCATTTTATTTATGTAAACAAAAATATAGTTTTTTTATACGACTAGAAACTGTACATATTAATAAAATAAAAGTAGCATACTTTAGTTGTGACAATGTTAACAAATATGTAAGTTGTAAGTATGAACAATCATTTCTGTACTTTAAACACACACGCACAATTGTCACAGAATCATACAATTATATACACAATAAAAAATTATATATACAATATATAGTACATATATATGTAATATTATATATATTATATATATATCATATAATCTGCCACACGTTAAGCAAAAATACAAACATGACATTTTATAAAAAATCGAGAAATTTTTTTTAGAAGTAAAAAATTTCTATGATTTTGTATCAACAAAATAACAGCAGTTTTGACTTTAAGGCACGATTTTGCAACGATTGCGCATTTATGATGAATAAAAATAACTTAATTGAAGTATCAATTGTATTATGTAGCTCAACAACATGATGTTAATGTAATTATTCTTACAAAATTAAGTATCCTAATTGAAACCTTGAACGTTTCTTAATGTTAATGTCGGAGCAGATATTGTTGTTCTTTTAACGAATCTTTGTCAATAATTTGGATATGATTTTATATGGAATAATATACTATTCGACTCTCATAAATCTCTCCTTCTAACGTATGGCGTGCCGAAACTACGCGGATCACCGTAAACAGGCGATTCGAACGCTGAAAATGGTCTTAAAGGTGAAGTTGATGGTCTGCCAGTCGAAGTGGGAGTCGTACATGGGGTACAAATCGTCTTCTTCAACATCGGAGGAGATTTATCGGCTGTAAAAAAACCATTGTCATTATCACAACTATGTCACGCGTTGCTAAGACAAATAAATTACGATAGTAATTTAAAATGCAGATTAAAAAAACCATGCTTACCAAAAATGGTTCTGTTCCTAATCGCTAAATTGACACTCGCTACCCTATATTTCCATACTGAAAAATATAGAAATCATGTTAATATAACGTCATATCAATATATGTGGATCTTGTTTATTAATAAAAATAATATACAAGTTCCAGAAATTTTAATTTAGTCTTACCATAAAAGATTGTAATCACAATAACAGCGAATGTTCCGAGCGTATATCTGTGAAAATATATATAATTCACCCATTGCACTCCAGACATAGGGATGAAGTGATTATATCTTGACACGCGTACGTGCAGCTGTGAAAAAAGAAACCAATTATTATAATAATAACCATATCTGCAATACAAAAGAAATGTCTATACAAATGCATGTGCAGCTTACTTACAGATACATTTTGTTTGGTCAAATCATTCGCAATGAACACTTTTTGTCCCTGAATCTCATCCTGATTATGCGTCAAACGTAATTTATATTGCATTGTAGATTTAGAGACATATTGTTGTGAGGTGACAACTACACCATCTGGTAAATCAATCTAACGAAAAAGATAATAATTGCATTATTTCGTAAAATACATACAAATTCTCAGCAAGCATAATCTTGATTAAAAATGCTTAAATACAAGATTGATTGGTAACTTTAATTATGTATAAGTTTTAGGAAAGCAAAATATAGATATATTCTCACATAAAATTTACTTACAGTGAGATGTTGTAACACTGAAGGCAATCCATATACTTCGAACGTCATCGATGGTGTGCCACTGTGACTTTGAGTGATGAATAAGATTTCCTTGGCATCGACGTACACAGGCGGTAAATAAGTGAGTTCCAACGCCGCCGATTCGATGTCTTGGCTCCGGGCATTGATTTGGATACGACTTTCCAATATACTGGCGACTATAGTCGGAGAGGTCATCGATACGATGTCACAGTAATAAAAGCCTACAATAACCAGAGAGAGAGAGAATTATTATAACCGATATTCATCTATTTCTTATGGATGGAAATGGATGTGGTACCGACCTGTCACGATATCGAAACGTGGCTTCACGAGGAACAGATCCTTTACGTCGATCGACAAACTCGACGAGACAAATTGTACGTTGCACGTGTAAGGAAACGCGTTCAACGCGAATGATGACAAAGTACGGCAACCACCTAGCCCCCTCGCCAACACGTTGTTCTCTTTAATCTCCTCGTCTTTGCTCTTCAGCACCAGCGGCACGCTAAACACTTCCGTACCAGTGATATTCCTTCCTCTCAGAGGAACGATAGATACCTGTACAAAACGCAATTTTACAATGTCATATATACAGGATGAATATTTTACTGTACTATTTATGTTTTTTTTAATTATATTTCTTTGTCACTTAATGGTAATTACCCTTGAAATTGGTAGAATGTTGACTTCTATCTCACTCTGCACGTGGGTCGCGAGGCTGTGCTTTATAACAGTCTGGCCGACGTTTCGCGCGCGACCAATACCGGTAATAGGATCCACCAATAGTACTTCGGGCGCAGACGACTGCCAGTATCCCGGGTCCCCGTCTGACGAGAGAAGCGGCATGGAGAAGCATATGACGTCACCTACTGTTAGAGTCGTCCTTGTCGGGAACACGACGTCGCCGATCATCATGTGAACATAATCGAACATCGCGTTGGGATACTTTTCGTTGAAGACCTTGAGGACCAGTTCGCCGTTCTCCAGGAACCTCGCGGTAACGACGTTATCGTCCGATGACGTGGCGAAGGAAGCTAAATCGGCGCGATTCAACGTGGCCTTGACGTCAGCCTCGGCGGCGTGGAACTTATTCCCCACGTTATCGTAGTACTCGACGACGTACTCCAGTTTCATCCCCTTCGGCAGCATATTCAGCTCTTCGCCGTGACGTATACGCAGCTTGGACTTGAAGGACAGCATCATGTAGTGAATAGGTTTGACCTCCACGAGGACCCTCAACGATTGCCTCAAGTTATACGCTTCCGTGTTCGTGACCGTGATGATGGTATCTCGACCGAGGATCTCGCCGGATCTCACGACCCCGTTTTTGTCCACCGTCACGGTGGACCTGGTGGTCGCGGGTGTTAAGGCGCGCGGTGCAACGTCCTCCGTGAATCCGTCGTCCTGCGTGCCGGACAGAATCTCGTAAGTCGTCGTGCCGTGCTTGTCGCGATTCGTTTGCAGCCGCAGCATGGAATTCGGCGACATCAAAATCCGCGAGCTCGCCGCTGCCGGATCGATCAGCCGCAATTCCTCGAAGATCTCGATCTTGGCGAACGTGGTGTAAGTGATGTCGCTCTTGCTGGACAATACGTTGGACGGTACGGTGACATTCAGGTGGATCGTCGCTAATCCCGGACTAACGGCTAGTGCCCGCAGAGACACCTGGTTCTGGTACCGGATGTTGATCCCGGTACCCTCGTACATGTTGTGCAGAGTGAGCAGACTGGGATCGCTCGACGACCAGGCGAAGCTCAACGGCAGCTGCATGGAGCCGATGATGAGCGGCGTCAGATAGTCGGGAATGCCGAATGCCCAGATGGGAAACGTCGCTCCCACCTTTACCCGAGTCACGGGGGTCGAGATCTTCACTCCCTCGAGGTGCAGCACATGCATGTCGGCGCGATCCTCCGAGTAGACTATGACGTCGTTGCTCCTGGGGTCGAGTCCGATTGCGCGGACACGGACCCGAGTCCGGCCCGCCGATCTTCCCTCCAGAATTCCGTTGTGAGAGTCGACGCGCAACACGTCGCTGCTCTCCGTCGAGTATTCGATCTCGGCGCTCGGCGGCCCGCCGATAGTCTGCATCTGGTAAATGGTGCCGATCAGGATCGTCAGATTCCTCGGTTGCATCCGTAGCGGCAGGAACACCTGGACTATGATAGTCTCGCTCCGTATCTCGCGGTCGCCCTTCTTCACGAAGATCAACTGACTCTCGCCCTCCGATACGCCGTGAACTTTGTACAATATTTGCTCGTAGGGCGCGGCGGCGGCCTGTTCGTTGGCGGGCAGCTGCTCGATCTCGATGTACTCGTTGTTGATCTCCGCGCGAAAATCCAGAGCGTCGAGGGACGGCAGTTTCACGATGTGGCCGTTGGTGTCGTACAACTTGAGCGCGGCAGTCACGCACTTTCCCTTCTCGATCTTGTTGACGATCTCGACCTCGATCGTCGCGAGCTGCTGCACCTCCACGTGCACCTCCGCCGATTTCGAGGGTAGACAGAGGTCCACCAGCGTCATTCGAAGCACCCCGGGTCTTCTCGGCGTCACGGTGATCGTCCTCGTCGCGTCCATGTACCGGATGTCCGCTATGTCGTTCGAACTGAGGACGAATTCGTAGTAACCGGAGCCCTGGCTGACCTGCAAGTACGACTTCATGCTCGAATCGTTCAGAATCATCAATCTATCGGGACTAACAATGGTATCGTTCACCAGAACCGACTCTATGGAGGCTTCTATCAACGGAGTCTCCACTCCGCCTCTCTCGTTCTCCACGGAAAATGCCGGCCATTCTGGCGTGATCTTGAGCCTGTTAAGGACGACTCTCTGATAGCCGGTGACGGTCGCGAATATTGTGAGAGTACCTTGGCGTTTTTTGTAGATTATATTCTGATAATGAGCCTTCGGTAGCATCACATTCGCGTCTGTCCGAATCTCCTCTATCGTGCCGGAAGGGTGTTCCACGCTGCCGCTGCCGGACGGCTTCAGATTCCACTCGACGTTCAAGCTCGTGATGTTGTCAAATTGCTTACCGTCCTCGTCCTTGACGATCACGGAGATCCTTAGGGGCTTACCACTGTGAGCGATTACCCTGTCCGCGTTCTGACCGATCGGACAGTTCTCACTGTCCATGAATTCTGGTCTTAAATAAATGTATCTAGGCTTGCCGCAGACGATCGCGATGGTTTCTGACGCGTGAGCGCGTCGACAATTCGCCAACAGAGGCACATTCGACACCGTGTACGTCAACGTCGTCTCGCCCAGCGACTTGCAAATCACCCTGAAGACAGCTCTGTCGTACGGCCCGTCCGACGAGTCGTACTCCGCTATCTCGACGATCTGCTCGTTCGACAGACGTATCTCCTGCGAATAATCCTGAGATTGGTTCGTCCACGGCGACGGTCCGCCTTTAAACACCACATTTCTGGAGGATCCTACGGCGAGCAGAGTTTTCTTACTCTCCGGGTGGATCGCTACGAGTGGCTCGTATGCCGATACAGTGACGTTGTCAGTGAGGTAACGCTCGATCCCATTATTATTATTATTATCGTTCAGAATGTAGGCTACGGTCACGTCGGACGTTCCGATGGAGCGATAATTGACGATGGTTATCACGGCACATGCGGCGCCGATCGGTTGCACGTTTTTATCGTACTTCCGTACAAACTTCTCATTTGGTATAAACACCTCGAAGTTGACATCCTTGCAGTCGCTGAAGGGTATCTCCCTGACATCGGATCCGTTGATCAGTTCTCCGAATAACGCGACATGCAGATGAATCGGTTCTCCTGTAGCCGCTTCCATGTTGTACTCGATGATTTTCAATCTCGAAGGTAACAATACATATATCTTCGCCGTGTCTCTGTTGTACTGGTTTTTCATCATCGAGACGGTCACTTCCGCTACACCAGCTGACAGAATTCTGACACCGCCGTTCGGCGAGACACTTACGATTGAGGGTTGTCTGCTGGACCAGGAGTACAAGCCATCTCCACCATTCGCTCTTAGCATTATGTCGTACCTAGAACAGAAGGAAACGATAGAAACATAGTGTCTAAGATGAAAGACTTCCTTTCTCAACTGTAATTTTAGCTAACAATTCTAGAAATATATTTTTATACACAAGAAATCGACATCTTTGATATTTGTATGTTTCAACAACATCAAAGTTGACTCACTTGGCTTTATTGATAGCTTCCCACGGTATGGTTAAGACGCTAGGCTGAACTACAACATGTGTATGTATCATGACTTCAGCTTTAGTAGATAGCTGGGGCTCCAATGCAATCCTGCTGCCACGTTTGTCGATTATACCCCGCAACGTTGCCTCCACAACTGATGTTCCGCAGGTGATCGGTACTACAATGGCATAAGTGCCATTTTGTGTGATCAATTTTGGCTCGAAATACTGTTCGTCAATCTTCATGGAGACTTCTACACCCTCCCCGATGTGAAATTTATGATCTTTGTTATCATACAGCTCAACAATGATTTCATGAGTGTAACCCAACACTCCCCAGTTTCGACTCGGTAGAACGGAAAGAGAGATGTAAGCTACCTCGTGTACATTGACTATGGCAGAAGGTAGAATAACTGGATACTCGTCGCGGACATTTTTATCGTGTAAGAATACTTTCGTACGTCCAGTTTTGCGACCATAAGCGATATCACGGTCGTTATCAATCTCCAATATATTAGAATTTTCAGCTTCTAGATAATACTGGTTCGAGGGCAAACTGATCTCCTCCAAGCGCCCTTGACGAGTGTGCATTATTTTATACTTGAAGCTGTCGTGTGCCATTATTGTTATTTCCGGCGGTATAATGATTAAATTAGCAATAACGATCAATTCAAGTTCTATAGATGGAACATGTTTGTATTCAGGATGCGGTAATTTAACAGATACTTTGGCAGTTCCAGTTCTGACACCTTCTATCAGAACAATATTACCTCTCTTGCCGACAATATCTAAAGTAGCCACACTAGCAGGTCTTTCATACTGCGACTCCTCGTAGGTCATAAAGCGTAACACATTACTCATATATTTAGTATCAGATATACGTTTGTCAGCATCACCAACGGCCCATAGAAATTCTATGCCAGCTAGAGTCGTGAATTCGTTTCCCTGTTCATCGTAGGCCCGTACCTCGAATGCTTCTGGTATATCTTCGATGTACAATTCTCTCGTGGTGGTGATGAGATTCAAGGAAAAAATTGCGTCCACTATAATATCGCATCGCAGAAAGTGACCAGTATTGATATCTTCTGCCAAAACAATTGCAGTATTTCTTGTCAATTCTCTAGTTATGGTTTGAATCAGCACAGCTGACGAACATGTTCTGTCAAAATTCTCATTTATTGGAATTAATTGAATAACATCCAAACGCGAGGTTGACCTAAAGGAAAAAGAAATAAAAAATGAATATTTGATCAAGTAATTTTAAAATATTTTTTACATGCAATTTATTTAACGCGTTCGTAAATAATATATATTTTCCCTATAATTGATTTGAAAATATTCAAAATGCAAAATACTGCTTGAAATTGGTTATTGAGGTTATGTCACCGGTCACCGGTAATGTACTGTATTTACGACGTATTTACATTCCGTAATTAAGAGACGAGCTTCGTGTGATTATAATTTAATATTAATATCGTGAAAAATATCGTCTATTCATGTGATGAAAAAAAAGGAAAGAAAATAATTACCATTTATAGCAACCTCCGTCCGTCACTTCTAGCGTGAAATTCACTGCAAAGTTGTTGAATACAGGTAACAAAACTCGGGGCACGTTCAGTTTATGCGCCGTGGAAGTCGTCGCGGGACGAATCACGGCGACGAGGCCGACGAACAACGCGATTTTCACAAATATTTTCAATTCCAGCATGTTGTCCCGTCCGTTGGCGTAGTTTCGCTGAAGCCGCTTTGGAACCATAGAATTGTTTGAAATGTGAAAAACATCGATGTCGCGTGTCATGCCGACAATCGATGTATCGATAGGTTCGTTCTTTATTCCTCCGTCCTGCGCTTTTTCAAATTTCTCTCTGTAATCATTAATAATAAATAATAATAATAAGTAATTAATAATAATAATAAATAATTAATAATAATAATAATAATAAATAATAAATAATTAATAATAATAATAATAAATAATAAATAATTAATAATAATAATATAAAATAATAAATAATAATAAATAAATTAATACTGAATAATAAATAAATAATAATTAATAATTAATAATAATAAATAATAAATATTATTAATAATTAATAATTTCTCCAATGTTTAAAGTAGAGACGAAAGTCCGCCAATCAGTGGTCGACACGCACGCGTGATCATGCGCACTGGAAAGATGGCCGACCAATCAGCTGATCAACTGTCAATTTCGTATCTTACCTTACTCCCACACAAACTCGTTATCAGGCGATTAGCGACATGTCGCCATGATTTATTTGGCCTGACAGTGTGACGATACGATGATGTCTCGTCGCGATACTTGCACTTTCTGATGGCGTTCGTTGACGGCGGTTATGAGAATCGCGGAAAGGAACGCGCGAGGAGTTATTTTTTCGCGATGCGCGTGCGAGATCTGTGTTCTCGTCATAAGCATGGGAGCCTAGGATGCACGGCAGCGTTATCGGTGTACATACCTGTATATATTATCGTAAATTTTTCATTTTCTCGCTATGCGTACCTGATTTAATTACTTAGCACTTGTTTGATCGCTGTATGTTTGTAATATCCAAATCTTACGCGCGATGTCCACTCTGCGGAAGAAAGCGAGCAAAAAGTCAACGGGAAAGAAATCCGACGCCCTTGTAGGAGGTTAAGTGCGCTCTCTTGTCACATATGTATATACATAATACATACGCATTTAATAGCAAATTTATATATCGTTGCACAAATTTTAATTTAACAAACATATTCTATTTTATATGGCTTTATGCAAATATACATGCATTTATATTTAATTAAAAAATTAGAAAATTAAATATATATTTATTAAACAAATTATTAAATATATTAAAATTTATTAAATATATATTAAATTATTAAATTATATATTATATATATATATAAGAAATATATATTTACATGTAATTATGAAATTGGATATTGAGTAATTGGATGAGCATAAAAATTTGATAAAAATTTGAAATATTTGATAATAGTTTATGAAAATAATTTTTTAAAATTACATTGTTTTGTCAGAAATCTGAAAATGTACAAAAAATTGTTTGTATCTAATTTTAAAAATACACTTTATTTGAAACAAGGGCTATTATGGATTAAAAATTAAGTTTGACATAGTTTACTGTATAAATAATAATTATTATAATATTTGATATTGTAGATGTGACCATTGATGACTTTGCTAATACTTTACGAATCCGTGCAAGGTTCAAGAAATCAATTACAAATGTCTCCAATGAAGGTTAGAAAAACTATTAACTTGTTTTATTTCACATTTGTAAACTATTGTTGAGAAGGTATACATATAAAGGTTGCAATTGTTTGAAATTAGTTATCATGTTTTATATTCTTTCTTGCTTCTTTAATGATATAAACATGCAATGTTTATTTTATTATCTAAATTTTATTCTAGTAAAGCAAGAAGTAATGATACAAGAAGAAAAATCTGCGTGGGATAAAATAGATGAAGAAAATTCATTGCAAAATGATGTAATAGAAAGCAATAACAGAGGTAAATATGCTGAGTTATAGGAAATGATATTCGCACAAATAATTTATTAATTCAATATAAATAATATTAATTTTTTTCTAGGCATGTCTGGTACTAATACAAGGAGGAATAGGAGAAGGTTGAAATGTCAGGAAGATAATGATGAAGAAGAAGGTAATGAAATATGTCTAATACTACAGAAACAATTTTTAGGATATGAGAGAATATGTATAGAATATTTCTTGCAATATACAAAATAAGATGTAATATTTTTTCAATGTAATTAATATATTTGTGTAACAAAAATGTTATTTATTGAATAGGGATTGATTATCCATTGGACATATGGTTTATTATCTCGGAATATATACGACCTGAAGCAGTAGGAAAATTTGCAAGGATTTGCAAAAGCTCACGCTATGTAACCACTACTGCAAAATTTTGGTTTCATTTATATAAATCGTAAGTTTGTTGTCATTTGGTGCATTAATGCACATTTAATACTTCATATTTAATTATTTTTATTAATATGCACAATATAATGTAGCTGTATATTGTGTATATTGTATATATTGTGTAACAATGTATGATTAGTTTGCTATTTTAGATATTATAAATTTGTACCAAATTTACCTGAGCATCTACAGCCACAATGTATGAGATTACATGGATTAAGAGCTTGTGTTATCAGGGCATTACATTACAGTTATTTCACATTATTACAATTGGACACAGATGATATATCTTACTTACGACAAGAGGAACCACATTCTCTTGTAAAAAGAAAATGCACTCTTATGTGGCATAAAGTAAGCTACTTCTTTGTTCGCATTTCAATTCTAATTAAACGTGTATTATTTTTTTGTACTTTTAATTCATTTTAAATATAAATCTAGTAATTTTGTAACTATTAAATTTAGTTTTTCCATACTGCATGATAACATTTAAACATGTGATATATTTCAGGAAGGGAAAGTACGATGGTATTTCTATTTTAAACTGAAAGATATCTCCAAAACACGTACTAATTTGTTAAAACAAAATAAACAATGTGATACTAAGAAAACCGAATTTCTTGAGATGTTGGAAGATGTGGCTGTTAATCCTGAAGAAGGCTGCAAAGTGCTTAGGGTGCGTGGCATCATAAAATTCATATTTGTACCATAAATATTTAAAGAGTGCAAAATATTTCTTATTCATAATAATATAATAATTTTTAATATATTGGTTTACAGGTAACTTGCTTAAAATATAGTATGTTACCGCCGGTAATTGGATTAGTTTTGCAAACAGTATCTGTAAACTTAATGCCTGGCTTTAGAGAACACAGACTTCAACTTGGATTCGGAACGTCGGATGTTCCTAGTACATTAACCAATCAAGTAATACTTCGTAATGTTACCGAGTACCGTATCTTAGATTGGTGGGATTCCGCCTATCCTCATCAGGACGTGAGTTATACAATCGAATTATTGGCAAATGATTCTTGGGACTAGAGTTTATTGTACAGATTGCTCTTATATTTTGTGTATGAGAAATAGAGAAACCTTTAAATTTGATAAGAAATATATCTGAGCATGACAAAACTGTTTAAAAAAATTGATACCTTCTCTTTCCTCCAATTCTTATTAATATAAATATTTTATTATTATAACGATACAAAAAAATATATAAATGGAAACAATGCAAGAATTATATGAAGTAGTATTTCATATATGTTGTTAGAATAGAAAAAATATCTGCATAACAAAATAAAATTTGGAATATATTTAAAATTTGTATAAATAATTTCTAATAATAAATATTCAATTATATATACATACATACATATATATTTTTTTTATTATATATATATATATATATATATATATATATATATATTTATATATATTAATCTTATTGTAACAGTTGAGATATATTTTACTTTTAAAACTTTCGAACTCTGATTCATGACTTATAATGATATAATTGACGAAATAATGACATGTTTAAATCATTGCTAAACAGCACATCTTAATATAACTAAAAATTATTGCTATAAAAATTTCATTTCTTAACAGCTGCTTCTACAGCATCTACCAATTCTTGCAAATGATGTATGTTGGTAGACGAGATATTAAGATCCTTGATCTAAAAGATTTAAATGATCAGATCTATACATACATGGAATTTATTTTAAACAGAGTAGTAGATATATATTTATAATTTCTTTACCATGTTTGCGTAACCGTCCACATCCACTTTAAGTTGAATACGTATCTTTTCGTCGTCGCTAGTACCTTGCGATTCTGAAGGCAGGATTCCAGTAGATTTGTCGCGAATTTTTTTCAATCTTCTTAAACTTTCCTCAGTTTTTTGTACGGATGTCAACACATCAGTAACGAATGATAAATAGCTGAAATAAAATTCAATATTCTTATTGTATATACTTATCTAAATTTAAACAGCTTTCATGTACTTTCAAATTTTTTTCTCTACAATGTTGTATTAAAAGGAATAGATTTATTATTATTTACCTTTCTGTTAGTGAAGACAAAGTTAATTCTAACCAGAGAATAACAGTTTTAGAAATAATTTTATTATAATCTGAATAAAAATTAGCAAGAGGAACTATTGCACTCTTTACATAAGGACAAGGTTTAGTTGGCACGTCTCGCTTTGTTCTTCTAAACAATCTAGGAATGTCGCTAACTTGTTTCAAATATGTTACACATTGTTCTGAAAGCTCGTTCACGATTTCTTTTGTAATTAAAGGTAATAAATTTGCTAGATTTTTAGACGTTTCACTAAGAGAATCTGCAATACATATGAATCAATGCTATCATATTTTATGACAATATAATATTTTTTTCATATATGTTATGCAATTACCTTCTAATAACATTGGTATAGTACCATTCTCAGTTTTAATTTTTGATTGTACCATTTGTAGAAAAGATGGCAACACATTTATCAATTTATCTACATCAATGTACAGATATACTAGAAAGTTCAATCTCGTTGAATACTCCGAGTCGGTTGAATTGTTTGTTTCATTTATTATTGGCCATACCTTTAAATAATATAAAATTGATTACTTTTTCTATATATAATTATCTAGAGTTATAATTTATTTAGTTCCTAATTTGCAATATGAAAATCATGAAATGTAAAAAATTAATAAGATATAAGAAACACATACTTGTTTCATTGCACTTTGACACCAAGTTTGATACCTTGAGCATATTTGAAGACTAAGTTTCCAAAATCTAGCAATAATAATGCATTAGAATTTTAAATAACAAATAATTATTATAAAGTAACAAAATGGATACTCACTTGTGAAATAATTGATACAAATAAATATTTTCTGCCCATATCCTTAGCAGATTATCCCAAATCACATTAGTCGCATGAAGCGAGAAATCTTTTTGTGTCAATGAGATCAAACTACCTTTGATCGAGTCTGGTGACACTGGCTCAGCTAATACTGTTTCCACATCACCAGCTATCTCTTGAAATCGGATTTGGAAGTATACTGGCAAATTCCATTTCTTAAGAAAACCTTTATATTGTGGATGATCTCTCATTGCCATTAAAATTTCAGGCATAACGCATTCCGCTTCCAATTTTGTTAAAAATTCCAATGTAGCTGTATACCTCTAAAATTTTTGCAAAAACTTTAAATGTCTTTTTTTTCAATTATATTTAGAATTTTTTAAACATATCTTTTTATATTTTAAATGTATTTTACATACTTCCACGTTTTCGTGTTTTACTTACTTTATGAAATAACACTGGATCTCCTGGAGCAAAGATAGATTTTATATACTGTTCAATTTTTTCTTCAACTTCAGTCCAAAAACTGTTTACTAGAAAATTAAACCCTTTCACAGAAATTCTGTAACAATGTATATTAACAATATTAATTAATTGTATATTTATAAAAAAATATATATAATAATGTATTCAACTATATAAACATAATAAATACCTCTCAGGATATAATGTGATATCTAATAGTTGTTTTAGTTCCACATTTAGAATATTCAATAGTCTGTGGTAGATACTTTGCAAACCAAGTGGATCAGTTTGAAGATTCTCCTCATTAACCACATTGTAAACCAATGGTCTGATAACTTCATGCCTTACTAATTCTTCAGCATTTGTTATTTTATCAAGGGTAAGGTAAATTCTGAGGCAACGGATTGTCAAATTTGAATTCTTCTCATGTATACACATTAAGAATAACTCATTCAGGCAATTTAGGTACAAGTTTTCCAATTCTGTACTTTTCTGTTGTAAAATAAACATTTTAGAGTGATTGATTTAATTGATTCTTAAGTGCAATTTTTTTTATATCAAAAATACATACTTTCTCTTGATTAATTGAAATATCCGATTTACATCTGGATATATGAAATTTTAGTTGATTCAGTTCGATCGCAGCTTGTTCCAAAATGTCAATTTTTGAAGGAATTTCCATGAATGTTTCCATAGACAATATAGAAGAAAGCTTTTTAAGTGATTTGTATACATGTTGTAAACTATGCAAACTTTGTTTGCGCTCTCTTATTTTCAGATTATCATTTAAATTGGTTGAAATGGCTGCAATTTCATCATCCAAAACTTGTCGTACTTGCTGTCAATAACAAAAAAAGATTACATATTGTAATTTCATAATGAAATTTTATAAAATAAAACTTCTATAATTATTCAGACTGTAGAATATATCTTGTTAAATCTTTAAATAATCTTGTATATCTCTTAAATGTACTTTACCATAACTTCTTCCCTTAACTGTCCAAGTGGTGCTTGCAAATCATTGATAGCTTTATCGAGCCCGATCAAATTACTAGATAGATTCACAAAATCCGTGTAATCCCTATTAATCAAATCAATCATAGCAGACCTCAACAATTTTAGATACATGCCAAGATCATCACGCATTGCCTCCAGTTTGCTATTTTTTCTATGATCTTGTAGAAAATTATCGACATCGAAATTTTCCTATAAACAGAGTAGGTAAAATAATAAAAAATAATATATATTATATTATTATTATATCTATTTTTTTCGATATAAAAATTTGTGTCAAACCTGTATGAAATCAAGCTCGGAGAAACACAGCTCTTTCGGTGCTTTCGGCAACGTGACATTATTGTTAGACATAATTATATATTTATATCTTACATTCGCAACTAAATTATAATTTTTTTTCGATCGTTCCTCGATATTCAAAGCTCTATAATTGTCGATCTATAATCCTTATGATCTTTATAATCCTTATATTGACGACGTGACAGGTGACAGTGACCAAAGAAAATAGACGAGTATATAGAAGAACACAGTTCTATAGCTTAGTTATCGAAAATCAAATATCGATTAATCGATTTTCGACCTATTGAACAATTGTTTTTCGACCCATCAATTTTCGACCTATCGAACAATTGTTTTTCGACCCATCGATTTTCGACCTATCAAACAATCGTTTTTCGACCCATCGATTTTCGACCTATCGAACAATCGTTTTTCGACCCATCGATTATCGACTATCGATCTATGGGCTAAACAAATACGTTTTGGTTCTTAACCTAGAGTAGGGGTTTGTTTTTAGGAGATAGAATCTAGAATCCTTGCAGAATTTATTATTATTATATTTCGAATAAATCTACCGCACCGAAGACTCTGAAGAAATTTCGTCTTTTGAAGAGAATAATTCGAAGGGGAAAAACTCGAGATAAGGAAAAAATGAGCATAAACGAGGATTGGGACGTGGAGCAACACAAGGTGGAATACGAATCTGATGAACACTGGGACCTGAGGCGTAACTTTATGCTAGCTCACAAGGACAAATTCTCGGAAGATGCCCTGGTTTGTTTAGCTCAGGTCTTCGTCAACGTTGAACTCTTAGGATGCAGGTATGGATTCTGATACTGTCTAATTAATTCTGACACAATGTCTAATAAATTGTGCAGATATGTCTCTTTGGAAGAGAATATTTTATGCAATATAAGTTTGAGAAATCTAAATTTTATAGATATATATATAAGTCTGTGTAAATTTACAGATATCCAGAGGAAACGATGGATTTAGTAAAGGAATTGTCGGAAGAAATTGCAGCAAAATATAGAGAAAAGCAAAAGAAAAAGTTACAAAGAACATTTGTAGAAGCTTCGGAAGCAGCTAGTTCTAAGGTTAAAGGTATAAAGAAGAATTGTGAGTTATAGCATTTCGTTTTTGTTCTCTAATATCTGTATGTAATATTATGTACAATAAATTTCATGTGTCTTATAAGGAAACTTTATTTACTTCTCAAGTATGCACGTATAATGCATGTTAGAAATTAATGATTTATAATTTGTATAATAATCTTAAAATATTGTTTCTATGTAGGATGTGTTGCTCGTACATCTATTGTCACAGAAGAAAATGTATCAAATACACCTGATTGTGTATCAAACACAACTAATTATGTAGATCAATTTAATAAAAAACATAACACCAAAAAGAGATCGTTTTCTGAGACAAAAAGCTCAGAAAAATTTAATATAACCAATTGTAAATATAAATCTTGTGAAAAGTCTAATACTGAAGAGTCGCCTTCTAAAAGATTGAAATCAATGAAAAATATCACACTTAGAAATAATCCATATGAAGATATTGTTCTGTGGGAAAAATCAGATGACATACCTCAAAGTATATTGGGAAATTCAGCTAATATATCTGGTATTAATCTTGAATGGCAGTATTCTCTAAGCGACGGAATCTGGTGAGTTACTTGTTTTTGTAATACACAGAATAAAAGCCATTGGTAAGATGTGGCAAGTAAAATTTGTAAGCTTATGTTGTCGCAAATATATTGTCAAAAGATACTTCTCAATATATCTCTATTTCAGGGAATGCTCCGTTTATATTAATCAAAAAAAAAAATTGCATGTTGCACTCATTCTAATAAAAAAACTGTCAAAAATGAAGCAGCCGCTGCTGCATTAGATGAATTACGAAAGTATTGTTATACTGTAAAGGTAAAAAAAGACTTTACTGGAATAAAGATTAAGAATGTATATTTTATATATATATTTGTCTCGTTTACATGTTATTCTATTATTAATAACTAAATTATTGCAGATAATGAAATAATATATATTTAAAAAAATGTTATTTATTTTATAATTCAGGTTAAACAAAACTTGGACTCGAAATCGAATGTAACCGTAACGACAAAGGAAATGAAGCCACAAGAAAATACATCTGACAATAAGTGTAAAGTATCCAGTATCGGAGAGGAGTTGATGAGAAGGATGGGTTGGACTGGCGGTGGCCTCGGAAAATCGGAGCAAGGTGTTGTGGAACCCATGTCTGCGACGTTAGTATATAAATCTGAAATAATAAATAATAAAAAAAATCGGGATCTAGCATATAATACAGCGTGATTGAACCTTCAATTTCTATAAAGACACTACACTTTATCGAGTCATTCTTTCTTTTATTTTTACATATTTGCAATATATTTTATTTTCAGGATTAAGCCACAGATAAGTCGAAAAGGTCTTGGTCTGAAATCCCATTCTTGTGAGGCGGACGACGACATAAAAACAAAATGTCAGAAGTTGTTTAAAGATTTTCTACAGACCAATATGCAAAACGATATTGTGTTCTTAGATTTTACGAACGAGGAAAGATCGGTGATCCATCAGTATGTATCATCGTTTAAGTTGTGTGAAAGTTGCGTGAAAAATTTCACTCAAGTTTGATAAAAATGTTTTAATTTACTGCAGAATTGCACGAAGAATGGGCCTTAAATCACGCAGCTACGGTGCCACGGATCAACGGAAATTGATAGTCTCGCGTAAAATCGACGTACAAACTTTGATTAGAGAATTGAAGAGCCTCGGTGGGGTCACTGAGAAGTACGAACTGGTAGAACCAACGGATAAAAAATTTTCGTCCACTTCGACGGATAGTTGAGCGTGAACATGATATCTTCTGTGACAACATTGATGTATATATAGCAACACACTTGGATAAATAAATAATTTTCTCAGAAGTCTTCATATATAATTGCATGACATAATTGAATGTATATACTTATACAGGGTTTGTCCGGAAAGTAATGCGTCGCATTTTTTTGTGACGCGACTATACATCGCAGAGCGATGGGACCGGTTGGGGAGGAAGGGGGGTACCCTTAGCTTTCCAACGGTAGGTCGCTCAATTGTTTCCATGCGCTTGGAGGGTTAGGACGGCTTACAGGGTTTGTCCGGAAAGTAATGCGTCGCATTTTTTTAAAAAAGAATTTATTGATCGCATAGGTAAAACAACTTAAAATTGTTCGAAGTATGACCCTTCTGCGTCAATACATTTTTGCCAACGCGATTTCCATGCGTCATAAGATTTCTGGAACTCCTTGACTGGGATGCTGTTCAGGGAGGCCGTCGAAGTAGCTTGTACGTTGTCAACCGACTCGAGCTGTTGTCCTTTGAGCTCCCTTTTCAGCCGAGGAAATAAAAAAAAGTCCGCCGGGGCCAAGTCGGGACTGTAGGGCGGCTGCGGCACCGTTGCCACACCGATCCGGGTCAGGTAGGCCGTAATAACAAAGGCGGTGTGAGCCGGCGCGTTGTCGTGATGGAGTTTCCATGAAGCGCGGATCTCCTTTCGGACGCGGGCGATCCTGTGATTCAGTCTTAATAATTCCGACATTAAGCGAACATTCATTCGACGGTCTGAATTCAATAATTGGCGCACACGAGTCACATTGTCGTCCGTTCGCGATGTTGACGGGCGTCCTGCGCGGGCCTCGTCGGCGACCTCCTTCCGACCTTCTCTAAACATCTTGTGCCATCTGTTTGACTGCGATTTGGAAAGGCAATCGTCCCCGAAAACTTTCTTGAGCATTTCAAAAGTTTCCAGCGGCGTCTTGTCCAGCTTCACGCAAAACTTTATCGCATAGCGTTGCTCTATCGTTCTCTCCATCACAAGTTCGACGCGACCACTAAGCAGAGGTTCACAGAATACAGGTATTATTAATCATTTTCCGAATGATTTAATCGAAAAGTCAATAAATTCTGCCGAAAATGTGTTTTCTGGTAATAATTAATGTTACAAAAGATTTTTCGAAATCAATAAATTACTCGGCGCATTCCCGAATTCTCCGTCAGATGTTACTCAAGTCGAATTTGTATTGATCCTGCTGAAAAAGCAATCCCCACAGCTGCCTGTGCAAGATTGAATGCTTTATTTGATGATGAACGAATATACGAAGAGGTGGTAGTGACGCATCAAGGACGATGCCGCCTGACGGTGTTTCACCAGTTTGTTATAAGTGAGTTAATAATCGTTATTTCTCATTGTTACGCATGCATGTATAAGTTATTAAATTATGAATTTTGGAAATAAATCGACCAAACTAGCAGGTAAAATCGTTTATTTAATTTTACGACGTTTCGATCATATATGGTTGTGGTCCTTTTCAAGTGCAACTACAATAATTATTAAACATTATTATTATCATCAACGAAACACTAATATAATGTTTACAAATGAAAACGCACGTAATACTTACAAGTAAAATTAATAATATTTAACTCATCATAAAGCAACAATCAATATCAATTTATAGTGAAATATACAAGTCAAAATTAAAATTAAATTGAAATTGTGAGACAGCCACAATATATCCCAACCAAGGAACGTCGACTAATTTTGATTACATTTCTTTATACAATTATTTATATATCCATTATCTGCACGATTATATCTCCAGTATTCTAAACATTTATCTAGGTTTCTTATTGTTACAGCAAACTTGTAAACACATGTCGATAAATTTTCTAAAGCACAAATTTGACATACAATCTACCAATGTTTCAACATTCCAGTTTATCAATTCATCCAAAAACAATTTCTCTTGTAAGTATGTAAAGTTTCCTAGTCATATGTGCATGTAATGTATTGTTAGCCCTTGAGGACTGATCATCCGGTGCATTTATTGATTGGAAATCGTTTTTTGTGGAATTTTATATTTTCTTGCAGCTTCGCTGGTTTCTTGGTTTGTATTCATAAATTTTTTAAAATGTTTTATAATGCATTTTCTTACGTAAAATTTGTATCGTGAGTCTTCGATTTATTGCTATTATTTCTCTATTTGAATTATTGTTTGAAGATTGTTTTACAGCTATAACAGTTTCTATACAATAATGTTGCGGGTTAACATTCCGATCAAATATAATTTATTTAAAAGTTATTATATAGAATAAATACTTAGTTTATATCATATAATAATGCTCGATTAATTGGCCTTTTTATATACTAAAAAAATTACAGTTACATATAACGCGTCATTAAAATATAATCCGAAGAAGAGAGCAAAGAGAGGATGATTCGAATGAATATAATGACGCGATGAGTAGCAAGAATAATTGCAATTTCGTCGAACGTGTATATATATAATATATTTTCATTCGCTTTGACGACTTTTTCTACGTTATAATTTCGGTCGGCGAAGCCTGGGAATTTCCGTTGAAAATACATCTACATATATATATATTTTTAAATTATATTGAGGGTGAATAATGAGGGGAGACAGCTGGTTCTCTGTGCGCGGAAGAAACAGCTCTTTCTCTTCTATTGATCGCGAGAAACCCCATACATTTCCTTGCATGTGTCGACGATCATTGCCAATAGGGATTATATTATATATATATATATATATATATATATATATATATATATATATAATCCCTATTGGCAATGATCGTCGACACATGCAAGGAAATGTATGGGGTTTCTCGCGATCAATAGAAGAGAAAGAGCTGTTTCTTCCGCGCACAGAGAACCAGCTGTCTCCCCTCATTATTCACCCTCAATATAATTTTGGCATCGCGGAACGAAAAGCACCGTAAATATATATATATTTTAATCATGGGTGTTCACAGGGTTTTTTCCAGGGAGGGACATTATTAAAATTTTTTTGTTTCTTATTCTTTCTTAGTTTTTCAACTTCAATTTTTTATTATTTTATTGCATTGTTACACATATATATATATTAAAAAAAGAGAGCAAGAACGATATAAAATATCATAATTCCTAGAATTTAGTAAGGAATAATAATAATAATTAACACTTTTTTCCGATAGAAATTTTTTTAAACAAACATGAATTGCACATCTACAGGGTTTGTCCGGAAAGTAATGCGTCGCATTTTTTTGTGACGCGACTATACATCGCAGAGCGATGGGACCGGTTGGGGAGGAAGGGGGGTACCCTTAGCTTTCCAACGGTAGGTCGCTCAATTGTTTCCATGCGCTTGGAGGGTTAGGACGGCTTATTCTGTGAACCTCTGCTTAGTGGTCGCGTCGAACTTGTGATGGAGAGAACGATAGAGCAACGCTATGCGATAAAGTTTTGCGTGAAGCTGGACAAGACGCCGCTGGAAACTTTTGAAATGCTCAAGAAAGTTTTCGGGGACGATTGCCTTTCCAAATCGCAGTCAAACAGATGGCACAAGATGTTTAGAGAAGGTCGGAAGGAGGTCGCCGACGAGGCCCGCGCAGGACGCCCGTCAACATCGCGAACGGACGACAATGTGACTCGTGTGCGCCAATTATTGAATTCAGACCGTCGAATGAATGTTCGCTTAATGTCGGAATTATTGAACTTGCCGAAAACGATTGTTCACGAGATTGTATCGGAAGACTTGGCCATGCGGAAGATTTGCGCAAAACTTGTGCCCAGAGTGTTGACCGATGCGCAAAAGCAACACCGAGTGGAAGTTTGTGAAGAACTCAAGCAACTCTGTGCAGATAATCCCAATTTCCTGAACAACGTTATCACTGGGGATGAGTCATGGGTCTTTCAGTACGATCCGGAGTCAAAGAGGCAGAGTGCGGTGAAGTCAATGCTCATTATTTTTTTTGATGCAAAGGGGATAGTGCACCATGAATTCGTACCCCCCGGCCAGACTGTCAACGCTCAATTTTACAAGGAAGTGCTTCAGAGACTGAATCACAGGATCGCCCGCGTCCGAAAGGAGATCCGCGCTTCATGGAAACTCCATCACGACAACGCGCCGGCTCACACCGCCTTTGTTATTACGGCCTACCTGACCCGGATCGGTGTGGCAACGGTGCCGCAGCCGCCCTACAGTCCCGACTTGGCCCCGGCGGACTTTTTTTTATTTCCTCGGCTGAAAAGGGAGCTCAAAGGACAACAGCTCGAGTCGGTTGACAACGTACAAGCTACTTCGACGGCCTCCCTGAACAGCATCCCAGTCAAGGAGTTCCAGAAATCTTATGACGCATGGAAATCGCGTTGGCAAAAATGTATTGACGCAGAAGGGTCATACTTCGAACAATTTTAAGTTGTTTTACCTATGCGATCAATAAATTCTTTTTTAAAAAAATGCGACGCATTACTTTCCGGACAAACCCTGTAAGTATTCTCACTCAAAATTTTCTTTTCTCAAAATATTAATCAGATAAATACTTATTCTTAAAATTCTTTCAATATTGTATTACGATTGCCATGATGTCCAGGGTAAATTTTAAAAGAAAATTATTTTCGTATATGGAAAGGAAAATTTTATCTTACTAATAATTTTATCTTGCTAATATAAATTAATAATTTATCTTATTACTAAAAGATTTTTCTATTTGCAATATTTGTAGTAATATAAATTATTAATCGTTTTATTAATTTAAGTAAGTAGAACGAGTCAATGATTTTGGAGATACTTTATGATAGTATAAGTCAATAATACGCAGAATCAATTCCAAGTAATATAAATTAATTTCTATCAGTTTTGTCAGTAGTTTAAATCCAGTAACGTAGAACAAGTAGTACAAGTCAATCTCTGAATTTGCAAATATATCGATTTTAATAATTTTATTAATCTTGCTAATATAAATTAATGCTTTGTCTAATTACTAAAATATTTTTCTGTTTATAATAATAAATATTTACTAATTAAGAGACACATGTGGTATCACCAATTTATAAACATTTCCATTATAAAATATAAAATATATTATATCTGCTTATAAATACTAAAATGTACAATAGAATATATATATCATTTCGTTTAATCTAACCGAATATAATTACGCACGCAAAGCAAAGTTATATTATTCTTTGATAATAAAAACAAAAATTGCGACACATGCATGCAAAAATTATTATTGCAATTAATGGATAAAAATTATATTATTTAATTATGCAACGCATAAAAATTCAATATTTAAATCTTTAACAGAAAATACGAATAAAGAAATAAAATTTTCTACAAGAATCTTTTATTGTGATCAAATATCTACGCTTTCATTAGACTCGCGCGAGACTATACCCCATACACTTGTCACGCTACGCGGCTCGCGCGGGACTGATTTCGAATTTCGATTCTCGTTCGAGGTTCGAGGTACCGCGAAACCGAGGTCACGTGGCCACTGGTCACGTGCCCACTGGTCATGTGACCATCGGTCCCGCACGAGCCGCGCTGCGTGACAGATGTATGGGATGTATTAATCTGATGGAAAGAATAGAAAGAGAGAATTGCTTTCACCAATTCATTATCGACTGTGAAGTTGGATGTCGCGCGAGCCGTGCAGCGTAGGGGACGCGTACAGATACGCGTGAATTTAATGGAAGCGCAGATATTTTGATGGAAAGATTCTTATAGAAAATTTTATTTTTTTGTTTTCTGTTAAAAATTTATATATAAATCCCCAAATAAGAAAGACCTTAAAAATTTATATAATTTGAATTTTCATGAATCGTATAATTAATATAAATATATTTCTATGCATGCATTGCAATAATAATTTTATACATGCGTTGCAATTTTTAAGATTTTATTATCAAACTTAACATAACTTTGCTTCGCGCGTATAATATTAAATTAAACGAAATAAGAAAAAAATATATGAATTTATATATATGTATATACATACACACAGAGAGAAAAAAAATGCAAAAATAAAACAATGAACAATTCGTAAAGCTCTTTAATCTCTCGCATAAATTTATCGAGATTATCATCAATTTCGATCATTACCATCGATAACATTAATTTATTATTATTTTATTATATTATTATTCTTTTTATCAATTTATATTTTTTACAATTTATTATACTATAATTTAATTTAATTTAATATTATATAATTTAATATATTTATACATATATCTATGTCTGTGTATTTCTATGTGTGTGTACTCACCAGATTTTTTCTTTCTTATTATAGGGATCACTGGCTCTTATGTGGTTGGCTGTGATCAATATTAACGTGGTTAATCGGACCTTCCCATTTTCTAGCATGGTGTTTACCATTATGGTATTCATCAGCGTGGTGAATTTCAACGATGTCGCGGACTTGAAGTGAGTATTGTATTATCTCTTCAGGGTACAAACATGCGGGTTATTTTGTGTCCGATCAATTTCTATCTATGAATGTTTCTCATGGATAAAATTTCAAAATAATTTTTGCAGTTTTTATATTTACGATATTATCGATTATATCACTATTATATTTCATTGCCTTTGGACAAGAAATTAGACTGTTTTTGCCTAAGAATGAGATAGTTTTCAATAGTTATGTTATTGATTTCATTTGTGATGTCTTTCTCCCTTAGATATCGCTGTGACGATTTCCTACAGTGTATTTTATGATAATTATCTGATATTATATATATTATTTTTATGATAAAAAAATCACCTCTTGATGTATTGTATGTAATTGTTTAAATTAAATTAAATTTTAATTTGTATGCTATTGCTATTTTTGTTGCAGCCGCTGGTCTCTTAAAGGTGAGAAAAGTGAACATGCGACAGAAATGACATCCACGAACTCAAACGTGATGTTAAACGGTTCTGGTCATATTCAAAGCTTCGAAGTAGAGAAACAGGTTCATCTTCTTTGAGGATAGAAATTGTTGATGGCCACAATAACGGACACAATAATGGACATATACATCATCAGGGGTAAACCCAATTCTATATGGCTGTATTGCAATCTTCCTGTTGCAATACATTTAATTTAATTCGTTGCATAATTTCTTGAGACGATGGAGCATCAAAAGAAGACTCGAAAGGGTTACTCGAATAAATGCAAAGCTCGATTTAGTAAAGCGAATAAGGAAGAAGGAAGAATTCTTGTAATTTTTTTTCTTGCGGGTATTCGTTCTTGGTCGCAATCTAAGCAAGTTCAAACTTGCACATGGTGATGCCCGTATGGTTGTTAAACAAAATTAGTTGCATAATTTCTTGGAACGGTGCCAGATGTGTCTCGGTGTCTCTATCTTCTTGTTTTTCTTAATATTAGTTTATCTTAATATTTGTTTTTCTTAATATTAGTTTTTTATATTAGTTAGTTGAAAAAATAGAAGTCGTTACAGTAATTCCCTCCCGAAAAATAAAAAAAAATTTTTACACATATATCTACTTTTATATTCCACTGCTGCTTTGCTGTAATCCCATATGGTTTGGCACTGATCACTGCACTGTTTTTTCTATTATTTTATATTTGCAATAACTATTTCTTGCACTTCACTACACAGAAAAAAGTTGTCCATTCATAATCTATAATAATATATTTTATTTTTTATTATACGTGTTGGCATTTATTTGTTGGGCTCGACTTATTTAGTTATCCGTCGTCCGTCTTGTTATTGCGGGCATGTATTAGTATAAGGCATTGTCTCGGTATTTACATTCTTTTGTATTGTATGTCTTCCGTACGTGTTCATCCGTTCGTCGTCTGAGATTTTTGTCGAATTCGTGTCCTCGCGTGATTGGCGCGATTTGAAGCGTCGGTTATTTTGACGACGGTATATAAGACGACCGCCCGGTCGAGAGACACGCATTACACACTCATTATTCTCCTCGTATTGAATCCGCGTAATAAACAGTTTTCAACGCATAAAGTACTTTATTCAAATATCTCCTCTCCCAACATGTGTTACTATGGTCAAGGCATACCAGGGCCGGATTAAGGAACTTTTGGGTCTGAAGCGCTAAAATTTCCGGGCCCCTTTTGCTTTCTTAAAAAATACAAATGACCAGAAAATAAACATTTATAAATTTATTTGTTATTTACTATAATAAAATAAAGACATTTGTTAAAATAGACATTTGTTAAAATAAAATTAACACAATTGTTAAAATAAAATAAACATATTTGTTTACATAAGAACTTAAAATAAAATAAAAAAGCAAAATAATAATGTAAAAGTAGTTTTACTACTACTACTTAATCTTTAGTACTTAATTAAGTTAATTAACAAATATATTTTTTTCTTGCTTTCTTTAAAGCAAAATCTTTGATAATAGCATCACAGTCAATGTTGTCCATACTTTTGTTCTCTATGTATAGCAAAGAAAGCGCATTCAGTCTGGTTTGCCCTATAGTCGATCTTAAGTAATTTTTTATTCGTTTTAATGTCGAAAACGATCTCTCTGCAGAGGCATTGGATAACGGGATGGTTAAATAAATTTCTAATAAAGTAATAATATTGGGGAATGTTGATCTAACACATTGCGCTTGTTCTAATTTTTTATAAATGGTATCGGAATTGGTGTTATTGCACAGGATTTTAAAATGTTGAAACTCTTCTTTTAAATTTACTGTTTCAATGTCTCCTTGATACTTTGCAGAAAGATTTGCCAAAGATTCATCGATAATGTTGTCGTTATTTGTAAAAAAGCATTTAAAAGTGGATTCAATTTCTGAATATGATTTCAATCTTCTTTTTAAATCCTGTGCTAAACCATCACAAATAACATAAAATACATTTACTTTGAAATTTTGACGCCCACTCAACTGAATTTCATTTTCTCTGATTTCGTCTGCAAATATTTTCTTTTTTTGTTCTCTTTGTTTCGTCTTTATATTGTACATCATTTCCAGTCATTAACTTAGTTGTATTTTCCAACTCATCAAATTTTTCTCTAAATTCGTCAACAAAAGTAACAAGTGATTCTAAAAGTTGAACTCCAGAGATAAGATTTAATGTTGGACTTTCCAGAGCCTTGCTAGTTGCATTTACTCTCTCCAATAATTTTGACCATATAATCGTTAAAAACATGGTTTCAAAAATTTCCATCTTTTTGAGCAGAGACAAAGCTTCACTTCTGGTTACAGGTTTTTCATTATCATCCTGAGCAAAATTCATGAAAATGTTTTGAATAGATTTATAATTTTTATTTAAAGCATGTATTGCATCATGTCGAGCAGACCATCTAGTATCGCTTAATCTTTTTGGGACGGGACTACAATTTTCTTTTAATTTTTGCCATCTATGTGTGGACGAAGAAAAAAATGTGTATATATTTTGAACTAAATTAAAGTAGTCAACAGCTTGGGAACAAGCTTCACAGGCAAAATTAAGAACTAAATTAAGGGAATGATTGGTACAAGGTATATAAACAGCAGTGGGAGATAGAGTTCTTATTCTTGCTTGTAAACCATTGTATTTTCCCGACATGTTAGCGGCATTGTCGTAGCTTTGACCACGACAATTTTCAATGTCAAGTCCCAATTGTTTAAGATTATTTAAAACAATCTCTTGCAAGTATTCGGCGGTATGTTTTTCAATTTTAAGAAATCCCATAAATCTTTCTACTACTTGCCCTTCATGTACATATCTTACAACAAAAGTTAGTTGGTCACAATGGCTTATGTCTGGAGTGGAATCAACTATAATTGAAAAATATTTTGCAGCTTTAATTTCAGCCGTGAAAGTATCAAGTAGTTTATCCTTCATCAGTTGAACAAATTCATCACATATATGATGAGATAAATAACTGGTAGAACCTTTTCCTTGATTTCCATAGCGGCATAGATGTTCTGCTAAGAAATCGTCGAATTCGGCAAGATATATTAAGCAACTTAAATAATTGCCTCTATAAGGACTTTCAAGATTTTCATCGGATCCCCGAAAAGCTAGACCTTGTCTGGATAATAATTTGACTGTGGCGAGTATACGCTTTAGGACTTTTCCCCAGTATTGTTCTTCTTCCTGAATTTGGTACCTTAATTTTATGTCTACTGTTCCGACTAAAGATGATCTTGTAGCTAATGTTACCATAGCGCTTAAATGAGATTTAGTTTCCTCATGATTTTTAAGTGTTCTTGTGAGATTTTTCCAATCATTATAGCCGAAATCACTTAAAAATGTAATTTCCTTCGAAAATAATTTGCAGGGATAACAGTACACAGATTTATTATGCGAATCATATATTAGCCATTCTCTTTTTAGTTTTTCTCCATTTGGTTTAAAGCGATAAAAATCGGATTCTTTTAAACATCTATAGTAAGTACGATTGCCATCTTTGTATATTTTACCCGTATCTTCGATAGTATCGCTCTTTGGCTTATTTTTAACTATACTTTCTATAAATTTATTATTCCTAATAATTTCAGCAGACCATTCAGACACTTTGAGAACCTTCTTAATTTCATTACTATTTATTATTTTTTCTTCTTGAGATTCTTGTACTCGTTGTAGACTAGCTTCGCTCTTTTCTTCTTGAGGTTCTTGTACTCGTTGTAGACTAGCTTCGCTCTTTTCTTCTTGAGGTTCTTGTACTCGTTGTAGACTAGCTTCGCTCTTTTCTTCTTGAGGTTCTTGTACTATTTGTAGACTAGCTTCGCTCTTTTCTTCTTTTCGGTTTCTATTACTATCAGTCTCGATAAATTCATGTGCCTCACTCGATGCAGGTATAAAAGAACCAGAATCTCCAATTTCATCTAATAATAAATGTTTACTGGTTTTGTTGATCATTTCGCCTTCGTCTTTTTCTGAATCTGATGTATTTTCATCGTGTACTTCATCTTTTGCCATAAAAAAGTTTGTTATTTTTGGCAATTGTTTTTTTGCTTCTTCGAGAATTTTTCGTTTTTTTCGTTTTTCAAAACCAGAAGCGTGTTTATAATTCATTTTGTCTAAATCTAAAATAATAAATAATATGAATGAATAATGTTAATTTTAATTAAAGTTAAACTTCCTTTATTTATATAGTATACGTACTTTCGTTTCCGTTTCTGATATAATGCTTCAAGACACGATCACACGAGTCACGACTAACAAGTGACATGCACGGCGCACGCACGAATCGGCCGCCGGCCGCCACCGGCCGCCGCCGCCCGCCGCCGGCCGCCGCCGAGGACCAACCGAGCAGTATACGCTGCAAGGCCGGGCCCTCGCAGCGACCGGGCCCTGAGGCGTGCGCCTCATGCGCCTCGTGTATAATCCGCCACTGAGGCATACAAATTAAAGGTCTATTTATACGAATTGCACACATAATTGTAGGAATCGAGAATTTATCGTCTTAAGTCCGTTTTTATTTCAAGTTGTTTTGATATATTGTTATTTCTCGTGTTGACGAATCGGTCGTGGCCGAAATTTATTGTGACTTGCGGGTCTATTGTCTCGAGCCCGTATTTGTCTTGAGACAGTTTTTGTACTCTTGTTTTGCCATGCGATGGATTAGATATGCGAATTTGAACACTCGATGTGTCGCTTCCTGATTGGCTCACGCGGGGCTTGACGAAGATATAAAGCGTCTCTCCCGAGGTTCCGGGAGAAGAGCACCGAATTTCGCGAAGCCGTAGAGTACGTGGAACTGCGGATAAGTTATCTGAATATACCTATATTAAACCATTTCTCGTAATACTTTATTATTCTATCCGAAATAAGACACAATCCGTGATTCCTACATAATCACAAACACGTACACAAATTTTTTAAAAATTACTTCTTGGTGTGACCAAGTCAATAAATGCGTATGCACATGGGTGCGTGGATACGTGGGTGGGTGCGTGGGTGGATAAATAAAGTGATAAAATTAATTAATGAAAATTAATTAATGAAAGGCTCGTATAATTTAACAAAATTAAACAAATCATATATAGTAGGCCAACTGAACGAGCAAATAAATAAGGTGTAAAAATTTTTATTAATAGTTAAATAATTAAATTAACATTCCGTTACAGAATCGATATAAATTGTAAACGTTTCGACTGCACTACAGTCTTTATCAATACATAAAAGTTAAATATTAAAATACAAAGTTAAATGTTAAAAATACAAAATTAGTTAAATATTAAAATATAAAATTGAAACGATTCTTCGCTGTTGACCAATATGCCAGGGAGAAATGGCATGTTGAAAGACGTCGAATCGATGTCTTTTATATGCGTCTAAGTAAGATCTAATTTGACGTCTATATAGACGGACAAATCTTTGAATTTCGACACCATCTAGACGTTAATATAAACGTCTATAAAATGTCTAATAGACATCTAAATAATTGATGTAACGGCTGTATTCAGCAGAAAAAGTAGCGTTGCAAATGTTGTAAAATTGATGAATCTAATAATGGCGTATAATTGGCGTATGCTTTTAGTTTTGACTAAACCTAAGCTCATACAATACTCAAATTCAATAATTTTACAACAGACACTTCTACATTCTCTGCTGCGAACGCAGGCAATAAGTGCAGTATTACGTACACCATTCAGTGAACATTTTATTTTAATTCTAAGTATATTTTTATTGTAAAATATAGAATAATGTAATATTCTAATCAAAACAAATTGCTCAGTAAATATTCATTGAATTGTAATATTGGATGCATGCAAATATATTTTCTTTAGAAAATTTACATTACCTTTTTAATTTACGAATGAAAAAAATAGAACCAACACTAAAATTATTTGGATCTTGGTATTTAGATTGTTATACATATATTTATATAATTGAAACTGAAAGGATGGAAAAGACACTTTAGAAAATAATTTTATATGTATTATTAACCTTATATCTATTTTTTATTAATATGTATTGGACAATTTCAATACAGGATAATCTTTGTTGACATACTGAAAACTCCAGTATATGCCATCTTATCGTGTCTTGATATATATATATTATAAATATATATATTTTATATATGTATATATATATACATTCTTTATTAGTGTACATATATATTCTACATATACATACTTCAACTAAAAACTTTTATATGTAATAATTCAAATCAAATTTAAACCTGACAATGTCTTATCAGTTACATAAATAAAAATAAGACAAATAATATTCAAAATAAAGCAGCAATATCAAAAATACAATAACAAAATAAAAATGACATAAGACTTCGCAAATTGCACATGAATAGAGATCATATTTCACATTCAAGAAAAAAAATAATTAATTGCATTTTATGACGAATATTAAATGACCTCTTCCCTTTTAATGGGAAACCTCCCCCGTGCTAATTTGTATCGAGAAAAAGACCTTGTAAAGAGTCGTCTAAGAATAATAAGATATCACAACGCAATATTCTCGTATGCGAGCACTTTTTACCTCTGCTTTTCTTATACATTAGATTCTGTTAAAAATAAAAAAAATGAAATTGCACATTTTATTGCTTACGCCCAGCAGCGTTTCGTAGCCAATTTCTGACTGCATTTAAGGCATCTTCCAAATCACTGGTAGGAAATTTTAATAGCATAACTCCTAGAAAAAAAAGAAATATTTATGAATTTTTTCTACAATAAACTTAAGATGAAACAAAATATTGAAAAGAAGATAAAATACCTTGAAATAATTCCCATAGTTTCAGTTTCTTAAATGGCCTTTTATTAACTTTAGCCTTTTGAGGATTATGACCATCAAAGTTGAATTGTTTCGCTAAGGAATTAGTCATCAATTTGGTCATAAGTCTTGATGCTACAATTTTTTCATTATCACCTAACGGTTTTGTAGCTTTTAGGTAAGATGGGAAACAATACTCTCAATCTACGAAGTAAATCATTTAACTTCTTCATAGATAACACACCTCCTTCAAGGGCCCACTCCCTCAATGTTTTTAAAACATAGCGTCCTCTCTGTTCGTCATTTTCAAATTCAATCATTAAATCATCATTTTCTTCATCGTTACTATATCTGTTAGCATCATTAATTTCAACACTTCTTTCGCTGTCATTATTCTCATCTTCAAAATGTAATTCACTGTCATTGTCATTATTATAATTATTGTTATCATCCATATTTTCATTTTCAAGTTGATCGATAGATGCATCAGATTCTGTTGATACTTCAGAATTTGTTTCTAATAAAGAAATATCTTCAATCCCTGGAATGGGCAGCATTTCATTATTCTCTTCATCGGATGAAACCTTTTCATTGGATGAAACCTCTTCATCGGATGAAACCTCTTCATCGGATGAAGCCTCTGTCTTGTAGACAGTAGTAATTCGATTTCTTAAATCGTCCAATTTTCTTTGATTCCTACATTGCCTAACTAATTCATTAATTATTTGCTTGTTCGTATTTCTACGACGATTCCTACTTTCCTATGATAGATGTAAAAATAATACAAGAACAACATCAGTACTAAAATATATTGCTTATACTGCATTCACAATAATGTTATGTAATAAATTTTGATAATAAACTTTAAATAAATAATAGCAAAAAAGAAGCAATAGTGACATATTATTATTAATAATTCCGTATATGTTGAGGTTAGTTAAAGAGTGAGTTAAAGAAAAGTGTATATATAAGAGCATACAATATTTTTAATTAAATAAATCAAAATAATTTATTAATATATATATAAATTATGAACTATTTATATGAAAATTGTAATTTATTTATGAAACAATTATAACCTACAGACGACTTGAGGCACAAAAGTAAAAAGTAGATTATTAGAAATTATAAATTATGAAGCACTTACCGGTGGACTTTCACTCATTTTGTTGGTGATGACTTCTTTATTAGAATAGCAATCGATCCAGCAGACTTATTCTGTAACTTTTAACGCATGCGTTATAACTATAATTCATTTGTTAACCATGAATTCGTCGACGATACGACGACTAACGCATGCGTTACAGTTATAACGCATTTGTTAAAAGTTACAGAATAGGCCTCCAGAAGAACAAATATTATCACAAGCACAGTTCAACATTCAACGAACTTCAACGAATGATCATCGATCACGGAACAATAACAGAATGAGTTCGTTAACTCGTTGCGTTAAGTTGGTACTATATTTAGTCGCAAGGCGGTGTCGCAACTCGCAACTTATCTTTTATACGACAGTTAAATCAAAATAAGCGTTATCGAACCAATCATTTAAATAATTAAAGTTATATTTTCATATAAAGTTTCCTCATACATAATTAGTAAATATATATATAATATATATATAATAATTAATTTACCTTTATTTTTATAATTAATTAATATATTACACACACAAAGAGAAATTATACAACACAAATAAAAAAAAAATATATATATATATATATGGATCACATATATATTTTATATATAAATTTTAATATATGTTTTTTTACATGAAAAGTATTTTATTATGGATTAAAATGAAATGTTTATTGATGTCTGGCCTGATTGTTTTAGCAAATAATATCGACGTCTAGTCGACGTCTAATTTGAACTGAAAAAGTTATAGACGTTATTTACGTCTAATCGACGTCGATCCGATTTCTTGTTTCTCCCTGGGTAGATATGCAAGGCGATTGGTCTGAGATGCCAAGTTATGCGACATTTGAGCATGCTACGGATATAATACGCGAATTAAATCAATGTCAGAGAAAATTAAAAAATCTTTCAACTTACATTATCGTTTTAACAAGTCCTTTTCCCCGATATTTCAAGTGTGTGTTGCGAAGTCTGAATACCAAATGTCAAAATAGAGAGCGTGATGTATTTATTTATTACCAATGTTTTTTCTAAATTATGATTCAGCAAATTTTTTTAAGTATGTCAAAATAACTACTGTCTAACAATTCGGTGTCTGTATTTAAATTAATTCCATTTTTCTGTTCTTTAATGTGGATCATTTCAGATATTAGTCTTTTATGGTAGTTCTTTTCGTGATCCATAATTTTAATATTGTCCCAGTCAAATGTATGTTGTTCGTTTAGAATGTGTTCTGTGACAACCGAATGTCTAGCAGAATCTAATTTAATATTATTTTTATGTTCTTTAAGTCTCGTTCCTAACTGTCTTTTTGTCTGTCCGACATATGTGGCGTCACAATCGTTGCAATTCAATTTATAAATAACATTAGAATTCGTGGGGCAATTATTTTTGTCCTTTTGAACTTTTATGAAGTCATTCAATTTTTTAATGCAACGATATCCTACCACTACGTCAGGTCTTCTTATTGCTGAAGCAACTTTCTCAGATATTGATTCTATATATGGTATGACAAAATATTTAATGTTAGTATTAGTATTATTGGTATCTGTTATATTGTTATTATTAGGCTTGTTAAATTTCTTAGTTGAGAGATTTTTTAATCTGCGTTTTATTTCTGTGAAAATTAGATCAAGAGGATAACCGTTGGATAGCAAAATGTTAATAGCTTTCTCTATATTTTTTTTGTGAAATTGCGGATGTGATAGTAATAAAGCTCTATCTACCAAGTTATAAATTGTTCCTATTTTATGACAAGTCGGATGATTTGAAAAAAATGAAAGTAATCTACCTGAGAATGTCTTTTTGTGATACCAATCTAAATAAATTTTATTATCTATTACTTTGATCATTATGTCTAAAAAGCTTATACAACGATTATCCTCTTTTTCCAATGTAAATTGTAGTCTATCGTTATAATTGTTGAATTCGTTCAAAACATATGTAATATTGTCAGCGGAAGTGCATAAAATAATGTCGTCTACATAACGGAAATAGAAAGTCATTTCGCAATTTAAATTACTAATTACTAATGTTTCCAAGTCCTGCATGACTATATCGGCAATGATCGGAGAAAGTGGGGAACCCATAGGAGTCCCATAAATTTGTTTGTAAGTTATGTTATTAAAAGTGAAAAATGTAGAAGTTAGTATAAATTTTATCATACCTATGAATTCATTTTTGGGAATCTTTGTGTGTGACTCTATAAAATGCCATCTATTATTGATACCGTTTAATGCAAGATCTACGGAAACATTAGTAAATAATGAAACAACGTCCAATGAAACTATTATGTCGGTATCTTGTATTGTTTTCCCTGATAGAATGTTGCATATATCAAAACTGTTATTTACAAAACTGTCCGCTCTAGGAAGGCTATCTTTTAAAATTTTATGAAAGAAAGAAGCAATATTATATAGAGAAGTATTTATTGAGGAAACTATTAATCTAAAAGGAATATTTTCCTTGTGGATCTTGGGGAGCCCATAGGCTTTAGGAAGAAGAGAGTCGCTTGAAAATAAATAATAATATTCTTTTTTGTTGATGAATTGTTTCTTTTTTCAACCATTTTTTTAAACAAATATTGAGTTCTTTTTCTATTTTTGTTGATGGATTGTTTTTAACTATGGTATACGTAGAATCGTCTTCTAGGAGACTCTCAACTTTTTTTATATAAAATTCTTTTTCTAGTGCGACTGCAATGCTGCCTTTATCTGCTCTAGTAAATAAAATATTAGGATTTTGATTGCAGAATTTAAAGTGATAAAAATTTGTTAAAATCATATAGTAGCCATCCCGGACAAAATTTGAGTACAAATTTCGAAAAAGTCTGTGAATAAATGTGTGAATGCGTGGGTGGGATGAAACTTAAAAGAACCACACAGCAGCTTTCTCAGAAAAATTTGCAACATTTTTGTACCAATTTCGTGAAAATTGGTCCATAAATGCGCATGCGTGTGGTGAATGCGTGGGTGGAGGTGTAACACTTGAAAAAACCACATCGTCGCCATCTCCAAAAAATTTGCAACATTTTGGTACCAATTTTTACAAAAATCCGTTCATAAATATGCGATTGCGTGGGTGGATGCGTGGGTGGGAGCGTAAACTTAAGAAACCCACACAGCAGCTTTCTCAGAAAAATTTGCAACATTTTTGTACCAATTTCGTGAAAATTGGTCCATAAATGCGCATGCGCGTGGGTGGGTGCGTGGGTGGAGGTGTAACACTTGAAAGAACCGCATCGTTTCCATCTCCACAAAATTTGCAACAATTTGGTACCGATTTAAAAAAAATCGGTTCATAAGTATGCGATTGCGCGGGTGGGTGCGTGGGTGGAGGCGTAAACTTAAAAAACCCACACAGCAGTTTCCTCAGAAAAATTTGCAACATTTTGGTACTAATTTCGTGAAAATTGGTCCATAAATGCGCATGCATGTGGGTAAATGCGTGGGTGGGTGAGTGGGTGGAAGTGTAACACTTAAAAAAACCGCATCGTCGCTATTTCCAAAAATTTTGCAACATTTTGATACCATGTGTTCAGAAATATTGCAAAAAAAATTTTTTTTGCAAAAACATACCCTCCTCTGAGGAAAAAAAATAAAAATAAAAAAATTAAAAAAAAAACCCACAGCAGCCACCCCCGAAAAATTTGCAACATTTTGGTACCAATTTCGAGACAATCGGTCCACAAATGCGGAAGTAGTTCGGGTACAGACAGACAGACAGACAGACGGACGGTGCTTATATATATAGATGTATACATACATAGTATATCTGTGAACAATTTATTAATAATTTTTTCTTATTAATACGTTGCAAAAATTTAAATAATAATTTAATATGTCTTTTAGTCAAAACAGAAAATAATCTGTAAGTGTATTTTGTTTTAATAGTTAGAAATAAAAAAATTAAAAATGCTCATATATCTTGCGATTTATTACTGATGATATTATTGCAAGAACCTGCATATCTTTTGGTCTTGATAGTATCCATACTGAGATAGTATCCACACGTAAAATGTGAAACTAAAGGATGCTTTTTAAATATTTAAATTCACTCATGTTATAATATCATCAATCAAACATCTTCGATTAAATTTATTTAAATTTTATTAATTGTTACACATAGTTAATTAATGGACATAGAGAAATTATATCGATTTTCTTAAGTCAATCATTAATGGAAAAGATTCGCATTAAATTTGCTATATTTAATCGTCAATTATATACTTTTTAATTGTTTCTGCTCAAATCAATTGTCAATTGAATTGTCTTCGATTGAATCTGTTTTTTTCAATTGTCCATTAAAGTACTTCTAATTAAAATTAACTCATATTAATCGTTTAATTGAAAAACTTTCAATAGCTTGTATTAATCGTTTAATCGATCGCTCTCCGATTAATTTCGTTTATATCAATTGTCAATTAAATAATCTTCAATTGACTTCGATCATATTAATCGTTAATTAAGCGATCTTCGATTAATCTAGCTTATATCAATCGTCATTGTAACGATCTCTAATTAATCTTTCTAAAATTAATCGTCAATTCAAAATATTTTAATTACATTTGATTACATCTGTTTGTAATTAAATGTCATAATTAATTAAAAAAGTAATTAATTAATCAGCATTTCCGATACGTTATATAACAGCGTATTTCGTTGACAAGTATTTTCGCTATCCACTAAGGATATATAGTTAAAGCGTATAGATAAAGCTTCGTAAATGGCAAATAAATAGTGTTATAATATAGATAATAATCTTTATTGTTAGAAGTGTTACTATACGCAGGATAAAAAGTGTTGATGAGGACATTATTGCACTTCTATATTTTATTGACGCAATGAGAGTAAGCGAAAAAACGTATGTACGTACATAGTTTTTAATTTGGAAAATATTAGTGATTATCATTTAATTTGCTCTGTTATACGCTATCGATAGAAAGAAAGAGTTGACGTGAAAAAATAGATGTTTTCTTTTACTTATTGGCTAATAGCCGGTCAATATAAATTCAAACACCAGTGACACATATAAGCACTGTACATTCATCATCGGTATTAGACACAAATCTATCTTGTATCATTGATAATATATGTGGCAAGAAATTTGTTAATTAATAATTTAATATTTATTTATATATGTTACACTTACGAATATAAGCAATCATTTGCAAAACTTTCAAAAAAATATGATATGCATGTTCAGAAATGCGAAATTATGTTGAGACTGTTTTATCTCTTCCGCAAGGAGATGTAGACTCTTAATACAGAAGTATTAACTATTTATTGCTTTTTATTTGGATCAAGAGTTCGTATAAACTTTACAAGTGTCGTCAGGTGTAACGATAGAGAGAGATAATAAAAAGAGGGTAAACGTACGTCTATAGTCTATAGGGCCGCAGTTGAAATTTCATATTCGAAATTTATTTTATTTTGTTCTTATTTGACAAGAATTTTGAATAAAATAACTTTATCGAAAGATGTTGATCAACAAAAGCACAGAGCCGTCAAAGCAATTTAATTGATTGTTGTCAAAAAATTTAATCAATTGATAATAAGAAGAAAGAATTATTCCAACGATACCTGACGATTTTTAATAATTAATAATCATTTTGTTTCTAAAATTTTTGAAAAATAATTTTAATCAAGATATTGCTTACAACAAAAAAAGGAAATTGCAACTTTTTTCTTTTCGGACCGGAATACTGCGTCCCTGATCTTTATACATTCAAAGTTGTGTTGGACATGCAAAAAAGTTCTCTTGTCCCAAGGGGTGAGTTAGAATTCTTCACGTATATACGCACACATACGCATATACACCCCTAGATACCGCATCCCTCCTATTCAACGACGGGGCGTCGCGCAAGCGCACTTTGCGAGGGTAGCTTCGATCTTCGACTTTCGAGTTCGAGTCATGCGCGGCGCGCGTCAGTGTCTCGCGCGTGTCGGTAGTGAGAGCATCATCGTGTTGTCGGAGTTTAGAAAACAGTGAAAGTGACAGGTTTTGTTGTGTTACATCTCTCACGTTGCATTAGGTAAGGCGACTATATATGTAGTGTGTTTTACCCGTGTCTTTTCACCAGTGACGTGCGTTTACACGTGAAGAAATAATTGATTTTTGACGTAAACAACGTGTAAAGAATGTAAACAAGATATATAGAAAATTAGTAAAAATGATAAAAATAAATATAAAGTAAGAAAAATTATTGATAAAAACGAATGTGAATATTGAAAAAAATATTTATATATGTGTATGATTTGTTTTCGTCTTACTAGAGTTTTTCGTTTGGTTTCAGAATTTTTATTTTGTGTTCTTTGTTATTTTATACACAAATTTTTTAACATGTATTTATGTTCTTTTGTACTTTTACTCTTAGACTAAAATAAAATAAAGTTTCATTTATTACATTACTTCTTTTATTAAAAACGTATGATTAAATATGTGTATAAAAATTGAAGTAAATATTTAATTCTATTTTAAGAAATATATTAAATATAAAATTACAATAAATTATTTAAATATAAAGTTTGCCTGGTTTGTGCAGTAGTAATTGCAATTAATAATTCAGACTATTTTTTTACATTTTTCCATTGTTTATATTCTTAACGTTTTTACGTAAAAAATTAATAAGCTAAACATTACTTTATTACGTGTAAAAAAATTACATAAAGAATTGACGTAAATTATACGGCACATTACTGCTGTCCATTCAATATAAGATTTGGTCGAACAGTGAACAAGAAAAAATGAGATCGCTGGAATTCGTCCTATCAGCTGATCGCTGATTGAATCCACAGATTGGTTTCGGTAATATTTTCGTTGAATTATTGCGTAAATGTTCGAGAAGGAATCTCTACAATTGAAGTATTTGCTGAGTGAACTTTATTAAGTGTTAAGGATATATGGCGATACATGTGGTGTGCTGGTGCATTTGTGTGTAGGGGATAGGATTGTTATCATTGAGTTACATTCATTAACAGCCATTAGCCTTGATCCAATCGACATATTTGCAAACATTGGTGAATACATCCGGAAAACCTCGAGCGCATGGTACTCCACGAGAAACTAAACCGACAATTGTTTTGTCGCTATTGCGAATAACTCCGCTACCGCTGTCACCCTGTAATAAAATAAGCAAAAATTAAATCAAATTATAAATAATGAAGGGTAAAAAAGATGCAAAACAGACTAAAAACGGCTGTTTTTGGGGTCACTCTTTGTTCTGTTAATTATGGTTAATAAAATATTTATGGCCAAATATGGAAAAAAGTTCCGAAATAATTGAGAATTTAATAAATAAATAAATTATATATATATAATAAATATACATATATAATAAAAATAAATTATACATATATACATGTATATATCCTGAACGAACCGAGAATAATATCTTAAGCTGAATAATATCTTGCAATTAAGCGGGTATTTAAATAAGCATAATTATAACATATTGCCTTAAAAAAATATTAAAACTCCAAAAATAAAGATTAACGAAAAGAATTGTACATGTAAAAAATGAATGTTTCTATATTATAAGAATATAATTACGTTGCAAGCTCCAGTTCCCTTGGAGATAAGAGTACAGAATTCGGTGTTCGTGAACGGGCATCAATATATGCTTCTTTTACATTCGTCCCATGGCATGCAATTCGCCTCAATTTTTTGCAAATCGTTGTGTATGGGTCGCAGGAAACCCTTGGAACCCCAGGCTACGAGCGTAACGCCGTCTCCTTTCTCTATATCTGACGTTGGAAGTTTGATTGGTTGTGTATTTTCGTCGAACTTGATGGGCTGGGATAGCTGAAAAGATTTTTTATACGAATAAGTTGGAATATCGATCGATTAATTCGTCATCATATACCTATAGCATTACACAGAGATAATTTTCTCTTATTGTTAGAATTTACCCTGAAAATCATAGTAATCGTGTAGAACAATATGGTATTGTAAGAATTTTCGAAGAATTTCTCTCTCTAATTAATATTTTTACCACGATAAAAAATATTAATATTCACACAATAAGATATGTTCGATTAATTTTACTACGTACATATTAATATTTTTTATTGAGGTAAATATTAATTATAGAAACTCATAAATTTTTTCCCATATTGTCCCATGATTACCATAATTATAAGCAAGAAATATTTAATCAACATTATATAAATTTTTTAAACGTTCGGAATTAAAGCGAATGCAGCAGAATGTACTTCATTCAAGATCGAACCTTTATCAAACCGATGTCATGACTGCCATCTTCACCGTAGCCTTCATGAGCCTTCAGTTCCGCGATCTCGTGATGTACTCCGCCGCTGTTGAGATAAGTTGTTCCACTGACAACGGTTAAGCCTCGTGTACTCTTGAAAGGCTCTACGCAATGCGCGGCTGTGAGGATACATTTCGAACTAATTATACTACCGCCGCACGAATGTTGGTTGTTCAATCTGAGGGAGATGGCATGCGGCCATTCCTTGATGGTGGTGGGTGTTCCATTTACCAACTTCTCGGGCTCATCCGCATAGATTGCTACGAAACAAAACGTCGTATTATCTCGTAAATATGTGTGATAAACAAATTCATTTTTAAACATCAATAAAGTCATCTAAATAATTTTAAAACGCGATAACAATCTGCGAAAAAAATTGTAACACGCAGGAATGTTACTATATCGTTTAATTAGCAATTTTAATATTTTATTATTCTGCTCAGAAGTCTTAGGGAAAAAATTTTATATTTAAAAATTTATTTAATCCCATATTTCGAGCCACATATACGAAAAAATAAATTTTGTGGACAATTTCTATATATTTAAGTATTATAAAATAAAAATATACGGAAAGCGGAATGATTCAATGATTAATTATATTTTAGAGATTGTTAATTTAGCGAACGCGTATGTGTTCTTAAGTATTTGATATTAGACTTACCAACGAACGCCAAGGCGATCAGGATACACGTCAGCAGCCTCATTTTGCGTAGATACTCTTTACTTGATGCCGCGCCTGACAAATTTTGGGATATAGAAACGATCGATATGATATGCAGTACAGCTTATATACACGTCAAAATATGTACGCAGCTGCTTAACAAACTTAATTATGATATTGAATTTTAATCTTAATAAGATATGTGTTAATAATGATATTATTCTGTGAAAATTACGATCGCGTTAATAATGAGATTATCGCAGAACGTCACAGTTTAATGTTGGATTAAAGAAGATATTAAAATGATATTCTCTTATTTTTTTAGTAATATTGCAATATTGAGCAAAATATGATAAATTTTTATAGAAGTAATTCACGTTATATTATATGTATATATATATATATATATATATATATATATATATATATATAAGATAATAACAAATAAATTATTTATCGTTTGTGACAATATAGAATATCTGTAATTTAATTTTACATATGCATATAATATATATAGATGTTTTTATATGTGAAAGAATCAAAATTAATTTTAATTTTTAGAAATTATAATAAAAGAATTTTTAAATAATTTCTGATTTAAAAGGAGCTTTAGGTAACAACATGTTACATAAAATCCCTTGTTTATTTTTGGCAACACAATATACACACTAGATGAATTTGATTAAATAATAATAAATTTAAAAGGATACATTTCTAATTAATTTTTAGAGTATATATATCTATTTCGTATAATTCGACAGATTTATTAATTTATAAGGGAGAAATAATTAAATACTATTTATTTTGCTTAAATCATAAATAATGCAACACTACAATGCATACTGACGAATTTATAAAATGTGCATATAATGTTATAAGTAAAAATAATATTTATTACAAATGTGTGTGTTGATCATATAAATTCTCGTTATCTCACAATGTCTCGAAATCAGACACTGCCGGAACCTTTTAGATTTTTATTTCTTTCGATGTATAATTGATATAACCGTTCAATGTCTTTAAGCTGAAATAAATATAATATTTATGACAAATATTGGAGCATACTTTAACTATTAATGATAAATTAAAAAACAATTTTTTTATATTATTAATTTTGAAGATACATAATCTGACAATTAAATAATCGTTATTTAATATTTCTCATGTTTTTAATAGTAATTAATATTATATATCAGTATTTTTCAATATTACAATTTATTTAACTTTAATTAAATATATTTTTAATGATTGCATAAATAAAAAAGACATGCATAGGGTCTTGCATAAATAAAAAAATTTTAGATTATATGAATAAAATTATTATAGATTCATCTCTATTTTGCAGAAAAAAATGTTATTTCTAATAATTTTATTTTTATTAGAATATATTTTTATAATCAAGATCGAACTCGTATAGAATTGTGTTAGTTCGCTTAGGTTACAAAGTATAGTTATTATCATAGGAAATAGCTTTCCCGCGATAAGATATAGCGATATGTTGTACGAATTATTATTGATTAGTAGATTTCTTGCTTTTTGAACTTTATTTTATTTATACTCACATACGACTTCGTAAGCTCCTTTGCATTTGGCAAACAGAGAGCGGTCGCATGAAATAAAATTGATCATGTTAAATCAAATCTTTTTAATTAGCATCATAATTCATATTTTGCTGTGTTTGTGATAAGCCAATTATAATGAGCTGTATCATATTTATTTGCGCGAATAAAATTTCTTTTACTTAATAAATAATTTCTTTAACTTTGAGTTATTTGAATGGATGAAGGTGAATATAAAAGTAATTAATATTTTAAATAAAGTATATTGATCGCTGTATAATTTATGAGTTTAAGTTTTTGAAAAAAATCTTCTCAAAATTAATTGTGACGTTAATTATATTAATTATAATTTGTTAAATAAGACATATAAGAAATTTTAGACATATAAGAAAAACCTGCATTAAATTCAAATCGATTTCAATATCGTTTCCGAAAATGACATATACTTGTAATTTAGAAAAAAATGTAGTAAAAATTTATGTGAAGCATTCTCTTTTGAACTTTTGTTCAACTATTAAATGTTCGAGAAGAAGCCTCTAATTAGAGCATTTGCTGAATGATCTTTATTAAGTATTAAGGGTGTGGCAATACATTGAAGAGAATTGTTGTTATTTTTAGAGAATATTCATTTTGTTCTGGATCCAAGTAGTAAATCTGGAAACATCAGTGTATACATCTGGGTAACCTTGCGCACATGGTCTTCCACCAGAGACCAGACCGATAATTGTTCTGTCGCTGTTGCGAATAACTCCGCTACCGCTGTCACCCTGTAACAAAATAAGCAAAGTTTATTCTCTTCGTTTCTTGCCATATACAATAAACAGAATTGATAATACAGTTCAATAAATATTTTTTTTTTAATACAAGAAAAGGGTTAATTATTTTCAACTTTTTTTATTAATTATGATTAATTTTTTGACACAGTTTTTATTTTCTTGTTATTAATTCTGGCTTTCAAATTGCTACATTTTATAGTATTTGATGCGTTTGTTAAATTTTGTTAAATTAAAGTTCTATCAATTATAGTTAATAAAATTTTCACGATTAAATATGGGAAAGAAATTGCGAGTTCAAAATTGAGAATTTAATAAATAAATTATATATGTAATATGTTTGTGAGAAGCAAAATGGAAAATATTATAAAATCTATATCTTAAGAATAATTCTGATTGAATTAAGTGCGTATTCAAGCAAGCATATAATTACAAAATACAATATAAATAATGTACCTAAATAATATAAAAGTATCAAGCGTTATAAAAGTATATTATATAATTACGTACATTGCAAGTTCCAGTTCCAGTTCTGATGAGGGTACAGAATTCGTTCGGGTGGACTTCCATAAAGTTTTGATGGCGTGTCTGACACTCAGGTTGGAGCATAACTTGCGCGTTCAATTTTTGCAAATTATTGTGTACAGCTTGCCTGAAACCTACAGAGCCCCAAGCTACGATCGTAACACCTTCACCTCTCACCGAATTCGACTTCGGAAGCCCGACCAGCTGTTGGCTGCGGTTGAAAGTAATAGGAGTTGCTAACTGAAAATATTTTTTATACAAATATGCTGGAATATCGATCGTTATTCTGTCATAATTTTGTATGTAATAATGTATATAGCAAGACTTATCTTACCTTAATTAAACCGATATCAAAACCAGCATGTCTTCCCGGGTAATTTGGATTGTAGTTTTCGTGGGAGACCCATCGCTCTATTCGGTGAGCAACTCCGCCCTGATTAAGGTAAGTTGTACCAGTGACAACGGTTAAGCCTTGTGTACTCCGGAACTGTATGCAATGCGCGGCTGTGAGGATAAACCGGTTATTAATTATGGTACCGCCGCATATATGCTGATTGTTCATTCTGATGGATACGGCTTGCGGATTTTCTTCGATGCTGGTGGGTATTCCATTTACCAGTTTCTCAGGTTCATCCGCATAGACTCCTATGGAACAAATCGTATTATTTCGTAAATATGTGTGATGTATAGAATCATTTTTCAACATCGGCAAAATTATTGAAAATATTTTAAACGCGATGACAATCTGCAAAAAAAATGTAACACACAAGAATATTACTATCGTTTAATTTCAATATTTTATAATTTAATAGATAATTAATATAATAGAATATATAGATAATTTTAATATTTCGTTATTTCTGCTCAGAAATTCTAAAGAAAAATTTTACGCGACATATAAGAAAGAATTACTTTTAATAAAGATGATTTTGTTTTAAATATATCTAGATAAAAAATAAAATTATATGACGATTTATCTAGATAATTTTTAGATAATAATTTTTAAGACTGCTTATGTAAACAGTTATTTAAAAAATGCAAATTATAAAATGGATATAAAAATATATGTATTCATATTTTTATTTATAAATTTTTATCGCTTACTGCTTAAGTTCTACTATTTAAGTATTTTTATGTGCTATGATTCTAAATCAAAATTATCTGAAAATTATTTTACATAATTTAGTAAAAATAATATTTTTTTCATCTAAGATGTAGATATAATACATATTTTATTATCTATATAAAGATAAATGACGCCAAAGTTTCATCTAGATGATCATCTAGATAATTTTATTTAGATAACAGCAAACACTGCATATGTATTATATTAGTTTTTAAAGTATTATATATTAGATTTACCAACGATCGCCAAGGCGATCAGGATACACGTCAGTTGCCTCATTTTGCCTCTTCGCTCTTGATATCGCGCCTGACAAAGATTGGAAAGCACAATAACGACTAATATTATACGCAGCACAATTTATATACACGTTAAAATATGTACACAGGTGAACAGCACTAATTGCAATTTCTTCTTTATCGCGTTAATAGTGAAATTATTTTGATTGCGTTAATAATGACGCATTTAATGCAAAGTTACGTAATATTGAATTAAAAAAATATAACTGCCATACTTTATTGCTTCTCTATTTATTTAATTATATATTTAACAGTATTGCAATATTGTGCAAAAAACGTGATACATTTTCGTGGAAATAATTTAAGTTATACATATATAATAAAGATAATAAATAAATCCTTTGTAACATCTTTATGCTAAAATTTAATATTATAAGATATAAATTAAGATATAATTAAATCTTAAGGATATGAGTTCTTTAATGTGTGACAGTCCCAAAGACAGTCGTTTTATAGGTATGCTATGAAGAACAAAAATTTTGAAATTTTTTTTTAATTTGAAAAAGTTTATATAAGAGATGTTTTTTGTAACACAATATATAAATCAGATCTATATTCTGTTAAATAAAACCAAATTTAAAAATATCTCTATAATTATATTTTTATGGTATAACATTTGTTTGATATAAATCAACGATTGCAAATTTGTGATGAATAAAATTTACTCATCGTATGTTATATAAAAAAAAAGAAACATTATTTTATTTAAATGATTAATGAAACGTTAATATATATAATATTAATATATGGATACAATTTATTCTAATTATTAATATTCTTTAAATATTATTTGTTATTTAAATTTAAATGCACAATTTTAAGAAAGTAAAAATAAAATTGTAATAATTCATCTATTTTGTGGAAGAGATTTTTTATTGAATTTGTAATGATTAATTATTTACAATATCTTCATATATCAAATTTGGCAAAGAATTTTAACTTTAGTTTGTTTACATATAAAACGTAGTCATTATCATAAGGAGCAGCTTTTCAGCAGTTTGTTGATACAAATCATTATGATCAGTAGATTTCTCACTTTCTTCGGTTTTAACAAGTTTGTCAAGTGCTTTTTTTCTGATCTTAATCAAGATTCTTTATCGAGTAAGAAAATTAGTATCTGAATTAGCATCACAATTCGTATTTTACCATGTTCGTAATAAACCAATAACCGTATCGCAAAATTTCTCCTATTGCGCAATAGAGATAAGCAAATATATATATATATTAACAGATATACCTTTATGATGAAAGTTAAACACAAAGTTATCGTGACGTTGAATTAAACGGATGAATGAATATACATAATGTATGTAATTAATCTTTATTATGTTTCGAATGAAGAACACTGTTCGTTTTACAATTATAAGTTTAAGAAATTCGCTATGTTTAAAGGTCTATATAGATGTTTTACAGATGTACATAATATATCGCACATGTTTTCGAGACGTCCTTAGCTATAACTTTGTGAAACCGTGTGTTTCTCTCTTATTATTAATTCACTGAAATTGTGAGGTGCAACAATTGATGTGAAAGTTTTCCATGCTGATCCTGCTGTAACTTTCATAAACAGTTATCCTTTTGCCAAGTTCCGATATTACACACTTGACTGTAGACGACCAAATTAGCTTCCACACTGTAACTATGCATAATTAATCTAGTTTATGTCTGTTAATGAAAATGACTATCATAGATTATATCTAACAATAAGTATATAAATATATCACTCGATCGTTTCTTGTACAAGTATCTTGCGATATTGTATACTCGTATGTATATACTATAAGTTAGAAATAAATAACACAATAATTTTACACATGACATGTCTAAAAAAATAATTTAAACATTTCTACTGTTTTTGAAGACATATAGAATGATTATTGTTAAAGACAAAGGTGATTCGAAGACATGGTGATTAGGAAAAGTAATATAGGATAAATAAAAATTTCCGATTTAGTGTTTTCAACATTTCAAGATTCTCAATCTTTTTAACCAGAATAATATATTAAAATGTATATAAAAATTATTAATTAATTTAAACTAATATATATTTTCTTTCATACGTAATTTTTATTACAAGAAAGATATATATGCCAAGTTTTTTTTCTTCTCTGGTTATGTGCAATTATATTTTATTTATATAGAATACGTCCAATAGAAAAAAATTTATTATATAAATTATTATTATACACTATAGAGCATATTAATATTTTACACCTATAGATTATTTTTATATTATCATAGTAACATAGATACCAATGCATTAAAATGCTACGCTAAAACTCCTGAAAATCTTCTCTTCATTCACGATAGGCCAACAAAATGATATATAACCGCCCGAAGTCTTTATCAGCTGAAATAATATATTTATAGAAGAAAATGTACGTTGCGTGCTTATTAATCATTTAATAGTATAGATAATGATTTTTATTTCTTATTATTTACTTATTTAATATATTTACTTATTTAATGAATATTTTATACGATTATATATAGATATATAGACTTTGTATATTGCTTCAATGAAAAAAGATGTGTGTTTTGATTTATAATTTATAAAGATATTTTTTAAACTTTCTCTTAAATTGTTTTTATAACATACAGCATTTGCTTATGAATGTTCATCCAATAGATCTTTAAAAATATTTTTTACATTTATTATCGATATCATAGATTAAAAGATTTTAAATGCTTTCATTACAACATTTATAAGCAATTATAAGTTATATGTATAACACCTAACACGCACAGAAAATATGAAATATGTAAAGAATGTCGTTTATTGATATGTTAAATTGTGATCTATCTTACATTACAAAGCGTAGACATTGTCATAGGGAATAATTTCCCCGCAGTAATATATAGCGGTTTATTGGCCCGAATCATTAGAATCAATAAAGTTTTCGCTTTCCGTGGCTCCAATTTGTACCACTTGTATTCGCATGCGGCCTCAAAAATTTCGTTGCACTTAAGAAACAATTGGGGACCAGAATTAAATTATTTATTAAATTTATTAGACAATTTATATATTCAAATTCTAACATTTATCTTTATGAAAGAGACTTTTGGAAAATTGTTTGAAAATATTATTACGACATTTTTGTAATCATAAAAAAGTAATCAAATAAAATAATAATAATACAAGAATAAAATAAAGTAATCAGTAACAAATATCTTTTACTGCATTGTAAGATATCGCAATATGAGCTGAAAAAAATTATATTGTTGAAAGTAAACTTTTAAATATAATTATTATATAAATTTAGCGTCTCTAGAAATATATATAATCCAATATAATAAACACTGATTAATTTATAGCCATAAAGCAAAGAAAAAAACAGTTTGGTTAAAAAAATAAAATAATTGTTCCTTTTGATATACTCACTTGAGTGACTAAAATTTCACCTACGATACAGTATAAACACATGTGTGCGAATGCAGCGACAGAAGCACTAGCAATGAAAAGAAATCGGGAGAAAGAGAGATCATAACCTTGTGTTATTACCTAGAAAAGTATGTACAATTAGTATAAATAAATAAAAGAATATATTAATTAATTATGCAATAACGCATACAAATTGAATATTTAAATTTTTAACAGAAAATACGAGCAAAAAAATAAAATTTTTTACAAGAATATTTTATGATCAAATATCTACGCTTTCATTAGAAACTCGCGAAAAATTCTACACCTTATATATCCGTCACACTGCGCGGTTTGCGCGAAACTGATTCTCGTTTCTCGTGCGAGGTATTCGAAGGTATCGCGTGCGCGAAACCGAGGTCACGTGCCCTCTGATCACGTGACAACTGGTCATGTGACCATCGGTCCCCGCGCTCGCGATATTTTGTACGAGAATCAGTCTTGTGCGAGCTGCGCACCGTACTGGAGGGGTGGAGTGTACTATCTGATCACGTAATCGGTTTCGCGCGACTCGTGCAGGGCAGTGGACGCGTACAGACAAAGATATTTTCATCGATAGATTCTTCTAGAAAAGTATATTTTTTGTTTTCTGTTAAAAATGTATATATTGAATTGTTATGAATCATGAAATTAATAAATATATTTCTATGCATGCATTACAATAATAATTTTATACATGCATTGCAATATCTAAGGTTTTATTATCAAAGAATAATATAACTACGCTTCGCGCATGTAATTATATTAGAATAAACTAAATAAAATGAGAAAAAAAAATATAAATATAGATACATCTATACAAAATAGTTCTCAAACAATACAATAGAAATTCGGAAATTAAAATTATGTATATAATAGAAATTCAATAAATTGAAATTATATTATATTATATAATGGAAATTCGAGTATTAAAATTATGTACATAATAGAAATTCGGGAATTAAAATTATGTACATAATAAAAATTCGGGAATTAAAATTATGCACATAATAGAAATTCGGCGAATTAAAATTATATACATAATAGAAATTCGGCGAATTAAAATTATGGTTAAATTCATAGCATCAAGTAACTGTCATCGCGAAATAAAAATTTGACTTTTGTATAATAAATAATAGAAATAATATCAAAGGCGCGTGCAAAGCGCACTTGTGTAGTTTATTGTTTCAATAGATTACTTATAATGCAAATACTCTTTGATTAGGATTTCTATATTATATTAAGATTTAAAATATGTTCATGTTTGATTCAGGTTTAGACTCTTAGACCTTGCAGTTATAACTAACAAGGGAAGTTCGGCAAGTGTAAAATTCAAAAAAATCTGAAACTTTGTATAAGTTTAGAGTAGATGAACCTAATCACGAAACAATTTTTTTTAGCTGCTGATATTCGGTTTTAGGGGTGCAGCATCCCCTTAAATAAAATCGGTGTTTACGTTTTTAAGCGAATATCGCCGAAATAATGAGAAATATAAAAAAATGTTTCCAGCAAAAGTTTTATGGTTTCGAAAGCTCTTTATAATGGCATGATCATATTTTGCAAAAATGTTTAATTTTTCAAAATACCCCCACCACGCATCTTTTTTTTTCATATTTAAATTTTTCTTGCAACTAAAATTAAAGTTTATTTCGCGCCAAATTCAACCATATATAATAAAGTTGCGATCCGTAAACGTGTTTTTGAGAAATAAACTGAAAACATCCTTACAGGGTATGCTGTCAATTTTATCGGCCCGCTAATTTTGGCTACGACTTCTCTTTCTCCCCTTCTCTCTGTAATTTTTCGCAATACAAGATAACGATGAAACAGATGTTCGTAATAAATCTAATCACGTAACTGATTTTTGTATATTACACATTTTATAAATAATATAGTAGTCAAAATATATCGTAAGAGAAAAATCAAAGTTATCGATAAAGTAATTTCTGATTTAGACCTTTGGTAAAAAAAATTAAAGATTATCGTCTAGAATGAAATAAACACGGATGCACTAACGTATATGTAATATTTCCTGTTATGTACGTCATTATATTTATGAAAACGTTATCAACTTTGAATAGTTGAAAGGTTGAAGGATTATCGAGATTGATGTGATGCAATAAAAGGGAAGGTTATGGGAAGGTTATCTTTAATGTTCGTTTTCCTTATACAATTAGTATAAAAGCCATCCGCTTCTGCATTTCATTCATGTTATTTAATATATTGTACGTGTGATACTTTCTGTGGGAAAGTTTCATATAACATTTATTCAAGCATTTATGTCAAAATGTTGGCCATAAATACGGCGAACGTTATAAATTTGTTAATTACAACGTTTCACATTGCAAATCTCGCTGTCACTCCTGTTAATCATCGTGAAGTAGAACTCCAAAATTTCAAATTTAATAAGGGATTCTCTAAAAGACGATATTACGATTGAATATGATTGGGGACTTGATTTTGATGATCTATCGGAACCTCAAGCTGTACGTAGTTTATTTCTCAAAAACACGTTTACGGATCGCAACTTTATTATATATGGTTGAATTTGGCGTGAAATAAACTTTAATTTTAGTTGCAAGAAAAATTTAAATATGAAAAAAAAAGATACGTGGTGGGGGTATTTTGAAAATTAAACATTTTTGCAAAATATGATCATGCCATTATAAAGAGCTTTCGAAACCATAAAACTTTTGCTGGAAACATTTTTTTATATTTCTCATTATTTCGGCGATATTCGCTTGAAAACGTAAACACCGATTTTATTTAAGGGGATGCTGCACCCCTAAAACCGAATATCAGCAGCTAAAAAAATTGTTTCGTGATTAGGTTCATCTACTCTAAACTTATACAAAGTTTCAGATTTTTTTGAATTTTACACTTGCCGAACTTCCCTTGTAAGTAATTAAAGTAATTAAGATTTAAAAAAATATTTTCTTCAGCTTTTTTATAAGATGTTAAATTTTTATATTTTATAGTATTTTATCTCTGTAAGAAATAATCAGCAAATTAAATTTGGAAATAGAAAATACTTACAGTAACGATTAAAAATCCATGCACAGTGAACATTAGAGAAAACCAAATCAGAATTCCAAGCAACATCAAAGTAAACGTATCTTCAATAATTTTGATAGATCTGTAAAAAATGTTATTATACTGACATTATTTGATTTTACTCATTCTTTTATATAAATAAAAAATAAAAGTTATATAATTCAATAATTAATATATTATAAATATTAAAATGTGAAACGTGTGTTTTCTCGTTTAAAAGTGATATAAAATACGTCTCCTATATAATTTTTGTTTTATAATCTTTCTTTAATCTACACGTAATAATTATTATTAGTTTTATAAGATTTTTCAATGACCAAGTTTTTCTTTATTTTCAAAATTCAACATACAACATATAAAAAAACATAGATAGAACTTGAATTACTTATGTTTCATGAGGATAAAGACAAAATAACAAGACGAAGGGCGACATAAAACCTAATAAGACGTCTGTGATCCTGCACATTGTACGACAGGGTATTGTAGAAGTCATTCTGGTCGAGATGAAGGATACGCGTTTTGAGGTTTTCTAGTTGACCGCAGACGTGGAAAATCAGCAACCCTAGCAGATTGTCCGTACTGGTAAAGATAGCACCGGCTGATATCATACCGATACTCTGCAAAATTAACGTTATTTCGTAGGATGGACTTCTATTTGTATCGTATATGTAATACGTTGGCATCAGCAGCCAATGATCTGGATCACTCGTATTCGTCACGTATGCAGGTGTTATGACACCGAACGTCGATAGCAACATGGCGAAAATAAATGTGCACACAACCATGAAATATCCGCATATCGTGATTATGCGCGCGATTCGCGCTCGTTTTATCATAATATCCCTTTCTCTCTTCATCTTGAACTTTAACCAGTCCTCTTTGACCATTCTCAAGATAGGTGCGAGCTCTGCGATATTACTTTCGTTTGTATTATTATAAAGAAACTACTAAATTTTATAAATTGTCATAAAAAATTATACTAAAAAAACATTATAATTATAATCAGAGTTGAGCAGATGTGTATTTCAAAGTACCTATCTGAGATATGTATTTAAGTATGTATCTTATTTAAATACAGTATATATAAAGACTGAATATTAAAGTATTTTGAATTTTGTAATTGATTATTTAATATAAATGTATATTTAAATGTATTTATGTAATTATACAGGGTGTTACAAAAGTACCGGAACAGCAGAATAACTCGAAAAATATGAGTCCTAGAAAAAATGCTAAGTATTGGGTTTTCATGATTTTTCCTGGCTATTTGAACGTCAGATTAGTATAACTAGTATTTAAATAAATTTAAAAACCAAAGTATTTCAATAGAAGTTAAATATATGTTAAACAGTATCTGGTATTTAAATATTTTGTTTTTCAACATATCTGTCCAACCCTGATTATAATTATAACTAAAAATATTATTATAAAAAGACTACTAGATTATATAAATTTTGACAGAAAAGAAAATTATAATTCAAAAAAACTATAATTATAATACAAATAAAAATAATGTATTAATTGTAGACAAAATTAATATATGAGCAGATTTATCGTAATTTCTAATAATAGCGATAAATTATTTTTTTTGCATAATTATACAAAATTACATTTACCTTTAGACTTGCGCCACAGGATACAAGTTTTAAGTATTACGATGAGAAACGGTAAAGTGTATTGCAGATTATCAATCATCAACATGAAATCGCCCCAGATCCTGATGAGCGCATGTATACTTGGGATGAGACAGCTACAAATCATCACGATTAATATCGAGATTATTCGTACATTGAATTTTCTCTGTTCAGTTTCGTTATTGTCTGGCCAGGCACCGAGCAATTTTAGACAAGCTCGATTTATGGCGATAGCCCATTCATAATCTGTTAAACGTGGTTGCAACTTTAGTTGAATGAGTTGAAACGAAACTCTTGAATTTTTGTGATGTTTATATAACATTAAAATAAAATTTAGCGTAGTGAATGATTGGTTTTGGAGATGATCTATTAAAATCATCTTAATATTATTTTGAAAATAGATGATCGAATAGATCATCTCCATGATTGACTATATCCATTTATTTTATAATAAAATATAATTTAAAATATTATTTATATGTTGTATTTGCTGGAATGCGTTATACATAAACATATGTATATGTATATAATATATATGTGCTTTAATAAAATAGTCTCGTAAAAAGTAGACGCACACCTATATCTCCCGAATGTATCGAAACATCCATTTCGATGGTTGCGAAGAGACTGACGAATTTCTTTTTGGAGGCAATTGTAGATACCTCTAATATTTCCATTGTCGGATGGTAAAAATAAAAGTTAGCAAAACTTTGGAATTTTATTCCACGGGTGCATATACCGTTCATGAATAGATAATGAAGAAAATAACAGGTAATGGAAACATGATGTTTGTAACCCTTCACAATTCACTCTTTTCTAATAAAAAAAAGAGCAGCTTAAATGCGAATAAAAAGAACGAACATTATCAACGCAGGGCCGCATTTACAAACTATTAGTCTACAAACGAGAAATATAGTAACGAATAAAGAGAAATGAAATATTAAATTTAATTTTTATTACATCAATAATTTAGAGATAAGTAGCTATTTTTAAATTAATTTTTATTGCTTACCGCTGTCGCAAAATGACTTTCTTCGAAAAAATAAGGATTCTCCCGGAATGTTTTGAACTGAAAATTTCTAAAGCCGATCCTGCTGTATACTGCTTATAGATTCACTATTTCACGGAAACTACGAGACACGAGAAGAGTTATACAATTTCTTTTTTAACCTGATATTCATAACTTTAAAATAATTCTCTTGTGTCGTGAGCTTTTCTCCCCTTGCATTCTAATAAACTTACACAGTTACGAGATCAAGTATAGACTATTGTGAACATGCTGTTAACGTTCAACACAACATACTACTATCAGTGCATTATTAATGGCGACTCTACACCATATCCTTACACAGAATAAATGAATGCAATTGTATTTTGTCTGTACGTTGATACGTATCGTGTACTTTACATCAGTATCGCCTAATTCGCCTACCGCGCAATGAAGGAACATATGCGTGAACGTATTGATAAACGATATCAGAATGTAGATTAATCGGGCGATGGATAAATTGCGACCTTGTGTAATTATCTAAGCAATTTAGCAAAGATGAGTAAACATAATTAGAATTTTTTCAAATAAATGTGTCTAAATTGAAATTAAAAAATACATTTAATCGGATCGATTAAATTAAAATGAAGCTCTAACAAGCATTTCTCTTTAAAAATAGCTCTTCAAAGAGAATTTATTGAAATAAAAAGAATGGTCATACTTTTGTGAGAATTTTTCTTTTTGTATATTTATACTATTTTTTTATATTATTTAGGACAAAATGATAGAAGCTCGATGCGCAGAAAGTTAATTAGTTTTCTTAAATGATATAATTAAAGAAATAAATTATATTTACAATTAGTTTCTTATTGCAGAAAAATACGCGTAAATATATAAGTTACAGAAAAAATACTTGCAGTAACAAATAAATATCCGTACAGAGCAAAGAGTATGCCGAAATAAATTAGTAGCCCAAGCAGCATTAAAGTAAACGTGTCGTCAATTATTTTGATAGATCTGTAAAAAATGATAATAAACAATAAAATAGTAATAGATATTATATTTCGCTTTATACCTATCTTTTTTGTTTTTTGAAATATAAGTATCAAAAATTTATATAATTCAAAACTCGTGCAACTTTTTATAAAAGATTTATACAAGTAATAAATTAAATTATTACTGCGAAAAATTGTTTTAGAAGCTACAAATATGTTAAATAAATTTTCCGCCAATAAAATCTCTTGCCACTGATTTACGAATTCATTTCGATATGAGATGGATTCTTAAATTAAAAAAAGGAGAAAAGAAGATAAAATATTTAATTTTACAGTAAATTCTCGGGAAAAAATTTTATATATAATTATATGTGAAATATGTCCATTTTTATAATTTATATATAAAAATTATAAGGGTTCATGTATAAACATGTCAAATTATATATGAAACATATATATTTACATATTACATGAAGAAATACTTATTTATATATATATATATATACATATATATGAATTTATATAAATATATATAAACAAGCACTTTTATCTAATTATATATGGACACATTTCATATATAATTTTGCGATGATATGTATAATTTTATATATTTCTATATAATTTTATATCGTTATATATAAAAAATTAGTTCACGGGTTAATGAATTTCTGTTTCTCTCTTGATATTATGTGTATGAGACCTCATAAGACGTGCATGCTCTTGCACGTTGGCCGATAGGGAGTCCTCGAAGCGATGAAATTCCACATTTAGGATACGCGCTTTGAGATTCTCGAGCTGGCCGCATACGTGAAAGACTAGACCTCCCATGAAGGTGTCCGTATTGGTGTACGTATTCGCGGTCGCCATCAAACTGAGGCCTTGCAGAAAAAAAGTGATCTCGTAAAGCGGACTCTCATTAGTGTTGTACATGTAATAAGTCTGCAGAGGCATTAATCGGCCCGGATCGGTAATATTCGTCAGGTATCTCAAGGATATACCGAAGCTGGGAAAGATCACAACCAGAATGTACGAGATGAACATGACGAAGTATCCCCATTTCATTATCAGGCGTGCAGTTTGCGCGCGTCTTATCATAATTTCTCGTTCCTCCTCCGTTTTTGATCTCGTCCAGTCTTCTTTCACCATTTTTAAAACCGGTATCAAAACTATGTGAAATCAAATGGAATTATGATGTCAGTTTTGCAATTAAATTAATATCATGAATATAATAAACATGAAAAATGATAAGAATTATATAGAAAAAAATAATACAAATATAAGAAAATAAATGTATGATATATTCTATAAAATTCTTTTTCTTTTTTTTTATAATTTTGATTGACAGAACCGAAAGGAGAAAAAATAACGAAACTATTTCGGGTTTATATTTAATTTTTTATTGTATATTTAAGTATTTTTATTAAAAAAACGATCGTTATATATCACTCGCTTTTATTTATGAATATTATTTGAAGATTCACTGTTCATTGTAAGAGAGAAATTTTTGTTACTGTATAAAAATATATAACTATCCAGGAAAAAAGCACCTGCGTATCCCGAGTGTGCCGAGACATCCATACTAACGGATATAAGATAACTAGCTTCCTTCTTCTTGATACAATCGTATTCACCCGTATAAAAAAGTGTGAATTGTTGGCGTGTGCAAAAAATTTTGAAACTAAATTCACGTTCTACAGGTGAATACAGGCAAAAATTAATAATGCAAATGTCTGCGAGCAAAAGATGCTTATAGCTCGATTGTTCACCCCAAGGAGGGTTGAATTGTTAAGGGAAAATTAATCCCTCTGTGAACGAAACAGCTGCGAATTATCGATACAAAGGACCGCATTTACTTATCAAATATATTTCACAAATAGGAAAATTACGTAGGATTCACTCGAATCACGTGTTCATATTACACATATCACATGTAGGTGTGTGCGTGTGTCAAAGAATTTAATTAAAAAAAATATATATATATATATATATATATATATATAATAAACATTTTGATAAAAATATATAATAGACACAATACAAAGATTGAATAAAATTTTAGTTTAATATCTCATAATTGTGTAGAGTGAATTCTTTGAAAAAGATACTTTCCACGTCTCTCTTTTTGTTACTTGATCAGTCTAGTAATTTTTAAACCGTCCCTGTATAGCGCAATTATTGATTAACTAGAAGACGTAGAAGTTATTATTGAAATATTCAACTTTTATATTTTCGCTCTTTCAGAAATATTTCCCTTTTATAACAGTCTCATAAAGTTTGTGAAGAAAATTATATACTAGCACGACACATCTGAGCATGCAACACGAAACACTCACCAGCTCAACTTCTATCACCACAATTAGACTATAGCATTTTTGTATATATAATCTATTAAAAGAAAATAAATTTTTATAACATTGCATATTATTAATTATTATATATAATAGATGTGCGACAAAGTAATTCATTACTACACATAATTTTAAAGATTTTATAATTTATTATATGTATATATATATTAAATATAGAAATTAATTTTGATAACATAGAGATGATTTTTATTTAACGTTGCAATTATTTACATAACATAGTTTGCGAGATTAATTATTCGGAATTAATGTAAGTAAACAAAAGTCAAGCATGATTATAAATGTTAGATAATTATATAATACGTTCAATTTTGTAATTTTATGAATAGGTATTTATTTAAATAAACAATATTTGACATATATAATTTGCAAATCTTTATTTTTATAGAATATGTATCTTTGATAAAAGAGAATATATGTATATATATATATAATATTAATAATATAACAATATATTAACTAATATTAATAATATATTTTTTAATTATATTGTATATACTGGAATGGGCATCAATGCAACAATATATATACATTATATATAAATATATATATATATATCTATATCTATATATAATCATGTAAATTAATTAATTTTTATTAATGACATAATTTTTAACATAATTTTTAACATATTATATAGTATTAAAAATTATTATGATACACATATGATACAAATGTAGTTTACAGATTTGTTTCTTAAAATTTATCATTTCTCAATATTATTCGGGAATATCAGTCATCTTCAAAACATCGTATATTTAAAACAAAAATTAATAAAAATGGAAAACCTTAACCTTTTAATAATACGCGCAAATATTCGAGATTTTTGTTTATGCTGGTATGAACATCCAAACCTTCACTGAATGAAATACCATAAGTAGCCACGCCGACGAGTTTGCCTTCATAAATTAAAGGACTGCCATTGTCACCCTACAGATAATATTTAAAATTATATTATAAAAATCTACAAATGTGTGTGTGTAAATGATCGATATTTTCACTTTTGCTAAAGTTTGGTATACTTTAAATTTGTGAATGATTCTTATTTTACACCTTAAGTTAAGTCTTTCTTATAATTTAATATTTTATCATTATTAATATTTATTATTAATTATATTATTATTTTAGATAGCAATTAATACAAATTTCGCTAATTAAAAAAATAGAAATGTCTATGTAAAAATTTCTTTTTATGCAATATTGTGCAAAAAACGTGATACATTTTTGTAGAAATAATTTAAGTTATACATATATAATAAAGGTAATAATAAATAAATCCTTTGTAACATCTTTGTGCCAAAATTTAATATTATAAGATATAAATTAAGATATAATTAAATCTTAGGGATATGGATTCTTTAATGTGTGACAGTCCCAAAGACAGTCGTTTTATAGGTATGCTATTAAGAAAAAAAATTTGAAAAAGTTTATATAAGAGATGTTTTTTGTAACACAATATATAAATCAGATCTATTCTGTTAAATAAAACCAAATTTAAAAAATATCTGTATAATTGTATTTTTATGGTATAACATTTGTTTGCTATAAATCAACGATTGCTAATTTGTGATGAATAAAATTTACTCATCGTATGTTATATAAAAAAAAAGAAACATTATTTTATTTAAATGATTAATGAAACGTTAATATATATAATATTGTTACGTCCTCCGGACGTTCTTTCTCGCAAAAGACGTCTCTCGCACACACTCTCACTCACTCGCGGCTCGCGAAATAAATACACTCTCTTATGAAGAAATGATCCTTTATACAATGATGAAATACAATGACTAATGTACACGCGAAAGAAAGAAGATTACTCTCTGGTCAAGTCACGTCCGTACGAGATGACAGCTAGACCAAAACTGTCATGGAGCCTGAAAACAACCACCGGGCGGTTGTCAATAAACAACCCCCCTTAACGATGAAGCTCCACGACACAAGGGATGATATTCAGGGGATGAAAGATCAGGGACGTAACAATATTAATATATGAATACAATTTATTCTAATTATTAACATTCTTTGAATATTATTTGTTATTTAAATTTAAATGCACAATTTTAAGAAAGTAAAAATAAAATTGTAATAATTCATCTATTTTGTGAAAAAGATTTTTATTGAATTTGTAATGATTAATTATTTACAATATCTTCATATATCAAGTTTGGCAAGTGTAGAGAATTTTAACTTTAATTCGTTTACATATAAAACGTAGTCATTGTCATAAGGAGCAGCTTTTCAGCAGTTTGTTGATACGAATCATTATGATCAGTAGATTTCTCACTTTCTTCGGTTTTAACAAGTTTGTCAAGTGCTTTTTTTCTGATCTTAATCAAGATTCTTTATCGGGTAAAAAAATTAGCATCTGAATTAGCATCACAATTCGTATTCTACCATGTTCGTAATAAACCAATAACCGTATCGCAAAATTTCTCCTATTGTGCAATAAAGATAAGCAAATATATATAGGTCTTAACAGATACCTTTATGATGAAAGTTAAACACAAAGTTATCGTAACGTTGAATTAAACGGATGAATGAATATACATAATGTATGTAATTAATCTTTATTATGTTTCGAATGAAGAACACTGTTCGTTTTACAATTATAAGTTTAAGAAATTCGATATGTTTAAAGGTTTATATAGATGCTTTACAGATGTACATAATATATCGCACATGTTTTCGAGACGTCCTTAGCTATAAATTTGTGAAACCGTGTGTTTCTTTCTTATTATTAATTCTGAATTTGTAAGGTGCAACAATTGATGTGAAAGTTTTCCATGCTGATCCTGCTGTAACTTTCATAAACAGTTATCCTTTTGCCAAGTTCCGATATTACACACTTGACTGTAGACGACCAAATTAGCTTCCACACTGTAAATATGCATAATTAATCTAATTTATGTCTGTTAATGAAAATGACTATCATAGATTATATTTAACAATAAGTATATAAATATATCACTCGATCGTTTCTTGTACAAGTATCTTGCAATATTGTATATGTATATACTATAAGTTAGAAATAAATAACACAATAATTTTACACATGACATGTCTAAAAAAATAATTTAAACATTTCTACTGTTTTTGAAGACATATAGAATGATTATTGTTAAAGACAAAGGTGATTCGAAGACATAGTGATTAGGAAAAGTAATATAGGATAAATAAAAATTTCTGATTTAGTGTTTTCAACATTTCAAGATTCTCAATCTTTTTAACCAGAATAATATATTAAAATGTATAAAAAAATTATTAATTAATTTAAACTAATATATATTTTTTTTTATACGTAATTTTTATTACAAGAAAGATATATATGCCAGGTTTTTTTTCTTCTCTGGTTATGTGCAATTATATTTTATTTATATAGAATACGTCCAATAGAAAAAGATTTATTATATAAATTATTATTATACACTATAGAGCACATTAATATTTTACACCCATAAATTATTTTTATATTATCATAGTAACATAGATACCAATGCATTAAAGTGGTACGTTAAAACTTCTAAAAATCTTTCCTTCATTCACGATAGGCCAACAAAAATGATATATAACCGCCCGAAGTCTTTATCAGCTGAAATAATATATTTATAGAAAAAATGTACGTTGCGTGCTTATTAATCATTTAATAGTATAGATAATGATTTTTATTTTTTATTATTTACTAATTTAATATATTTACTTATTTAATGAATATTTTATACATTATATATAGATATATAGACTTTGTATATTGCTTCAATGAAAAAAGATGTGTGTTTTGATTTATAATTTATAAAGATATTTTTTAAACTTTCTCTTTAATTGTTTTTATAACATACAGCATTTGCTTATGAATGTTCATCCAATAGATCTTTAGAAATATTTTTTACATTTATTATCGATATCATAGATTAAAAGATTTTAAATGCTTTCATTACAACATTTATAAGCAATTATAAGCTATATGTATAACACCTAACACGCACAGAAAATATGAAATATGTAAAGAATGTCGTTTATTGATATGTTATTAATTGTGATCTATCTTACATTACAAAGCGTAGACATTGTCATAGGGAATAATTTCCCCGCAGTAATATATAGCGGTTTATTGGCCCGAATCATTAGAATCAATAAAGTTTTCGCTTTCCGTGGCTCCAATTTGTACCACTTGTATTCGCATGCGGCCTCAAAAATTTCGTTGCACTTAAGAAACAATTGGGGACCAGAATTAAATTATTTATTAAATTTATTAGACAATTTATATATTCAAATTCTAACATTTATCTTTATGAAAGAGACTTTTGGAAAATTGTTTGAAAATATTATTACGACATTTTTGTAATCATAAAAAAGTAATCAAATAAAATAATAATAATACAAGAATAAAATAAAGTAATCAGTAACAAAATATCTTTTACTGCATTGTAAGATATCGCAATATGAGCTGAAAAAAATTATATTGTTGAAAGTAAACTTTTAAATATAATTATTATATAAATTTAGCGTCTCTAGAAATATATATAATCCAATATAATAAACACTGATTAATTTATAGCCATAAAGCAAAGAAAAAAACACAGTTTGGTTAAAAAAATAAAATAATTGTTCCTTTTGATATACTCACTTGAGTGACTAAAATTTCACCTACGATACAGTATAAACACATGTGTGCGAATGCAGCGACAGAAGCACTAGCAATGAAAAGAAATCGGGAGAAAGAGAGATCATAACCTTGTGTTATTACCTAGAAAAGTATGTACAATTAGTATAAATAAATAAAAGAATATATTAATTAATTATGCAATAACGCATACAAATTGAATATTTAAATTTTTAACAGAAAATACGAGCAAAAAAATAAAATTTTTTACAAGAATATTTTATGATCAAATATCTACGCTTTCATTAGAAACTCGCGAAAAATTCTACACCTTATATATCCGTCACACTGCGCGGTTTGCGCGAAACTGATTCTCGTTTCTCGTGCGAGGTATTCGAAGGTATCGCGTGCGCGAAACCGAGGTCACGTGCCCTCTGATCACGTGACAACTGGTCATGTGACCATCGGTCCCCGCGCTCGCGATATTTTGTACGAGAATCAGTCTTGTGCGAGCTGCGCACCGTACTGGAGGGGTAGAGTGTACTATCTGATCACGTAATCAGTTTCGCGCGACTCGTGCAGGGCAGTGGACGCGTACAGACAAAGATATTTTCATCGATAGATTCTTCTAGAAAATTATATTTTTTGTTTTCTGTTAAAAATGTATATATTGAATTGTTATGAATCACGTAATTAATAAATATATTTCTATGCATGCATTACAATAATAATTTTATACATGCATTGCAATTTCTAAGGTTTTATTATCAAAGAATATTATAACTACGCTTCGCGCATGTAATTATATTAGAATAAACTAAATAAAATGAGAAAAAAATATATAAATATAGATACATCTTTACAAAATAGTTCTCAAACAATACAATAGAAATTCGGAAATTAAAATTATGTATATAATAGAAATTCAATAAATTGAAATTATATTATATTATATAATGGAAATTCGGGAATTAAAATTATGTACATAATAGAAATTCGGGAATTAAAATTATGTACATAATAGAAATTCGGGAATTAAAATTATGCACATAATAGAAATTCGGCGAATTAAAATTATATACATAATAGAAATTCGGCGAATTAAAATTATGGTTAAATTCATAGCATCAAGTAACTGTCATCGCAAAATAAAAATTTGACTTTTGTAAAATAAATAATAGAAATAATATCAAAGGCGCGTGCAAAGCGTACTTGTGTAGTTTATTGTTTCAAAAGATTACTTATAATGCAAATACTATTTGATTAGGATTTCTATATTATATTAAGATTTAAAATATGTTTATATTTGATTCAGGTTTAGACTCTTAGACCTTGCAGTTATAACTAAGCAATTAAAGTAATTAAAATTTAAAAAATTATTTTCTTCAGCTTTTTTATAAGATGGTAAATTTTTATATTTTATAGTATTTTATCTCTGTAAGAAATAATCAGCAAATTAAATTTGGAAATAGAAAATACTTACAGTGACGATTAAAAATCCATGCACAGTGAACAATAAAGCAAAACAAAACAGAATTCCAAGCAACATCAAAGTAAACGTATCTTCAATAATTTTGATAGATCTGTAAAAAATGTTATTATACTGACATTATTTGATTTTACTCATTCTTTTATATAAATAGAAAATAAAAGTTATATAATTCTATAATTAATATATTATAAATATAAAAATGTGAAACGTGTTTTTCTCGTTTAAAAGTGATATAAAATACGTCTCCTATATAATTTTTGTTTTATAATCTTTCTTTAATCTACACGTAATAATTATTATTAGTTTTATAAGATTTTTCAATGACCAAGTTTTTCTTTATTTTCAAAATTCAACATACAACATATAACAAAACATAGATAGAACTTGAATTACTTATGTTTCATGAGGATAAAGACAAAATAACAAGACGAAGGGCGACATAAAACCTAATAAGACGTCTGTGATCCTGCACATTGTACGACAGGGTATTGTAGAAGTCATTCTGGTCGAGATGAAGGATACGCGTTTTGAGGTTTTCTAGTTGACCGCAGACGTGGAAAATCAGCAACCCTAGCAGATTGTCCGTACTGGTAAAGATAGCACCGGCTGATATCACACCGATACTCTGCAAAATTAACGTTATTTCGTAGGATGGACTCCTATTTGTATCGTATATGTAATACGTTGGCATCAGCAGCCAATGATCTGGATCACTCGTATTCGTCGCGTATGCAGGTGTTATGACACCGAACGTCGGTAGCAACATGGCGAAAATAAATGTGCACACAACCATGAAATATCCGCATATCGTGATTATGCGCGCGATTCGCGCTCGTTTTATCATAATATCCCTTTCTCTCTTCATCTTGAACTTTAACCAGTCCTCCTTGACCATTCTCAAGATAGGTGCGAGCTCTGCGATATTACTTTCGTTTGTATCATTATAAAGAAACTACTAGATTTTATACATTGTCATAAAAAATTATACTAAAAAACATTATAATTATAATCAGAGTTGAGCAGATATGTATTTTAAAGTACCTATCTGAGATATGTATTTAAGTATGTATCTTATTTAAATACAGTATATAAAGACCGAATAATAAAGTATTTTGAATTTTGTAATTGATTATTTAATATACATGTATATTTAAATGTATTTATGTAATTATACAGAGTGTTACAAAAGTACCGGAACAGCAGAATAACTCGAAAAATATGAGTCCTAGAAAAAATGCTAAGTATTGGGTTTTTATGATTTTTCCTGGCTATTTGAACGTCAAATTAGTATAACTAGTATTTAAATAAATTTCAAAACCAAAGTATTTCAATAGAAGTTAAATATATATGTCAAACAGTATCTGGTATTTAAATATTTTGTTTCAAAATATCTGTCCAACCCTGATTATAATTATAACTAAAAATATTATTATAAAAAGACTACTAGATTATATAAATTTTGACAGAAAAGAAATTATAATTAAAAAAACTATAATTATAATTGAAATAAAAATAATGTATTAATTGTAGACAAAATTAATATATGAGCAGATTTATCGTAATTTCTAATAATAGCGATAAATTATTTTTTTGCATAATTATACAAAATTACATTTACCTTTAGACTTGCGCCACAGGATACAAGTTTTAAGTATTACGACGAGAAACGGTAAAGTGTATTGCAGATTATCAACCATCAACATAAAATCGCCCCAGATCCTGATGAGCGCATGTATACTCGGGATGAGACAGCTACAAATCATCACGATTAATATCGAGATTATTCGTACATTGAATTTTCTCTGTTCAGTTTCGTTATTGTCTGGCCAGGCACCGAGCAATTTTAGACAAGCTCGATTTATGGCGATAGCCCATTCATAATCTGTTAAACGTGGTTGCAACTTTAGTTGAATGAGTTGAAACGAAACTCTTGAATTTTTGTGATGTTTATATAACATTAAAATAAAATTTAGCGTAGTGAATGATTGGTTTTGGAGATGATCTATTAAAATCATCTTAATATTATTTTGAAAATAGATGATCGAATAGATCATCTCCATGATTTACTATACCCATTTATTTTATAATAAAATATAATTTAAAATATTATTTATATGTTGTATTTGCTGGAATGCGTTATACATAAACATATGTATATGTATATAATATATATGTGCTTTAATAAAATAGTCTCGTAAAAAGTAGATGCACACCTATATTTCCCGAATGTATCGAAACATCCATTTCGATGGTTGCGAAGAGACTGACGAATTTCTTTTTGGAGGCAATTGTAGATACCTCTAATATTTCCATTGTCGGATGGTAAAAATAAAAGTTAGCAAAACTTTGGAATTTTATTCCACGGGTGCATATACCGTTCATGAATAGATAATGAAGAAAATAACAGGTAATGGAAACATGATGTTTGTAACCCTTCACAATTCACTCTTTTCTAATAAAAAAAAAGAGCAGCTTAAATGCGAATAAAAAGAACGAACATTATCAACGCAGGGCCGCATTTACAAACTATTAGTCTACAAACGAGAAATATAGTAACGAATAAAGAGAAATGAAATATTAAATTTAATTTTTATTACATCAATAATTTAGAGATAAGTAGCTATTTTTAAATTAATTTTTATTGCTTACCGCTGTCGCAAAATGACTTTCTTCGAAAAAATAAGGATTCTCCCGGAATGTTTTGAACTGAAAATTTCTAAAGCCGATCCTGCTGTATACTGCTTATAGATTTACTATTTCACGGAAACTACGAGACACGAGAAGAGTTATACAATTTCTTTTTTAACCTGATATTCATAACTTTAAAATAATTCTCTTGTGTCGTGAGCTTTTCTCCCCTTGCATTCTAATAAACTTACACAGTATAGACTATTGTGAACATGCTGTTAACGTTCAACACAACATACTACTATCAGTGCATTATTAATGGCGACTCTACACCATATCCTTACACAGAATAAATGAATGCAATTGTGTTTTGTCTGTACGTTGATACGTATCGTGTACTTTACATCAGTATCGCAATTATTTTTTGTGCTACATATAGGCTGGAATGCTTATGTTTATGACCTAATTTATCTCTGTTATGTATATATGTTTAGAAAAAAAAGGTTTATAATTTGGGGAAGTATATATTATATAAAATGTGTGCATGTAAGATTTCTTATATAACATATGTGACTTTTATATTTTTACCTTATCTTCATTTTTTTGAATAAGATTATATACATTTTATATATAAATAATCTTATATAAATTTACTCATTCTATAAATAAAAGTATTAGAATTAGCAAAAAATTAATAGTTTACGAAATATGCTATATTGTGATATATAAGATGTAATATCTTAAATCTATTCATCGATTTATCTGTCATACAAGATTTACTTACAGCGCACATAAACTCTATAAAATTATCAATTTTATAATACTTGGATTATTTTAAATCTTTTCTTACATATTTTGTAATTGTAGCAAAAATGTAAATCATATTACTTTTGTCATATACATGTACATCGTCTTTGTTGTAAAAATTCTCATACATCAAAAGATTAAATTAGTTTAATTAGTATAAATTTAATTAGCTACATAATTAATTTACAATAAATTAATTACATATTATTGTAATAACAAAAGCTTTGCACTAATAATGCAATTTTTGTTTATCGATAATAACACTATGATGTCGTATTGACTTTTTAGATGAACGTTTCTAATTTAATTACGATGTGCCAATAAGACCGATATATAACCGCCCGATGTTTTTAATAACTGCAATATAAAATATTTATATAAATATGTATATAGCATAATTTTAAAATGGAAATATGATTTCAAGTATTTAATCTTCGAAATTATTAAAAGATATTTTCTCTTTCCATTCGCATATTATTGATTGTTCCTTATTTATTTAAGATAATTGATTTGTAATATATATATATATATATATATCGATATATATTGTTTTTGCATTGTGAGCACAAAATAAACAAAATTTAAAGATATTTTATATACTTTGTAATAAAAAAATTTTATTATTTGTTTAGTGATCCATAATTTTCAACGAAACATCTTTAATATTTATTTTTTAGGCAAAATGGGCAAAATTTTTTATTATAATTTTTTAAAAATATTTAATTAATTTTTTGAAACTATTTTAGTCATTTTAAATCTTACGCTGCAAAACGTAGCCATCGTCATAGGAAAGAGCTTTCCTGCAGTAAGGTACAGCGGTTTCTTGGTCTGCCTCATTATAATCAGTAGATTCCTCGCCTGACTCGACTTCAGGTTGTACCACTTGTACTGGCAAACAGCCTCGTAAACTCCGTTCCACTTGATGGAGAGTGAAAAATCAATCAAAGCACTAATTCAAGTAATAATTTTATAAAATGTTGAAGTAAAGGTAACACACGAAATTAGATAATTTGATGTAAATAGTAAAATAATAATAATAATACTCACTTGTATAACTAAAATTCGCCTACCGCGCAATGAAGGAACATATGCGTGAACGTATTGATAAACGATATCAGAATGTAGATTAATCGGGCGATGGATAAATTGCGACCTTGTGTAATTATCTAAGCAATTTAGCAAAGATGAGTAAACATAATTAGAATTTTTTCAAATAAATGTGTCTAAATTGAAATTAAAAAATACATTTAATCGGATCGATTAAATTAAAATGAAGCTCTAACAAGCATTTCTCTTTAAAAATAGCTCTTCAAAGAGAATTTATTGAAATAAAAAGAATGGTCATACTTTTGTGAGAATTTTTCTTTTTGTATATTTATACTATTTTTTTATATTATTTAGGACAAAATGATAGAAGCTCGATGCGCAGAAAGTTAATCAGTTTTCTTAAATGATATAATTAAAGAAATAAATTATATATACAATTAGTTTCTTATTGCAGAAAAATACGCGTAAATATATAAGTTACAGAAAAAATACTTGCAGTAACAAATAAATATCCGTACAGAGCAAAGAGTATGCCGAAATAAATTAGTAGCCAAGCAGCATTAAAGTAAACGTGTCGTCAATTATTTTGATAGATCTGTAAAAAAAATGATAATAAACAATAAAATAGTAATAGATATTATATTTCGCTTTATACCTATCTTTTTTGTTTTTTGAAATATAAGTATCAAAAATTTATATAATTCAAAACTCGTGCAACTTTTTATAAAATTTATACAAGTAATAAATTAAATTATTACTGCGAAAAATTGTTTTAGAAGCTACAAATATGTTAAATAAATTTTCCGCCAATAAAATCTCTTGCCACTGATTTACGAATTCATTTCGATATGAGATGGATTCTTAAATTAAAAAAAGGAGAAAAGAAGATAAAATATTTAATTTTACAGTAAATTCTCGGGAAAAATTTTATATATAAATATATGTGAAATATGTCCATTTTTATAATTTATATATAAAAATTATAAGGGTTCATGTATAAACATGTCAAATTATATATGAAACATATATATTTACATATTACATGAAGAAATACTTATATATATATATATATATATATATATATATATATATATATATGAATTTATATAAATATATATAAACAAGCACTTTTATCTAATTATATATGGACACATTTCATATATAATTTTGCGATGATATGTATAATTTTATATATTTCTATATAATTTTATATCGTTATATATAAAAATTAGTTCACGGGTTAATGAATTTCTGTTTCTCTCTTGATATTATGTGTATGAGACCTCATAAGACGTGCATGATCTTGCACGTTGGCCGATAGGGAGTCCTCGAAGCGATGAAATTCCACATTTAGGATACGCGCTTTGAGATTCTCGAGCTGGCCGCATACGTGAAAGACTAGACCTCCCATGAAGGTGTCCGTATTGGTGTACGTAGTCGCGGTCGCCATCAAACTGAGGCCTTGCAGAAAAAAAGTGATCTCGTAAAGCGGACTCTCATTTGTGTTGTACATGTAATAAGTCTGCAGAGGCATTAATCGGCCCGGATCGGTAATATTCGTCAGGTATCTCAAGAATATACCGAAGCTGGGAAAGATCACAACCAGAATGTACGAGATGAAAATGACGAAGTATCCCCATTTCATTATCAGGCGTGCAGTTTGCGCGCGTCTTATCATAATTCTTTGTTCCTCCTCTGTTTTTGATCTCGTCCAGTCTTCTTTCACCATTTTTAAAACCTGTATCAAAACTATGTGAAATCAAGTGGAATTATGATGTCAGTTTTGCAATTAAATTAATATCATGAATATAATAAACATGAAAAATGATAAGAATTATATAGAAAAAAATAATACAAATATAAGAAAATAGATGTATGATATATTCTATAAAATTCTTTTCCTTTTTTTTTATAATTTTGATTGACAGAACCGAAAGGAGAAAAAATAACGGATTTATTTTGGGTATATATTTCAATTTTTTATTGTATATTTAAGTATTTTTATTAAAAAACGATCGTTATATATCACTCGCTTTTATTTATGAATATTATTTGAAGATTCACTGTTCATTTTAAGAGAGAAATTTTTGTTACTGTATAAAAATATAACTATCCCGGAAAAAGCACCTGCGTATTCCGAGTGTGCCGAGACATCCATACTAACGGATATAAGATAATTAGCTTCCTTCTTCTTGATACAATCGTATTTACCCGTATAAAAAAGTGTGAATTGTTGGCGTGTGCAAAAAATTTTGAAACTAAATTCACGTTCTACAGATGAATACAGGCAGAAATTAATAATGCAAATGTCTGCGAGCAAAAGATGCTTATAGCTCGATTGTTCACTCCAAGGAGGGTTGAATTGTTAGGGAAAATTAATCCCTCTGTGAACGAAACAGCTGCGAATTATCGATACAAAGGACCGCATTTACTTATCAAATATATTTCACAAATAGGAAAATTACGTAGGATTCACTCGAATCACGTGTTCATATTACACATTGCACATGTAGGTGTGTGCGTGTGTCAAAGAATTTAAAAAAAAAAAAAAAAAAAATATATATATATATATATATATATATATATATATATAATAAACATTTTGATAAAAATATATAATAGACACAATACAAAGATTGAATAAAATTTTAGTTTAATATCTCATAATTGTGTAGAGTGAATTCTTTGAAAAAGATACTTTCCACGTCTCTCTTTTTGTTACTTGATCAGTCTAGTAATTTTTAAACCGTCCCTGTATAGCGCAATTATTGATTAACTAAAAGACGTAGAAGTTATTATTGAAATATTCAACTTTTATATTATCGCTCTTTCAGAAATATTTCCCTTTTATAACAGTCTTATAAAGTTTGTGAAGAAAATTATATACTAGCACGACACATCTGAGCATGCAACACGAAACACTCACCAGCTCAACTTCTATCACCACAATTAGACTATAGCATTTTGGTATATATAATCTATTAAAAGAAAATAAATTTTTATAACATTGCATATTATTAATTATTATATATAATAGATGTGCGACAAAGTAATTAATGACTACACATAATTTTAAAGATTTTATAATTTATTATATGTATATATATATTAAAATATAGAAATTAATTTTGATAGCATAGAGATGATTTTTATTTAGCGTTGCAATTATTTACATAACATAGTTTGCGAGATTAATTATTTGGAATTAATGTAAGTAAATAAAAGTGAAGCATGATTATAAATGTTAGGTAATTATATAATACGTTCAATTTTGTAATTTTATGAGTAGGTATTTATTTAAATAGACAATATTTGACATATATAATTTGCAAATCTTTATTTTTATAGAATATGTATCTTTGATAAAAGAGAATATATGTATATATAATATTAATAATATAACAATATATTAATTAATATTAATAATATATTTATTAATTATTTTGTATATACTGGAATGGGCATCAATGCAACAATATATATACATTATATATAAATATATATATATATCTATATCTATATATAATCATGTAAATTAATTAATTTTTATTAATGACATAATTTTTAATATAATTTTTAACATATTATATAGTATTAAAAATTATTATGATACACATATGATACAAATGTAGTTTACAGATTTTTTCTTAAAATTTATCATTTCTCAATATTATTCGGGAATATCAGTCATCTTCAAAACATCGTATTTAAAACAAAAATTAATAAAAATGGAAAACCTTTACCCTTTAATAATATCGCGCAAATATTCGAGATTTTTGTTTATGCTGGTATGAACATCCGAACCTTCACTGCATGAAATACCGTAAGTAGCCAAGCCGACGAGTTTGCCTTCATAAATTAAAGGACTGCCACTGTCACCCTAGAGATAATATTTAAAATTATATTAAAAAAATCAACAAATGTTAAATATCGATATTTTCACTTTTGCTAAAGTTTGGTATACATTAAATTTGCGAATGATTCTTATTTTACACCTTAAGTTAAGTCTTTTTTATAATTTAATATTTTATCATTATTAATATTTATTATTAATTATATTATTATTTTAGATAGCAATTAATACAAATTTCGCTAATTAAAAAAATAGAAATGTCTATGTAAAAATTTCTTTTTATGCAAGTTTATACGCGTGATTTGTTCGATCTTTATCGATATTGACAACAATATCGATTTGAAGAAAACGATATATTTACAAGACGCGATCAAATTTCGCAAAATAACAATGTAAAATATATATAAATTTTTTTTACTCTCTTCTCTGACGATATGTTTCGCGCTGCAATAATTCGCCTTACCTTGCATAATCCGCCTTCCGGTTCCGCTCGAGTGCAGAATTCAGAGTTGCTGAGCTGCTTCTTGTGGAACGGCTGGCAAACTTCAGACTTATCGTATCCAAAGTGACTTTCTTGAGATGCGCGGTTTTTCCTCCTTCATGATCAGCCACCATCCATCCAACCAATTCCAATTTTGCGCCAAGCGGAACTTCCGTTTCAGACAGTTGAATCGGTTGTACTTTTTCTCCGAAATTAAGTGGTTCCAAGAGCTGGAAGATCATTTGATTAATTTTTTTATGATGATCCGTGATATATATCGTGAAACATTTGTAAGATATTTAAACATTTTTTAAATCTACACAAAGAGAATTTATCCTGAAAATCATGGGATAATATGATATTAAAAGGAGTTTTTCTGATTAAATTTTTACTTTAATAAAAAATTTTAATTTCTAATTAAACATTTTTTAATCTACAAGCGGACTTAGAATTCCGAAAATTGTTTTATATTTTTCAATATTTTATACGTCTAAGTAATTTATTAATTAAAAAAAAGTTTCTTAATATGAAATATTTAGTAATAAAATAAATATGTTAAATATCATATATAATATTATAATATATAATATTATATATGATATTTAACATTATTTAATAATATAATATTATATGTTAAATATCACATATAATATCAAAACAATAATCATTAATTAGTGCGAAAATTAATTAAGCTATATAAATATATAAATATATATATATATATTTGAATGATAAAAATACAAGTAAATCAATTAAAGAGAGCGTGAATGCATACCCTAAGCACACCGAGACCGCTCGTGACGGGATTCTCAAGCGGATTTGTGTAATGATTTTGCGAGAACATTTCCTTTACGAAGATACGTGTGCCGCCGGGTTTGAGGCTGCTCGTACCGCTGACCACGACTATGTCGTTCATGACGTTCCAAATATGTTCGAACGACGGTACGCATCGATCTGACGTGACGACGTGATATTGATCGAGTATCGCGCCGGAACAGACGTGTCTGCCGTTCTTTCTAATTGATACGAGATACGGATACTCGCTGATGTCGACATCGCCGTCTCGAGCTTCCTCAGCACTGATACCTGGTGCGAATATTAATTCATTAGTTTTCTCTCTCATCGTCAAGATCGAGATTATTATTAAGCAAAATTTTGTTTTATACCCGATACGAATTATTTAATTTTGGCTCTTTTTTATAATTTTTTTAAGTCAGTATGACTTTTTAAATTAATTTTATTTTAATTTTATTTAATTTTAATTTTAATTTTAATATTATTTAATTATTAATATAATTATATTAATATAATGTAATATATTAATTATAAAAATATAATATAATTATTATTATTTAATTTTAATTTTAATAATTTCTTTTTGAGTAAATATGAATTTTGAATATAATTTTTGTCTTAAAATTTATTGTCATATTACAGTCCAAAAAACATAAGAAAGCGTCTTTTTGCTGAATACGATTTTGACTTCCAAATTACACAATATTTTGTGGAAATTTACGATTAACATTGTAAAAATGAGTAATTTTGTTAAGCTATAATTTTTTATTTAAAATATAGTATTATTTAAAAATATAATATATATTTAAGAAGATAGAAATATAGTATATCGATAATAAATATAACTTACTAGCGACGACGAAAATCAGAATCCACGTGAATCGTAACATTGCGAATATTCCGTATGCGTAAACGTAGTCTGAACAGAATTTCGAAGATCCAACGCTACACTTTCACCACTGTTTATATATATACGATCGAGTGTATTTACGCAGTTGTGATTATAATTATTAATGATTAATTATTTACACAATTTGGCAAGAAAAGCACAATATGTACGTCGTTAAGAGTACAAATGATAACGCGACAGTTTTTTTTATTTCGGAGATAATTCATGAGAGATGATTCTTGCGTGTAATATAAGATCATAAATTTTAAATATGGTTTTGATATCACAATAAATGTTATTTCGAGTACGAGATATGATTTCAAAAGTCGAGAAAAGCAATTTATATTATATTATATATTATATTAATAAAAAAAGAAATTATTAATATAAAAACGTTGGTCATATATATATAAAAAATAATAATTTATGTATAGTAGATATTTATTATTTTAAATATCTGTTGTTTTAACTAAAATTAATATAATAATAATTAATAATTCATTATATAATAATTTTTACTCGTATATTTTTTAATTTACATTTTGCATTTGTTCTAATTATTAATATAGAATAAATATTTACATAATCCTTTTTATTCAAAAAATTGCAAAATAATTGTGGCGAAGAAAATGAGAATAACGAAGAAATTGGCGAGATAACGCGGTATTTACATAAATTTTAATCTTGACAACTTATTAGGAATAACACCATTCGATGAGTAAGTGACTGATGTGTCTGACGTGTCAATACGCAAATACGTTAATTGCATAGGACATTATGATGATCGATACGAAATCCGATAAGCTGTTTACGATCTGTGACATTGATTCTCATCAGAGCCGCGATAAAGTTTCCAGCATTTTATATAAGCGATTCTCCAGCTGTTCGCGGATATAAAAGATGAATATAGTTCAAGGAAATTTATATAATTGTCTAGAAAAACCAATCATCGAGACATAATCAATTTCTCTTACATATTGGTAGTTAATTTAGAGATTAATAAATTCAAAATATTCAAAACTACTGTCATATTCCGCATTTTTGAAGTATTCATAATTCAAATGTTAGCTAAAAATTGATTAATTGATAAAATAATATTAATATACATATACTTCTGGCTTTTACTGGCCTCCGTCTCTCTATCATCTCTTTATCAATGTCACTAATTCTTTTATACGTCCGGATTTATACATCCGTTTTTATGTGGCAAATGACACTTGCTATAAGCTTCTTTAAATATTCTGAGCACCTCCTTTTTATATCTCTTCGGCGGAAAACGATGTAACAAGTATATGTGAAAAAATTGGCTTTAATAACAGGAGGGTGATCGTCCTGATCGCACGCAGGAGTAAGTACAATACATGTAAATAATACTTGTACACGTATACATATCCAGTTCTTACCTTAGGCTTTTTAAATATTTTACGCAACTCTCCCTTATATCTCTTCAAGGGAAAAACGAGCGCGTTTGAATAAAAACGATATGTTGTTCTGATCGTAAGAACGAATATAACACATACACATACTCACGCATTTTATAATTGATCTGGAATATATACGTTCCATTTAATAGGGGCTGGTTTTTTTCACAACCACTGTTATTCCATAGCTATTTCCATAGCTTCATTTCTTACTGTAGTAATGGAAATTATGTCACTAGCACAATTTTTGATCTCGCTTATATTATAGCATTATATATTTGTGATATGTGTTTTCAATTATTTTAATTTAATTATTCGATATTTGCATACGTCAATAAAGTGAAATATTTGTAAAAATACCGTATATATAAAGTTTCTTCCATACATATTAATATTATTAACATATACATATATTTTTTTCTCAATTACATTTAATATGCTATACATTCATAATATATATGTAATATCTAATTTTTCTTTATATATATATATATATATATATTCTTTTTATAAATTTTTTAAAAAATATTTCTTCGAATTTTTTTACATGAAAAAAGACTTGTAAAAGTCAAACATTATATTTGTATTTCTTATTCTATCGAATTAATGCCTCGTTGTAAGCAAGACAGATACGTAACCAGCTGACGTTTTTATCAACTGAAAAATATTTATTGTAAATAATGTAGAAAATAAAATGTAAATATAAACGTAAGACAAACATTAAAAAAGAAATTAAATAATGTTAAAATTATAATTGAATTTTAAAAATAACTTACGTTTGAAAATGTAGCCATCGTCATAGGAAACATTTTACCAGCGGTAAGATAAATAGGTTCATTGGTTCTAATTAATATAAAAATCATATTCCGCGCATCTTTTGGTTCCAAAAAATACCATTTATTGGAATATGCTGCATAATGAATTCTATTACACTTGAATTAATTGAAAATGTATTGTCAGTATTAATTATTATGAATCAACATGATTTAAAAAAAATGCTTTAGTATATAAAAACGTTAATAATTATAAAATTTATGGATAGCTTTGTAATATTACAATAAACAAATATATAGATTTTATATAACATTAATCACTTAGACTTTTAAAAATTTATATATTTAAAATATTTCTATATTGCATATAAAATATAAAAAAATGTTCTATATTATTTTTTATAAATGTAAATTTTAAAATAAGAATATATTTTTTCAATATTTCACTATATATTTGTTATTAAATTGATAATTTTACAATTAATACTCTTTAAAATTACAATAATATGGGAGAAAAATATAAATTGCATAGATTAAAATTTAAAATATTTATCTTTTACCTGTGATACTAAAATTTCACCCACAGCACAATAAGCGCACATATGACCGGAAATAGTGATAACAAAAAGTAAGCGATATAACATACCAGAAAACGATAAATTATTCTCATCTTCGAAAATCTGTACATACATATATTTGTATAAGAATATTATTATAACAGGCATAAAGTGTTAAACTCTACATTATAAAGTTATCAATAATGTATGTGTATATAAACATTACATATGTATATATATGTATAATTAATGTTATATTTTAATTAATTTTTGTAATTAAGTTTTGTGAAAACTCAAGTAAAGCTTTGTTTTACTGAACTTTAATTAAACGTCATTTTATTTTATATTATTAATAAAAAAATTTTAATATATAATATTATATTTTGGATATATCTTAACAAAATCTTTTACATTTTTCTTACTTTTTTTAGAATATTAATATTTTAGTACAAAGGAATAATTTTTTCGATTATATTTAATACAAAATTTGTAGTAAAAAATGTTAACCGATAAAAATCTATATATGAAAGTAGGAATATCTGTGCACATGAAATGTTTTAAATAAAAAGTGCAATGCAATATTTTATATTTTATGTTTTAAATAAGAAGCGCAATGCAATATTTAAAAAATTATCATAAACAGTTTACTTACACTAACAATTAAAAATCCATAAAAAGCGAAAATAATAGCGAAATACAGCAATAATGCAAGCAGCATTAGATTATAAGTGTCTTCTATAATGGCTATAGCTCTATAAAATAAATATATATACATTATACAATTTTTTATATTACTGTATATAACATTTAGTCATACTTGCACTTACATCGTTTCATATCTGCATATAATTTTATTAGAAATTTTTATTTAATAAAATAATAAAAATTTTATTAAATAAAAATGCGTGCACGACACATATGTGATGAATGACAGCGTGATTACCTGATTATTCTTGTGTGATCCGCCACGCAGCTCTTTAAAACATGAGCGTAATTCGTGAATTGATCTAGATGCGTGATGCGATTCTTCAGGATATCTAGTTGACCACAGACATGAAATACCAAAAGATTAAGAAAATTATCTATGCCTGTGTTAGGCAAAACAGTAAAGAACATGGAGATAGTTTGAGATATAAACGTTAATTCGTATTGCGGACTTTTACTCGTATCGTATATATAATACAATGTCTGAAATGGCAATTGTTTCTCTGAATTAGTATCGTTCGTTACAGATGACATGGAAATGCCGCAAATGGGCATTAATATTGCAATAATGAAAGATGTTCCCATCATGCTATACATGAACTTTGCGATTGTACGAGCAGTTTGCGCTCGTGTAATCATTTTCATTCTTTCCCAAGAAGTTTTTTCTTTTATCCAATCGTCAGCAATCATATCCATCAAAGATGACAGAGCTTTAACAATGAGCAAATATAATATATAAGAAATATAATATAAATAAAAGAATTAACATAAATGGTATATTAATATAAGAAAGAAAAAGTAGAGAAAGAAGAGATAATATTAGAACATTTATTGACAATAGTTATAATATTAATAAATTTATTAAAAATTGAATCAAAGAGATTGAGTTTAATTTATAAAATATCATGAAAAATTTAATTCTATTTATAAAAATGCAGCTTTTACACAAATTTGCCATTTATACACACTTTAATATATACATACATAAAATTTAGTATTTGTTAAAAAATGAAATATAAAATACAAAAATACTTTGAATATTTTATAAAATCAAATATTTTATAAAAGAAAAAAATAGCGTTTATAAATAATATTCTTTTCAAATTTATTATTGATGAAAAAATAACTATTTTTCTTCAAAATTTTTTTATAGGCCAACCTTCTTTCTTCCACCAAAAAATCGCAATTCTTAGTGTGGCTGTAAAGATTGGCAATGTATATTGTAAATTTTCAATCATTAGTGTAACATTTCCATGAGCTCTTATCAGAAAATGTACGGCAGGAATCAAAATAACAATTAATGTCGTGAAAACGAGAAGCGTACGTATATTACACATATACTTTTCCCATGTAGTTTGCTTGCTCACAGGCCAAAGTCCGACAGGTGTCAGAGTATATCGATTCAATTCTACTGCCCAATCGAAATCTACCTATTCCAAAAAACTTGCATGAGCTAAATTATTTTTAATTTTAAAGAAAAAATTTAAACATTTTTTAATTATATTATAACACGAAGATTCAAACAAGTAGATATATTCAATAATATTTTTTTTTTTCATTCTACACAGAGCGCGATTATAAAAAAATGATTGTTATCGAAACATAAAATGTAAAATTAACACTTTTCCATTAATCGTGTAATATGTTCCAAACAATAATTTTCGTCAAGATTAGTTTCAAGTGTGACTTGAACAATAATGATAACACCTTGGTATTCCGTATTCTTCGAAGTGTTCATGTTGCGTGTTTTCAAGTTACCAATAGACTGGCCTCTGTCTCTTTAGCGTGGAATAACGTCACCTCCTATTAAAAATACGCATGCGTCTCTTTTACACGTTCGGGTTTGTACACATTTTTTATCGCATCTAGTAAGCGATACTTATCCTAAACTTTGTTAAATATTCCATGCATTCCTCTTTTACATCTCTTCGTTCAGAAACGATGTATCAATTATGCGTGAAGAAAAGACGGGTAGACAGATATCAAATATGCGCGAAGAAAAAAATTGTTATAGAGGTATCAAATGTGCGTGAAGAAAAAATGGGTATACAGATAATGACAGGTTGATGATCGCACTCAGCAGCGAGTAAAATACATGTAAATAACACAGGTATACACGGTACTTACCACAAGCTTCTTTACATATTTCGAACACCCTTCGTTTATGTCTCTTCGGTGAATAAAAATGTCGATATCAGTCGTCCTGATCGTAAGTAAGTATGTAATACATGTACATATATATACACGGTATGTACTCATTATTTTCTCACGTATTTCCTAACTGACAATGAGTTGGAATATATACATCTTCGACTTTGAAGAGGGTCGTTTTATAATTCCGTTTATAATTACTACCTCATAGCTTCGTACTCTTCTATAGTGATAGAAATCAGGTCACTAGCACAATTCTTCTGGAAATCTTGCTCACATTATATCTTTATACATTATTTGCATATATATTTTATTATTCTATTATCTATAAACTTATTCTGTATAACGCAAAAAAATACCTTTTTTATACTTCAACAAATTAATAAATTTTTAGAAGGTTTTTTCTTCATATACCTTAATAATATTAATATATAAATGAATAAAATAAGTTAATCAATAAATTTTAAACTACATTTAAATATATATATATTTATTTGTAATATATACTTTCCTGCAAATTTTTACATAGAGTTAAGAATTTTTATAGACAATTAACATTTTTTTCATAAAAAGACTCTTCTAAAATTAGACATTATTGATATTTATTAAATTCTCGAATTAATGTCTTGCAGTGAGCAAGACAGATATGTAACCGGCTGACGTTTTTATCAACTGAAAAATATTTATTGCAAATAATTTAAAAAATAAAACATAATGTTAACATAAAACAAGCATTAAAAAGAAATTGCATTACGTATTAATACGTATGTTTATACATATATATGTATATGTAAATATATAAGTACCACTTATAAAAAATAATTCTAAAGAAAATTGGCTTATAATACTATAAAAATATATGACTTAAGAAAAAGAAAATAAATATTGTTATAAGTTATAATTGAGTTTCGGAATAACTTACATTGGAGAATGTAGCCATTGTCATAGGAAACATTTTACCAGCTGTAAGATAAATAGGCTCATTGGTTCTAATTAATATAGAAATTAAATTCCGTGCATCTTTCGGCTTTACAGTGTACCATTTATTAGAATACGCTGCATAATGAATCCCATTACACTTAAATTCAATAAAATAGATAAGCTTAGATTAAGAATAATCAACATATATTTCTTTAAAATTATTTTAATATTAGAAAACTTTAGTATTTGTAAAATTTACGTATAACTTTATATATATATATAATATACAAATATATAAACTTTATACAATATTAACCTAAACTTAAAATAAAAATTTATATACATTACAAATATATATTTCTACATTTGCACATAAAATATGAAATATTTTCTACTATTTTTGAAACGTAAATTTTAAAATAAAAATATTTTTTATTTTAATACTTCTTTAAATACTTTACTATACAATTTGTTATTTAATTAATATTCTCATAATTAATATTCTTTAAAAATTAGAATAATATGTGAGAAAAGTACACAAATCGCATAGAATTAAAATATTTTCAACCCTTACCTGCGATACTAAAATATCACCCACAACACAATAAGCGCACATATGACCAGAAATAGTGAGCATGACAAGTACACGAAACATCAGTTGAAAAATCGATAAATTAGTCTCATCTTCGAGAATCTATATATAAATATATATATGTGTGCACATATGTTTGTATAGAAAATATTATAAACATATTATAATAATAATTCTACATTATAAAGTTTTCAATATTCTAATGTTATTTGTATAATCATTATTATAAACAATGTTATATTTTTACATTTTTTACGTTTACTGTAATTTTGAGTATTATTATATAAAGCTTCATTTTACTAAATTTTAATTAAACGTCATTTTATTTTATATTATTAATAAAAAAAATTGAATATGCTCTATTATACTTTAGATATAATTTGACCAAATTTTTCTAATACTTCTTGCTTATATAGATTTATATTTTAGTATAAAGATGTTATTTTCAGATTATAATAGTGCAACATTTGTAATAAAGACAAACATTTTTAAACGATAATATTCCGTACACGAAATACTAGGAATGTATATGTATATGCATGAGAAATGTTTTATATAAAAGCAATAATGCAGTATATTTTCTATGTTGAAAGTTTTCATAAACGCTTTACTTACACTAAGAATTAAAAATCCATAAAAAGCGAAAATAATACCGAAAGATAGTAATAATGCAAGCAACATTAGATTATAAGCGTCTTCTATAACAGTTATAGCTCTATAAAGTAATGATTTATATGTGTTATAAAATTATTTATTTATTTATTTATTATTATCTAGTATATGACATATAGTCATATTTGCACTTATATCGTTTTATATCTGCATACTTGTTTCACAAATAAAAATGTGTCTACGTTACATAATAAATGCAAGCGTGATTACCTGATTATCCTGATGTGATCGATCACGCAGTTTTTTAAAGTATGAGCGTAATTCGTGAATTGATCTAGATGCGTGATACGATTTTTCAGGATATCTAGTTGACCGCAGATATGAAATACCAAAAGATTAAGAAAATTATCTATGCCCATGTTAGTAACAATGCCGAAGAGTGTGGAGATAGTTTGAGATAGGAACGTTAATTCGTATTGCGGACTTTTATTTGTATCATATGTATAATACAATGTCTGAAATGGCAACTGTTTCTCTGAATTAGTACCGTTCGTTACATACATTGAAATGCCGCAAATGGGCATAATCATTGCAATGAAAAAAGATGTTCCCATCATGCTATACAGGAACGTGGCTATTGTACGAGCAGTTTGCGCTCTTGTAATCATTTTTATTCTTTCCCAAGAAGTTTTTTCTTTTATCCAATCGTCAGCAATCATATCCATCACAGATGACAGAGCTTTAACAATGAGCAAATATAATATATGAGAAAATATAATATAAATAAAAGAATTAACATAAACGGTATATTAATATAAGAAAGAAAAAAGTAGAGAAAAAAGAGATAATATTAAAATACATTTATTGACAATAGTTATAATATTAATAAATTTATTAAAAATTGAATCAAAGAGATTGAGTTTAATTTATAAAATATTATGAAAAATTTAATTCTATTTATAAAAATGCAGCTTTTACACAAATTTGCAATTTATACACACTTTAATATATACACATATAAAATTTAGTATTTGTTAAAAAATGAAATATAAAGTACAAAAATACTTTGAATATTTATATAAAATCAAATATTTAAATAATAATATAATATAAATATAATATAATATAAATCAGAGATTTAACATAAATTGTATTAACATAAGAAAGAAAAAAGTAGAGAAAGAGAGAGAAAATATTAATATTGATAAATATATATCAAAGTTATATTAATAAATTTATTAAAAATGGTATTCATGAAGTACGATTAATAAAAAAAATTATCTTATCAAAACGCTTTTACATTTTAAGTTTATACATATATACTCTAATACGTACTTGTATAAAATTAATGTATATTTAGAAATCAAATCAAATATATACAGAAACATTCTAAATATTTTCAAAAATCACATATATCTTACAAAAGTAATAATATTTAGTAATGGTCTCAATAGATGTAATAATTTCAATATAGTCTGTGTTTTTTAAATTTATGATTGTGATGATAAAATTATTATTCTTTGAAGCTTTTTTAATGGCCAACCTTCTTTATTCCACCAGAAAATTATAATTCTTAATGCGGCGGTGAAGAATGGTAAAGTATATTGTAAATTTTCTATTATTAGTGTAACGTCTCCATGAGCTCTTATCAGAAAATGTACGGTAGGAATCAAAATAACAATTATTGACATGAATGCGAGAATAGTACGTATATTACACATATACTTTTCCCATGTAGTTTGTTTGCTCACAGGCCAAAGTCCGATCGGTTTCAGAGTATATCGATTCAACTTTACTGCCCACTCGAAATCTACCTATTCCAAAAAAGCTTCCATGAGCTAAATTATTTTTAATTATAAAGAAAGAATTAAAAAAAGTTTTTAAATATATTTTAAAACATAAAGTTTCAAACAAATCTAGATGTTCCATAATACATTTTTTAATTCTACACAGAGCGCGTTTATAAAAAGAATGACTTATGGAAAAAATGTAAAATGTAAAATTAACACTTTTTCATTTATCAGTTTTCATTGTTTTATTATTTAAAATAGGAACGATATATTTAATTCGACCTAAACTAGCCAAGAAAATTTTTATTTTCTTTCCACAACGTTTCGATTATCTGTTTTTGGTCCTTTTCAAGTGAAAAACTAGAATGGTACAGTTAATTAAAATTAATAAACATTTTTGATGTTAAATGCAAGAAAAGTTCTTTCAAAGTTATTTCAAATGTTTTTAAAAAAATCCGATAATCATATTGTTTAATAATCATAACAACAGTGTCAACTAACTGCGCTTTTATCAAGGAAGTATGTAAAAAATTTTTAATTCTTGCGTTTAACATCAAAAATGTTTATTAATTTTAATTCATTGTACCATTCTAGTTTTTCACTTGAAAAGGACCAAAAACAGATGGTCGAAACGTTGTAGAAATAAAATAAAAATTTTCTTGGCTAGTTTGGGTCGAATTAAATATATCGTTCCTATTTTAAACACCACTAGCGACGTTTTAAGTATTCAATTTGATTTTATTATTTAATTATGATTTTTCTGCAGAATTGAATTACTTCCAAGCACGCGATAAAAATTCAAGAATACTTTGAGCGGTATAGAATATTATTTTTTTTCTAAAACTGAGCATCGCGTTATGTTTTAAACAAGAATGTCAAGGCTATAGTTTCAAATGTAACTTCAACGATAATAATGACACCTTGATACTCCGTATTCTTTGAAGTTTTCATGTTACGTGTTATTCATAGACTGGCCTTTGCCTCTTCATCGTGGAATAACGTCACTTTCTATTTGACAATACGCATGCGTGTCTCTTTTATATGCCGGGTTGTACACATTTTTTATCGCTGGTGAACGATACTTATCCCCTAAACGTTTTTAAATATTCCACGCATCCCTCTGTTACATCTCTTCGGGGAAAAACGATGTATCAATTATGCGTGAAGAAAAAAAGGGTTATAGAGGAATGAAACATGTGCGAGGAAAAATGGATATAGAGATAATAACAGGTTAATGATCGCACTCAGGAACGAGTAAAATGCATGTAAATATCACATGTAGACACGATACTTACCATAAGCTTCTTTACATATTTCGAACACCCTTCGTTTATGTCTCTTCGGTGAATAAAAATGTCGATATTAATCGTCCTGATCGTAAAAGCGAATATAACACTTTGTACATATGTATACGAACACACAGTATATGATATCCTGTTATATTCTCATGCATTTTGCTGGAATATATATGTCTTCGACTTTGCAAGGGTTGGTAAAAACCGTAGAATTTATTATTAGAAGAGATATATCTTTAATATTTCAACAAAGTGATATATTTGTAAACTTTCTTTCATACACATCAATAACATCAATATACTATAAATAAATATATATTTCAGGCTACATTTAATAAATTATATACAATATATATATAATATAAATTATTTTATTTATATAATATATATTATATATTTTCTTAAAAATTTTTATATAGGGTATATTAGAATTTTTTTCATAAAAAGACCATCTCTTGTAAAGTTGGACATTATTTGTATATATTATTTTCTTGAATTAAGTTCTTGTCGTGAGCAAGACAGATACGTAACCGGCTGACGTTTTTATCAACTGTAAAGTATATGTTGTAAAAAATGTGCCAAATGTAAAAAAAAAATGTATTACGTTAGCATTATAGTTAGAGTAAGAATTTTAGAATATCTTACACTAGAAAATGTAGCCATCGTCATAGGAAACATTTTTCCAGCGGTCAGACAAATAGGCTCATTGGTTCTAATTAACAGAAAAATTATATTCCGCGCATCTTTTGGATTCAGAGTATACCATTTATTAGAATATGCAGCATAATGGATTCGATTGCACTTGAATTCAATAAAAATATATCAGCTTTGATTAAGAAGAATCAACATATATTTCTTTAAAAATTATTTTAATATATAGAAAACTTTAGTATTTGTAAAATTTTCGCTTTATAATATAAAAGAAAACATATCGACTTTACATGATATTTGCTAAAATTGTTTAAATTATTAAAAGTTTGTATATATCTCAAATATTTCTACATTTGCCAAATGTATAAAGATTTTTTTATTATTTTTTATAAACGTACATTTTTAATATGAATATGTAGTGCTTTACTATTATTTTATTATCAAATATTTGTAATTGATTTGTCTCTTTAAAAATGATAACAATAATTATGCGAGGAAAGTAAAAATTATAAAACGCATCGAATTGTGGAAAAACTTTCAATCCTTACCTGTGATATTAAAATTTCTCCCACAGCACAATAAGCACACATATGACCCGACATAGTGACAACAAAAGTTATAATGTACAGAAGCCGAGAAATCGATAAAGAATTATCATCGTTGAGAATCTGTAGGTACATATACATATATTTGTACATAAATATTATTGTAATAAGCATAAAATTTTAAAATTAAAAAATTTTAACACAATTGCATTATATTGACATTATTAAAAAAAGTTATATTATTACTTTTGGAGTCGTATTTTTGGAGCATTATCAAATAAAGCTTTATTTTACCGACAACAAATGTTATTTTATTTTGCATTATTTATAGCAAAATTTTTAATACTGACAATGAGTAATAACTAAATATAATTTTATCAATTTTTTCAAATTTTTTTGCTTCTAAATTATTAATATTTTGGTACAAAAATGTCATTTTCATATTCTATTAATGCGCATTATTATATTTTAGTAATATATATAAAACATTTTTGAAATAATATTTATGCATATGGGATTATTTTGAAACGAATAATATGTATAATGCAATATTTAGTATGTCAAAAATTTTCATAAACGTTTCACTTACATTAAGAATAAAAAATCCATAAAAAGCAAAAAGAATACCGAAATACAACAATAATGCAAGTAGCATTAGATTAAAGGTGTCTTCTACAATGCCGATAGCTCTATATAAAGTAATAAATTTTTTGTCACTAATTAGTGCGATATTTAATCATTTTTATATACATTTATATAGTTTTATATCTGTGATTACCTGATTATTCTTGTGTGGTCCATCACGCAACTTTTTAAAGCTTTCGTATAATTGCCGAACTTATCGAGATGCATGATATGATATTTTAGAATATCCAATTGACCACAAATATGAAATACTAACAAACTGAGAAAATTATCTATGCCTGTGTAAGGTAAAACGCCTACGATCATGGAGATAGTTTGAATAATGAACGTGAATTCGTATTGCGGACTTTTAGTAGTATCATATACATAATACAATGTTTGTAGTGGCAATTGCTTGCCAGTATTGTTTGCTTCGTATCTCAGTGAAAAGCCACAAAGAGGTAAACATATTGCAACGATGAAAGACATTCCCATCATGCCGTACATAATTGTTATGATTGTACGCGCAGTTTGCGCTCTTGTTATCATTATAATTTTTTCCCAAGGTGCTTTAGGTTTTATCCAATCTTCCGCGATCATATCCATCAAAGATGACAGAGCTTTAACAGTTTGAGAAAATATCATACAAATAAAAAATTAAATGTTGATGTGTAAGAAAGAAAGAATATTAGTACGTAAAAAATTGCAAGTTATATTAATATCAAAAATTCTATAGAAATCGAATCTAAAAAAATTTAATTTTAATCATAAGCAACTTTTACGCAAGATTTAAGTAGATATACATTCATATGCACTTCTATAAAAATTGTAAGTTAATTTTAATATAAAAAACATTTGATTTGTATACAAGTTTATTTATACAGTTATTTTTATATAATATGTACTATTTTACTTTTAAATTGATTCACTGATGAGAAAATTTTGATGCTTTTTCAAAATTTGAAATAGCCAACCTTTTTTCTTCCACCAAAAAATTGCAATTCTCAGCATGACAGCGATGGTCGGTATTGTAAATTGTAAATTGTCTATCATCGATATAATATCTCCATGAATTCTTATCAAGGAATGTATGGCAGGGATTAAAATAACAAACAGCACTAATATAAACGTGATAAACGTGCGTAAGTTGCACGTATATTTTTTCCACGTAGTTTGCTTGCTTTCAGGCCAAAGTCCGACCGGCGTTAGAATATATCGATTCAACTTTACTGCCCATTTGAAATCAAAATCTATCTATTCCAAGAAAATTTTATGTGCTAAATTATTCCTAATTTCAGAAGAAAAGAAATTTAAACTTTTCATTTTATACTATATATGTATAGAACAAGGATTCACATTTTTTTAAAAATAATAATACACAAAGAGTACAATTTAAAAAAAGCACTTGTAGAAACATAAAAATTTATAAATAACACTTGTTGATTCATTTATTGTTATTCTTTATTCACGTAAATTTTGCTAGAAAAATTTTTCGCCGAACTGAATTACTTTCAAATATATATTTTAAACATAAAAATTTATAAATAACACTTCTTGATTCATTTATTGTTATTCTTTATTCACGTAAATTTTGCTAGAAAAATTTTTCGCCGAACTGAATTACTTTCAAATATATATTTTAAACATTGCAGAAAAATTTTGACATTTAGCGAACACCAGATTTTTGTTCAACTTGTTCTAAAACTGCGCGTCGCGTATATTAAAGAAGAATGCATTTTCGTCGAGACTAGTTTGAAGACTGACTTGAACGATAACGACAGCACCTTGATATCTCGCGTTATTTGACGTTTTCATGTTGCGATCTGTCCAGAAACTGAGCTCCGTCTCTCTATCGTGGAATAACGTCACCTCCTACTCGACAATGTGCATGCGCGCGTTTCTTTTATATCTCCGGATATATATATTTTTTTTCTCATCTGGTGAACGATAAAAAATGATGCTATAAGCTTCTTTAAATATTCCGAGCCCTCTTTTGTCTCTTCGCGAGAAACCATTTATCAATTATGCGTGGAGGAAAACGTGGTAATAACAGGTGGCTGATCGTTCTGATCGCACACAAGAACGAGTATAACACGTAAATAACACACGTGCACATATGATACTTAACTATTATAAGCTTCTTTAAATATTCCGAGCATCCCTCGTTTATGTCTCTTCGACGAGAAACGAGAGGGTGAGTAAAAAACGATGATATATCCTGATCACCACAAAAATGGGAATATCCAACACACGTACACACAGTAGATCCATGTAATATTTTCACATATTCTCGTAATTGTTCTCGGACGTACATTTTCGATTTTGCAGGAACTTTTGTTTCAATACTGTACAAAAAAACTGCTATCATATAGCTTATTCTTTAATATAATGACGGAAGTCATGTCAGTGGAACACAATTTTGGAGATCTCGCTTACATTATATCGCACATTTGTGTATATGTATGTTTAATTATTCTGTTTTCTAATAAATTTATTTTGCAAAGCGTGAGAGAAATCCATTTTTATTTTTCAACAAGGTGATATATTTTTAAACTTTTATTTTATAAAATTTTTTATATCTGTTAATATGATAATTATATGTATTTAAAATAATATTTAATAATAAATTTTTATACAATATCTATCTTTTTGTATTTATATACTTTCTATATTTTTCTATTTATATACTTTCTAAATAGAGACTATTTGAATTTTTTTTATAAAAGGTGACCATTTTATAATACTTGCAAATTAATATTTTGTTGTAAGCAAGACGGATATGTAACCGGCAGACGTTTTTATTAACTGAAAAATATTTATTATTGACTAATATAGAGAAAACAATTTAAAACATGAGAAACGATCAAGAATGCATTATACATTAAATTGTATATAATTTATAAAAATAAATATAATGATCAAGAGATGAGATTTATAATAATTATATATGACTTTAAAAAATAAAATAAATCATGTTAATGTGTTATAATTGAGTTGTGGAGTAACTTACTTTGCAAAATGTATCCATTGTCATGGGAAACACTTTACCAGCAGTAAGATAGAAAGGATCATGGGTTTTAATCATTAGAATGACTATATTCCGCGCATCTTTTGGATCTAGAGTGTACCATTCATTAGAATATGCAGCATAGTGGATTTGATTATACTGGAATTCATAAAAATACTTGAAATTTCAGAATTATTTTAAGACACCTGCTACTTTAATGTTTATAATATTTATATACATATATTTAATATATTACAAATATGTATACATATATATATATATATATATAATATATAAAAATAATATTTAGAAATAAAGTAGAATAAAAATTAAAATTTTTTATTCTCAATATTCTTATAGATATTATTTGTAATTGAAACATTTACATAAAAAATTACATTAATTATAGAGAAATTATACAGGATGTCCGAAAAATCGCCTACTCTACTTCGGGAGGTGATTTGGAACCCAAAAACAAGTAAAAAAGTTCATACAAACATAGGTCCGGAAATGAGTTGAAAAAAACCCCAAAAAATTATAATTAAAAAAAATTTTAAATAAAAATTTAAATTCAAAATTAAATAAAAATAACAAATAAAAATTAAAAATAAAAATTTTTAATTTTAGAAATAATTAAGAAAGAGGGATGTCAAGTGGATTCTAAATTACGATTTTTGAACATAAAATGGTTATAACTCGGAAACGGCTCATTTCCGGATCTATGTTTGTATGAAATTTTTTACTTGTTTTTGGGTCCCGAATCACCTCCTAAAGTGGAGTAAGCGATTTTTCGGACACCCTGTATAATATAACACTTTATAAGGAATTAAAAGATTTTAAAATCTTACCTGCGATACTAAAACCTCGCCTACAGCACAATAAGCGCACATATGACCGAACGTATTGATAACCATTGTTACGAGATATGCCAGGCGAGAAATCGATAAGTAATTTCCATCTTTTAAAAGCTACATATTTATATATGTTTATATAGAAATATTATTATAATAGGCATAAAATATTATATTAAAAAGTATTTCTGCATTCTAAATATATACATATATATGTATATATTATTAAATAATGTATGTGTGAAATTCATCATTATTATTCATATTTTTTGAGTGTTTGGATATAAAGCTTAGTTTTAGAATTTTGATTTAATATTATATATATTTTCTTTGATATCATTTTACTAGTAAAAATTATTATTTAGTATCATACTATAAACATAATTTTAAAACATCTTTTAATATCTTTTTAGTTAAAGAATTAATAAAGAAATAAAGAATTGATATTCTAGTAAACTTTGTTATTTTTGTATTTTTATTCAAAGACTTTATCATTTTTGGTAAAGAAAAATCATTTAATGAAATGTATGTGAAATAGTTGGAATAACATCTGTTAATAGGATTATTTAAAGTGTAATGCAATATTTTGAAAGTCGAAAATTGTTATAAACAATTTACTTACACTCAGAATTAAAAATCCGTAAAAAGCGAAGAGAGTACCAAAATACAGAAATAATGCAAGCAGCATTAAATTAAATGTATCTTCTATAACAGCGACAGCTCTATAAAATAATGATTTATATGCTATAGAATTTTATAACATTGTTTAGAATGCATATAACATATAATCATTTTTATATTTATACACTGAAAAAAATGACTAAATTAATAAATATTTATTTGAATACTCCCAAATAAATAATCATTTATTTGAAATAAATATTTTGTTTGTTTTGAAAAAGATTTTCTTATATCAAATAAATATTTTTCATATCAAATCAATATTATTAGCTTCAAATAATAATTCATTAGGCGGTATTGAAATAAATATACTCATTTGAATTTAATAAATTTTTTTTCAGTGTACAGTTTACAAATGTTACACATGACAAATGTAAGCATGATTACCTGATTATTCTTGTGTGGTCCATCACGCAGCTCTTTAAAGCTTTAGCGTAATTCGTGAATTTATCTAGATGCATGATGCGCTTTTTCAGGATGTCCAGTTGGCCACAAATATGAAATACTAACAAACTAAGAAAATTATCTACACCCGTATAAGGTAAAACGCCTAAGATCATGGAGACAGCTTGAGACAGGAACGTTAATTCGTATTGCGGACTTTTAGTTATATCATACATATAATAGGTCTGTAATGGCAATGGTTTGCCTGGATCAGTAATATTCGTTAAATATCGCATTGAAAAACCGCAGGCAGGCATAAGTATCGCAATACTAAAACATATTCCCATCATGCTGTACATAAACATGGTGATTGTACGTGCAGTTTGCGCTCTTGTAATCATTATGATTTCTTCCCAAGAAGTTTTCGACTTTTTCCAATCATTCGCGATCATATCCATTATAGGTGACATAGCTTTAACGGGATAGAAAAATATAGGTAAAGAAAATTATACGTTACATATAAAAAAGATAAGAGAATAAGAGAAGAGAGAAAGAGAAAAATGTTAATATACAATATAGCGAAAAAATTATAACAATAAATTTATTAAAAATCAAGAAGATTCAATTAATTCTAATTTATAAAATATGATTTAAAAAAGAATCATAAAAACGTAATTTTTACGCAAAATTTACATAAATGTGGCATATATTTAAAATGATTAATAATGCAAATCATTATTTAAGAAATTGCAGTATTTTCTAAAACCAAGTGTTTTATAAAATAGTAGATCAGGTATTCCTATTATCTTCTGATATATTTTTGTTTTAATTTTATGTAGACGATTTTTTAAATTTTTATTGGAATGAAATCTTGAAAAATGATTTTAATTAACCTTCTTTCTTCCACCAAAAAATTACAACTCTTAGCATGGCGGTGAAGACTGGTAAAGTAAATTGTAAATTGTCTATCATTAGCATAGCATCTCCACGAATTCTTATCAAAGAATGTAGGGCAGGAATTAAAATACCAATCCACAAAGACATGAAGACGATAAGGACACGTAAATTGCACATACATTTTTCCCATGTAGTTTGCTTGGTTTGAGGCCAAAGTCCGATCAATGACAGAGTACATCGATTCAACTTTACTGCCCATTCGAAATCTACCTATTTCGAAAACTGTGTTAACTGGTATTAAAGTAAATTAAAATTCTTAAGTGTAATTTATTATAAGCACATATTAAATCATTTATCGAGTAACATGATAAATAATATGAATGAAAATAGAAATAATAATAATAATAATATTTAACTACAAAATATATGTCAAAATTATATATTTATAAGCTGTGTAAATAACGATTTAAATTTGATGTTGTTATTGAAAAATATTTACAAGTTGATAAACTATTCATTAAACTCATGATTTAATAATCAAATAAAATTTGTACTTTATCGGAATATCAGCTGAATAAGAAATGAATAAAAATGCAAGTATGATAAAAAATCTAAAAAATCACATGTATAATGAAATTTGTATTTTGTAATTAATAATAAATGATTGACCATCATTAATAAAAAGAAAAAAGAAAAAAGCAGTTAATTGCTTTCCAACCAAAGCTTTTCAGAAGATCATCTTAAAAGTGATAATTTAATGTTTACTTCGTTTATTATGTGATATCTAACGAATATTCAATTACTTGATAATTATATGATCATACTTTTTTCATGTCCCAATGTATGATGGACGTATGTCATTTTTGACGAAGTATGGTGCATGCTGTCTCTTCTGCTAAGAGCTATTTATGATATTTAGGAAAGAGAAGCTATTTCGAAGTTTTCATACCGGATGTATTTTATAGACTGATATTTGTCGCTTTATCAAAAGCGACATCGACTTCTATTCAGTTGGAGGATGATAAAAACTTTCAAAAACACGAGACAATTTCTCTTCTTAACTCGTGTGTAACAGAGAATATAAAAAACTTCCCATATTGCTAAGTGAATTCCTCGTGCAATTCTTGTTGGCCATATTCATGAATAAAAAGTCACGTAATAACTGGTTATGGCAAGTACCTGTTCACGATAGACATCAGCTACGTTCTCACGCATTTGTGTAATCGATTTTAAATGTGTTGCGTGTGTATCCTAGCTATAGATATCTTATAATGTTCGATTGTATAGTATTGCTTTTATATAATCAGTTAATATGTGGAAATAAAAGGTGCAATGTGGGTTACTATCTGCATTTCATATATATATGAAATGTTTTTATAATTTTTATATATGTAAAATAAACAATTATTGTTCTCAATATTTTGATAATTATTATTGAATTCATCATTGATACAAATTCTCTTATCATTATCGTATTATCGTGACTGATATAATGAGTCTACTACTAAAATACAAAATCAGTTTAATATAAATTTAAGTACATCAAGTATCTAATTCTTCTACATACAAAATGCTAAATTCCTTCTCCTGCTTAATTTCCTCTTTTCATTTCTGTAATGTTTTGCGCCTCTGTAAATATATTTAAATATCTTAAAAATATTTTTTAATATTTTGTTCATATTTAACAAGTTATAATGTGGTTTGTGAATTAGTGCTAAAATATGAAATATGTAATATATTTATGTGCATTATATAAAAAATATGGAAACATTCAGATTTAAAAAAAATCATAACATTAATTTAATGCACAATATTATTTCAGGGTCATCGTACAATGTTAATTAGTATCTTAAATTAACTATTACCTCGTATCAAGGGATACACAATTATATAATTTTTAAATTTTAAAGCAGGAATATATACTTCTATAATTTGGATTTATCTCAAGATTTCGATTGATTTCTTGTTGTAAGCAGAACGGATATATAACCGGCTGACGTTTTTAATAGCTGAAAGAGATATATACATATCTTGTGATAATAAAATAATATGTGCAAGCATAAATAAGTGTTCAAGAAGAATAAAACATACATGTTTTATTAATAAACTGAAAAATATTATAGGTATACGTTATTACAAGGAATATCACATATAAAAATTATAATTGAGATTTAAAGTAACTTACATTGCAAAATGTAGCCATTGTCAAGGGAAATATTTTACCGACATTAAGATAAAAAGATTTGTTGGTCATTGCCATTGGAAGAATTAAGTCCCGCGCATGTCTCGAATTTAGAGTATACCATTTATTGCAATATACAGCATAATGGATTCGATCACACTTAAAAAATTATACAAAGTACGTAAAAAATACGTAGAATTGTTTAAATTATATATTCTGACAGAATTTGTAAAATTTATTTAATTAGAAACATTGCATATATACAGTCCTCAATTAAATTATGTAACATGCATTTAAATATTAGAGTATTTTCTCTAAATAATTTACATATAAAAATTATGCATAAATTTGCTTCGATAATATATAAATTTTATTTAAAAGTTAAAATTAAATTAGGATCTCTAAAGAAATTTTATTAGAATTTGTAACTGCATAAGAGAGAAAGTTAAATTTACCTGTGTTGCTAAGATATCACCGACAACGCAGTACAAACACATGTGACCGAACGTATTGGTAACGACAGATAACAAATATGGCAGATAAGAAAGTGAAAAATTTTGTCCGTCTGTGAGCATCTAATTATTCGATGAAAAAATATACTGTTTAGAGAGATTTACACATTCTAATCGATTTTTATATTAAATAAAATTCTCTTCATAAACGTCCTTTTAATAGTAGATTTTCTGATTAATTAAGTTGATTTTTCTTTAGCACAATTATATATCAATAATTATGAGACATAATCAGTCAAAATACTTTTTGATATTAAAACTCTGTAATACAATAAACTACATATATAACAATTTTTTTTAATTTTTAACTTACATTCATCAATACAAATCCGTAGCAAGCAAAAAGAGTACCAAAGTATAGAAATAATATGAGCAGTATTATATTAAATGTATCTTCTACTACGGCGATGGTTCTATAAAGTAATATACGTGTCATATACGTATTAATTTACACTAGAGAATAAACTAAAATTATAAATAAAAATTGTATACAAATATATTTTCGTAGTAGACTTTAAAGCTTTTTTCTATCACATAGTTTATTATAAAAGACCAAGTAAGTTAATTACGCGGCTCGATTTATGATATATTATATATTAATTTATGCTAAAATTCATGCTAATTAATTTTTTTCTAAGTAAGATTTTTTAAAATGTTTTATATTATATCATATACAAATGTCCATATTTTTTTCTATAACAATATGTATAACAAAATGTATAAAAAAAGGAAATGTACCTAAGTAGCCGTGTATGATCCTTTACGCAACTTTTCAGATTGTCATCGTAATTCGCAACGTCATTCGTTGACAGATGTACGAGACGATTGTTCAGAATGTCGAGCTGACCGGAAATATGGAATATCAAGAGGCTAAGAAAATTGTCTATGCCTGTGTAAGGCATGATGCACAAAAACATAGTGATAGCTTGGAGAGTGAATGTTATCTCGTATTGCGGACTTTTCGTCACGTCGTAAATGTAATACGTCTGTACTGGCAACGGTCTGCCCGGATCGGTGATGTTCGACAAGTATCTCACCGAATGGCCAAGCATTGGTAAAATAACCGTGACGACCCAACCCGACATCATGAAGCAGTAACCGAATATGATAATTACGCGCGCGATTTGCGCTCTTGTGATCATCGTCATCTTGTCTTGAGATTTTCTCACTTTTGTCCAGTCGTCCGCGATCATATTTATTATCGGCGCGATAGCTTTAAACATATTAAAACGTATTTCTCAAATTTGTATTAGTATTCTACTATCAGTTTACTATACTAACAATAATTTGCTATCATAATTAAACTTAATAACAAAATTGAGTTTGATTTAAGAGTCGACACAATTATTTTTACTTGTAACTTCGTATGTATTAACAAATCTGTTTATAAATAAGAAATTTATGTAGCATATACATATATAATTTTGTTTAATACCTAACCGAATATAATTACACACGCAAAGGGAAGTTATATTATTCTTTGATAATAAAATCTCAAAAATTGCGACGCATGCATGCAAAAATTATTATTGCAATCAATGTATAAAAATATATTAATTAATTATGCAACGCATAAAAATTCAATAATTAAATCTTTAACGGAAAATACGAACGAAGAAATAAACTTTTCTACAAGAATCAAATATCTACGCTTTCATTAGACTCGCGCGAAACTCAACACTCTATACATCCATCACACTGCGCGGCTCGCGCGAAACTGATTCTCGTTCGAGGTATCGCGAGCGCGCGAAACCGAGGTCACGTGCCCACTGGTCACGTGTCCACTGGTCATGTGACCATCGGTTTCGCGCTCGCGATACCCCGCATGAGAATCAGTCTCGTGCGAGCCGCGCACTGTAACGGAAGGGGAGGTGTACTATCTGATTACGTGATCAGTTTCGCGCAACTCGTGCATCGCAGCAGACGCGTACAGACGCGCGAATCTAATGGAAGTGTAGATATTATAATGCGAAAGATTCTTGTAGAAAATTATATTTTTTCTTTTTTGTTAAAAGTTTATATATTAAATTTTTATGAATCACGTAATTAATAAATATATTTCCATGCATTGCAATAATAACGTACATGCGTTGCAATTTTTAAGGTTTTATTATCAAAAAATAATATAATTTTGCTTGGTGCATGTAATTATATTCGATTAAATTAAACAAAATTAGAAAAAAATATATAAAGAGATACATATATATAAAATAGTTCTCAATCAATACAATAAAAATTCGGCAAATTATGTACATAATAGAACTTCGGGAATTAAAATTATGTATATAATAGAAATTCGGCGATTTAAAATTATATACATAATAAAAATTCGGGAATTAAAATTATAAGTATACATAATAGAAATTCAGCAAATTAAAATTATGTATATAATAGAAATTCGGCGAATTAATATTATGTACATAATAGAAATCCGGCGAATTAAAATGATCATAGCATTCAACAACTGTCATTGCAAAGATTAACAAATTGACAGTTATAAAATATGGTAAACAATAGAAATTATATCAAATGAGCGCGTAAAGCGCGCGCTTGTGTTGTCTAGTATTTTAAAAAGTTTCATATAAGTGAATAAGTATATTTATTTCTTTATTTGAGATTTTGAATTGTGCTAAAAATAATAATTGCTTATTGTAACATATAAAGCACATATAGATACACAAACACACACAGTAAAATATTTTATATTATTTAACGAGCAAAGTTATAGTTGTATCTATACCTTCTTTCTTCCACCAAAAAATCGCGATTCTGCACAGGCAGGTAGCCATCGGTAGAGTAAACTGCAAATTGTCTATTACTAGCATGATGTCCGAATGAATTCTCATCAGAGAATGCAGAGCGGGAATCACAATGACCGATAATATCGTTAAGGAAACGAGAAATGCGCGTAAATTGCACATGCGTCTCTTCCATGTAGTTTGCTCGCAATTAGGCCAAAGCCCGATAAATTGTAGACTAAATCGATTCAGTCTCACTGCCCATTCGAAATCTATCTGTTACGGAAGTTTCAGTAAATCGTGTTGAAAATATACAAATATAAACGTCAACGTTGTATTAATTAATCTGCCGATTAAATAAATTTATTATCTATAATGCGCACCAAATAAAAATTAAATAAAAATAAAAAATGTTTAAAAATAAGTTACTTTTTCATGTAAGTTTCTTTTACATAAAAAAAACAGAACGTTTAATATCGTTATGTATCGTTTTAAAAAACGCATATTTAAACTATCATATACATTAACAGATGTGTATATACATACAATATATAAAACTATGATTCACTTAATATTAATCTTAAAAAGCAACTTTAACTAAAATGCAATAATATTTGAATATTATAAATATAAAGTGAACGTTTTTTTTATAAAATGCTCATTTTTAAATAAAACCATACATAATAAATAAACATCTATTTTAACAAAAACATTGATATTTCACAATAATCATTCATTCCAAAAGAAAAAATCGAAAAAGTAAAACATTTCACACAACACATGCTATGTCTATAAATATACGATTATTAAAATAAGATATGTTTAAAAACTTTATATATGATATAAAAATATTTTATTTTTTATTGGAGTTCAATAAAGTGTAGCTTGTCTGACTTTACGTTGATAATAATAAATTACGACATTTGCAACAAGAAGCACCTTGATACGCAAGACAATTCGAAGTTTCCATATCGAGTGCAATTTATAGACTGACGTTTATCACCCCATCATGAAACGACGTTAACTCCTATTCAGTGAGAGATAACCGTGAGTATTAAAAAAATGTATGAAAAAAATGCATGAAGAAAAGAACTTTTGAAAATGTCTGCGACGATCAACGTGCATAGGGGTGAATATTAAAAATACTAACCCGTTGTTACCCCTCTCGTTTTCCCATATAACAACGTTTGAAGTACTCATGAATAAAAAACGACATAATAACTGGTTGATACGAGTACTCTACACGTAGAGATCCGCATAGATGCAGCTGTTAGTTAGGTTCTCACGTACTTGTAATCGATGATCGTTGCGTGTGGTCTCAGGCTATAGATACTTTGTAAGAATATTAGGTACATATACTATATTTCAATTAATTGGTGTGTAATAATCCTTCCGTCGTAATAATTGGAATAAAATCCCGTATGGTAATGTTATCTTTATTTCGTATCTTTACGTATTGAAATAGAATAATATCAAAATAATATGTACATAACATTACACTATAATTATATTATAGTATAATTATGAAATATAATTATTAGCTTGTAAATACATATTTCTTTTATTTATCTGGTTTATATTAATTAAATAGTTATCAAAATGTTGATTAATTTTTTAGTTTAAGCGAAACAGAGATATAATCAATTAACGTTTCTTTACGAGCTAAAAAATATGACTATACAAATAAGACACATACATTATACATAATTATTATACATGATGTATAATTATACACATTATATATAATTATACACATTATATATAATTATACATTATATATAATTATAATTATAATTATAATTATAATTATACATTATACTATTATATATAATATAATTATACATATGTTATTTTATTGTACCATGTGTAATTATTACTTTGAAATAATACTTTTTTTTTGTTCATCTACTACGCATACGAACTATGACTACATTACGTTAAATTCTCACTACCTCAGATTGTTGGTTAAGTTTTTATTGTAAGCAAAACAGATATATAACCAGCTACCGTCTTTAAAAGCTAGAAAATAAATATTAATAATCATGAAAAATAAGATGAGTACAGACATAAATTATATAGAAAGAAAAAAATATTCCCAGTGAAAAATGATATCGGTTGAATAGATATCGGTACGACCAATTCGACATTGATTCAACGTCGAATCGACATTAATTTAACTATTATTTCTCGCTGGGTTATGCCATTGGGGTTAAAAATTCTCTCTCTCTCTCTCTCTCTCTCTCTCTCTCTATATATATATATATATATATATACACAAAAATGTGATATATTATTTTTATATCAATGTTATAATTAAAATTTAATAAGATAACTTACATCGCAAAATGTGACCATTGTTAAGGGAAACACTTTACCAGCGCTAAGATGAAGAGGTTTATTAGTTCTGACCAAAAGAAGAATTAAACTCCGCGCATTTTTTGGATCCATATTATACCATTCGTTTGAATACACAGCGTAATGAATTTGATCGCACTAAAAATTAATAAATATCCAAATTATTAAGTTAACAATTATTTAAATTGCGTATATATTATATTTGAAAAATTTATATGCAGATTTAAAATATGCTTACTGTCAAAATAATTAAATTTATTCTCGTAACTGAAAAGTTTTAAATTTACCTGTGCAGTTAAAAATTCGCCAAGTGCGCAATACATGCACATGTGACCAATTAAATTCATAACAACGGTTATAATATATGCCATTTGAGATAACGATACGTGATATCCATCTTCAAACATCTAGCCATAATTTATCTCATATAATTTCTATTAAGTTGCTGACACATATACATACATTATAGTATTAATAACTTTTATCATGCACACATACAAAGAATATCTCGTCTATTATTTTTTCAAGTTATTACATAAAACATATGTAAAATTGAAATTTACAGCAATAAAATTGTTTTTGTATTAAAAGTTTTTATTGTACTAGTTTAAAAAAATTTAACTTGAAAATCTAAAATGAAAAGAAGACAGTTAAAAACTCGCGTTGTATAGTGCAACAATTTAAATTGTGCAAAAATTTTAATTGTGACAAAAATTCTTATTAGCGTTTTACTTACATTAGTTATAAAAAATCCGAAGCAAATACAAAGTGTACCAAATATTATAAATATTATAAGAAACAATGCACTGAATGTATCTTCTATAATAGCAATAGCTCTATAAAAAGAGTGATATATTATTATTTATGAAATTTTGTAGGGAGGTTTTTTATAGGGAGATTTAAAACAAAATCATTACTAAAATGAAATTCATATTATATAATAAAGCATAGTTTTAATAAATTAAGGACGTAAGTTTTTATGTTGATTAATTAGAAAATAGAGAATTAAGAAGAATTTAAATTGTAATTAATTTGCTAAACAAAATTTATTTTTATTATCAATTTTAATGATATTTTAAATGTTATAATGTGTTTAAATGCATGTTTGTAGAAAAATGTGTAAAATGTTCTAAGACTAATAATAATTAAATATTCTCTTTTAATATTAGTTAATTCTTTCAGTAATTTGAAAAAAAGACGACTTTTCTAGTAAAAATAACAAGGCATCAATAATTTCCAAACAATTATAAGCGAAGAAAAGCTTTCGACAAAATAAATTTTCAAATAATTTGAGTTGTAGAGATTATTTTAATAGAATTTTGATTCCAGATAAATTTACGAAAATAGATAGAAAAAATTGAAAATTAACACGAAAAATGTTATTTTGTTTTCAATCTTTTATTAATGGAAATTGATTCTATTAGACCGAAAATCGAATATATTAAAGTAAAAACAAATATATAGCCGACCAAGTATTGGTTATGCGACTCAATATAATATACCACATATTTATGTGCACTCTGCTAATTTTGAAGAGAAATGTACCTAAGTAGTCGTGTATGATCTTTCACGTAACTTTTTAAAACGCTATTATAATTTGTGATAACTTTCAGATGCATAAGACGATTGTTCAAAATGTCTAGCTGACTAGAAATATGGAATATTGAGAGACTAAGAAAATTGTCTACGGCTATGTAAGGCATGGCGCACATAAACAATGCGGCGACTTGAGTAGTGAATGCTATTTCGTATTGCGGACTCTTGGTTACGTCATAAATATAATAAGTTTGAAGTGGTAATAATCTGCCTGGATCAGTAATATTTGTCACGTATCTCATCGTGTAACCAAAAATAGATAAACCAATTGCAAAGGATGCAGCCGCAGTCATAAAAACATATGATATTGTTATGATTATACGTGCAGTTTGCGCTCTTGTGATCATAATTTTCCTTTCTTGAGATGTCTTTATTTTATCCAGTCGTCCGCAATCATATCTATTATCGGAGTGACAACTTTAAAAATATAGTGAAATAAGTAATAAGAGAATGAAAAAATGTCAATATGTTAAATATCTATTAATTTACTATGACAAATATGATAAAACAAAAAATCTGTATTATTTGTAATATTTATATATATAATTGTATTGGCACCTATACCTGTTTTTTTCCACCAAAAAAATATAATTTTTAGTGCGCAAATAATCATCACTAAAGTATATTGCAGATTATCCATCAACAGTAGAACGTCAGAATAAATTCTTATTAGAGAATGTGCGGAAGGAATTAATGCAAGTGTTATTGTCGACAATGCAAGAAACGTACGTAAATTGCACATGTTTTTTTCCCAACTAGTTTGTTTAGATTCGGGCCAAAGCCCGATTATCTCTAAACAAAATCGATTTAGTTTCACTGCCCATTGGAAATCTATTTGTGTTGCAACAGTTTTAATAAATTATATATATTACAAATTATAAGTATGTAATAAATACAATAACGAAATTCGTATTAAAAAACAAATATGTATAAAATATTACATATATATATATATATATATATATATATATATATATATACACAATATATACATGTATAATGAAAATAAACTAAAGCAGAATATTAAATAACAACTTGGAAACAAAACACTTAATTTCTTTTATGCACGTTTATATATATCACATAAAAGCGATATAATTTTGCGGTAAAGTTCTAAAGGATAAGATTTAAGTTGTTACTTTGAATGAAATAAAATATATATCATATGTCATTGTTATTCATAAAATATGTATATATAATTAGAATTAAGTAAAATGCATTAATATTTGAATTTATAGTTTAGTATAATATTTTTTTTTGCAGAGAATTGTATCTTGTAAAAAATCTATGATATAATTAACGATAACATGAATATAAATTTCAAAGTATAAAAGTAATATGTTCATTTGATTTAAAGTTCGCAATGACTAATTGAATAAAGCACTCGATAAATCACTGAGAATGTAAATATGTCTTTTTTATAAACTTTTTTCATAATATTGTGTGAGAAATATATTTCAATTTTAACAATAATCTATATCTCATCCGAATTCTTCATGATAACAATCTGTTTTGACATATGCAATGTGAACTACCTTGGTACGCGGAATATTTTGATGCTTTCATGTTAAAGGCAGTCTATATACTAACGTTTATCTCCTCATCATGAAACGACGTAAACTTTCGTCCAGTGAGAAATAACCGTGTATATGTATGAAAGAAAAAAACTTGAAAAAGTGCGGGATCAATGTGCATAGGGGTGAATTTTAAAAATATCAAGCACCCTTTTGCGTTCGCTAAGTTTTTCTCGTTGAACAACGTTTCAAGTATTCATGAAATAAAAAATGACATAATAACTGGTTGGTAGGAACACCTTACTCGTGTAGAGCCACGTAGAGATGTACATTAATTTTGTTGTCACGCAAATTCGTAATCGATGAACGTTGCGTGTTGTCCTATAGCTATAGACGCTGTGCAGGAGTCGATTAATCTGTGTGTAATATTGCTATTGTTGTAATAAGTGACATAAAACGTTATGTGCGGTACTAATATTTTCGTCTCGTATTTATACAAAGTATAGACAATTAAGTGTATTAAAATAATATATATTGTATTAATTCTATGTATATATTTTTTATTTAATTGGACGGTATGTAATTATTATAGTTTGTAATTACGCGTATCTTTTTTTATTTATCTCCTATATGAGTAATCTTAAATTTTTACCTCGCATTATTGATTAATTTTTTATTGTAAGCAAAACAGATATATAACCAGCTAACGTTTTTAAGAGCTAGAAAAATACAAATTGTTAGAAATAAAATGTATAAACGTAATTAAAGAAAGCACACAGAAAATAATGTTAAGCATTAAATGTATTAAATGTTAAAAATTGTATATATAAATAAATGGAATATACTAATCAAAGCTATAACTAAAAATTAAGTTAAGATAACTTACGTCGCAAAATGTGGCCATTGTTAAGGGAAACACTTTACCAGCGCTAAGATGAAGAGGTTTATTGGTTCTGATTAAAAGAAGAATTAAACTCCGCGCATTTTTTGGATCCATATTATACCATTTGTTTGAATACACAGCGAAATGAATTTGGTCGCACTGAAAATTAATAAATATCAAAATTATTAATTAATAGTTATTAAAATTGCGTATATTTTATATTTGAAAAATTTATATGCCGATTTAAGAAATGCTTACTCTAAAAATTATTAAAAAAAGAAGGAGAGTTAAAGTTATATAATAAAATACATTATAAAGATTAAATCTATATAATTTTGTTAAAATGATTTACGCATTAAGTTATGTATAATTTATATATACATACATTTTATTAAGTAATGTTACATTTATTTCAACAATATTATTTGCAGTTTTTGAGTACTTAAATTTTCTAGTAATTTTTAGTATTCTAGTAATTGAAAAATTTTAAATTTACCTGAGCTGTTAAAAATTCTCCGAGAGCACAATACATGCACATGTGACCAAATATATTTACAACGACAGTTATGAGATATGCCAATTGAGAAAGTGATAAGTGAAATCCATCTTCGAACATCTAACCATGATTCATTTCATAATGTTCAAGTTATAATTTCTATTAAGTAGTTATTATGTAATTGTTATTAGGTACAGTGAATATCTTATCATTACTATTTTTTATAAGTTTCTTCGTCAATTTAAATTTATAAAAATTTTTATAAAAGTTAGTTCTTAAAAACGATCACTACTCATAAGTTTATTTATTATTGTAATATGAAGTTTTTTAATTTAAAGTGGGAGACGGAAAAATATAGAGAGAAAGAAATATCATAGAACAAATATAAAATAAAAATATTTTTGTTGTACGAATTTGAAAACACTTAGATTAAATGTTTAAAAAAAATCTATAATATATGAAGAAACTATAAAAGAGAAACTGATCGTAAATTCGGCGCTCAAAAAGTGAATAATAATAAATTAATGAGTTACTCGAAACAATGTCGATAAAATCGGGATTGCAAAGTGTATCTTAAATGTGTGACAAAAATTATTATTAGCGTTTTACTTACATTTGTCAACAAGAATCCGTAGCAAATGAAAAGAACACCGAATAACATAAATAATGCAAGGAACAATATATTGTATGTGTCTTCTATAATGGCAATGGCTCTATAAAGTATTACATTTTCTATTAATATATTCAAAAGAATTGAAAACAGTAATTGACGCTAGGCAATAATAAATAGTATTTAGTAAATCTCTCAGTGGCTGTAAGTTTTTATACTGCTTAACTTTTAATTATAAACTAAAAAACTTATATTGAAGGTGCTACATAATTTGTATCAATTAATATTATGTAGTAATATATAGTTAATTTGAAAAACAGAATTTTTTGGTCAATTTTATTGAAATTCTAGCAGGTTCTTTGAACAATTTAAACAATATCTTATACGATATCTTATATAATATCTGTATAATGCACTGAAAAAAATTTATTGAATTCAAATAAATATTTATTTCAATTTTCAATACTGCATAATAAATCATTTATTTGAAAGTAATAATATTGATTTGATGCGAAAAATATTTATTTGATATAAGAAAATCTTTTTCACAAAATATTTATTTGTTTCAAATAAATGATTTATTAGGCATCAGTATTGAAATATATATATTTCTTAATTTAACAATTTTTTCAACGTATCTATAAGAATAACTATAATATATAAAAGAAAGAAATATACCTAAGTAGTCGCATATGATCCTTCACGACACTTCTTAGAATATCATTATAATTTGCGATGTCACTCAGATGTTTGAGGCGGTTGTTCAGAATATCCAGCTGACCGGAAATGTGGAATATTAGGAGGCTAAAGAAATTATCTATCCCTGTGTAAGGTATGATGCATAGAATCATGGCGATGACTTGATAACTGAATGTTATCTCGTATTGCGGACTCTTGGTCACGTCATAGATATAATAAGTTTGAAATGGTAATAATCTGCCTGGATCAGTGATATTTGTAATATATCTTGTCGAGTAACCAAAAATGGGCAAACCATTTGTACTTAATGTACCTACTCCCATTACAACATATGCGATTGTAACGATTATGCGTGCAGTTCGCGCTCTCTCGATCATTATTATTCTTTCGTTAAATGTATTTGTTTTTGTCCAATCATTTGCAATCATATCTATTATCGGTGAGACAACTTGAAAAAATAGAGTAAAAAATAATATAATGAGAACGAGAGAAAAGGTAAACGTTAATATCCATTAATTTATATGAACAAATTTATGATAAAGTAAAACATTAATGTAAATAGCATTTATATTATTTTATATTATACAGAATGTTAAAAAAAGGGTAAAATATTTTAAGAGGATTTAGTATGCCTAAAAACAAGTCGAAAAGTCTTAATAAACATGAGTTCGCAAATAAACCGTTTTTGAGATATTTTTAATTTAATTTTTTTATATTTTTTATAATTTTTATTTTTTGTTTAAAATTTTTATTTTTATTATAATTTATGCAGAAAAATAAAAATACCAACTTATTTTTCTTGACAAGTATAAAGTGTGTATTATATTGTATAATAAATTCTATATTATTCATAATGTTTACAATTGTAATTATATGTACCTGTTTTTTTCCACCAAAAAATTATAATTTTTAGCACGCTGATGATCATCCCTAAAGTATATTGCAGATTATCCATCAATAGTATAATGTCTGAATGAATCCTTATTAGAGAATGCACACAAGGAAGTATAAGAAATATTATTATCGACAGTATAAAAAGTATACGTAAATTGCACATGCGTTTTTCCCAACTAGTTTGCTTGGATTTGGGCCAAAGCCCGATGAATTCTAAACTATATCGATGGAGTTTCACTGCCCATTGAAAATCTGTTTGTCGCAACAGTTTCAATAAATTATATATATTAAAGATTACAAATAATATAATAAGTATAATTGATATTAGAAATATGTATTACTAGATTCGTATTAAAAAAAAAACACTTAAAATTTATATAAAATATAATAATAATAAATTAAAAAAGGAATAAAATAAAATATTAAACAAATATATTTTATTTTTGACAATCTATTTTATCTAAATTTTCGACGATATATAATAGTCACTTTTGACATATTCAACGATAACTATACCTTGGTACGTGGAATATATTGACGTTTTCATGTTGAATGCAATCTCTAGACTGACATTCATCTTCTCATTATAAAGAGACGAATTTTTATTCAGTGAGAGATGATCGTGTATGCGCGAAAAAAACTTTTAAAAGTATGGGATCAATGTGCAGGCGGATGCTAAAGATAATAAGCATCCCTTGATGTGTTCGCCAAGTTTTCCACGTAAAATGTTTCAAATATTCACGAACAAAAAATGATATAATAACTGGTTAGCAAGTACTCTAATCGTTAACTTGTGTAGATGCATGATACGTCCTCACGCATTTTTAATCGATAACCATTGCGTGATTCTATAGTTAGACACTTTGTGGAAGGGTCGCTTTATTTGTGCGCAATATTGCTTTCGTCCTAATAAAATTGGGATAAAACCTTGTACCTAATATCTTTGTTTTTTGTATTTTTACTTAGTATTAACAACTAATTATATCTAAACAATATGTATGTATATTATTTTATTAATTATTGTACAGCAAGTAATTAATTACCTTGTAATAATATAATTACATACTTTTTTATTTATTTATTCTACATGTTAAATTTTTACCTCAAATTATTGATTAATTGTTAATTGTAAGCAAAACAGATATATAACCAACTACCGGTTTTTAAGTGTTAGAAAATACAAATTGACAATATATGAGGAATAAGAATGTGCACATAATACATAAAGAAATTCCATAGAAATTAATATGTTATATATTAAATGTTGAAAATTTTACATGTAAAAAATGTGATACATTATTTTTGTATGAAAGCTATAATTGGATCTAATAATAAGAAAAATTAAGCTTCGTGTATTCTTGATTCCATATTATATCATTCATTGCAATACGCAGTGTAATTAATTTGATCGCACTAAAAATTATCAAATAAATTAAATTATTAGTTAACAATTGTTTAAATTATGTCATTTTATATTTGTTAAATATGTGCGTAAATTTAAAAATTAAAAAATTCTTAAAAATTCTTAAAAATTCTTAAAAAATTAAAAAATTCATCGGACGGTTTAAAAAATGTTTCAACGCCCCTTTATCGTTACCCTTGTGCAATATTCGAGCTTATTATTACCGTAATAATTGAGGGAAATAAGTACCTGCTCACGCAATGCACACTTGTTGCACTCTCACGTTCCTTCGTAATAATCGATTTTCAGTGATGCGTCTCAATTATAGGCTCGACTTTTAGTAACGAGCGATGATAAACTGTGTAGAATAAATCGGTATAATTCCGACATAAAGATGAGAAACAACTTTCTACTCCTTACAGCATATAATATAATATATAATTAATACCTATATAATATTTTGCTACTCTGATATTTATTACTTTTCAATTAATTCACAATCAATATCATATTAATGGTTAGCACAGATATTATTATTTAAATATAATATATGATTATCATATTTGTCGCAATTACTTTAATTAAATTTATTGATAAAATTTCTTTTTCTGAAATATTCTGTGATCTTTTTTGTTGCAGATCAAGAAGTTCCTCTTTTTACTCTTCTTCGATTTTCTGTAAGTATATTAATCTACACAAAGTAAATAAAATGTATATTTAATTTGTATAATAATTTTCACTTTTGTTACGTTAATTACGGTCAAAAAATGTAAAGTATCTTTAGTATATCGCAATATCATATAATAATTATATTTTGTATGTTTAAGCATTATTTAAATTATATTTGAAAAAAACAAATTTTGAGAGAGAAAAAAGTTCCATTATTTAGCTAGATGCATAAAATAATTTTAAGAAATAATTTTTAGCTAGATGCATAAAATAATTTTTATTTGTATTTTAGTGGTTTTATTATATATTTTGCACGAGTCAACATTGCTACTATTCACACCAATCGTTTATATTAGTTTGCAGTTTTCGCGAAATCGATGTTACAAAATATAATATTTTCATATTTCGAAATATCTTAAATGAATAATAAATAAAAACAGCTATACAAGTTGGCTACAATTCTTCTTAAATCTGAAAAATATTTTTGCATATAATTTGTATTTTATTTAAAGATTAATATTATTAACCATGTGCTGAAATATAATTATTCTGTATTAATTAATATTCACCCATTTATTATTGTTGCAAGGTCCATTTATCAATAATTATATAACAGGGAATAATTCAAATCTATTTTAAATCATTGATTAACTTTTTGTTGTAAGGAGTACAGATATGTAACTGGCTGACGTTTTGATCAGCTGAAAGTTACATGTTGATAATAGTACGTGTAACATGTAAGTAAATATACAAAGAATAATAAAAATAATTATTCTTCAAAATAAAAATAAAAATTAAATGTATTTAAAAAAATAAAATCAAATACGAGTGCAGTCATTATTAAAATATTAATAATTTAATTAATAATTTAATTAATAGAAAAAGTAACAATGGTAAAGATATGTGAATGTTTTTCAAAAAAACATGTTTTTACAATCTTTAAGTTTCTTTTTATATCAAGAAGAATTTTATATTAATATAAGATATGATATATCGTTATTGTATTTAAAATAAATTATAAGTTATATATTATTTTGATAACTTACGTTACAAAATGTAGCCATTGTCATAGGAAACACTTTACCAGCCGTGAGATAAATCGGTTTGCTGCTTCTAATCATCAACAAGATGAAACCTCTCGCGTTCCTTGAATTCAGAGTGTACCATTTATAATTGTACACAGCATAATGGATTCGATCGCACTGAAAATCATCAAAGAAGTTCGTTTGCGCATTATTACACAAAATATTAATTCAAATTAATACATTTTTTTGAGATTAATTTTTATAATAATTTTAATATTTCATTTTTAATTTTAATTTTTTTTATCTTTAATTTTATATTAAATAAAATAATAAAATTCCTTGCAATTGTGTCCACTTTGTAATTAATATTTAACGATTAACATATATTGCCAACGTATAATTTGTATTATAAGGATATCTGACACATATAAAAGTTTTTTTCGATAAGTTTTTTGAATTAGCATCGTAGATGATACCATTGAAACAAAATCATTACTTTTAATTTTTACCTGCATTACTAGAATCTCTCCTACGGCGCAATAAAGGCACATGTGACCGAATGTGTTGATAACAATGCATACTTCGTACACCAAGTGACTGATCGATATATCGTTTCCTTTCTCTAGTAACTTAAGATAACATACATAAACGAAGCGTAATTTTTGTATTAATCGCAACAACCGCGCTTTAAAAATTTATAAAGATGTCTTATAAATGTATGTCAAAGTCAAAAATATACGAAAATATGGCATTAGGTCGGAATTATATCTCGATGTCAGAAAAATGCAAATAATAATAAGTTATCTGTTTAATCAGACTTACACTCATTATTAAAAATCCGTAACAGGCAAAGAGAATCCCAAAATATAAAAATAATACAAGGAGCATCATATTAAATGTATCTTCTATAACAGCAATGGCTCTGAAAAAAAATATCGCAGAAACAATGCTAACGGAGAAATAATAATTTCAATAATATTATATACTGTGCAGCGTACAATTTTTGTGTGAATTATGATAAATATAAAAAAAGTCTAATTTTTACCTAAGTAACCGTGTGTGATCTTCCACGCTGCTTCTCAGCACGTCGTGAAAATCGACGAATTGATCCGGGTGCTCGATACGATTTCTCAGGATCTCCAATTGGCCGCAGATATGGAACACCAGCAGCCCAAGAAAATTATCGATACCGGTATAGGTCATGATGGCGAAGAACATGGAAGCGAACTGAAGACCGAACGTCAATTCGTACCGCGGGCTGCTCATCACGTCGTAAACGTAATACGTCTGCAACGGCAGCAACCTGTCCGGATCGGTGATGTTCGTCAGATATCTCATCGAGATCCCGCAGATGGGCAGAACGCCGACCAGAATAAACGCTAATATCATCGCGCAGTATCCGAACGTGATGATTATTCGCGCGGTTCGCGCTCTCCTGATCATCATCTCTCGCTCCTGCGCGCTTTTCAGTTTCAACCAATCCTCCGCGACCATATTTAACATCCATGTAACAGCTTCGGAAGACATGGCAAAATAAAATTAAAGAAGAGAAAAGAGAAATTGAACAATTGTAAATTATTGTGCGTACTCATATAGCACAAAATATTTTAAAAATTTTTCAAGAATTTTCGAGAATTATTTGATCTTTTAAGAAATATTTTTAAAATCTTTTAAAATATCAAATTCTCGAGAATTATTTGATCTTTTAAGAAATATTTTTAAAATCTTTTAAAATATCAAATTCTCGAGAATTATTTGATCTTTTAAGAAATATTTTTAAAATCTTTTAAAATATCAAATTCTCGAGAATTATTTGATCTTTTAAGAAATATTTTTAAAATCTTTTAAAATATCAAATTCTCGAGAATTATTTGATCTTTTAAGAAATATTTTTAAAATCTTTTAAAATATCAAATTCTCGAGAATTATTTGATCTTTTAAGAAATATTTTTAAAATCTTTTAAAATATCAAATTCTCGAGAATTATTTGATCTTTTAAGAAATATTTTTAAAATCTTTTAAAATATCAAATTCTCGAGATTTATTTGATCTTTTAAGGAATATTTTTAAAATCTTTTAAAATATCAAATTCTCGAGAATTATTTGATCTTTTAAGAAATATTTTTAAAATCTTTTAAAATATCAAATTCTGTTTTTAAATCTGGTTTTTTTAAAGATTACCGAGATAAAAAAAAGATATACTTTATTCATAATTTTATTCATAATTCTATTCATTTCAATATACAATTTGTATGATTTCTTTATATCAAGTAACACAATTTTGTTTAGTTACCTTCCTTTTTCCACCAGAAAATTATGATCCTAATGGCGCAGGTGATAGCCGGCAGAGTAAATTGCAAATTATCAATTAGCAACATGATATTCGTACGAATTCTTATCAGCGAGTGTACAGAGGGGATAAGAACGCTGATTGTTAGCATTACGATAATCATTAGAGGACGGAAATTGTACATTGACACTTCTCGAACGTTGCATTCTATCTTCGGCCAAAGCCCGATCAGCCTTAAACTGAAACGGTTTAGCTTCACCGCCCATTCGAAGTCTACCTGTTTCAAGAGGCATTAATAAGAAGGAAAAACGCTGACAATCAATAATTAACGCATTGTTATACGAGCAGGAAAGCACTTAGTGATGTCCCAGTAAGCAAAAATCATTACTATACAACGTTATTATTGTTGTCAAGTATCTAGTTTTTAACGTTATATGCAACATCATTATGAACAAACTTTGACATCGATTTAGAAGTCTTTTTATTAATATTTTATTAATATTTTGAGAGCATAAATATTTTATTAATATTTATTAATATTTTATGTAATTATAATTATATAATATAATATTTTATATAAAATATAAATATTTTATTAATATTTATTAATATTTTATTAATATTTTGAGAGCAATATGTTATTAAACAATATTTTTAAAACATTTATAAAACATCAATAAAAATATTTTTTAAAATATTTATTAATAATATTTTAAAATATTTATCAAACGCTTAGAAAATTTATATAAAATCAACATTTAAAAATGTTGATTAAATATCTCTTGCTTACTGGAGTGTTAAATCTCGTAATATACAATATCAAAAGTAAATATCCAACTACATTCGCGATATTACATCCTCATGTCACGAATAAAAATGTTCTTGTTCAGGAAAGAAAAGAACGATGCCGATTGTAAGTAATCGGTAATAATAAGCACCTCGGTATCTCGAACTCTTCGAAGTATCCATGTCGAGTGTTATCTAGAGACTGATAGCTGCTTCGTTTTCACGAAGCGAAGTTACCTTCTGTTCTCTTCAGCGGACTGAACATTTGTTACGCACGCGAGAAAAAATTGTTTCACAATTTTGCGCGAGACGATCGCGAGCAGCTGCATTAAATATGAGAACCGCCTACCTCTTTTTTTCACTCGTTCAACGGACTATCCGTTACAAACTCATGTAACGATACATAGATGCTCCTCACTTTTTCGTAATCGATTGATACTTATAGCGTATGCTTTGATACTATGCTATTCAAGAAAAAAAGAGGGAGAGAAAAAAAGGGAAAAGTGAGTAAATTCAGCAGATATACATCACATGTCTACTATACTATCATAATTTGTGCCACACATTATATGTACGATAGTGCACCTGTGATAATCATAAATCTAATAAAATAAGAGATACAATAATATATTAATTACGTATATATAAATATGCTGAAGGAATTGTGTATAGTAAAAAATGGTCTATTAATTCTTTAATTAAATTTTATATAAAATATTTTTATTAGTTAAAATATTAAACTAGTACGATAAATTACGAGAAACGTTTTCCGCAAGCGTTAATATATTTAAATTTTAAATATTTAATAATTCAATTATAAATTTCAGTTTTTTAAGATTATTAAATTAAAGGATTTTTCCATTAGATAATTAATTTTTTCTTTTAGGTAAATAGAAAGAAATTTTATATTTAAATCTTAATGTATGTATCAGCAAAATAGCTTTATTATATTTCTATAATAACAATTTGTATATTAACTAAAATATTTAAATTTATTCTATTAATAAAATTGTTTTCTCTCTGACCTGAGATTATTTTATACTTTTATTTTTTTACAACGATATAAATGTAAGATATCTTTGATGATGTTTCTAAAACTCTAAATAGTTGGTGCGTCCTCATGTTATCGTTTTTATCTAACAAAATTTATTTTATATTATATAAAAATATATATAATATTATGAAATTACAGTTATAAAAAAATTAATTTAATATACATACATTTTTAAATCATTGCATTTTAACAACTCTATCAAAAAAGCCACTCTATTCTTTCATATGTCTGATTAATTTCTCGTTGTAAGTAGAAAGGATATGTAACCGGCTGAGGTTTTTAGTAACTGAAAAATATTTTATGATATTTGCATATAAGATCAAAATAAAATTTAAAAAAATATATAAAAAGTTAAAAGTATTGTAAAATAATATATTTATATAGTTAACTTTTAAATGAATATCTTTATTAATAAAACTCAATTTACACATAGAAGCGAACTAATTAAGCTTTTTGACATAAAGAATAAAATAATAAATAAATAGAAAAAAAATTCAATTTTTATTTCTTCTTGTTATTATAATATATTATAATATATAAAATAATATATTATAATATATAAAAAATTATTAATATATTAATATTAAATTGTTAAGAGAAGTTATAACTTAAAATATCGTAGTAAAGTTAATAAGTAAAATTGTAAGATGACACTCGTGCAAAATTAATTAAATTATAGTTTATAGTATTAATATCTTACACTACAAAACATGGCGATTGTCATAGGAAATATTTTTCCAGCAGTGAAATATACTGGTACACCGCTTTTAATCATAAAAATGATTAGGTCTTTCATTTTCTTCGAATCCAGAAAATACCATTCATTATTGTACACTGCATAATGAATTGCATCGTACTTTCAAATATTAAAGAAACATTTATACAAGCATGTAATCACTCTTAAATTCATGCTCAGCATATAAAGTGTTTCATATATGCTTATAGTAACAAATAAATTGCAATGTAATAAATAAACTTACTCGAGTCATTAATACTTCGCCAATGGCGCAATAAAGACACATATGAATAAATATATTTGCAATGCCGACGAGAAGAGTTGACAAACGGATGATCGATATTTTTTCTTCGTCAAATAGCTAATTAAATCATAATTAATATATACATATATATATATATATATATATATATATACTAATTCTTATATGGAAAGATGACAAATAAAGAATTATTAAAAATTAAATATAGAAATATAAAAATCGGATACTTACGAATTTTTTATTACTTACACTAACTAGTAGAAATCCTTGAAATGCGAAAAGTATACCAAAGTATAATAAGAGTATTAAAAGTATAATATTATATGCATCTTCTACAATAGCAACAGCTCTGTAATATAATTTTACATATTTTAGGCACAGTTTTTGACAGTATTATATTTTAAATTATATATTCAATATACATTACAAATATAAAAATAAAATGTAATAAATTATCTTTGCTCATATATTTTTTCTACTATGTTATATTTATATATTTTTTTCTATATTTATTATAATTATTTTGTATAATTTTAACATTTTCTACCGATTTACGTGTATGTAATATATATCTTGAAAAGAATTTTTAATAATTTTCTTCGAAATTATACATATAACAAACATACAGCATATATCAAACACTAAAGATACAATACCTGAGTAACCGAATGTGGCATCTCACGCTGTCTTTCAATATGTCAGAAAAGTTTTCGTATTGATGTAAATGTACCAGACGACTTTTTAGAATATCTAACTGACCACAAATATGAAACACCAGTAATCCAAGAAAAGTGTCTATTCCTGTATAAGGTAGAATAACGATGAAGACAGATACTATTTGTAAAATTAATGTAAATTCATACTGCGGCCTCTTCGTTACATCGTAAATGTAATAGGTTTGTAAAAGCATTGGTCTGCCTGGATCGGTGATATTCGATGTCAATCTCATCGATTTTCCGAAAATGGTCGTACTGACGATACTTCCATATGCTATTCCCATTATGGAAAATGCACATATGACACATATACGTGTACGTTGCGCCCATTTAATCATCACGGTCCTTTCGTAAAGGCTTTTTGACTTTAACCAATCTTCCGCGATCATGTTTACAATTGTTACAAGAGCTTCAAAAATATTCGAAACTTTAATAGAAAGAACACATTTTTACGAATATTTCTGTTATATCAAAGGGAGAGACTCTTTCTATTAGTTACTATAAACTTTAAAAAATCTGTACATTCTTTTTTTAATTTTAAGAACAATATTCATTCTTTCATAATATTTCATAAGTTTTTGCATGAAAAATGAGACATAAAATTTAGAGTAAACAGTAAGCAAAATTGATTGTTTCTAATGCAAAATGTGAAATTCTTAATTGCACGATAAATTTAATTTTGCATAGTACAATTTTTTTATTTATCTAACATTATTGTTTACATTTTATACTGATTCTAAGTGTATTATTATATACAAATGTTATATAATACGTTACATTATAACGTTTACCTTTCTTTTTCCACCAGAATACCATAAGTCTCATAAGACTGCTTATCAGCGGTAAGGTATAATGTAAATTATCTATTGCTAACATGATATCTGTATGAATTCTAATCAACGAATGTATAGCGGGAATTATTAACGAAAACCCTATACAAATAACAAACACGCGTAAAGTACATGTTAATTTCTTTTCAGAGTTTTGTTCTAATTTGGGCCAGAGGCCAACCATTTCCAAATTTATACGATTCAATTTCACTGCCCATTCGAAGTCTTCCTACAAAGATTTTGATAAGTCAAGTTCTTTTGAAAAAACAGTTTCAGTTTAAATCATTTTTAATTAAATTCAAATATTTTCTTCGAGATAAGGTATTAAAAAACATTTAAACAGAAAGTATTATAATAATTAAATAAATTGAAAGAAAAGAATAAAGAAGTAATCTTGAATTAATTAACTGAAATAAGCAAGAATTAAAAAATAATAATATAATGGATAATAATAATTAGAATCGCAACATTTTGTGAAATGTTTGCAAAGAAAGCAATTAAGTTTAGAAAATTTCGAAACACAAGTTCTCCGCGAGTTGTATTTCCGATAATCGTGACGTTAGACACCTTCGTATCTTGAATAATTTGAATCATCCATATCGAATGCTAGGTAAAGACTGACTGTTGTGCGTTTTGCACGCACCGATGTTACCTTGCATTCTATAAAAACATTTATCGTATACGACACAAAGTTTTTAAGAGCACAAGAGGGAAACGATATGGTTTATTAAATATTAAATAAAATTTCTTGAACGCTCTCTACTTCTTTTCCTCCGGCTTTCTCTCTCTTTCTTTCTTACGTGATTGTCTAAAGTAGTCGACAACCAAGGAACAATAAATTGCGTATTTATGGACGAATACTTGAGGGGAAAATATAATACGAATTCGCATCTGTTGCATTCTCACGTATTAACATTTCTGGCATTCTATAGATACATATACATAATATCGATTCTATCATAATCGACAGTGCAAAATATGTGTCGAAAATTATCTTCAATACTTGATAAGTTGGCATGAGAAGGAAAATTATACCCAATTCCAAGGGAATATTATCATTTATCTAATAATTTATATTTATTAAAAATCTGATAATAATTAATTATTTTTATATTTGATATTAGAAAAATCCTACATGTTGTGTACAATAGGTTCAATAGATGTAAAACAACAACATTCAACATTAAAATATTAATGCAATTTTTAATTCAATTTTATGATACGAATGACTTTCTAATTATTTATATTACTTTTATGTTTTTTTTTTTTCATTAAAATTGTTTATATCTCTATACATATCGTATACACATTTAATTATTTTATATTTTTATTATATTTCTTTAAATATTGTGCTAAAAATAACTTCAAAATTTATCAAAATTTATAAAACATAAATATGATTATTTATTTAACAATGATTAAAAATTATGTTTATTTGTTATTTGATAAAATGTGTACATTTTTATATCAACATATGTTTTAGTAGATGTTCTAATGTATATTCTACAATTATACTTACTTGCAATTTTTTTCATAATATTAGAATTACTTTGTGTATATCTGAATCTTCAAGCTGACATATTAAGTAGGACAGATATGTAGCCAGCCGATGTTTTTATTAGCTAAAAAATTATATATCTCATAATAATGTTTGTGACAATATACATTTTTATCAGAATATCTTGACAAAAAATGATACATTAAAATAATATTCCTATTATAAATTATTTATAAAAATAATTTTGTTATTTCTTATATATTTTTTTTATCAACGATTAATAAAAATTTTTAATTCTTTTTCTAGTAATTATCTTTACAGCAAAAGTCGCTGAATCCAAAACTGTGAAATTGTATCATGTAAGATATATATTAAGTAAATATGTTATAATTTATATTCACACATATAATGTATATATACAAAATGATACATAATTATGTCAGCACTCTGTGAATTTCTTTAACTAAAATTTAGTATATCTTACACTGCAAAATGTAGCCATTGTTATGGGAAATATTTTTCCTGCAGTGAGATAAACCGGCTTTCTGGTTTTAATTATTATAGGAATTAAATCTCGTGCTTTGCTTGGTTCCAAAATATACCACTCTTGATTGAACACAGCATAATAAATTCTATCGCACTTAAAAATATTAAAAAAATCTTTTTTCAGTATTATAATCATTATATATTTATAAGTGAGAAAGTTAAACTTACTTGGGTCATTAAAATCTCGCCGATAGCGCAATAAAGGCATGTATGAGCGAATATGTTACTTGTATTACTTATGAGATATACTAAGCGAGTGATCGGTACGTCATTCTCTTTTGTAAGCAACTGATTAAACGATATGAAAAGACGTAAGTTTTATATATAGTAATACATAAATTTAAAATGCAGTATTATTTCAAATATTTACATATACATAATTCTCAATATGTAGGTATTCTTTATTTTGTCTATTTTTCTGCGTAGAATGCTACATGTGTCCGAGAATTATATAAGTAAAAAAATTTTTAAATATTATTTTTAGGTACTCACATTAATTATAAGAAAACCGTAGAACGCGAATAAAACACCATTACATAAGAATAATATGAGGAATATCGCATTGTATGTTTCTTCTACAACTGCAATGGCTCTATAAAGTAAAATATTAGTTTTATTTATTGCAGATTATATAAAAAACAAGTTAAATGACTGAATCTAAGATAACTGCGGTTATTTTAAATTAAAGCAAACGAAAATTTTCAAAAAGATATGCATATAAAGATTAACTTTTGAATGCGATTATTTTTTTAAATAGAGAAAAGAATTTTCTTTCTTAAGCAATTATAATTATTATTATAATTATTATAATATATCAATATTATTATTATTATTATATCATATCAATATTATACGACAAAATAATTTTCAGAGAAAAAATGCGAAAGTGACACAATAAGCAAAAATAAAAAATACCTTAGCAATCGCATATGATCCATCACGCAGCTCTTTAAAACTGCGTGAAAATTCGTAAATCTATCCAAAGAAAGAAAACGATATCGGAGAATGTCCAATTGGCCGCAGATATGAAACACGACGAGTGCAAGAAAATTATCGATTCCCGCGTAACACGCGAAGGTGAAGAAGCAGGAAAAAAAAAGCACGATATATGTCAGCTCATACTGCGGGGTCTTCGTTATATCGTACACGTAATGGGTCTGTACCGGCATCGGTCTACCCGGATCGGTAATATTCGTTATGTATCTCGTGGTGATTCCAAAACTGGCAGAATGACAATAAAAGTGTACGCCAATCCCATAAGGAAATACGCGATCGCGGTGATTATTCGCGCGGCTTCGGCTCTTCTCATCATCACCTTCCTCTCTTTCGGACTCTTCGAGCTTATCCAATCCTCCATCATCATGCTTATTACCGTTGCGGTAGCTTCAAAGACAATATATTTGATATACAATACTCACTTCAAAAAAAGCGGTAGATTTTACAAGAATTAAAAAAGATATATAAGTTTAATTATATACACTCACTCCAAAAAAGTGGTAAAACTTAAAATTTGGAAAAATTGCCGAATTTTATATAACAATAACTTTGTAAATAATAAAGATAGAAAGGCTTTTAAAAAATGAAAATAAAGCTTGGAATCTCTACTTTAAGAATCTATTTATTTCAATGTTGCGAGATAAATATATTAAAAATGGCGGATGACAAAACGAGAACATGCAAAATTGAAAAATAATGGTCCGGTTTGCCACGGCACATGATGTGAATCAAATGTCGCAACTCGATGGGATGAAAAGCATACGATAGTACAGAGTTTTCCCTTTAAAATGCTTTTTTATTCATCTCAATAGGATGATTTTTCACAGAGTTATTCGCATTTAAAGTAAAAAGCTGCTTTTTTATTCAAATGCGAATAACTCTGCGAAAAATCATCCTATCAAGATGAATAAAAAAGCATTTTAAAGGGAGACTCTGTACTTTCGTATGCTTTTTATTTCATTAAATTACGATATTTGATTCACGTCATGTGCCGTGGCAAATCGGACCATTATTTTTCAATTTTGCATGTTCTCGTTTTGTCACCCGCCATTTTTAATAAATTTATTTCGCAACATTAAAATAAATAGATTCTTAAAGTAGAGATTCCAAGCTTTATTTTAATTTTTTAAAAACTTTTTTACCTTTATTATTTACAAAGTTATTGTTATTTGAAATTTGATGATTTTTTTCAAAATTCTATGTGTACCGCTTTTTTGGAGTGAGTGTATAATAGACATGACATGTGATTTGACGAATTGCTTTATTAAATCTAACTCACTAAACGTCACTGAGAAACGTCTATTTAAAGTAGGGAAAATAGTTTACCTTCCTTCTTCCTCCAAAAGATCACGATTTTTAGTACGCAGTTAACCCCCGGCACGGTTGATTGTAAATTGTCTACCACTTGCATGAGATCCGAGTGTGTTATTATCAATGAATGTACAGAGGGGATAAGAATGCTGCTTATTATCGCGACAAATATGAAGAGCACACGTAAGTTACACATTAACTTCTCTCGATAGTTTTGTCGGGCCTTAGGCCACAGTCCCATCATTTCTAAACTGATACGGTTTAGCTTCACTGCACGTTCGAATTCTACCTATAGAGATTTTACTAAGTCGATACTCTTTATGCACACAATTTATCTTAAATTTATGTAATCAAAATAAACTATATAAAAGCTATTAAAAATATGGAGATAAAAGAATAATAAAATAAATAATTTTTGCTACTTAATAATAATGAGAACTTAATAATAAAATTTAATAATAATTTTCTTGCATACATATACATATATTACAAAGTTTTAAATAATAACAAAAACATAGATATAAAAACTGTAAGTTGATGTAAAACAAATTTGTGATACATAAAAATTAATGAGTAAACGACATTTCTATAAAGGGCTGAAATTCGATTTGTTACGATAGAAAATTATGTGCAAATATGTATAACTCCGCTCAGAAAGACTTAATTAAATATGATCAATAAACATGCTTCACAAAATATGTATTTTCACTCTTGCATCGTAACAATCGCGATGCGAAGCACCTTCGTATCCAGAGTATTTTGAATTATCCATGTCGAATGTTATCTAAAGACTAACGTCCGTTCTTGCTTCAAGCGACGAAGTTACCTTCTATTCAATTGAGAGAACATTCGTCACGCATGCTTATAAAATTTCTTAAAAACGTGAAGATAGAAATGTATTAAATTATTCAGAAGATTCTTTCCCTTCACTTGTTCAAAGTTCCATACTAAAAAATACGCGGACTAAAAGATAAATGACTATGTGGTTGCGATACTTTGCGTGCAAACATTTGTTACGTTCTCATGCGCTTATAATTGATTTAGAATTCCGTGTATAACGATAAAATAATTATATGATTGACTATAGCCGATCATTTTGAAGAAAAAAGACGCGTATTCTAAATATCGCGCGTAATTTTACAGTTTATCGATTGTTGACGTATATGAAATTATTTTCATCCAGTGTTACGATATCTTGTTATATTTTATGTGCAATGATTTTACAGAGTTTTGACGAAATATTTATAAAACGTAATTCTCGCCGCAATTTAGATATATCGAACATATTCAGATAATTGCAATTTGAGATCTTTTACTTCAATTTTGTAGAATATTTTGCAATAAAATATATAATTTTTTCACAAACAACATATTTGGCCATTAAACAGTTTTCCAGAGTCATCCTTTTCTGTCGGAAATTGTATAAAAAAATTATTTCTAATTTTTCTTATTTATTTATATTACTTACTACTTATTCTCTTTTCATTAATTTCTCGTCGTATGCAAAACAGATATATAACCGGCAGATGTTTTTATCAGCTAAAAACATATTTTTCTGGTAAAATACAATTAATAATTATAATGTTAGTGCCTTAGTGTGTGTAATTATTCGCAAAGTTGAAGTCTGTGCGTAGAAAGGTGTAAAAAGATTAAATTTGTGAACTTAAAAATATTGTGAAATACTAGAGATTATTATATAAAAGATCTCAACGAGATTTTAGTGCTATTTAAATGGTGTCATTTAATACAATTGTACAATTAAACATTAAAATATCTTACACCACAGAATGTAGCCATTGTCATGGGAAATACTTTTCCAGCGGTGAGATAGACCGGTTTAGTGCCTTTGATTAATAATGGCAATAAATTCCTTGCATCTTTCGAATCCGCCAAGTACCATTCATTGTCGTATGCCGCAGAATATATTTTATTGCACTTAAAAAAATATCAAGAGTGTTTTTAGATGCAAATTGTTACATAACATTGTTCAACAACAAAATGAAAATCATTTGTCTTCAGTCTACTAGTATAAATTAAAAAAATTAATATATATTTATATAGAAATTACAAACTAGCTGCTATTTATATTTTCTTAAAAGTTGCTTCGTATAAAGTATGACAGTACTTTCAGATTTTGAACATTTTGTTGCAAAACAATCTATATTACATATTAATTTATAATCTTAAAAAACTTATGTTAAATATCTTAATGAGATATTTACTTTTATGAAAATTTTTATTTGATAAATACAATTAATAAAATTTTATAAATTAATTTAAAGAAAATTAATTAAATTGTCAAAAGAAAAATTCTTATATATAGAAATCATATTAAATTTTATTATTACATGTGTAATAAATGTTTAATTTTTAATTAATAGTTAATCAAGCTATTCTCAGATGCAATCAATAATTATATAATAATTATATATATATAATTAATTTAATTAATATAGAGTGTAATATGCATTATTTTTATATATAAAAACGACATAATCTACCTGAGCCATCAAAATCTCGCCGAGAGCACAATATAAGCACATATGCGCAAATATATTGAAAACGTTGGATATGAAATACACCAAGTGAAAGAACGATAGATCATTTCCTTCATCGAATAGCTAATCAATTCTCAATTAAAATTTAAAATGTATTAATTAATATTGCTGGCAATGAATCTAAATACTAATTTGCAAATTTAAATGATATAAAAAATTATGTAAAATTATATTTAACCTTTTTAAATTTTATTTTGTGATATATTTCACTTTTTGTGACATATAAACATGATTCATCTCCTTTATGTTATATTTTATAAGAATAATTTGAGCTTTAAGTTTTAGGACACTTACACTCATTATCCGGAAACCGTAGAAAGCAAAGAGGATCGCAAAGTACACGAATAATGCAAGAAGCGTTACATTATATGTATCTTCAATAATGTCAATAGCTCTGTCATAATAAAAAAATTATGAACCCGCTTATCACACGTAGTATTATACATATTCAAATAAAGAACCGAGCGCGTGCATATTTTTTTTTTCTCATATACAATTTCTCGTCGACACCTTTTATGGAACTTTAGTACTGTAATCACTGGAGGCTCAATAATTCAATCGCTACCCAGGTAGCAGGCTGACGTCATTAAACGTCAAAATGACGTCATTTTTTGACGTTTAATGACGTCAGCTTGCTACTTGAATAGATATTACTATATATCAGCCATTTAAGTAATCGAAATAAGTGATTAATTAAATTACTAATGATAAATTTCCATAAGACACGTACTCGCGCTTGTATATACATAAATTAGGAAACCTGAGCAAACGAATGTGTTTCATCACGCAGATTCTCAACATGTCGCGCCAATTGACATACTCGTGCAAATGCGCCAAACGATCCTTGAGAATGTCCAGTTGGCCACATATGTGAAAAATTAGTAGACCGAGAAAATTGTCGATTCCAGTGTAAGACATCATGGCGAGGATGATGTAGACGGCCTGACTGACAAATGTCAGCTGATAATACGGCCACCTCGTGACGTCATAGACGTAATGGGTTTGCAGCGGCATCGGTCTGCCAGGGTCGGTGATGTTCGGTGTCAGTCTCATCGACACGCCGAAGAAACCCGGAAGAACAATGATGAAGGCGCACGCTATTCCCATTAGACAATACGCGCACGTGATAATTATGCGCGCGGTTTGCGCCCTTCTGATCATGATCCTTCTCTCTTGCGCGTTCTCATGTGCACTTATCCAATCCTCCACGATCATATTCATAATCGGTAAGATAGCTTCAAAAGTGTCAATAGCAAATTGAGGCATTAAACTACGAATTTAAGAGTATCGCTGAATTGGCAGAAAGACTACGTCAAGATTAATCTAAAAAAAAAGTTTAAAGAAAAAGAAGAAAAAAACATCGAAAATAATTTCTCTTATCTCACATCTTTGACAAAAAGAAGAGAACATATTATTATAATATATACTAATTATACATAATATTATAATATATGTATATTATTATATAATATTATAACATATATATTTAATAGAATTAAAGACCCTTGATACTTTTAAAAATTGCACATAGTGCTCTCACAGCCATTCTTTATCTCAATATATATTTAATTAATATATAATTTAATATATATTTAATTATATATAAATTTAATTAATATATAATTTATATTATAAATACATAGGTATTTTAATATATCTATTATATGTATAACAGTACATACATATATGATTTTCACAACCTCTGAGATTCTCTCTGCATGACTTATAATTTTGTTAGAAACGTATTCTTCATATTATTTATATAAAAGAATTTTATATAAAGGAAGCGTCATAATTCAATTTTCGCGTATTTTATAAAAATATAGATTAAAGGGGATATACATATTTTTGCGCCTACCTTCTTTCTTCCACCAAAAAATCATGATCCTTATTGAACAACTGATGGCTGGCAAAGTGAATTGTAAATTATCCATCATCAGCATAATATCCCCTCGAATTATTATCAGGGCGTGTATAGAAGGGACTAGAACGCCGATAGTTACCGCCAAAAAAACGGAGAGCACTCGAAGATTGCACAGCAATTTCTCTCGTGGGTTTTTTGCGATTTTAGGCCAAAGTCCGATAATATCTAAAGCCAAACGATTCAGTTTCACCGCCCATTCGAAATCTACCTGTAGAAATCTCAATAAGTCGAAACTCAAGAAAATCACCACAAAATGTTAAACATGTCACAAATGAATGCCGCATTAATTGCAAAATTTCGCGAAATGCATATAAATTATCCAAAAGTAATATATACTTTCTGTCAAATACAATTTTAAATATTATAAAAATAATAAAAATATTTATATTAATAATAAATGACAGCACAAGAAAAATTATCGGATGTAATATACATCTCTTTATAATTTGTACAACACTAATAAATAAGGGCGATGTATAGAAAAATGTTGCTGAAACATGATGTGACAAATAATATATTGCATAGTATATAATATATTGCGTAGTATAAAAATATTTTTGACAAGACAGCCCTCGTTTAAAATCGCAGCCACTGTCATAAGCACCTCGATATCCGGCGTATTTAGAACCATCCATGTCAAATGTTGTTCAAAGACTGACGTCCGCTCCTTCGTCGCAAAATAACGTTACCTTCTTATGTTTCTCGCGCATGCTCAGGATATATAAAGAAACATCTTAAAAATTTCCAATAAAATATTCCTCATAATAATCGACCCTTTAAGTTTCAACGTTTTAGCACGAAAAATGCGTCGCGCAAAATATTCGCGTGCGAGCAAAAAAATTAGTAATATCAGACGAGAGAAAAAGAGAGCTCGCGTGTCATAATTCATTATATTCTCATGCTTCTACATGATCGGCTATAGCAGTCTACAGTTTTGCTGAAGTCAATAATTGATCATATAAATTCTATCGTACACGTGTCTTCTTCGTTTGAAGGGAAGGTAGAGAAATAAAAAAAAAATAACTTTGTTACCTCTGAATTTTTTTTTGTGAAATAGAATTCTTTTCTTGTTGGATATTAATTCCAATAGCAGATAAAAACTAATAAAATATTATATCTTCTTAATTTCAAATCCTAAATTTTGAACTCTTAGATTCATGAGAGACTTGAAATTGGGTGGTCATACTTATGTATGTATATTTCATTAGTGAATGTATAATAATACTTGGTAATGCAAAATGCAAGAAAAATCTTTTGCGCTAACAAACATGAAAATAAATAATCTACAAATACCTTATTTTTATTTTGATATATTTCTGTTATCATTCTACTTATGTAATCATTTAATATTAGAAAATTAGTACGCGAGAAATTAGGAAAATATATCTTTAAATAGCCCGAAAATAAGAATACTTTTAAATACCAGTTTTAGTTTTTTTGACAAGATAACACACTTTTCTTTAGAACCTTTTAAAAAATTAATTATTGAATTTAATCAAACTTTTATTATTTATAAATAAAAATATTTGTCTATAAAAATTATGCACAATTATTTGAATAGATATAGTCAATTATTTTAAAGAAAAAGAAAGTGTTTTAATTTTACTTGTAATTTTACAGTTTATCAATTGTTGACATTATTTTCATCCAATGTTATGTTTTATGTGCAATGATTTTATAAAGTTTTAACGAAATATTTACAGAATGTAATTCTCGCAGTATTTTGCATATTTCGGACATTCAGATATTTGTATAATGGCAAATCTTTCTGCTTCTTTTACAATTTTGTGGAATTTGCAGATTATTTCAATCAATTATGCAATAAAATTTATAATTTATTTACAAATAACAACATATTTGATAAGTAAACAGTTTTCCAAAGTCATCCTATTCTGTCGGAAATTGCATAAAAAAATTATTTCTAATTCTTCTTATTTATTTATATTACTTACTACTTATTCTCACTTTTCATTAATTTCTCGTCGTATGCAAAACAGATATATAACCGGCTGATGTTTTTATTAGCTAAAAACATATTTTTTCTAGTAAAATGCAATTAATAATAATATATTAATAATAATAATGTTAGTGCCTTAGTGTGTGTAATTATTCGCAAAGTTGAAGTCTGTGCGTAGAAAGGTGTAAAAAGATTAAATTTGTGAACTTAAAAATATTGTGAAATACTAGAAATTATTGTATAAAAGATCTTAACGAGATTTTAGTGCTATTTAAATGGTGTCATTTAATACACAATTGTACCATTACACATTAAAATATCTTACACCACAGAATGTAGCCATTGTCATGGGAAATACTTTTCCAGCGGTGAGATAGACCGGTTTAGCGCCTCTGATTAATATTGGCAATAAATTCCTTGCATCTTTCGGATCCGCCAAGTACCATTCATTGTCGTATGCCGCATAATATATATCATTGCACTTAAAAAAATATCAAGAATATTTTTAGATACGAATTATTACACAACATTGTTCTACAAAATGAGAATCATTTGTCTTCTGTCTATTCGTATAAATTAGAGAAATAAATATATATTTATATAGAAATTACAAACTAGTTGCTAATTTATATTTTCTTAAAAATTTTTTTCACATAAAAGACATATGCCAGCAACTTTCTGATTCTAAACATTTTGTTGCAAAACAATATGTATTATATTATACTCTTAAAAAAATTTACTTATATATTTTTATAAGATATTTAAATTTATAAAAATTTTTATTTAAAAAATTAAATTAATAAATAAAATTAATTAAATTTAATGAAAGTTAAATTATGAAAATTTAATACTTAATTGAAATTGACGAAAAAATTCTTATATATATTAAAATCGATATTGAAATTTTCTTTGGATATGTGTAATAAATGTTTAATTTTTAATTAATAGTTAATTGAACCTTCCTTAGATAGTTATGTATTATTTATGTATTTATATAATTAATTATATATGTATAATTAATACAGAGTAAGTTGCATAATTTTTATAAATCAAAGATAAAGAAAACAAACTACCTGGGCCATTAAAATCTCGCCGAGGACACAATATAGGCACATATGCACAAATAAATTAAAAATGGTTGATATGAAATACACCAAATGAAAGAGCGATAAATCATTTCCTTCGTCGAATAGCTAATCAATTTTCAATTAAAATTTAAATATTATTAATTAAAATTGCTAAAAATGGAAATTTAAGTACTAATTTGCGAATTTATGATATAAGATGCTATGTAAAAATTATATATAAATTTTTTTTTTCATTTGTGATATATTTCGCTTTTTGTGATATATAAACATTATTCATCTTTTTTATTATATATTTTAAAAGATCAAATTAAGTTTTAAGTTAAGTTTCGAGACACTTACGCTAATTATTCGGAAACCGTAGAAAGCAAAGAGGATCGCAAAGTACGCGAATAACGCGAGAAGTGTTATATTGTATGTATCTTCGATAATGTTAATCGCTCTATCAATAAAGAAATATATATGCATAATATCAAAAGTGGTATTACACGCAAATTTTTCGTCAACCGGTGTTCACGTTTGTATATAAATAAGCAAACCTGAGCAAACGAATGTGTTTCACTACGCAGCTTTTCATCATGTCGCGCGAATTGACATATTTGTGCAAATGCGTCAAACGATTCTTGAGAATGTCCAGTTGGCTGCATATGTGAAATATCAGCAGACCGAGAAAATTGTCAATCCCGGTGTAAGACATGATGGCGAGGCTGATGTAGACGGCCTGGCTGACAAATGTCAGTTGATAGTACGGTCTCTTCGTGATGTCGTAGACGTAATGAGTTTGCAACGGCAATGGTCTGATGCCCGGATCGGTGATGTTCGATGTCAATCTCGTTGACAGCCCGAAACCCGGTAGAACGATGACGAAAGCGCACGCTATTCCCATTAAAGAATACGTGCAAGTGACAATTATGCGCGCGGTTTGCGCCCTTCTGATCATTATCTGTCTCTCTTGCGCGTTCTCGTGCGCCCTTATCCAATCCTCCACGATCATACTCATAATCGGTACGATAGCTTCAAATGTGTCAATAGCAAATTAAGGGATTTAACTGCGCATTTAAGAGTATCGCTAAATTGGCAGAGACTATAGGTCAAGATTAATCCCAGAAAAGTTTAAAGGAAAAGAAGAAAAAAGCATTGAAAATAATTTCTCTTATCTCACATGTTTGACAAAAAGATGAGAACATATTATTATAACATGTATAATTTATATAATATTATAATATATATGTATATATATATATATATATATATAAATTTTTATATAAATAATATGATGAATATATGTTTTTAACAAAATTACAAGTTTATCGTGCAGGGAGAATCTTAAAAATTGTGAAAATCATATACGTATGTATACATATAATAAGATATATATATATATATATATATATTTTATATATATATATAATATCGATTATATGAATACATACATATATGATTTTTACAATTTTTAAGATTTTCCCTGCACGATAAACTTGTAATTTTGTTAGAAACATATATTCTTTATATTATTTATATAAAAGGAAGCGTTATAATTCAATTTTCGCATATTTTATAAAAATATAGATTAAGGGGATATACATATTTCTGTGTCTACCTTCTTTTTTCCACCAAAAAATCGCGATCCTTATCCAACAGCTGATGCCCGGCAAAGTGAATTGTAAATTATCCATCACTAGCATGATATCCCTTCGAAATATTATCAGGGCGTGTATAGAAGGGATTAGAATGACAAAAGTTAGCCCCAGAAAAACGAAAAGCACTCGAAGATTGCACAGTAATTTCTCTCGTGGGCTTTGCGCGATTTTAGGCCAAAGTCCGATAATGTTTAGAGACAAACGATTCAGTTTCACCGCCCATTCAAAATCTACCTGTAGAAATCTCAATAAGTTGAAATTCAAGGAAATCACCATATAAGTATCACAAATAAATTCCGAATTAAAATGGAAAATGTCGTGAAATGCGTAAATTATCCAAGAACAAAATATAATTTCTGTTAAACAAATGATTAGCACAAATATTCAAAAATAATGATATTAATTAATTGTATTAATAATAAATAGCAGCACAATAAAATTCATAGCAATTTCAAGTTGTCGCAATCAGATGTGGTTTACATCTCTTTTTAATTGTCACGACACTAATAAATAAAAAGATAGATATATTTTGTTGAAATATGAGGTGAGAAAATAAAATACTTAAGAAAGGAAATATTGCACATGCGTAGGAGAAAGATATTTTTGACAAGACAGCTCTCTTTTAAAATTGCAGCTACTGTTATAAGCACCTCGATATCCGGCGTACTTAGAACCATTCATGTTAAATGTTGTTCAAAGACTGACGTCCGCTCCTTCGTCGAAAATAACGTTACCTTGTTACATCTCTCGCGCATGCTCAGGTTATATAGATAAGTCTTAAAAACTTTCGATAAAATATTCCTTATAATAATCGACCCTTCAAGTTTCAACGTTTCAGCACAAAAAATGCGTCGCGCAAAATATTCGCGTGCGAGCAAAATAAATTAATAATAACAGACGAGAGAAAAAGGGAGCTCGCGTGTTATCATCCATTATATTTTCACGCTTTTACGTAATCGGCTATAGCAGTCTACAGTTTTGCTGTAGTCAATAATCGATCATATAAATTATATAATTTTATCGTACACGTGTCATCTTCTTTTGGAGGGAAGGTAGAGAAATAAAAAAAGAAATAACTTTGTTAATTCTGAATTTTTTTTTGTAAAATCGAATACGCTCTTGTTAGATATTAAGCGTATTAAGCAAGAATATTCCAATGGCAGATAAAAACTAATTATAAAAATATTATATATTCTTAATTTTAAATCCTAAATTTTGAACTCTTAGATTCATGAGAGACTTGAAATTGGTTGTTCATACTTATGTATGTATATTTCATTGGTGAATTTATAATAATACTTAGTGATGCAAAATGCAAGAAAAATCTTTTGCGCTAACAAGCATGGAAATAAATAATTTACAAATACCTTATTTTTATTTTGATATATTTCTGTTATCATTCTAATGTAATAATCTAATATTAGAAAATTAGTATGAGAAATTAGGAAAAATATATCTTTAAATAGCCCGAAAATAAGAATTCTTTAAATACAGGTTTTAGTTTTTTGACAAGATAACACACTTTTCTTTAGAAACTTTTTAAAAAATTGTTTATTGAATTTAATCAAACTTTTATTATTTATAAATAAAAATATTTGTCTATAAAAAATTATACACAATTATTTGAATAGATATCAATTACTTTAGAGAAAAAAGAAAGTGTTTTAATTTTACTTGTAATTTTACAGTTTATCGATCGTTGACATATATGAAATTATTTTCATCCAGTGTTATGTTTTATGTGCAATGATTTTATGAGTTTTAACGAAATATTTACAGAACGTAATTCTTGCAGTAGTTTGCATATTTTGAACATTCAGATATTTGTATAATAGCAAATCTTTCTGCTTCTTTTACAATTTTGTGGAATTTGCAGATTATTTCAATCAATTATGCAATAAAATTTATAATTTATTTACAAATAACAACATATTTGATAAGTAAACAGTTTTCAAAGTCATCCTATTCTGTCGGAAATTGCATAAAAAATTATTTCTAATTCTTTCTATTTATTTATATTATTTACTACTTATTCTCACTTTTCATTAACTTCTCGTTGTATGCAAAACAGATATATAACCGGCTGATGTTTTTAGCAGCTAAAAACATACTTTTTCTAGTAAAATGCAATTAATAATAATATAATAATAATAATAATGTTAGTATCTTAGTGTGTGTAATTATTTGCAAAGTTGATGTTTGTGCGTAGAGAGGTGTAAAAAGATTAAATTTGTGAACTTAAAAATTATTGTGAAATACTAGAAATTATTGTATAAAAGATCTTAACGAGATTTTAGTGCTATTTAAATGGTGTCATTTAATACAATTGTACAATTAAACATTAAAATATCTTACACTACAGAATGTAGCCATTGTCATGGGAAATACTTTTCCAGCGGTGAGATAGACCGGTTGAGCGCCTCTGATTAATAATGGCAATAAATTCCTCGCATCTTTCGTATCCGCCAAGTACCATTCATTGTCGTATGCCGCATAATATATATCATTGCACTTAAAAAAATATCAAGAATATTTTTAGATACGAATTGTTACACAACATTGTTCTACAAAATGAAAATCATTTGTCTTCTGTCTATTCGTATAAATTAGAGAAATGAATATATATTTATATAGAAATTACAAACTAGTTGCTAATTTTATTTAAAAAAAATTTTTTTTTACATAAAAGGCATATGCCAGCAACATTTTAATTCTAAACATTCTGTTGTAAAACAATATCTATTATATTATACTTTTAAAAAAGTTTATGTGATATGTATATATTTTTATAAGATATTTAATTTAAAAAATTTTTATTTGATAATCAAAATAAATAAAATATAATTAATTGAATTTAATGAAAATTGAATTATGAAAATTTAATGTTTAATTGAAATTGTCGAAAAATTTTTATATATATATTAAAATCGATATAAAATTTTCTTTGTATATGTGTAATAATTGTTTAATTTTTAATTAATAGTTAATTAAGCCTTTCTTAGATAGTTATGTATTATATATTTATATAATTAATCTAATTAATATAGAGTAATATGCATTATTTTTATATATAAAAAAACGACATAATTTACCTGGCCCATTAAAATCTCGCCGAGAGCACAATATAGGCACATATGCACAAATAAATTTAAAATGGTTGATATAAAATACACCAAATGAAAGAGCGATACATCATTTTCTTCGTCGAATAGCTAATTAATTCTCAATTAAAATTTAAAATCTATTAATTAAAATTGCTAAAAATGGAAACTTAAGTACTAATTTGCGAATTTATGATATAAATTTGCTATGTAAAAATTATATATAAATTTTTTTCATTTTAATTTGTGATATATTTCACTTTTTGTGATATATAAACATTATTCATCTTCTTTATTATATATTTTAAAAGATCAAATTAAGTTTTAAATTAAGTTTCGAGTCACTTACGTTAATTATTTGGAAACCGTAGAAAGCAAAGAGGATCGCAAAGTACGCGAATAACGCGAGAAGCATTATATTGTATGTATCTTCGATAATGTCAATTGCTCTATCAATAAAAAAATATATATGCATAATATCGATATCAAAAGTAGCATTACACGCATATTTTTCGTCGACTCGTGTTCGCGTTTGTATATAAATGAACAAACCTGAGCAAACGAATGTGTTTCATCACGCAGCTTTTCAGCATGTCCCGCGAATTGACATATTTGTGCAAATGCGTCAAACGATTCTTAAGAATGTCCAGTTGGCTGCATATATGAAAAATCAGCAGACCGAGAAAATTGTCAATCCCGGTGTAAGATATCATGGCGAGACTGATGTAGACGGCCTGGCTGACAAATGTCAGTTGATAGTACGGTCTCTTCGTGATGTCGTAGACGTAATGAGTTTGCAACGGCAATGGTCTGATGCCCGCGTCGGTGATGTTCGGTGTCAGTCTTATTGACAGCCCGAAACCCGGCAGAATCATGACGAAAGCGCACGTTATTCCCATTAAAGAATACGCGCAAGTGACAATTATGCGCGCGGTTTGCGCCCTTCTGATCATTATCTGTCTCTCTTGCGCGTTCTCGTGCGCCATTATCCAATCCTCCACAATCATACTCATAATCGGTACGATAGCTTCAAAAGTGTCAATAGCAAATTGAAGGATTTAACTGCGTATTTAAGAGTATCGCTAAATTGGCAGAGACTATACGTCAAGATTAATCCCAAAAGAGTTTAAAGAAAAAGAAGAAAAAAACATTGAAAATAATTTCTCTTATCTTACATGTTTGACAAAAAGAAGAGAACATATTATTATAATATATACTAATTTATACATAATATTATAATATATGTGTGTGTATATATATATATATACCATATATATAAATTTTTATATAAATAACATGATAAATATATGTTTTTAACAAAATTACAATTTTATCGTGCAGGGAGAATCTTAAAAATTGTGAAAATCATATACGTATGTATACATATAATAGATATATTAAAATATATATATAATATAAATTATATATTAAATATAATATATAAATATTTAATATATAATTTATATTATATATATATATATTTAATATATTGTATCTATTATATGTATACATACATATATATGATATTCACAATTTGTTAGATTTTTCCTGCACGATAAACTTATAATTTTGTTAGAAACGTATTCTTCATATTATTAATATAAAAGGAAGCGTCATAATTCAATTTTCGCTTATTTTATAAAAATATAGATTAAGGGGGATATACAATACATATTTCTGCGTCTACCTTCTTTTTTCCACCAAAAAATCGCGATCCTTATCCAACTGCTGATGCCCGGTAAAGTGAATTGTAAATTATCCATCACTAGCATGATATCCCTTCGAAATATTATCAGGGCATGTATAGAAGGGGTTAGAATAACAAAAGTTAGCCCCAGAAAAACGAAGAGCACTCGAAGATTGCACAGTAATTTCTCTCGTGGGCTTTGCGCGATTTTAGGCCAAAGTCCGATAATGTTTAGAGACAAACGATGCAGTTTTACTGCCCATTCGAAATCTACCTGTAGAAATCTCAATAAGTTGAAATTCAAGGAAATCACCATATAAGTATCACAAATAAATTCCGAATTAAAATAAAAAATGTCGTGAAATACGTAAATTATCCAAGAACAATATATACTTTCTGTTAAACAAATTATCAGCACAAATATTCAAAAATAATGATATTAATTAATTGTATTAATAATAAATAGCAGCACAATAAAATTCATAGCAATTTCAAGTTGTCGCAATCAGATATGGTTTACATCTTTTTATAATTGTCACGACACTAATAAATAAAAAGATAAAAATATTTTGCTGAAATATGAGGTGAGAAAATAAAATGCTCAAGAAAAAAAATATTTCACACGTGTAGGATAAAGATATTTTTGACAAGACTGCCTTCTTGTAAAATCGTAGCCACTGTCATAAGCACCTCGATATCCGGCGTACTTAGAACTATTCATGTCAAATGTTGTTCAAAGACTGACGTCCGCTCCTTCGTCGAAAAATAACGTTACCTTGTTATATCTCTCGCGCATGCTCAGGTTATATAGATTTAGAAACTTTCGATAAAATATTCCTCATAATAATCGACTCTTCAAGTTTCAACGTTTCAGCACAAAAAATGCGTCGCGCAAAATATTCGCGTGCGAGCAAAAAAAATTAGTAATAACAGACGAGAGAAAAAGGGAGCTTGCGTGTTATCATCCATTATATTTTCACGCTTCTACGTAATCGGCTATAGCAGTCTACAGTTTTGCTGTAGTCAATAATCGATCATATAAATTATATAATTCTATCGTACACGTGTCATCTTCTTTTAGAGGGAAGGTAGAAAAATAAAAAAAAAAAATAACTTTGTTACCTCTGAATTTTTTTTTGTGAAATAGAATTCTTTTCTTGTTGGATATTAATTTCAATAGCAGATAAAAACTAATTATAAAAATATTATATCTTCTTAATTTCAAATCCTAAATTTTGAACTCTTAGATTCATGAGAGACTTGAAATTGGGTGGTCATACTTATGTATGTATATTTCATTAGTGAATGTATAATAATACTTGGTGATGCAAAATACAAGAAAAATCTTTTGCGCTAACAAACATGGAAATAAATAATTTACAAATACCTTATTTTTATTTTGATATATTTCTGTTATCATTCTACTTATGTAATAATCTAATATTAGAAAATTAGTATAAGAAATTAGAAAAATATATTTTTAAATAGCCCGAAAATAAGAATTCTTTTGAATACAGGTTTTAATTTTTTTGACAAGATAACACACTTTTCTTTAGAAACTTTTTAAAAAATTACTTATTAAATTTAATCAAACTTTTATTATTTATGAATAAAAATATTTGTCTATAAAAAATTATACACAATTATTTGAATAGATATCAATTACTTTAGAGAAAAAAGAAAGTGTTTTAATTTTACTTGTAATTTTACAGTTTATCGATTGTTGACAATATGAAATTATTTTCATCCAGTGTTATGTTTTATGTGCAATGATTTTATGAAGTTTTAACGAAATATTTACAGAACGTAATTCTCGCAGTAGTTTGCATATTTCGGACATTCAGATATTTGTAATGGCAAAATTTTTTCTTTTTTTTTTACAATGTTGTGGAATTTGCAGATTATTTCAATCAATTATGCAATAAAATTTATAATTTATTTACAAATAACAACATATTTGATAAGTAAACAGTTTTCCAAAGTCATCCTATTCTGTCGGAAATTGCATAAAAAAATTATTTCTATATCTTCTTATTTATTTATATTACTTACTACTTATTCTCACTTTTCATTAACTTCTCGTCGTATGCAAAACAGATATATAACCGGCTGATGTTTTTATCAGCTAAAAACATATTTTTTCTAGTAAAATGCAATTAATAATAATATATTAATAATAATAATGTTAGTACCTTAGTGTGTGTAATTAATCGCAAAGTTGAAGTCTGTGCGTAGAGAGGTGTAAAAAGATTAAATTTGTAAACTTAAAAAGTATTGTGAAATACTAGAGATTATTATATAAAAGATCTCAACGAGATTTTAGTGCTATTTAAATGGTGTCATTTAATACAATTGTACAATTAAACATTAAAATATCTTACACTACAGAATGTAGCCATTGTCATGGGAAATACTTTTCCAGCGGTGAGATAGACCGGTTTAGCGCCTCTGATTAATAATGGCAATAAATTCCTCGCATCTTTCGGATCCGCCAAGTACCATTCATTGTCGTATGCCGCATAATATATATCATTGCACTTAAAAAAATATCAAGAATATTCTTAGGTACGAATTGTTACACAACATTGTTCTACAACAAAATGAGAATCATTTGTCTTCTGTTTATTCGTATAAATTAGAGAAATGAATATATATTTATATAGAAATTACATACTAGTTGCTAATTTTATTTTCTTAAAAATTTTTTTTACATAAAAGACGTATGCCAGCGACTTTCTAATTTTAAACATTCTGTTGCAAAACAATATGTATTATATTATACTTTTAAAAAAGTTTATGTGATATGTATATATTTTTATGAGATATTTAATTGTATAAAAATTTTTATTTGATAATTTAAATTAATAAATAAAATTAATTGAATTTAATGAAAATTAAATTATGAAAATTTAATGCTTAATTGAAATTGTTGAAAAAAATTCTTATATATGTATTAAAATCGATATTAAAATTTTCTTTGTATATGTGTAATAAATATTTAATTTTTAATTAATAGTTAATTAAGCCTTCCTTAGATAGTTATGTATTAATTATATATTTATATAATTAATTTAATTAATATAGAGTAATATGCATTGTTTTTATATATAAAAAACGACATAATCTACCTGGGCCATTAAAATCTCGCCGAGAGCACAATATAGGCACATATGCACAAATAAAGTTAAAATGGTTGATATTAAATACACCAAATGAAAGAGCGATAGATCATTTCCTTCGTCGAATAGCTAATCAATTCTCAATTAAAATTTAAAATTTATTAATTAAAATTGCTAAAAATGAGAACTTAAGTACTAATTTGCGAATTTATGATATAAATTTGCTATATAAAAATTATATATTAATTTTTTTTATTTTAATTTGTGATATATTTCACTTTTTGTGATATACAAACATTATTCATCTTTTTTATTATATATTTTAAAAGATCAAATTAAACTTTGAATCAAGTTTCGAGATACTTACGCTAATTAATCGGAAACCGTAGAAAGCAAAGAGGATCGCAAAGTACGCGAATAACGCGAGAAGCGTTATATTGTATGTATCTTCGATAATGTCAATCGCTCTGTCAATAAAGAAATATATATCCATAATATCGATATCAAAAGTAACATTACACGCATATTTTTAGTCGACCCGTTTTCGCGTTTGTATATAAATGAGCAAACCTGAGCAAACGAATGTGTTTCATCACGCAGCTTTTCATCATGTCCCGCGAATTGACATATTTGTGCAAATGCGTCAAACGATTCTTGAGAATGTCCAGTTGGCTGCATATATGAAAAATCAGCAGACCGAGAAAATTGTCAATGCCGGTGTAGGACATCATGGCGAGACTGATATAGACGGCCTGGCTGACAAATGTCAGTTGATAGTACGGTCTTTTCGTGATGTCGTAGACGTAATGAGTTTGCAACGGCAATGGTCTGATGCCCGGGTCGGTGATGTTCGGTGTCAGTCTCGTTGACAGCCCGAAACCCGGCAGAATGATAACGAAAGCGTACGCAATTCCCATTAGAGAATACGCGCAAGTGACAATTATGCGGGCGGTTTGCGCCCTTCTGATCATTATCCGTCTCTCTTGCGCGTTCTCGTGCGCCCTTATCCAATCTTCCACGATCATACTCATAATCGGTACGATAGCTTCAAAAGTGTCAATAGCAAATTAAGGGATTTAACTGCGCATTTAAGAGTATCACTAAATTGGCAGAGACTATAGATCAAGATTAATCCCCAAAAAGTTTAAAGGAAAAGAAGAAAAAAGCATTGAAAATAATTTCTCTTATCTCACATGTTTGACAAAAAGAAGAGAACATATTATTATAACATGTATAATTTACATAATATTATAATATGTATATACTATATATATGTGTATATATATATATATATATGTATATATATATATATATATATAAATTTTTATATAAATAATATGATGAATATATGTTTCTAACAAAATTACAAGTTTATCGTGCAGGGAGAATCTGTAAAATTGTTAAAATCATAAATGTATGTATACATATAATAGATATATTAAAAAATATATATAATATAAATATATATTAAATATAATATATAAATATTTAATATATAATTTATAGTATATATATATATTTTAATATATTGTATCTCTATTATATGTATACATACATATATGATTTTCACAATTTTTAAGATTCTCTTTGCACGATAAACTTGTAATTTTGTTAGAAACATATATTCTTCATATTATTTATATAAAAGGAAGCGTCATAATTCAATTTTCGCATATTTTATAAAAATATAGATTAAGGGGGATATACATATTTCTACGTCTACCTTCTTTTTTCCACCAAAAAATCGCGATCCTTATCGAACAGCTGATGTTCGGCAAAGTGAATTGTAAATTTTCCATCACTAGCATGGTATCCTCTCGAAATATTATCAGGGCGTGTATACAAGGGATCAGAATGACAAAAGTTATCCCCAAAAAAACGAAGAGCACTCGAAGATTGCTCAGTAATTTCTCTCGTGGGCTTTGCGCGATTTTAGGCCAAAGTCCGATAATGTTTAGAGACAAACGATGCAGTTTTACTGCCCATTCGAAATCTATCTGTAGAAATCTCAATAAGTTGAAATTTAAGGAAATCACCATATAAGTATCACAAATAAATTCCGAATTAAAATAGGAAATGTCGTGAAATACGTAAATTATCCAAGAACAATATATACTTTCTGTTAAACAAATTATCAGCACAAATATTCAAAAATAATGATATTAATTAATTGTATTAATAATAAGTAGCAGCACAATAAAATTCATAGCAATTTCAAGTTGTCGCAATCAGATGTGGTTTACATCTCTTTTTAATTGTCACGACACTAATAAATAAAAAGATAGATATATTTTGCTGAAATATGAGGTGAGAAAATAAAATGCTCAAGAAAAAAAATATTTCACACGTGTAGGATAAAGATATTTTTGACAAGACTGCCTTCTTGTAAAATCGCAGCCACTGTCATAAGCACCTCGATATCCGGCGTACTTAGAACTATTCATGTCAAATGTTGTCGAAAGACTGACGTCCGCTCCTTCGTCGCAAAATAACGTAAACTTGTTATATCTCTCGCGCATGCTCAGGCTATATAGAGAAGAGTCTTAAAAACTTCCGATAAAATATTTTTCATAATAATCGACCTTTCAAGTTTCAACGTTTTATCACGAAAAATGCGTCGCGCAAAATATTCGCGTGCGAGCAAAAAAAAATTAGTAATAACAGACGAGAGAAAAGGGAGCTCGCGTGTTCATCCATTATATTTTCACGCTTCTACGTAATCGGCTATAGCAGTCTACAGTTTTGCTGTAGTCAATAATCGATCATATAAATTATATAATTCTATTGTACACGTGTTTTTTCTTTTGAAGGGAAGGAAGAGAAATAAAAAAGAAAATAACTTTGTTACCTCTGAATGTTTTTTCGTAAAATAGAATTCTCTTTCGTTGAATATTAAGCGAATTAAGCAAGGATATTCTAATAGCAGACAAAAACTAATTATAAAATTATTATATATTCTTAATTTTAAATTCCAAATTTTGAACTCTTACATTCATGAGAGACTTCAAATCGGCTATTTATACTTATGTATATTTTATTGGAGAATGTAATGATACTTGGTGATGTAAAATGTAATAAATATCTTTTGCGCTAAGAAACATTGAATTAAATAATTTATGAATACTTTATTTCTATTTTGAATAGTTATATCTTTGTTGTCATTCTATATTTATGTAATTATCTAATTGGAGATTATTGCACCTACTCTACTGGAATAAATACTATATTAATATGATTTTCATACTTTTTTATCCTCGTTTTGCTAATAAAAACGATATGTAGCCAGCCGATGTTTTTAATAGCTGAAACATAAACATGTAATGAGATGAAGCTTTCAATTAGCAAACATACGATAATTTTTTTTTGTAAAAGTAATTTCGAATACATATGCTTTTGTATAATATTTGTTATATTTTTTAATAATAATTAAGAAATATTTTTTTGAAAAAATACGAATTATATTACACATAATAAATAAATAAATAAATAATCTTACGCTGCAAAACGTGGTCATAGTGAGAGGAAATATTTTTCCTGCTGTGATACGGAAGGTTTGATTAGCTCGTCTCATTAACAGGATAAGATTCTTTGCTTCCCTCGGTTCTAGTTTGTACCATTCAACATCGCATATAGTGCGATATACATTTTCGCACTTAACAGTCAATAAAACATACTTAATGAGAAGCAGAATAACGAATATGGCATATATTACATGTGTAATAGATATTGTAACGAATTTTTATGCTCTCTACTTATAAACTCTTTAGAGTTTGTAATGACTCACTTGCATTGTTACAATTTCCCCGGCACCGCAATAAAGAAAAGTATGAGAGAACAAAATACTCATGCCAATTAACGGGAAACATAATCGCGAGAAGGAAAAAGTTTCTTCGGTGATCACCTGGACAATATACCTTGCTAATTAATAAAAACAGATTAATGTGAATCGGATCATGCAATATATGCGCTTTGAACAAAAAATAAGAAAAGATAAAAAATATTTCTTATTCCGATAAGAGTATAAAAGTGCCTAAAATTTATTAAAATATCTATTTAAGAAACTTACAGTAAGCAACAGAAATCCATGTAGACAAAATACAATACCAAAATAAATCACTAGACCCAACATCATTAACGTAAAAGTATCTTCAATTATATTAGCAAATCTGCAATATATTTAATAATAAGAGTATATATTTTTCATTATTTTTAATATATTTAGTATAAATTATTAGTTAAAAAATTTTTTAATAATAATGTATTATAACATTTTCCGCAATCTCTTTAAAATAAATACCAACATTGATGTATTATTATTAGATTAATATAAAATATCTTTAATTATATTGGCAAATCTGCAGTATATTTAAATAGAGTATATATTTTTCATTATTTTTAATATATTTAATATAAATTATTAGTTAAAAAAATTGTTTAATAATAATGTATAATAATACTTTTCGCAATTAATTACAAACAGCTTCAAAAAATTGTTCTAGATTTTGTTTCTTATAATTATATTATTGATTGACATTTGCAGATACCTGATGAGCCGTACATGATTCAGCACATTGTTGCTCAGAGCACAGATGAAATTCTGGCACGAAGTCAATATGGCTATGCGACCTCTGAAGTTTTCCAACTGGCCGCAGAAGTGAAGGATCGTGAGTCCAAGAAAGCCGTCCACCGACGTGTAAGTAACAGCGGCCAGGAAGATGGTGATGGCTTGAATGATGTACGTCAGCTCGAATTGCGGGCTCGGATCTGTGTCGTAAAAATAATAAGTCTGCAACGGCAACGGCTTGCCCGGATCCGTGAGATTCGTCGTGTGTCTTGTCAGCAACAAGCCGAAATACGGAAGAACGACGACCACGACGAACGCCATAACCATCATGACGTATCCGCTGATGATGATCGTCCGAGCAATCTGCGCTCGTCCTATCATCACGTTCCTCTCCTTCATCGTTTTCATTTCCGTCCAGTCCTCCGCCATCATATTCACGATGGATAAAAGCGCTTTGTGTAAAATACAGTAATTATTTAAAAAATTGTATTACATTTTATTTCTCATTTTATTAAAAAAAAAAACATTGAATGATAAAAGTGCCATATTTTAAGGAGACACATTCTTCTTCTTCATATTTTTTATGATGTGAATATTATAAAGTTAAATATTGTAAATTTTGATTTTCTCGCGAAATATACAGATTTCAAGGTAATTTTAGCTGCACACATACCTGTCCGTTTCCATCGCATGACGGCAAGTTTTAATGAGACCATTAGCAAGGGTAAAGTAATTTGGAGATTGTCTACCATAAGTATCATATCGCCCCAGACTCGTATGAGGGAACATATGAGCGGAATGCCGGAGATAAACGTCACTATAATGAAAATAATGGCCACGCGAAGATCGGAAGCGAATTTATTCTTAGCAATTTCATCGTTTCTCGGCCATAAACCGATCAGTTCCAAACCTAAACGATTTAATTTCACCGCCCATACAAAATCTAGCAATATTTAAATATTAGAAAGTGAGTTTGAGAAATTAGAAGAAATGATATATCTTTAAATAGGCTAAAAATAATTTTAATTTTAAAAGTTTATTAAGTATAGAAAAATCTTTTGTTTTTGGCCTGTCTAAAGATATATATTTCCTTAAAATACAAAAATTGTAAATATTTGTATATTAAAATGTGTAAATCCCTCTAAAAAATTTATAAAAAAGTTGAACATGACAATTATGATTTCACGTATCTATAATGATTTTTTATATTATGAAAAAAATGTATAATTTAATTCAATCTGGGAATTACGATTTTTAAATTTATAAAACTATTATGGATGTGTAAAAATTCACGCACACAAGCTCTCTCCTGTTACACGGCACAGTTTCTCTATATTTCACCAACGATACGGTAATAGAAACTTTCAAAAAGTATAATTGTCACTTTGAATAGCCGAGGAGAAAGAAAAATACGTAATATACGTTCATACCTCTGTAACCCGGATGTTTGGTAATGTCCATATCGAAGACTAAAGCTCCCTCCACGAATGACCGGACTTATCGAAGACGATGATCATCACGCATGCTCAGTCGTTTCGTCGAAGGAATGCATTAAATATTAAATATACAAATGTTAATGACACAGCCAGTTAATAACACAGCCGTTCGTTTCGTGCGACGAAACTTTATGCGAAACTTTAACAGGGGACGTCGTTAAAGGCAACGATGGATATCTACTTATATGTGAAGAAAGGGAGTTGTGTTGAAGGTAAGTTCGTCGAATTTTTTATTGTGCAAGTTTCTTCGTGCCTTATAACGATACGTGTGTAACGAGAGATGATGTTGCATTTTTAATATCTATATAGGGAAAGTCCCTCTTTTCTTTCTTAAGAAAGGAAGACAATGGAAAGCTCCAGTCACTCATTGTCAGGCAAAAAAAGTGCGAAAAAAAATGTACAATGTCTCGTATAAATTGTAAAAATATCGTGAATGGTTATCTCTAAAGCATATTTCTTGATAATAAATGTTAATAAATACGATACTATTAAATGGGATCTAATATATGTATGTATCTATATTTATTATCTCTTCAAAAAATAAATGCAAATTGTTTTTCAACAGTTATAATAATTACTATTAAATTATTATATATACTTTTAACAATTTTTAAATCTTGGATGTGTAGATTGTGTTAAGTACTCATTATTATCGTTTTGGTTTTATTATAATAACTATAATATACGTAAAACATATCTTTGTCTCTGATATCATTGATTTATACTACTTACGCGAACTAGTAGAAAAAAATATCGTAAGTTTTTTCGTGGATAGGGATTCTAAATAAATATAAAATCATTAAATATTTCATTTAGAATAATATAATTTATATACCTAAATAACAAATGATTTCTATTCTCTCTAATCCAGTTATTAATTATTATTAATTTCTGGTCATAATTTTACCTGATCGGAAAAATGTGTTATTACTTATCTTCCTTCAATTTCTGAAGAGATGATGTAATGCTTCTCTTATGTTTCAGTTTCGCGATTTGCTAATAAAAACGATATATAACCGGCCGATGTTTTTAATAACTGAAAAACATTTATTTGTACATTTTTAGACGTGTGGGAGACTTTGCTTGAACTCTACTTGCAAAGAGATATTTTAATTACAGACTATTAATTATCTTACGCTGCAGAATGTGGTCATCGTTAATGGAAATATTTTTCCCGCAGTGATGTGAAAAGGTTCGTTGGCTCGTAGCATCATTAAAATCAGGTTTTTTCCCTGTTTCGGCCTTAACTTGTACCATTCAAGATCGCATATAACGTTATATATCGCCTTGCACTTAGTACAGCACATAATACGGATATATCTGTGTTATTTCAATATACCGACATATTTTTCGTTACACAAATTAGAAGTAAGATTTAATTGAATTCGGTTTTTTATTTTTATGTATAGAGAAAAAGGAAAAAAATAAAAAATCCTTAGCTTAATAAATACAAGAAAAAATTTTTTAAAATATGTCTATAAAATTCTTACATATAATTAAATAATAAAATTATAAAATAATATTAAATAATAAAATTATTATATAGTTAAATTTAAAAACACTCTTATATAATAAATATTTTGAGTATGTATATAATATATATAATAATGTTTTCTAAATAATTTAATATCTATAAATTTTATATATCAAATTAACAAATAAAATTATAATATGTAATGTGTACAAAAGTTATTTATTGTTAATTTAAAAATATAATTATAATTAAACTTGATATAATGCGTGATCTATTTTATACCGATTATAACATATAATGCTTTTATATTTTGTTTATATATATATAATATATAACTTACTTGTTCTGTTAGAATTTCTCCGGCGACACAATAGAGAAACGTGTGCGCCAATAAAGTAACAATACCGATCATTAAGAAGCATATTCGTGTAGGGGACATGTTACTTATCTTGTCACCAGTAAACACCTAGATAAAACATTTTGTTAATTAATAACAATGTTACGATCACAGAGATAAGATATTCTACCTAACTTTATATTATTAAAAGTTATTAAAAATATGAAAAATTATTAAAGTTATTATAGTTAAAAATACAAAAAAAGAGAGAGAAAGAGAAAAAAAAGAGAGAGAAAGATGCCTCAAGATTTTCGTGCGCTTTCTACTAACACTTACAGTAACCAACAGAAATCCGAATAGACAAAATACAATACCAAAATAGAATACTAGTCCCAACATCATTAAAGTAAACGTATCTTCGATGTTTGCTGCGAATCTGTAAATATAAAACACATTTTGAAAGATTTTACAAAAATTAAAAAAGATATATAAGTTTAATTATATACGCTCACTCCAAAAAAGTGGTAAAACTTAAAATTTGGAAAAATTGCCAAATTTTAAATAACAATAACTTTGTAAATAATAAAGATAAAAAGGTTTTTAAAAAATGAAAATAAAGCTTGGAATCTCTACTTTAAGAATCTATTTATTTCAATGTTGCGAGATAAATTTATTAAAAATGGCGGATGACAAAACGAGAACATGCAAAATTGAAAAATAATGGTCTGGTTTGCCGCGGCACATGGTGTGAATCAAATGTTGCAACTCAATGGGATGAAAAGCATACGATAGTACAGAGTTTTCCCTTTAAAATACTTTTTTATTCATCTCGATAGGATGATTTTTCGCAGAGTTATTCGCATTTAAAGTAAAAAGCTGCTTTTTTATTCAAATGCGAATAACTCTGCCAAAAATTATTCTATCGAGATGAATAAAAAAGCATTTTAAAGGGAAAACTCTGTACTTTTGTCTGCTTTTTATCCCATTAAATTGCGACATTTGATTCACATCATGTGCCGTGGCAAATCGGACCATTATTTTTCAATTTTGCATGTTCTCGTTTTGTCATCCGCCATTTTTAATAAATTTATCTCGCAACATTGAAATAAATAGATTCTTAAAGTAGAGATTTCAAGCTTTATTTTTACTTTTTGAAAACCCTTCTATGTATATTATTTACAAAGTTATTGTAATTTGAAGTTTGGCGATTTTTTCTAAATTTAAGGTTTACCACTTTTTTGGAGTGAGTGTATATAACATCAAAAAAACTATGGAAAGAGAAAATTATTATTCTCTAAGAAATCTCTAAGAAAATTATTATTTACTCTTATATTTTTCTGTTGAACTGCGTTAGCATGCATAAAAATATTTTTATTTTAAATATTACAACAAAAATTTGTAGACACACCTTATCAGTCGTACATGGGTCTGTATGTTGTCGCGCAAAGCGCGATCGAAATTTTTGCGCGAGGTCAGGTCGACTAGTCGATGTTTGAAGTTCTCCATTTGACCGCTAATGTGAAAAATCGTGAGTGCGAGAAAACCGTCCACTGATGAGTAAGTTATCGCGCCCAGAAACATTGTCGCAGCCTGAACGCCAAGCGTGAGCTCGAACTGTGGGCTCTTATTTGTATCATAGAAATAATACGCCTCGAAGGGCAACAGTCTGTCGTGATCCGTGAGATTCGACAGGTACCGAAAATGTAGACCGAACGTCGGAAGAACGATTAGCACGATGAACGCGAATGTCATCAGACTGTATAAACTGATCACAATCAATCGAGCAACCCGGGCTCGTGCGATCATCACATGCCTCTCTGTGTTTATCCTCAACTCCACCCAATCTTCTGCCATCATTTTCACCATGAGCGAGACAGCTTGGAAATTTAATAAAATCATGTCTATTTCTTCTTTTTAATGTACACGTAAAATAAAATATATTAATAATATAAAACTATATACATATATTAAATGTAGAAGATAAATAAATATAAAAACGTAGATATTTGAGAATCGCCAGACAGAATTTAAAAAGTACTTTTATAAATAAATATATTAATAATTTAAAATGACAGAAATATATTTTTAATTGTAAATTTTTGATATTCTTTAATTTTAATACTAAATAAAGATTTTATTATTTAAAGATATATCAAATATAATTAAATTTAAAAATTTAATTAAAACTATTGGAAAAATATTATTGTACAGATTATATATAATCTTTATAATATAGTTTTTATTTTTAGTTTCATTTTCTCTAATGTTACAATTAACAAATAAATTACAATAAATAAAGCAATGAGACATTAAAAATCACAAAACAAAATTATAGAAAGAATCAAAAACATGCAATAATTTCAAACATATACCTCTACGTTTCCATCGCATAATGATCAATTTCAGCGAAACCACTACTAAAGGTAAAACAACTTGGAGGTTGTCTATCATAAGAATCATATCGCCCCAAATACGTACGAGAGAACATATGAGAGGGATAACTGATAAGAAAGTTACTATAACAAAAATAATGCTCACGCGAAGATCAGAGAGAAAGCTGTTCTTAGGTGCTTCATCGGTTCCGGGCCATAAACCGATCACTTCTAAACCGATTCGATTAAGTTCAATCGCCCACACAAAATCTAAGAAGAATTTTGACATTTTAAATAGTTAAAATGTTTGTTAAAAAGATATTATTAAAACTTTGAAAATCAAAAAATATAAGAGGCTTTGATGTTACATTCTTTATAGATTCAATTACTTATAAAATTTATGAAAACACTTTTTAATCTTCTCAGAGCTGAATAAAATTGTAAAAGAATTTGTGAGTTTGTAAATTTAAATACACGTCTAAAGTCATAATAAAAGTCTCCATTAGTCGAGCAATGAAAGATGAAATATAATACAAGAAGATGAAATATGCCACTAGAAATGTAACAAATTAGTTCTCTCTATAATTATTTATATTACATATGTATCAATATTAATCTTTTAAATTAATATAATAAAATAATTATACGAAAGCATCTTTCAAAGATAAATGTATATTGCATAATAAACGCTCGATACCTTTGTAACCTGAATGTCTAGTAATGTCCATGTCGAAGACTAAGGTGTTGAAGAGAAGTTCGGAAAGTTGCGAAAAATAAGCATTGCGCATGCTCGCGATACGAGGGTAACAACCAGGCTGTTTCCTCGACACATTAAATATTACAGATGTACTATCCCCAGTTGTGTATGATGACAACTTCACGTCTCGTAAAAAAAAAACTTTACGAACATAAGAGGCATCAATGTGCACTAATAGAAAGGGAGGTATGTTATGCCTCTATACTTAGCAAGCTCGTTGAACTTGTTACGTAAGTTTTTTTTTTCAGTTTCTCTCCCCGTACATATACTTTACTTCGTAACAAGAGATACTGGCATAGTTGAATTTTTAATAGATCCCGACAGAAGGAGTATGAGAACAAAAAATTGCGATGAAAAAAGGTGATGCGAAAAAAAGTTGCAAAGGGGTACGACGCGTTAGCTATACTTCTGTATACAACTTCGAATTATTATCGTAAGACTATGGTATTCTTGGTAGGTATGATATACTGAATAACATTGATACGCGAAGTGACGATATAATATATAAATTTTATAATTATATCTATTATACTGCTATTAATTTTTAATAATTTTCAATTTAAATAAATTCACATTGCAATTAATACAATTGTGTCACATTTTAGAGTCTAATGTATTTTTTAACACAAGACACGATGAATGAAATATTATATGTTTAGCAAATTTTTTTTATAAATTTATTTGTACGAAAAATAAAAACGTAGATATGAGATAAATTTAAGAAAGCAGATTCTCACATAACATATAAAATTTTGCAATAATAAAATTAACAAATAAGGAAATAAGTAAAACAAATATTTTATTTTTATCATAATCAGCAAATAGAATATCGGCTGTAATTTATAATTAGTAGCATTCTAATTAGTAGCATTCTCCCTTCATTATCTCGATATAAATATATACTGAGAATAACATACTAATAATCTTTCTATTTCAATTCTGTTTTGCTAATAAAAACGATATATAGCCAGCCGATGTTTTTAATAGCTGAAAAACAATATACATCTCTACTTAAATGTATCGAGATGAACGAAATATTGAGTGCGCGAAGAGATATTTTAACGTGTGTGAATCATTAATATAATCTTACGCTGCAAAATGTGGTCATCGTCAGCGGAATGATATTTCCAGCAGTGATGCGGAAAGGTTCACTCGCACAAATCATTAATAAAGTTAGGCTTCTTGCTTCTCTCGACTCCAGTTTGTACCAATCGAGATCGCACAAGATACGATATATAGCTTCGCACTTAACATTTATATACATAATGACACGTGGATATCCCAGTCTGTCGGCCGTTTCCACAAACATTAATTAATTTTAACTTGATTATAATATGAGATTCTCGTTTCGTTTTTTTTATTCAAGAGAGACCGAAAAATCAATTAATCTCGAATAAAATTAATGTTTATGGAAACGTGTATATGTATGTATATGAAATATAAATTGTATTTGAAATTTAAGCTATATAAATATATTGTATAAATATATAAATTGTAAAAACATAAATATATATTCGATATAAATATAAAACATCATATTTATATTCTTAATATTGAGAGAGCCGATAAAAATATTTCTTTCTGATAAATATAAAAATTGTATTTGAAATATAAGCTAATAATTCTTTAAATGTTTTCTTGGCAATTAAATTAACAAAAATGTAAGAAACGTGAGATTATAAAGTACAAATCTGTTTGTTGATTTAAAATATACATTACTGAATTAATTAAAATATATCACTGATTAATTAAAAAATAGCACATGACGTATTAAATTTATATTAAAATCCTTTGATACGTTTTGAATGAGATACATATATTACTTACGTGTTCTGCTAAAAGTTCGCCACCACCGCAATAAAGAAAGGTATTAAATAGTAGATTGAAGACACCAAACATCACGTAGCTTAATCGCGAGAGAGAGATACCATTTTCTTTGTCGGTGATTAACTAATGAGAATACAACATATATTTTACTCAAAAATAGATTAATATAAATTTTTCGTGATATAAATAAAAGTATTATAATCACAGACAAGATAAGTATATCATGTAATGTCATGTATTCCAAAAAAAAAAGGAAAAAAAATGTTGTTTTACTAAACATGTTACATACTTACAATGAGGAACAGAAATCCATATAGACAAAATACAATAGCAAAGTAGAATACTAGACCCAACATCATTAAAGCAAATACGTCCTCGATTTTATTGGCAAATCTATAAGAGTTCAAGCCAACGTGTTTAAAGGAGATTATACATATTTAAAAACAACGATATCTATTTAATTATCAATTCAAGAAGAATTGGTAGAAAACCTACGAAAAATCGTATACAATGACATCGGTGTCTATATAAGTATTTATAACATCGAAATCAAGCATCTACAAAGGATTTAATATTTAAGGGTGAAAATTATATAAAAAATTATATTTATAATTATAATATATATATAATATATAATATAAAATATATAATATATAGTATATAATATAAAATATATAATATATAATATAATTATATTTATAAATATATAATATAAATATATAATATAAATTTTTGTGCGAGAGATTCGACTTTTTAGTTGAAAATCTTTTCATTATTGTGAAACGTCATACTATTGTAATTAAAACCTGCGGAAACCTGATGAGCCGCAGATGAGCGATCACGTTGTCTCGTAGAGCGCGATCGAAATTTTTGCTCGAGGCTAAGCCGGCTAATCGACCTCTGAAGTTCTCCAGCTGACTGCAGATGTGGAGGATCGTGAGCCCGAGGAAAGCGTCGACCGATGTGTAAATTACAGCAGCCAGGAAGATCGTCGCACCTTGAAGGAGATACGTCAACTCGAATTGCGGACTCTTATCCGTGTCGTAGAAATAATACGTCTGCAGCGGCAACGGCCTGTCACGATCCGTCAGATTAGTCAGGCGTCTGAACGGCAGATCGAAGGAAGGAAGAACGATGATCCCGATAAACGCGAATAGCATCAGAACGGATCCACAGATCATGATGAACCGCGAGATTCGCGCGCGTTTCAGCATCACGTTTCTCTCCGCGTCTATTTTCGGCGTCATCCAGTCCTCCGCCATCATCTTCACAATGGTTAAGTGAGCTTGGAAATATCATTGGTATATAAAATTAGGTCGCACAGTTTGAATACACTATTATGAAGATAGATTTTTTTCAATTTTTTCTTCCATATGTATTTTCTGATTTTAATACACGGAAAGAATTTTTCTTAGAATTTATTTCTCGGAAAATCAAGATAATTATAGGACAATATTGGAAGAATTTTATAAATAAGTTTTTCTGATTAATATTTACCACAATAAAAAATATTAATATGTACATAGTAAAATTAATCGAACATATTTTATATCTTATATATTGTGGTAGGTATTAATATTTTTATTAGAAAATTAATTAATAAAGATATTAGTATTTTTCGTAGAAAATTAATTAATAAAGATATTAGTATTTTATTAGAAAATTAATTAATAAAGATATTAATATTTTTATTAAAATTATAAAAAGAAAGAGTTTTTATTAGAAAATTATCTGCGTGTATATACAATATAGATATGCAAATCGAAAGGTAAAAAAATTGTTGAAGAAATTCTAAAGCACATACGTGTCCGTTTCCATCTCATGATAACAAGTTTGAACGAGACCAGCATCAGAGGTAACGTAATCTGCAAGTTATCTATCACGAGTATCATATCGTTCCGAACTCGTATAAGGCCGCATACTAGAGGAATACCGGAGGCGATCGCTATAATAATGAAAGTAATACTTAGCCGAAGATCGGACGCACAATTGTCAGCTGCTTTGTTTGTTTTCGGCCATAAACCGACCAGTTCCAGACCGAATCGATTTAATTCCACCGCCCATACAAAATCTAACAGAATTTCAACATTGCAAAAATAATATATAGAGACACCAAAAATCTAAAGAAAAATTCAAGGATTTAAAAATCCCAAAATTTCTAACTTGTCTAATATTTTTTCATTAATTCTATTTACTTGATACAATTTAATAAAAAGTGATGATTCGAGAACTAGATCAATTTAAGTTACAAGAGAAAGTCTCACACATTTAGTGCGTAAAAATTAAAAAAATGATAGCAAAATATAACACATGTAAAATCTGATTCAATTATGTAATAATTAATGTTTTAATAATTAATAATGTAACAATGTCATGATATCAAGAATTCTCACAAATCTCAAGATAAGGAATAATACGTGATAAAAAATGTGATACCTCTGTAGCCGGAATAATGGTCGGAAGTGTCCATGACGAAGACTAATGAACGCAATTCCGTATTTTAATTTTATTGTTTTCTCGTCAATCTATGGCGAGAAATAAAAAATGTTTGTCACGCATGCTCGCGACAACCTGCTGCTTCTCAACGAGGGGCGCATTAAATATTAAATCCGCTCTCTCCTTCTCAGATAATTACACTGTCATCGGTTTCGTAATAAAAAACTTTACAGACACAGAAAGGTATAGAAGAAAAGTCGTGAATGCCTAATAAAGAAGGAAAATATGAGAAATATCATATTATTCGCTGAACTTTTTAAAAATTCTTCTTCATATACTATGCTATGCACGTGTACGAAACAAGAAACATTGGCATGTAATTGCATTTTTAATGGATTTTTTTTATATAGTGAACACGCGAAAATACAGAAAAATTGCTGTTAAAGAAGAAAAAGGGATATCATTGTGAGTTGTTACGCGTATTATCTTAAATATTCGTTGCAAAGAAATATTCCTTGATATGACACATTCATAAGAGTATCGAATCAAATTGATGAGTAGTATTTTATAATTGTGTTTTACTGTCAATGAGGTACACATACATATTTATATTCATATTGGAATTTCTTTGCGTAAGTCTTCTCATTTAAAGCTCCACCTTTTTTTCTTGTTTGAAAAAATCTGAAAAGTTGCAATTTTATAGTAACAATTTAAAAAATGTTTGGACATAATATAAAGCATGATCAAGTATAAAAGAATATGACCTGACTGGCATCATAAATGTTGCACTTTTGCTATAAAAATTGGGGCTGACTCTAATTGCAGAATCCATTCAGTAAGAATACGATACAAAATTTTTTGTAAAATTAATGCAAAAATTTATAATTCTTTTCCTAAATAAAGTCACACACGAAAAATCGCATAAAGAAAATATTTAAATAATATAAATTCACTTTCTTCGGATTGAGAAGAAAGTAACACAATTTTCTTCGTCGAAGAATTTTGTCGTGGACATTATATTTTATGTTACACGATATATTTTAAAATAAATGTCATACATATTTCAAGTGTAAACAATATAAAATTATTTCTGCAATATAATATTAATTTAATTCTCATTTTCTTTAACAATTGAATAATATATTATTATTTGACTTCTATTTCCGCATTGCTAGTAGAAAAGATATATAGCCAGCCGATGTTTTTAATAGCTGAAAATAATATATATCTTTATTCAAGAACAAATATTTTACGGAAAAGTAATCTTTAGTAAAAATTCAAGATAATATAAACTATATATGTGTTTTATTTACATTTATTACACAATATTTTTTTCTATTTACATAAAGATAAGATACACTCTCTATTAGTAAAAGTTTAATATTTAAATAAAGATAAAAATTATAACATATAATAAAATAAATGATTAAATAATAAAGCATTTGCTAAAAAAATTAACAGAAGAAAATACAAATATTATATCTTTATTCTCTCTTTTCCCGATTGTAAAGATAAATATAATTATTAATATAAATATAATTAATATAAAAATATAAATAATTATTAATTTAATTTGATTAAATCTAAAAAAAGACATACTTGAAGTATAAGTAAAACTATTAATATAATCTTACGCTGCAAAAAGTAGTCATCGTTAGCGGAAAAATTTTTCCCGCAGTGATGCGAAAAGGTTCCTTGGCTAATAATGTTAATAAAATAAGATTCCTTGCTTGTCGCGGCTCTAATGTATACCACTCAAGATTGCAAATAGTATGATATACTGCGTTGCACTTAATAAAAATACACATACATATATATAAATATATACATTTTATTAATATGTTTTATTATATGCTAAGAAATTTTATTATACATATAATAAGAATTAATAGTTACTTAACGAGATTATAAAATTGAAGAATAGCAAACACTATTCTATATACACAAAAAGTATTTATTATGTAGAAATATGATTATTTAAATTATAGACTTATTATAATACAATGTATTAATTATGCTGTATAATGGAATATATAACTTACTTGTTCAGATATTAAATCTCCGCCAAAACAGTAGATAAATGTTTGCAAAACCAGACAAATGACAGCAATTATCGTATATCCTAATTGTGAGAAGTTTGCAGTGTTTATTTCTTCGTCAGTAATCGCCTAAATAATATATTTTATTAATTCAAAAAACAGATCAACTTAAGTTAAATAGACAATCATGTCGCATGTACATAAAACATTGTATTATTTTAGGACTTACAGTAAGCAATATAAATCCATATAGACAAAATAAGAGACAAAACTGGAGTACCAGTACAAATAATATTATTGTAAATGTGGTTTCAGTATTATTGGCGAATCTATATAAATGTATTTACATAAACAGAGATTATATTAAAATTTTCAAATTATATATAATACATAGTAATAAATTATAAAACTATTTTTTCCTTTACTATTGAAGTATTTATCAAATTTATATTTCGACAATTTCTAATAATAATACAGACATAAATAATTCATAAATTTTGAAATTTATTAAAAATAGAATTTTGATGAACAAAAAGTTTAAAAATTGCAATTTGAATAAAAGAAGTTTCGATCCAAAAATTGAATAAAAAAAAGAAAACTCAAATAAAATTTGACACATAATTATATACATATATATTAAAAATAAATCAATATATAAATTGATAACAAATTCATAATATCAAAGAGATGTTAATCGATAAATTTACTATTTAAATATTAAAAAATTTTACAGAAATTTTTTATTGTATTGTTACAAAACCCACCTGATAAGACGTAAATGAGTCACTACGCTGTTACTCAGAGCTCTGTTGAAATCTTTGCACGAATTCAAATTGACTATTCGATGCTTGAAGTTCTCCAATTGGCCACAAATATGAAGAATCACGAAGCCCAAAAATGCATTTACTGACGTGTAAATTATAGTTGATACAATAATTGTTACGGCTTGAATGAAAAACGTCAACTCAAATTGCGGGCTCCGGTCTGTGTCGTAAAAATAATAAGTTTGCAGCGGTAACGGTTTGTTCCGATCCGTGAGATTCGTTATATGTCTAATCGGTATATTGAAATAAGGAAGAATGTTGAGCAAAAAGAATGCCGATATTGTTAGAACGAATCCATAAATTATAATTAATCGAGCGGTCCGAGCCCGCTTTATCATTACGTCTCTTTCTGCACTTGGCTTCAGCGCTAACCAATCCTCTGCTATCATGTTTATGATGGATGAGAGAACTTGGAAATATAAAAAAAACGCGATATCGATAATGTCAAAAAATATCGAATCACAATTGCAGCTATTTGTTAACATATCGAAAAGAAATTTATTATACACAACACGTGTCTTCATTTTTATTCAAACAATAAAATATATACACAATACATTATACGTTCATAAATTATATACAATTTTCCGAGATGTGATTTGCAAATAAAAGCGTTATAAAAAAACTTTATAAAAAAATTAATTGACTCAATGTAAACGTTTTATTTCGAAATAGTTTTAAATATACCTCTCTGTTTCCATCGTAAAATAATAAGTTTCAACAAAACCACTGTTAGAGGCAATGTAATTCGTAAATTGTCAACCACCAGCACCAAGTCGCCCCAAACTCGCTTCAGCGCATGTATCATAGGAATACCAGAAACAAATGCTATCATAATGAAAACGAAACCCGCACGAATGTCAGGCCCGAGTCTTCTTTTAGCAATTCCATCAGTTTTAGGCCATAAACCGATTAAATTTAAACTTACACGATTCAATTTAATTGCCCATAGGAAATCTAGATAGATTTTTTTATGAAATAAGGAACACAAAAAATTACACATGCATATGTATTGTAAAATTTTGATAAAAAGTAAATTAAATGCTGTGACAAGTAAAAGCAACTTAAAAGATCTTAGAGAATATACTATAAGTAAGTAGAAATAAATATAATCAGATCACACAGTACCTCTGTAACTTAGAGATTCTGACATGTCCATATTCGAAGACTGACATGGATGTGTTCAACAATATAAGTGTTAGCTATTGTATTCGTCCCATCCTCTAATGAGGTAGCTATCACGCATGTTCATGAAAGTGCAATAACCTTGCAACCCCTTCGAAACATGTATTAATTATTAAAGATGCTACTACAGTTGTTAACAAGTTGCCTGTTTCGTAACGAAACTTTACGGGCATAAGAGGAGTTATAAACGTCTGTTTTTGAGAAGACAGAAAGTATATTATGTCGCTATATATCGTCGCCTTTGTATTGAAAGTTTTTTTTACTTTGTAACGTTTCAGGTGCGTTTCATTTGAAGATACAGTGGCGTGTAATTATACGTTATGCAGTGAAAAAAATGTTCTGTACATCAAAAAACTATAGCAAAAAAAAAAAGAGAAAAAGTACAATAGGTAGAAGAATAAAAGGTATAGGTAATCGCTTTATAATATTTTTCGAATGCTTGTAGCAAGAACACACTTATTGATGTTACATTAAGTCTGGTGGATAAAGAAAATTTATATCCTATCAAGAGTTTGTTCTTTTTCTGTGAGAAAAATATGATAATCAAATTTATAATTTTGATCGAGCTATTTTATTATTATGACAATGATAAATGTAATCTTCAAACAAGAATAATTTATATAGAAACAGAAAATTTTTAATGAGATAAATAATGTGAAAGTTTATTTGCTTGTATAATTATTTGATTTTATTAATAATTGAAACAAAAAGAAACGTATTTCTTTCTTATATACTTCTTTATTTTTGAATTACTACAATACAAATATGTACTATTAGTTAATTTTGTTTAATTCTGTATTGTCAATAAAAACGATACATAACCAACCGATGTTTTTATTAGCTGAAAATAAATATACATTTTTCATTAAAATATTTGTATAAACTTATAATATACTTTTTTAAGAAATTATATTGATTATTCGGCTTCATATTCTGTGCAATCATATTTTTCAAAGATTTAATATAAAATTGAAAGTTATAATATTAATTTTTGAAACAAATTGATTTTAGTATATATTTAATATAATATATATATTTTAATTTAATAACATCTGTCAAAAAGTCGCAACAAAAATATTTTATTGCATCTTCTCTTTCATATTTAAATGATAAATTAAAAATTAATAATTATATTACATAATAAATAAAGAAGAAAGAGAAAGGGGAAAGGGAAGAAAGAATATAGTTCTAATCTATATTATTGATAATATTATTCAAGTATTAATAAACTTACGCTGCAAAAAGTGGTCATTGTCAGTGGAACAATTTTGCCTGCAGTGATACGAAAAGGTTTTTGAATTCGTATCATTAATATAACAAGATTTCTCATTTGTTTTGGCTCCCATTTGTACCAATCAAGATTGTATACAGCACGGTAATTTGCTTCACACTTGGCAAAAAATATTATGTATATGTATATAAAATAATAACATTTATAATTTTTATCGTTATATGTATAGAAAGAAAATAAAAAATATAAAAATTGATTTATTTAATTGATTTACTTGATGTACTATGATAATTATATATATATATATATATATATATATATATATATATTATAATTAGATGAAATGTCTGAGAGATAAGATGGAAAAAGGACACTAACAAAAAAGAGAGAAAATATATTTTTGTTTGATGTATTCAATTATAGATTGTTTTATTCTCCACAAAATAAACACATGTATAAATGTGAACCTGATAAAATTAAAACATCGAACAATGATTTAATCATCGCAATCTGAATAATTTTAAGCATAAAATATCTATTTAATGTACTCTTAATGTGATTTTAAAAAAATGGAATAAGTTAATATTAAAATCGAAAATGAATAATAAAATATTAATAATAAAATAATAAAATTAATAATAAAATATTGAATGAAAAATATTGACTACAAATAACAGATAGACATATCATACATATACATAAAGTTGTAAACTTACTTGTTCTGTTAGTAGCTCTCCTGCATAACAATAAAAAAACATTTGCGAAAAAAGAATAATTATAGCAGCTATCGAGTAATATAATCGTGAAAAACTTGCAGCATTTATCTTCTCGTTACTAATAACCTGAATAACATCTCACTAATTAATAAAAATGAATAAAAAAAATAAATGACATACGAAAATGAACGCATTGCATGCTGCACAAAATAAATATATTTTAAAAAATTAAGAAACTTGAAACATATTACATTTTTAATATAATTTACTATAATTTACTTACAACAACAAACATAAATCCGGCTAGACAAAATACAATGGCGAAATATATTAGCGATCCTAGCAGAATTGATGTGAATATATCTTCGATTTGATCGACATACCTCCACACATAGAAAACATTTAGAAATCCATTATATTAATATGAATAAAAAAATACACTTAGTACATAATATACGAAAATACACACTTAAGATTATATATACATGTATAACATTATACAATCAGATTACATGAGAAGAAAATGAAATTTATGATTAAAATACTGCATTCAAATCTATCAATTTATCTAAAAGTTGAATTTGTGAAATTCTGTAATGTCACAAAAACACGGTAATGTTAAAACCCACACCTGATAAGTCGTAAATGAGTCATGACGTTGTCACCCAAAGCTTTGTTAAATTCTTTGCCTGCGACCAAATTGTCTAATTGGCATCTAAAGTTTTCTAATTGACCGCAGATATGACAGATTACGAATCCGAAAAAAGAATCTACCGATACGTAAATTACCACCATTTGAAATAGCGCTAGGATTTGAGTAAAGTATGTAAACTCGAATAGAGGACTCTTATCTGTGTCGTAGAAATAATATGCCTGCAGAAGAAATGGTTTGTTTCCATCCGTGAGATTTGTTAGATGTCTGAATGACAGGCCGAAGAAAGAGAAACTGATCATCGCAATAAACGTGACTGTCATCAAAACATATGCAGAAATTACGATCATTCGAACGATCCGCATACGTTTCACTATTGTATCTCTTTCTGTGTCTACATTCAACGTCATCCAATCTTCTTTAATCATGTTTAGGATCGATAAAAGAACTTGGAAATGTAAAAAAAAACGATATCAATAGTTAAAACTATCTAATTTAACGTTATGTAAAATAAAATATTTTATTTCTATAAAATAGAAAAAAATAAATATTAAAATTCTTAAATAAATTGAAAGATTAAAAAAGGCAAGGTTTCACGCAGTTTGTGGAGCATAATCAATTTATTATAAATAAAGTTAAATTAAAAAATATACACAAACTACAGAAATGTACATAAACGCTCTCTTTTTTAGCCATCTTCAATATAATAAAATTCTACATATAAAAATAAAAATATAAATAACCGACATAAATTCGCAGTCAATAAATAGAATAATAAATTCAAATTTAAAAAAAGAAAAAAACGATAAAAAGATCGTTTAATCTAAAATCGAATTCTCACATCAAAACGATTGAAATATAAGAAGTTCGAGAAATTCTATATTACGATAATAAATTAAAAGTATATATATAAATTAATTTTTTAAATATTATATAATGACTCTTGATAATAATAGTACCTATAATTAATAATAGTAAAAATTAAGTGCTGTAATAAAATTTAGAATATATCGCTACGTACTTTTTGTCAAATTGATACACAAAAGTACCTGATTGTTTCCACCGCATGACAACAAGTTTTAATAAATTGATCGCCGTAGGTAATGTAATTCGCAAATTCTCTATCATTAACGTCATGTCGCCCCAAACTCGCATAAGCGCATGTATCATAGGAATACCAGAAACAAACGTTATCATAATGAAAGCGAAACCCGCACGAAAATCAGGACCGAGTCTTCTTTTAACGATCCCATCAGTTTTAGGCCATAAACCGACCAACTCTAAACTCAGACGGTTTAATTGAGTAGCCCATACAAAATCTTGAAGCAAAATATTTGTTAAAGAAGTTTGAGTGCTATTTACAAATTTATAAAAAAATCGTAAAAGTGATGAAAGTGCAATGTATGTACAGGGTGTCCGGTAACTAACGGACCAATGATTAAGGGCGGATTCTCTGGCCAATTTGGAGACGATTTTTTCTTGGCAAAAATGTTGAGAAGTCAATAATTTTCGAGTTATAAGCGATTGAAAAACATGGGTTTTTTGAAAACTAAACGTTTTGGAGTTAAAAGTCTAACTGGTCTAACATAATTACATTCTTCGGTTAATTTCAGGTAGAGTTTACTATAATAAAATTTTAATTCGAGGCTTAGTTATAAAGATACATAATGACAAATATTGGAAAGTTGTAAAAAATTATGACCTTTTTCGACATTTTCGCTGAGGAAAAATCGTTCCCAAATTGACCAAAGAATCCATTTGTAATCGTTGGTCCGTTAGTTACTGGACACCCTGTATATGTATATATAATATATAAATTGATAACACAATAATAATTTTAAGATATAATAAAAATTTAACGTGTAAAATGTATAACATATATTTAATACCTCTGTAACGTGAAGATTCCGACGTGTCCATATCGAAGACTAACATAGATGTGTCAAAGAGGTGTTGATTCGTCGTCTTCTTCCTATCTTATAACCATCATGCATGCTCGCGAAACGAGTGCAATAACCCCGCTTCCCCATCCAAGGATTCATTAAATATTCAAGATGCAACTTTCAATCGCTTACAGTTATCTGTTTCCTAATAAAACTTCCTGGATATAAGAAGAATTATATATATCTGTTTTTCAGAAGAAAAGTATGTTGTGTTGCTATATATCATCGAATTTGTATTAAAAGTTTTTTTTTACTTTATAACGTTTTCACATATAGATGCGTTTAATTTGAAGATATATAGCGGCATGTAATTTTATGTCATGTAATGGAAAAAAAATTCTGTGCATCGAAAAACTAGATATTATAGAGGAAAAATAAAAGTACAATATGTAAAAGTATAGAGAGTAAAAGGTGTAGAATTGAAGGTAAAATCGCTTTACAAAATATTTTTCGAATGTTTGTTGCAAGAACACATTAGTTGATGTAACATTAAGTCTAGTGGACGTAAACAATTTTTATTGAGAGTTTATTCTTTCTCTAAGGGAAATGCGATATTTAAATTTATAGTTTTAATCAAGCTGCTGTTAAAAATAATTATGGAAATTATGGAAAATAATATTTTGCAAACAAACAAAAAATAACAAATAATTTAAATAATGTGAATTTTTTTTAAATAATTAATATAATAATTATTTAATTTTATTATTCATTTTAAAGAAGAAATATAATTTTTCTTAAATTATTATGATACAAATATTCAATACTGGTTCAATTTTTTTAATCTTATTGTATTGCTAATAGAAATTCCGTTGCGTACATGTGTCATTGGTGTAATTATTTTTTTATTAGTATTTGAAAGGGTAATATATTTATTTTTTTCATATATTCTTTCTATTCGAATTAACGTAATATTGATACGTAATATCACAACTTAATTTTTTTATTCCTGTATAGGCAATAAAAACAGTATATAACCAGTAAATGTTCTTAATATATAGCTGAAAATAAATATATGTATATTTGTTTAAACATTTCTTATGCAAATATACAATAAAATAAATATTATTTATAAAAAAATAATATTAACGCTCCACATGATTCCTTACATTTGCAATTATATTTTGTAATCAAAATATATAAATTTTCTATAGTTTTATAATTTGACATTTTTTGATCACAACAGATTTAATATAAAATTAAAAATTAAGTGTTAATATTTAAAAAAAAAATTTTCTGTTTTGATATCTGTCAGAGAGTTAAATATTACATCAGTGCATATATTTCCTATTTAAATAATAAATATTATTAATAATTATATTTATATATATATATATATATATATATATATATATATAATAAGATACATACAATACATATATATATATATATATATATAATACACAGAATGTATATACTACATATATTGTGTGTTTTTGTTAGCTTAAATCAACACAAAAAATCAATCACTTTTATCACAGAAAATCAAGAATTTTTTCAACTATGACATGCATCACAGACAGTAGATTGTCAATAAGCACATTTTGGCAAGATTAATTTCACACTTTTACATCTGTGCGCAATAAAACAGTGTAAAGAATAAAAAAAAAGAACATTTAAACAATAATCTTCCACTTTCTTTCGATCGAGAAAAGACAATAAGCGAATCTTTAATTCTTATCGGCACATTTCTATGTCTTGAACATTACTGTATGTAATAAGACATTATATTTAAAAATAAATAGCACGCATTAAAATGTAAAAACTATACCTCTAAATAATATTAATTTAATTTTTACTTTTTTAACAATTAAACAATAATGCTACAATATCATTTTTAATTCTGCATTGCCACTAGAAAAGATACGTAGCCAGCCAATGTCTTTAATAGCTGAAAATAACATATATATTTATTTAAGAACAAATAAGATTTTACGAGAAAAAAATAATTTTTGACAAAAATATATAATGATATAAAGTATGTGTTTTTTCACTTATGTCTACTTCTTTTTCACAGATAAAAAAATAAATATAATTAATAATAATAATTAAATGTTGTCAGATAAAGCACAGCTAAACTAGAGAAACGCGCGAATTATTAATAGTGATCTTACACCGCAGAAAGTGGTCATCGTCAATGGAAGAACTTTTCCTACAGTAATACGAAAAGGATCCTTGGCTAGTAACGTTAGTAGAATAAGGTTTTTTGCCTTGCGCGGTTCCCATGTATACCACTCAAGATCGCATATAGTACGATATACTGCGTCGCACTTAATAAAAACACACACACACATATATATATATATATATATATATATATATATATATATATACATATATAAAGACAATAATATTAATTAATTATACGTATGTATCTGTAATTATAATAATATTTAAATATATCCAAAAATGTAAATTACTTTCATAAACGTTAGTGAAAAATCAATTCTTATTTTAATTTTTCAAAATTTTAATATCCTTGCTTTTATTAAAGAACTTAGAGACAAAGTAAAAATTTACAATTTTAATTGAATTATAATTAGTCTGTCTCTAATGAATTGATTTTATAGTGTACGGTACTAATTATGCTAACAATAAGTACACATAAATATGTAACTTACTTGTTCTGTTATTAAATCTCCGCCAAAACAGTACATAAACATTTGCATAAGCAGACATATGACCATAATTACCATGTAACTTATTTGTGACATATTTGTACCGTTTATATTTTCGTCCATCATCTAAAAAAATTTATCTCATTAATTAATAAAAACAGATCGATATAAATTAAGTAGACATTCACCTCACATGTACAACAACAAAATATTATTACAATTTACAACTTACAGTAAGGAATAAAAATCCGCATAAACAAAATACGATACCAAACTGGAGTACCAATACAAATAATATTAATGTAAATGTATTTTCGATATTACTGGCAAATCTACATAAACGTATTATATATTAAAAGATATTACATGGACATTTTCAAATTATATAATAATAATAATCACATGTAAAGTAATTTTTTATTCAGCATTATTTCTTAAATTTATATTTTGATATTTCTAATAATAATGCAGACATAATAATCTTCGAATTTTGCAGTTTATGAAAAATAAAAACAAACCGAATTTCAACAAACGAGGAGTCTTATAAGTACATTTTAAACAAAAAGCGATCCGATTACAAATTGAAAAAAAATGAATAAATAAAATCTGTAAACATAAATCACATATACATAAAATTATTATAAATATATATGTAAGTTGATAAAATTATAACATCAGAGAAATTATATTTAAGGTAGATCTTATTGTTAAAAATAAAAAAAATCTTTTTCTAGAACTTAAAAAAGATTCTGAGAGATTCTGCTGAAATTTTATTCTCACTGTCAGAATCAAACTTTACCTCATAAGACGCAAATGGGTTACTATGCTACTACTCAGAGCTCTATTGAAGTCTTTGCACGAGACCAAATTAAATAATTGATACTTGAAGTTCTCCAACTGTCCGCAGATATGAAAGATCAGGAATCCCAAAAATGTATTTACTCCAAGGTGAATTACTATTGTTATAAGGACCGCTATGGCTTGAGCAAGAAACGTCAATTGAAACTGTAAACTTTTATCAGTATCGTAGACATAATAAGTTTGCAGCGGCAATGGTTTCTTTCGATCCGTGAGATTCGTTAAATGTCTGACTGGTAGATTGAAATAAGGCAAAACGACAACTAAAATGTATACCGAGACAAATATAACGGATCCACAAATTATAATTAGTCGACTGATCCGAGCGTGCTTTATCATTATGTCTCTCTGAGCGCTTAATTTCAACGTCAACCAATCCTCCGCTATCATGTTTACGATGGATGAGAGAACTTGGAAATATAAAAAAACATGATATCACTAACGTGAGAAAAATGTCAAATTATATTAGCAACTATTTGTTAACATTGATATACATATATCGAAAAGAAAATCATCGTACACGAATTATGATTTATTTCAATACGATATAAATGTGATAAGAAATAATATTTTCAGTTCTTTTGTTATCATAATCAGATGAGTGGCTGTAGTGATAAGTCAAGCATTATAAAACGGATTTTAGGAAGAAATAAAATATAAATGCTTAACAATGTTAAATAATATAGACATACCTGGTTGTTTCCATCGCATAATTAGAAGTTCTAATGAAACCCCAAACATGGGTAAAGTAACACGTAAATTATCTATCATTAGCGGCATGTCACCCCAAACTCGCATAAGTGCATGTAAAAGAGGAATACCAGAGACAAATACTATCATAATAAAAGAGAAACCCACACGAATGTCAGGACCAAGTCTTCTTTTAACAATTCCATCAGGTTTAGGCCATATGCCGACCAATTCTAAGCTCAGACGGTTTAGTTCAATTGCCCATTCGAAATCTTCAAGCAAGACTTTTATTTAAGAAACTTGAACAATTACTTTATATATGCGTAGATCGTAATTTTTTTCAAAAAAAAAAAGATGGAAATGCAATATTCAAGTTACTTTATAGTGTATTGGAAAAATGTCGTACACTATAAGCAGAAAATGTATGATAAAGACTTGGTACCTCTGTAACCTGAAGATTCTGATATGTCCATGTCGACGGCTAACGCGTAAATATTGAAGAGGTGTTGTCGATTGTCGTATTCTCCCCATTCTATAACGAAATAAGTCTTACGCATGCTCGTGGAACGAGTGTAATAACCTGGTCTGCGGAAGGATGCATTAAATATTGATGCTCTTTCAATTGCTTATAATTATCTGTTTCGTAACAAAACTTTAGGGACATAAGAATAGAGTTGAACGTCTGTTTTCAAGAAGGCGGAAAGTAAATTAATTTGCAATTTATCGTCGACCTTTTATTAAAAGTTTTCTCGTACTTTTTGTAACGTTCCCTTAACATCCCATAACGTCCTCTAACGTTTAATTGGAAGATACAGGGATATGTAATTGCATGTTATATAGTAAAAAATTCTTAGTATAGAAAAAAGTTGCAGCAAAAAAGAGAGAAAAAAAAATACAATATATAGAAGGTATAGAATATTACTTTACATGTTTTTCGCGAGTTTGATATAAGAACATATTCATTGATGTAACATAAAATGCAGCAGAAAATTTTAAATTAAGTTTTTTTTTCGTATCAGAAAAACGCGATATTGTTAAGACATTATTATTCGAACGAAATTGTAATTACGAAAAAAAGAAGAATAAAAAGCATTACTCGTTGTTGCGCATATTTTTTTAATATGCGTTGTAAAGACATCTATCTGTTTATATGAATATCGAATATCAAGTGGATTATCACATAATATGGACGAACCTTACAGTTGTCTTTAAGTTCACATGCATAAAAATATAGTTGTTTATGAAGTATACATATAAAAATTGGAATTTCTTCGCGCAAGTCTTTTCATTCCCATTTTCCTCTCCTAGAGTCTTATTTTCTTCTCCTAGTTCATACAGCGTTTTATTTCTTCTTTTCGTCAATCTTTTGTTTGGTAAAATCTGCAAAAAGTAATGTAAAGCAATTTTATAGCAGCAATTTGAAAAATGTTACGACACATTATCATCGAGTACAAAATGAAATGACCTGATTAACTTCTGCATCTCGAAATTTGTGCCTCTTCTTGAAAATTGACGCCGGTAAGATTCTAATTTTGGAATTCTCGCAACCAAAATCTTATACCAATATTGAGATTTAATAAGGTACAGTAGAAAAATTTGTAATAATTTCTTTAAATATAAATAACTGTGCGTATAATCAAACACATAAACGATAAAAGAAAATATTTAAACATCTTGAAAAAAAATATAAATTATATGAATATAATATTTAAAAAAATTTTTAAATTTAAAAATCAAACAATTATTTTTACACATAAGTAATTTTCTAATATTTAAAATTATATATATATATATTAAAATTATATGTTAAAATTATATTATTTATATTAAAAATAAGTTTATTATTGTGACTTAAATAATGTTTAAAGAAGACGCATGCTGCATGCTAGTCCCTTTCTAAAAAAAGGCACATGCAAAGTTGATTATCGCAAATATTATTACTGCTTTTTTGCGATGCTGATAATTTGTCTCGATTAATATTGTATGTTATATTAATAGCATCAAGCAACTGTCATCGGTTTGACAGTTGTAAAATAAAAATAAAAATAATATCAATTCAACATTCGCGACAACACGCGCGCTTGTGTATTGTCTGCTACATAATAAAAATTCAGGGATTAAAATTATATATAATTAAAATACGATAAATTAAAATTATGTATACATATAATAGACAATTAGGAATTAAAATTAAAATATTAAATATATAATAAAATTTAAAATTAAGATATAACTGTTTAATATAATATTGTAGCATTATTTATATCTGCATTGATTTGAAAATTATTGGATTGTATTTCTCATTAGCATTCATAATAACAAAACTGAGTTTGATTTATGAGTCTACACAATTACTTGTAACTTTCTACTGTATTAACAAATCAACTTATAAATTCTGAATTTATGTAGCACACACACACACACACACACACACATATATATATATATATGTATGTATGTATATATCATTTGGTTTAATCTAATCAAATATTATTATGCACGCAAAACAAAGTTACATTATTCTTTGATATCAAAATCTCAAAAATTGCGACGCATTTATGCAATAATTATTATTACAATCAATGCATAAAAAATACATTAATTATGCAACGCATAAAAATTTAATATTTAAATCTTTAACAAAAAATACAAACGAATAAATAAAATATTCTACAAGAATCTTTTGTAATCAAATATCTATGATTTTATTAGACTTGCCCCACCCCGCGAAACTCTACACCCCATACACCCATCACACTGCGCGGTTCGCGCGAAACTAATTATCGTTCAAGGTATCGCGAGCGCGAAATCGAGGTCACGTGGCCACTGGTCACATGGCCACTGGTCACATGGCCACTGGTCACGTGCCCACAGGTCACATGACCATCGGGTCCGCGTTCGCGATACCCGCAACTCCGCATAAAAATCAGTCTTGTGCGAGCCGCGCACTATAATAGAAGGGGGGATATACTATCTGCTCACGTGATCAGTTTCGCACGTCTCGTGCAGCACAGCGGATTCGTACAAACGTGCGAATCTAATGGAAGCGCCGATATTTTAATTGATAGATTCTTATAGAAAATTATATTTTTGGTTTTCTGTTAAAAATTTATATATTGAATTTATACGATTCACGTAATTAATAAATATATTTCTATGCATGCATTGCAATAATAATTTAATACATGTATTGCAATTTTTAGAGTTTTATCAAAGAATAATATAACTTTGCTACGCGTACGTAATTATATTCGATTAAACGAAACAAAATGAGAAAAAAATATATATAAAGAGATACAAAAATATTCTCAAACAATACAATAGAAATTCGGCGAATTAAAATTATGTACATAATAGAAATTCGGCGAATTAAAATTATGGCCATATTCATAGCATCAAGCAACTATTATCGCAAAGATTAACAATTTGACAATTGTAAAATAAATGATAGAAATAATGTCATAAGCACGCGCGAAGCACATTTGTGTAGTCTAGTACCTAATAAACTTTTCAACAATTATCACATGTCAAGGTATAAAATTTTATTTCTATAATAATTATAATTCAATTTCTATTTTCTCTATAACATAACATAATAATGATACATTATCATAAGATTTTAACTCTGCGTTGTTAGCAGAACAGATACATAGCTAGCCGTTGTTTTTAATAGCTGAAAATAATACAATATACAATTCATTATTCAAGAAAAGAAATTTTATATATGTGAATAAAATAACAATATTTTTAAGAGAATTATATGATTATTATAAATCAAGCACTCTTTCATTTATATTTGTTACAAATAATTGTTTTACATTTACATAGATAGAGGAAAGATCACTCATGGCATTAAAGTGTAATATCAAGATAAAAATTATAACCACAAAAATTATTCTGATTAAATATTTATTTAAAAACTTAACAGAAAAAATATATATCTTTCTCTTTACCTCTTTCTTTCAATCTTACAATTAGATTTAAAGAATATGTGCGATGTAAATTTTATCAGACAGATGACTCGAAAAGATATATTTAAACTATATAAAAGTAATCATGAATAAGAACGGCCTAAAGAGCCATACGCGGATGATGCTGCGTACATTTCTAACGAAAATTAAGTTTTCGGATCTATATTTTCTCGCATTTATTTATTTATTTCCGTAGGGGGGTTAGTGGCTATTGAAATTAAATCTGAAGTATGAAATTATTTCATATTTTAAGTCTTACAATTAGTAGTATACCGAGAGATTGATACGTACCGTGTGCACAGTTTATTTCCAACGAAAACTTAATTTTTGTTGGAAATGTACGCAGCATCATCCGCGTATGGCTCTTCAGGCCGTTCTTATTCATGATTATTATTTAATATTACAAATTTAATATTAATATTACCTTGATATACTTTTTTGTGTAAATAAAAGTAAATTATTAATTATCTTACGCTACAAAAAGTGGTCATTGTTAGCGGAAGAACTTTTCCCGCGGTAATACGAAAAGGTTCCTTGGCTAGTAACATTAGTAGGATAAAGTTTCTCGCTTTGCGTGACTCCAATGTATACCATTCAAGATCGCAAATAGTTCGGTATATAGCGGCGCACTTAATAAAAATACATATATATATATATATATATATATATATATATATAATATTTATATATATGTATATACAAGATGTCCGATAATTTCTGAATCACCTAAACTATATAATTCTAGTTATGTTGTATATGTAATATACGCATGAATATGTGACTTACTCGTGCTATTATTAAATCTCCTCCAAAACAGTAGAAAAATATTTGCATAAGTTGGCTGAGGACAATAATAACGAAGTAACATATTTTTGAAAAAGTTTTAGAGTTTAAGTTTTCATCTTTAATCACCTATATAATAATATATTTCGTTAATTAATAGAAACAGATAAATCATTTAAGTAGCCATATTTACATACACCAACTAAATATATATGTCTCACTAAAACTTACAGTAAGAAATGCAAATCCGCATAGACAAAATATGACACCAAACAAGAGCACCGATAAAAACAATACAAATGTAAATGTATTTTCAATACTATTGGCGTATCTATTGTACATATAAACGTGTTTAAGAAAAAATATTAAATCGAGTTTTGAGGCTTTCGCAGTCATTGAAATCATCAATGCAAAAAACTTCCGGATGGAAGCCTTTTGCATTGAAAATATATTGATATTTGTTTTTAATATTAAAATCTCAAATTGTGTACAAAAAATAATTATGATATATAATTTTTTTTTACTGAATGTTGCATTATATTTACCAAGATTATGTTTCGGTATTTCCTATTAATAATACAGATATTAAATGTCCTCAAATTTTTTATTTTATTAAAAATTAACACAATAATTTTAATTACAAAGATTTAAAAGCACAATTTTTGCAAAACAAAAACCCATGCATTGAATTCAATTGAATAAAAAAAAAAAAAAAAATTGAGCAAGTATTCATACATATACTCTTGAGAATATCAGTATGCAAATTGTTAAAATTACAGAGATAATATATATAATATTTAAATCAAATCTAAAATTGAAAAATTAAAAAATCTTTTTATAAGACACTTTTCTCAAAGATTCTAATAAACTTTCATTAAATTGTTATAATCAAACCCACCTGATAAGACGTAAATGAATCATTATGTTGCTACTCAGAGCTCTGTCAAAGTCTTTGCACGAGACCAAATTGACTATTCGACACTTGAAATTCTCTAACTGACCGCAAATATGAAGAATCACAAATGCTAAAAATGTATTTATCGCAACGTAAGATATTAATACCAGAAGGTTGGGTATGACTTGAAAGAAAAACGTCAGCACAAATTGCAGATCCTTATCGGTATCGTAGATGTAATACGTCTGTAGCGGTAACGGTTTGTTACGATCCGTAAGATTCGTTAAATGTCTAATTTGTATGCCAAAATAAGGAAAAAAAATTAGTATGACAAATGCCAATCCCATTATAACGCATACGATGATTACGATTAGCCGTGCAATTCGTGCTTGTTTTATCATCACGTCTCTCTCCGTGTTTAATTTTGTCGCTGTCCAATCTTCCGCTATCGTTTTTATGATGGATGATATGACTTGAAAATATAGAAAAAGATAAGCAATTGTTACACTGCAGGTTTCAAATTAATAGTTATTATTAAGTTTACAAAGTAATATACAAACTTTGCATATATAATTTAATCATTACAAAATTTCATTTATTTCGATATGTATGTTGAAATTTGTTTAAACAGCCTTTTGAAGTTGAAGAATTAATTGATGTAAATATCACAAACTTAAACAAGACATTGACCGTAATATAAATTCTTATTAGAATTAGAAAGATCGTTACGACTTAAGCGAGAAACGCCAATTCAAATTGCAAACTCTTATCAGCGTTTTAAAAATATTAAGTTTGTAGCGTAATGGTTTGTTCAGATTTGTAAAATTGTTGAATGTACGATCAAAATACATAAGCAAAATAAATGCCGATATTGTTATAATGAATCCATAAATAATAATTGTTCCAGTGATCCTAGCGTGTTTTTTTATTACATTTTCTTCAGCGCTTAGCACTATTCAATTCCTTACTCTTTATCATGTTTATGATAAATGAGAAATATTTAAAAACAAAAAATTATTAATTGCAATTGGTAGCTATATAATGATACATATATAAAAAATATCGTATCATAACTTTTCACAATATAATACAATACATCAAAATAAATTATAATAAAAAAGCATTTATAAATTTCTTGTTATCATATTCTAATTTGTGACTGTTATAATATGTCAAGCATCATAAAAAAGGATATCACGAAAAAATAAAATGTGAACGTTTTACATTAAATAATTCTAGACATACCTGTTTGTTTCCACCGCATAATAACAAATTGTAAACAAATTGTTAGAACGGGTAATGTGATACGTAAATTGTCTATCATTAGCGTCATATTGCCCCAAACTCGTATAAGCGCATGTACAAGAGGAATACCAGAGACAAAAACCATCATAATAAAAGCAAAACCCGCACGAATGTCAGAGCCGAGTTTCTTTTTAGCGACTTCATCAGTTTTAGGCCATAAACCGATAAAGTCTAAACTCAGACGGTTTAATTTAATTGCCCATAAAAAATCTTTAAACAAGATATTTTTTAAAACTTGAATAATAATTACAAATTTGTATATAAATTATAATTTTTTTTTCAAAAAATGATAAAAATGCATTATACGAAAATGTACATATATGAAATATATAATATTTGTAGTACGATTCTAACGAAAAAACACATTACATATTTAATGGACACTACAAGTGATGAATATATGGCATTGGCTTCATACCTTTGTAACCTAAAGATTTCGATATGTCCATGTCAAAGACTAACGTGTATATGTTAAAGAGGGGTCGATCGCATCCTTCCCATCCTATAATGAAATGACCATCACGCATGCTCGCGAAACGAGTGCAATAACCTGGCTTCCCCATCGAAGGGTGCATTAAATATTCAAGATGCTACTTTTGCTAACAAGTTTGTTGTTCTGTAACAAAACTTCATGACCATAAGAATAGTTATGAACATCTGTTTTTGAGTAGGCGGGAAGTATTTTGTCACTTCGCTTATATCATAGAACTTGCAATAAAAGTTTTTTTTACTTTTTAATGTTCCATGAACATGCATTTGAATTGAAGATACAATGGCATGTAATTGCATGTTATGTAGTGGAAAAAATTTTCTGCGCATAGTAAAAAGTTGCATCAAAAAAGGAAGAATAAAAATTACAATACAGAAGGTATAGAATATTACTTCATATTTCGTATATGTTTGGTGCAAGAATATATGTATATATACAGAATGTCTGGTAACTAACGGACCAACAATTACAAATGGATTCTTTGGTCAATTTGGGAACGAATTTTCCTCAGCGAAAATGTCGAAAAAGATCATTATTTTTTACAACTTTCCAATATTTGTCATTATGTATCTTTATAACTAAGCCTCAAATTAAAATTTTATTATAGTAAACTCTACCTGAAATTAACTAAAGAATGTAATTATGTTAGACTTTTAACTCCAAAACGTTTAGTTTTCAAAAAACCCATTTTTTCATACGCTTATAATTCGAATATTATTGACTTTTCAACATTTTTGCGAAACATTTTGAGATACATAAGTTAATATGATACATATATATATATATATATATATATATATATATATGCATAAGAATATCAAATCAAAAGCTAACTACTGATCTTATAGTCATGTTTAAGTACAAACATATAGATAGAAATATAGCCGTTTATGAGATATACATACATATGTAAGTATTGGAATTTTTTCTTAACGTAAGATTTTTATTTTTTGATTTAAGTTGCAGCAAAAAAGAGAGAGAAAAGAATACAATGTAGAAGATATAGAATATTAAATTACATGTGTTTGCAAGTTTGATAGAAGAACATTTATTAATGTAACATAAAATGCAATAGATGTAGAAAATGTCAAATTAAGTTTTTTTTTCGCATCAGAAAGACGCGATATTGTTAAGACGTTATTATTCGAACAAAATTGTAATTAAGAAAAAAAGAAGAATAAAAAGCATTACTCGTTGTTGCGCATATCTTTTTTTAATATGCGTTGTAAACACATCTATCTGTTTATATGAATATCGAATATCATGTGGATTCACGTATAATAGACGCACCTTACAGTTGTCTTTAAGTTCACATTAATAAAAATATAGTTGTTTATGAAGTATACATATACATATATAAATATTGAAATTTCTTCGCGTAAGTCTTTTCTTTTCCATTTTCCTCTCCCAGAGTTCCATTTTCTTCTCCTGGTTCATACAGAGTTTATTTCTTCTTTTCGTCTATCTTTTGTTTGGTAAAATCTGCAAAAAGTAATATAAAGCAATTTTATAACAGCAATTTGAAAATTGTTACAACAACGAGTACAAAATAAAATGACCTGATTAACTTCTGCATCTCGAAATTTGTGCCTCTTCTTGAAAATTGACGCCGGTAAGATTCTAATTTTAGAATTTTCGTAACTAAAATTTTATACTAATATTGAGATTCGATAAAATACAATAGAAAAATTTGTAATAATTTCTCTAAATATAGATAACTATGCGTATAATAAAACACATAAACGGTAAAAAAAAATATTTAAAAATCTTGGAAAACGTATATGTATATATAAATCATATGAATATAATATTTTTAATATTTCTAATTTAAAAATCAAGCAAAATTATTTCTAGAAATAATTTTCTAATATTTATATTTATATTATATATATATATATATTAAAATTATATATTAAAATTATAATATTTATATTAAAAATAAGTTTATTATCGTAAATTAAATAATGTTTAAAGAAGACGCGCGCTGCGTGCTAGTCCTTTTCTAAAAAAAGCGTATGCAAAGTCCATTATTGCAAATATTATTACTATTTTTCCGTGATGCTGTTTGGTTGTCTCGATTAACATTGTGTGTTATATTAATAGCATCAAGCAACTGTCATCGTAAAGGTTTGACAGTTTTGTAAAATGGAAAAATTCAACATTTGCAACATGCGCGCTTGTGTTGTCTGCTACATAATAAAAATTCAGAGATTAAAGTTATATATATATAAAATACGGTAAATTAAAATTATGTATACATATAATAGACATTTGGGAATTAAAATTAAAATATGAAATATATAATTTTATATGTGTAATACTTTATATAATAAAATATAAAATTATAATATAATTGTTTAATATAATACTGTAGCATTATTTATACTTATATTAGTTTATATATATAAAGAGATACAAAATTATTCTCAAACAATACAATAGAAATTCGGCGAATTCGAATTATGTATATAATAATAATTCGATAAATTAAAATTATGTACATAATAGAAATTCGGCGAACTAAAATTATGGTCATATTCATAGCATCAAGCAACTGTCATCGCAAAGATTAACAATTTGACTGTTGTAAAAAAAATAATGTCACAAGCGCGTGCGAAGCGCGTTTGTGTAGTCTAGTACCTAATAAATATTTCAACAAATATCATACGTCGAGGTATACAATTTTATTTCTATAATAACTATAATTCAATTTCTATTTTCTCTATAACATAACATAATAATGATACATTATTATATGATTTTAACTATGCGTTGTTATCAAAACAGATACATAGCCAGCCGTTGTTTTTAATAGCTGAAAATAATACAATATACAATTCATTATTCAAGAAAAGAAATTTTATATATGTGAATAAAATAACAATATTTTTAACAAAATTATGTGATTATTATTAACTATGCGCTCTTTTATTTATATTTGTTACAAATAATCGTTTAACATTTACATAAATAAAAGAAAGATCACTCATGGCATTAAATTGTAATATCAGAAAAAAATTATAATCACAAAAATTATTCTGATTAAATATTTATTTAAGAATTTAACAAAAAAATATATATATCTTTCTCTTCACCTTTTTCTTTCCATCTTATATTTAAAGGATACGTGCGAACTAAATTTTATCAGACAAATCGCTCGATAAGGTATATTTAAACTATATAAAAGCAGATTATTAATAATCTTACGTTACAAAAAGTGGGCATTGTTAGCGGAAAAACTTTTCCCGCAGAAATACGAAAAGGTTCCTTGGCTACTAACATTAGTAGGATAAATTTTCTCGCCTTGCATGACTCCAATGTATACCATTCAAGATCGCAAATAGTTCGATATACAGCGTCGCACTTAATAAAAATACATGTATATATATATATATATATATATATATATATATATATATAGGTGTCCGATAATTCGTGAACCACCTAAACTACATATATAATTCTAGTTATGTTGTATATATACACATGAATATGTGACTTACTCGTTCTATTATTAAATCTCCTCCAAAACAGTAGAAAAATAATTGCATAAGTTGGCTGAGGACAACAAGAAAGAAGTAACTTAGTTGTGAAAAAATTTCAGAGTTTAAGTTTTTATCGTTAATCACCTATATAAAATAATATTTCATTAATTAGTAGGAACAGATAAATCATTTAAGTAGCCATACGTACATAAACCAACTAAATATATATGTCTTACTAATACCTCCTTACCGTAAGCAATACAAATCCACATAGACAAAATATGACACCATACATGAGCACCGATAAAAACAATACAAATGTAAATGTATTTTCAATATTACCGGCGTATCTACATATAAACGTATTTAAGAAAATATATTGAATCTAGTTTTGAGGTTTTCGCGGTCATTGGAATCATCAATGCAAAGGGCTTCCGAACGGAAGTCTTTTGCATTGAGAATATATTGAAATTTGATTTTGACATTAAAATCTCATATTGTCCAAAATAATTATGATATATAATTTTTTTATTGAATGTTGCATTATATTTACCAAGTTTGTGTTTCGGAATTTTCTATTAATAATACGGATATTAAATGTCCTCAAATCTTCTATATTTTATTAAAAATTAACACAATAATTTTAATTACAAAGATTTAAAAACGCAATTTTTGCAAAACAAAACCCATGCATTGAATTCAATTAAATAAAAAAAGAGAAAAATAGAGCAAGTATTCATACATATACTCTTAAAAGTATTAGTATGCAAATTGTTAAAATTACAGAGATAATATTTAAAGAGACTCTAAAATATAAAAAATTTTTTGTAAGACACTTTTCTCAGAAATTCTAATAAACTTTCATTAAATTGTTATAATCAAACTCACCTGATAAGACGTAAATGAATCATTATATTGCTACTCAGAGCTCTGTCGAAGTCTTTGCACGAGACCAAATTGACTATTCGACACTTGAAATTCTCTAACTGACCGCAAATATGAAGAATCACAAATGCTAAGAATGTATTTATCGCAACGTAAGTTATTATTGCCAGAAGCATAGGTATGACTTGAGAGAGAAACGTCAGCACAAATTGCAGATCCTTATCGGTATCATAGATGTAATACGTCTGTAGCGGTAATGGTTTGTTACGATCCGTAAGATTCGTTGTATGTCTAATTTGTATGCCCAAATAAGGAAAAAAAATTAGTATGACAAATGCCGATCCTATTATAGCGTATCCGGTGATTCCGATTAACCGTGCAATTCGTGCTTGTTTTATCATCACGTCTTTCTCCGTGCCTAATTTTGTTGCTGTCCAATCTTCTGCTATCATTTTTACGATAGATGCTACGACTTGAAAATATAAAAAAAAGCAATTGTTACACTGTAAAGGTTTCAAAATAATAGTTATTATTAAATTTACAAAGTAAAGTAAAAATTTTGTATATATAATTTAATCATTACAAAATTTCATTTATTTCGATATGTATGTTAAAATTCGTTTAACAGTCTTTAAAGTTAAAGAATCAATTGTTGGAAATATCACAAACTTAAACAAGACATTGACCGTAATATAAATTCTTATTAGAATTAGAATATCGTTACGACTTGAGCGAGAAAGGCCAATTCAAATTGCAAACTTTTATCAGTGTTTTAAAAATATTAAGTTTGTAGCGTAATGGTTTGTTCAAATTCGTAAAATTGTTGAATAGACGATCAAAATAAAGAAAAACGTAAGCACAATAAATGCCTATATGTTATAATGAATCCAATAATAATAATTATTCGAGCGATCCTAGCGTGTTTTTCCATTACATTTCCTTTAGCGCTTAATTTTAGCACTATTCAATTCTCTACTCTTTATGTTATTTATAATAAATGAAAAATATTTGAAACATAAAAAATATTAATTCAAATTAGTAGCTGTATGATGATACATATATAAAAAAATATCGTATCATAACTTTTCACAGTATAATACAATCAAATACAATACATTAAAATAAATTATAATAAAAAAGCATTTATAAATTTCTTAGTATCATATTCTAATTTGTGACTGTAATAATATGTCAAGCATCATAAAAAGGATATCATGAAGAAATAAAATGTGAATGAATGTTTTACAATAAATAATTCTAGACATACCTGTTTGTTTCCACCGCATAATAACAAATTGTAAACAAATTGTCAGAATGGGTAATGTGATATGTAAATTGTCTATCATTAGCGTCATATTGCCCCAAACTCGTATAAGCGCATGTACAAGAGGAATACCAAAGACAAAAACCATCATAATGAAAGCAAAACTCGCACGAATGTCAGAGCCGAGGCTCCTTTTAGCAACTTCATCAGTTTTAGGCCATAAACCGATAAAGTTTAAACCCAGACGGTTAAATTCAATTGCCCATATAAAATCTTTAAACAAGACATTTTTTAAAACTTGAATAATAATTACAAATTTGTATCTAAATTATAATTTTTTTTATAAAAAAATGATAAAAATGCATTATACGAAAATGTACATATATGAAATATATAATATTTGTAGTACGATTCTAACGAAAAAACACATTACATATTTAATGGACACTACAAGTGATGAATATATGCCATTGGCTTCATACCTTTGTAACCTAAAGATTTCGATATGTCCATGTCAAAGACTAACGTGTATATGTTGAAGAGAGGTTGATCGTCGCATCCTTCCCATCCTATAATGAAATGACCATCACGCATGCTCGCGAAACGAGTGCAATAACCTGGCTTCCCCATCGAAGGGTGCATTAAATATTCAAGATGCTACTTTTGCTAACAAGTTTGTTGTTCTGTAACAAAACTTCATGACCATAAGAATAGTTATGAACATCTGTTTTTGAGTAGGCGGGAAGTATTTTGTCACTTTGCTTATATCATAGAACTTGCAATAAAAGTTTTTTTTTATTTTCTAACGTTCCGTGAATATGCATTTGAATTGAAGATACAATGGCATGTAATTGCATGTTATGTAGTGGAAAAAATTTTCTGCGTATCGTAAAAAGTTGCATAGAAAAAGGAAGAATAAAAATTACAATACAGAAGGTATAGAATATTACTTCATATTTCGTATATGTGGTGCAAGAATATATGTATATATATATATATATATATATATATATATATATATATACATATATTCTTGCACCACATATACGAAATATGAAGTATATATATATAATGTAATAAATGCAGTACAGTAGACGTGTAAAAGTTTTTAAATTAAAAATTTCTTCGTTCTCTGTACGAGAAAAACAATATCCGAATCTATAGTCTTTATTGGACTATTTTTATAATACTATTACTTTGTAATCTTTAAATAAAAATATGATTTTTTTTGGAGACACATAGTTTTATATGATATATATGTATATAAATATCGAATCAAAAGCTAACTACTAATCTTATAGTCATGTTTAAGTACAAATATATAGATAGAAATATAGCCGTTTATGAGATATACAATACATACATATAAATATTGGAATTTTTTCTTCACGTAATATTTTTTATATTTTGATTTAAGTTGCAACAAAAAAGAGAGAAAAAAAATACAATGTAGCAGATATAGAATATTAATTTACATGTGTTCGCATGTTTGATACAAGAACATTTATTAATATACCATAAAATTCAGTAGACGTAGAAAATTTTAAATTAAGTTTTTTTTCCGCATCAGAAAGAGGCGATATTGTTAAGATATTATTATTCGAACGAAATTGTAATTAAGAAAAAAAGAAGAATAAAAAGCATTACTCGTTGTTGCGCATATTTTTTTTAATATGTGTTGTAAAGACATCTATCTGTTTATATGAATATCAAGTGGATTATCATATAATGGACGCATCTTACAGTTGTCTTTAAGTTCACATGCATAAAAATATAGTTGTTTATGAAGTATACATATAAATATTTGAATTTTTTCGCGCAAGTCTTTTCATTTCCATTTTCTCTCCTAGAGTCTTATTTTCTTCTTCTAGTTCATACAGAGTTTTATTTCTTTTTTTCGTCAATCTTTTGTTTGGTAAAATCTGCAAAAAGTAATGTAAAGCAATTTTATAGCAGCAATTTGAAAAATGTTACGACACATTATCATCGAGTACAAAATGAATTGACCTGATTAACTTTTGCATCTCGAAATTTGTGCCTTTTCTTGAAAATTGACGCCGGTAAGATTCTAATTTTGGAATTCTCGCAACCAAAATCTTATACTAATATTGAGATTTAGTAAGGTACAATAGAAAAATTTGTAATAATTTCTTTAAATATAGATAACTGTGCGTATAACCAAACACATAAACAATAAAAGAAAATATTTAAACATCTTGAAAAACAATATAAAGTATATGAATATAATATTTAAAAAAATTTTTAAATTTAAGAATCAAACAATTATTTTTACATAAGTAATTTTCTAATATTTAAATTTATTTATATATATTAAAATTATAATATTTATATTAAAAATAAGTTTATAATTGTAAATTAAATAATATTTGAAGAAGACGCGTGCTGCGTGCTAGTCCCTTTCTAAAAAAGACCCATGCAAAGTCGATTATCGCAAATATTATTACTGCTTTTCCGCGATGCTGTTTGGTTGTCTCGATTAACATTGCATGTTATATTAATAGCATCAAGCAACTGTCATCGTAAAGGTTTGACAGTTTTGTAAAAAGAAAAAATTTAACATTCGCAACATGTGCGCTTGTGTTGTCTGCTACATAATAAAAATTCAGAGATTAAAGTTATATATAATTAAAATATAGTAAATTAAAATTATGTATACATATAATAGACATTTGGGAATTAAAATTAAAATATGAAATATATATTAAAATATAAAATTGTAATATATTTGTTTAATATAATACTGTAGCATTATTTATACCTGCATTATTTTAAAAATTTTTGAATTGTATTTCTCAAATTTGTATTAGCATTCTGCTATCAATTTAATACTAACAATAATTTGCTATCATAATTAAATTTGATAACAAAACTGAGTTTCATTTGAGTCGACATAATTACTTTTACCTGTAACTTCCTGTATTAACAAATCTGCTTATAAATACTAAATTTATGTAGCATATATATATATATATATATATATATATATATATATGTGTGTGTATATATCATTTTGTTTAATTTAACCGAATATTATTATGCACGCAAAGCAAAGTTATATTATTCTTCGATAATATCTCAAAAATTGCAACGCATATATGCAAAAATTATTATTGCAATTATGCATAAAAATATATTAATTAATTATGCACCGTATAAAAATTCAATATTTAAATATTTAACAGAAAATACAAACAAATAAATGAAATTTTACAATTTTGCGCACGAAGCGCGCTTGTGTAGTCTAGTACCTAATAAACTTTTCAACAAATATCATACGTCGAGGTATACAATTTTATTTTTATAATAACTTTAATTCAATTTTTTTTCTCTATAACATAACATAATAATGATACATTATCTTATGATTTTAACTATGCGTTGTTAGCAGAACAGATACATAGCCAGCCGTTGTTTTTAATAGCTGAAAATAATACAATATACAATTCATTATTCAAGAAAAAAAATTTTATATATGTGAATAAAATAACAATATTTTTAACAGAATTATGTGATTATTATTAACTATGCGCTCTTTCATATATATTTATTACAAATAATCGTTTAACATTTACATAAATAAAAAAAAGATTACTCATGGCATTAAATTGTAATATCAAGATAAAAATTAGAACAACAAAAATTATTCTGATTAAATATTTATTTAAAAACTTAACAGAAAAAAAATATATATCTTTCTCTTCACCTCTTTCTTTCAATCTTATATTTAAAGGATATGTGCGAATTAAATTTTATTAGACAAATCACTCGAAAAGGTACATTTAAACTATATAAAAACAGATTATTAATAATCTTACGTTACAAAAAGTGGGCATTGTTAGCGGAAGAACTTTTCCCGCAGAAATACGAAAAGGTTCCTTGGCTACCAACATTAATAGAATAAATTTTCTCGCCTTGCGTGACTCCAATGTATACCATTCAAGATCGCAAATAGTTCGATATACAGCGTCGCACTTAATAAAAATATATATATATATATATATATATATATATATATTTGTGTGTGTGGGTATGTATACATGTATATATATGTATATGTATATACTACACATAAATATGTGACTTACTCGTTCTATTATTAAATCTCCTCCAAAACAGTAGAAAAATAATTGCATAAGTTGGCTGAGGACAACAAGAAAGAAGTAACTTATTTGTGAAAAAACTTCAGAGTTTAAGTTTTTATCATTAATCACCTATATAATAATATATTTTGTTAATTAATAGAAACAGATAAATCACATTTAAGTAGCCATATTTACATACACCAACTAAATATTTATGTCTTACTAAAACTTACAGTAAGCAATACAAATCCGCATAGACAAAATACGACACCATACATGACCACCGATAAAAACAATACAAATGTAAATGTATTTTCAATATTACCGGCGTATCTACATATAAACGTATTTAAAAAAATATACTGAATCTAGTTTGGAAGCTTTCGCGGTCATTGGAATCATCAATGTAAAAGGTTTCCGGAGTGAAGCCTTTTGCATTGAAAATATATTAAAATTTGACTTTAATATTAGAATCTCAAATTATACAAAATAATTATAATATATAATTTTTTTTTATTGATTGTTGCATTATATTTACCAAGTTTGTGTGTCGGAATTTCCTATTAATAATACAGATATTAAATGTGCTCCAATCTTCTATTTTATTAAAAATCAACACAATAATTTTAATTACAAAGATTTAAAAGCGCAATTTTTGCAAAACGAAAATTCATGCATTGAATTTAATTGAATAAAAAAAGAGAAAAATAGAGCAAGTAATCATACATATACTCTTAAAAGTATCAGTATGCAAATTGTTAAAATTACAGAGATAATATTTTTAAAGTGACTCTAAAATTTAAAAAATTTTTTGTAAGACACTTTTCTCAGAGATTCTAATAAACTTTCATTAAATTGTTATAATCAAACTCACTTGATAAGACGTAAATGAATCATTATATTGCTACTCAGAGCTCTGTCGAAGTCTTTGCACGAGACCAAATTGTCTATTCGACACTTGAAATTCTCTAACTGACCGCAGATATGAAGAATCACAAATGCTAAGAATGTATTTATCGCAACGTAAGTTATTAATGCCAGAAGCATAGGTATGACTTGACAGAGAAACGTCAGCACAAATTGCAGATCCTTATCGGTATCGTAGATGTAATACGTCTGTAGCGGTAACGGTTTGTTACGATCCGTAAGATTTGTTGAATGTCTAATTTGTATGCCAAAATAAGGAAAAAAATTATTATGACAAATGCCGATCCTATTATAGCGTATGCGGTGATTCCGATTGACCGTGCAATTCGTGCTTGTTTTATCATCACGTCTCTCTCCGTGCTTAATTTTGTGGCTGTCCAATCTTCTGCTATCATTTTTACGATAGATGCTACGACTTGAAAATATAAAAAAAAGCAATTGTTACACTGCAAAGGCTTCAAACTAATAGTTCTTATTAAATTTACAAAGTAAAGTAAAGATTTTGTATATATAATTTAATCATTACAAAATTTCATTTATTTGGATATGTATGTTAAAATTTGTTTAAACAGTCTTTTAAAGTTAAAGAATCAATTGTTGGAAATATCACAAATTTAAACGAGACATTGATCGTAATATAAATTCTTATTAGAATTAGAATATTGTTACGACTTGGGCGAGAAACGCCAATTCAAATTGCAAACTTTTATCAGCATTTTAAAAATATTAAGTTTGTAGCGTAATGGTTTGTTCAGATTCGTAAAATTGTTGAATATGTACGATCAAAATACATGAGCAAATCAAATGCCGATATTATTATAATGAATCCATAAATAATAATTGTTCCAGTGATCCTAGGGTGTTTTTTTATTACATTTCCTTCAGCGCTTAATTTTACCACTATTCAATTCCCTACTCTTTATCATGTTTATAATAAATGAAATATTTGAAGACATAAAAAAATATTAATTGAAATTAATAGCTGTATGATGATATACATATATAAAAAAATATCTTATCATAACCATTCACAGTATAATATACAATACATCAAAATAAATTATAATAAAAAAGCATTTATAAATTTCTTGGTATCATATTCTGATTTGTGACTGTAATAATATGTCAAGCATCATAAAAAAGACATCATCAAGAAATAAAATATGAATGAACGTTTTACATTAAATAATTCTAGACATACCTGTTTGTTTCCATCGCATAATAATAAATTGTAAACAAATTGTAAGAATGGGTAATGTGATACGTAAATTGTCTATCATTAGCGTCATATTGCCCCAAACTCGTATAAGCGCATGTACAAGAGGAATACCAGAGACAAAAACCATCATAATGAAAGAAAAACCCGCACGAATGTCAGAGCCGAGTCTGCTTTTAGCAACTTCATCAGTTTTAGGCCATAAACCGATAAAGTTTAAACCCAGACGGTTAAATTCAATTGCCCATATAAAATCTTTAAACAAGACATTTTTTAAAACTTGAATAATAATTACAAATTTGTATATAAATTATAATTTTTTTTTTCAAAAAATGATAAAAATGCATTATATGAAAATGTACATATATGAAATATATAATATTTGTAATACGATTCTAACAAAAAAACACATTACATATTTAATGGACACTACAAGTGATGAATATATGGCACAGGCTTCATACCTTTGTAACCTAAAGATTTCGATATGTCCATGTCAAAGACCAACGTGTATATGTTAAAGAGGGGTCGATCGCATCCTTCCCATCCTATAATGAGATGACCATCACGCATGCTCGCGAAACGAGTGCAATAACCTGGCTTCCCCATCGAAAGGTGCATTAAATATTCAAGATGCTACTTTTGCTAACAAGTTTGTTGTTCTGTAACAAAACTTTGTGACCATAAGTATAGTTATGAACATCTGTTTTTGAGAAGACGGGAAATATTTTATCACTTCACATATATCATCGAACTTGCAATAAAAGTTTTTTTTTTTACTTTTTAACGTTCCATGAACATGCATTTGAATTGAAGGTACAATGGCATGTAATTGCATGTTATGTGTAGTGAAAAAAATTTTCTGCGCATAGTAAAAAGTTGCATCAAAAAAGGAAGAATAAAAATTACAATACAGAAGGTATAGAATATTACTTCATATTTCGTATATGTTTGGTGCAAGAATATATGTATATATATGTTAATATATATATATATATATATATATATAATGTAATAAATGCAGTACAGTGGATGTGTAAAAGTTCTTAAATTCAAAGTTTCTTCGTTTTTTGTACGAGAGAAACAATATCCAAATCTATAGTCTTTCAATAAAAAGCAAGAAATCTATTCCGCTCGTATAAAATTTTAAATTAATAGTAATAATCAAAGGCCAGGCTAAACGAGCAAAAAAAATTTTTCAGATGTAAGATTAATATTATTTATTACATACATTTAGGTAAAACGTTTCAACCGTACTCGGTCCTTTTCAATTTTTATATGTAAATATAATTAAATAAACATTAAATTAAAACATAAAAACCTTAGGTATAAGTTTAATAATATAAAAGTCAATTTTAAATATCAAACATATTCCGCCGATTAGAAATTGCTTACACATTATTCCGTTGCGCTTAAAGTTAATTACGATATTTGAAACAATAAATCTTTTAGATTACAAAGTTTACTTTAATGGAACTCTCTTTTGACAAAATGTCCAAATTACAAAACTCGTCGCTGGTCAGCGCGAACATACTAGTCTGGCATCTTTGCGAGATGAGTCCATTTTCCAACCTTTTTTCTTTTAATTTGATCACCCATATTCAATTTCAGTGTTGCTTGTTAGGTCTCAACAAAACAATACATTAAATTATTGTTTTCTGGACTATTTTTATAACACTATTACGTTTGTAATCTTTAAATAAAAAATATAATTTAGAGACACATAGGTTTATATGATACATACTATATATATGTACATATATATATATATATATATATATATATATATATATATATACATATATATATATATATGCATATGAGTATCGAATCAAAAGCTAACTACTGATCTTATAGTTATGTTTAAGTACAAATATATAGATAGAAATATAGCCGTTTATGAGATATACATACATATATAATATTGGAATTTGTTTCTTCATGTAAGATTTTTGATTTTTTGATTTAAGTTGCAGCAAAAAAGAGAGAGAAAAGAATACAATGTAGAAGATATAGAATATTAATTTACATGTTTGCAAGTTTGATAGAAGAACATTTATTAATGTAACATAAAATGCAGTAGACATAGAAAATTTAAAAATAAGTTTTTTTTCCGCATCAGAAAGACGCGATATTGTTAAGACGTTATTATTCGATGAAATTGTAATTAAGAAAAAAAGAAAAATAGAAAGCATTACTCGTTGTTGCGCATATCTTTTTTTTAATATGCGTTGTAAACACATCTATCTGTTTATATGAATATCGAATATCATGTGGATTTCGTATAATAGACGCACCTTACAGTTGTCTTTAAGTTCACATCCATAAAAATATAGTTGTTTATGAAATATACATATACATATATAAATATTGAAATTTCTCCGCGTAAGTCTTTTCGTTTCCATTTTCCTCTCCCACAGTCCCATTTTCTTCTCCTGATTCATACAGAGATTTATTTCTTCTTTTCGTCTATCTTTTGTTTGGTAAAATCTGCAAAAAGTAATATAAAGCAATTTTATAGCAGCAATTTGAAAATTGTTACAACATCGAGTACAAAATGAAATGACCTGATTAACGTCTGCATCTCGAAATTTGTGCCTCTTCTTGAAAATTGACGCCGGTAAGATTCTAATTTTAATTTTCGTAACTTAAATCTTATACCAATATTGAGATTCGATAAAATAGAATAGAAAAATTTGTAATAATTTCTTTAAATATAGATAACTATGCGTATAATAAAACACATAAACGATAAAAGAAAATATTTAAAAATCTTGGAAAACGTATTTGTATATATAAATCATATGAATAAAATATTTTTAATATTTCTAATTTAAAAATCAAGCAAAATTATTTCTAGAAGTAATTTTCTAATATTTAAATTTATTTATATATATATTAAAATTATATATTAAAATTATAATATTTGTATTAAAAATAAGTTTATTATCGTAAATTAAATAATGTTTGAAGAAGACGCGCGCTGCGTGCTAATCCCTTTCTAAAAAAGGCACATGCAAAGTCCATTATCGCAAATATTATTACTATTTTTCCGCGATGCTGTTTGGTTGTCTCGATTAACATTGTGTGTTATATTAATAGCATCAAGCAACTGTCATCGTAAAGGTTCGACGGTTTTGTAAAATGAAAAAATTCAACATTCGCAACATGCGCGCTTGTGTTGTCTTGTACATAATAAAAATTCAGAGATTAAAGTTATATATAATTAAAATACGGTAAATTATAATTATGTATACATATAATAGACATTTGGGAATTAAAATTAAAATATGAAATATATATTAAAATATAAAATTATAATATAATTGTTTAATATAATACTGTGGCATCATTTATACCTGCATTGATTTGAAAATTATTGAATTGTATTTCTCATTAGCATTCTACTATCAGTTTAATAATTTGCTAACAATAATTTGCTATCATAATTAAATGTGATAACAAAACTAAGTTTGATTTATGAGTCTACACAATTACTTGTAACTTTCTACTGTATTAACAAATCAACTTATAAATTCTGAATTTATGTAGCGCATATATATATATATATATATATGTATGTATATATCATTTTGTTTAATCTAACCGAATATTATTATGCACGCAAAACAAAGTTACATTATTCTTTGATATCAAAATCTAAAAAATTGCGACACTTTTATGCAATAATTATTATTGCAATCAATGCATAAAAATATATTAATTAATTATGCAACGCATAAAAATTCAATATTTAAATCTTTAACAAAAAATACAAACGAATAAATAAAATATTCTACAAGAATCTTTTGTAATCAAATATCTATGATTTTATTAGACTCGCCCCGCGAAACTCTACACCCCATACACCCAACACACTGCGCGGCTCGCGCGAAACTGATTATCGTTCGAGGTATCGCGAGCGCGAAATCGAGGTCACGTGGCCACTGGTCACATGGCCACTGGTCACATGGCCACTGGTCACGTGCCCACAGGTCACGTGACCATCGGGTCTGCGTTTGCGATACCCCGCAACTCCGCATAAAAATCAGTCTCGTGCGAGCCGCGCACTGTAATAGAAGGGGGGATATACTATCTACTCACGTGATCAGTTTCGCACGTCTCGTGCAGCACAGCGGATTCGTAAAAACGCGCGAATCTAATGGAAGCGCCGATAATTTAATTGATAGATTCTTATAGAAAATTATATTTTTTGTTTTCTGTTAAAAATTTATATATTGAATTTATACGAATCACGTAATTAATAAATATATTTCTATGCATGCATGGCAATAATAATTTAATGCATGTATTGGAATTTTTAAGATTTTATCAAAGAATAATATAACTTTGCTACGCGTACGTAATTATATTCGATTAAACTAAACGAAATGAGAAAAATATATATATAAAGAGATACAATAATATTCTCAAACAATACAATAGAAATTCGGCAAATTAAAATTATGTATATAATAGAAATTCGATAAATTAAAATTATGTACATAATAGAAATTCGGCGAATTAAAATTATGGTCATATTCATAGCATCAAGCAACTGTCATCGCAAAGATTAACAATTTGATAGTTGTAAAATAAATAATAGAAATAATGTCACAAGCGCGCGCGAAGCGCGTTTGTGTAGTCTAGTACCTAATAAATTTTTCAACAAATATTATACGTCGAGGTATATAATTTTATTTCTATAAGAACTTTAATTCAATTTCTATTTTTTCTATAATATAACATAATAATGATACATTATTATATAATTTTAACTCTGCGTTGTTATCAGAACAGATACATAGCCAGCCGTTGTTTTTAATAGCTAAAAATAATACAATATACAATTCATTATTCAAGAAAAGAAATTTTATATATGTGAGAAAAATAACAATATTTTCAACAGAATTATATGATTATTATTAATCATGAGCTCTTTATTTATATTTGTTACAAATAATTGTTTTACATTTACATAAATAAAGAAAAGAACTCATGGCATTAAAATGTAATATCAAGATAAAAATTATAACCACAAAAATTATTCTGATTAAATATTTATTTAAAAACTTAACAGAAAAATTATATATATCTTTCTCTTCACCTTTTTCTTTCCATCTTATATTTAAAGGATACGTGCAAACTAATTTTTATCAGACAAATCGCTCGATAAAATATATTTAAACTATATAAAAGATTATTAATAATCTTACGTTACAGAAATTGGTCATTGTTAGTGGAAAAACTTTTCCCGCAGAAATACGAAAAGGTTCCTTGGCTACTAACATTAGTAGGATAAATTTTCTCGCCTTGCGTGACTCCAATGTATACCATTCAAGATCGCAAATAGTTCGATATACAGCGTCGCACTTAATAAAAATACATGTATATATATATGTATATATATATGGTATATATATAGGTGTCCGATAATTCGTGAACCACCTAAACTACATATATAATTCTAGTTATGGTGTATATATACACATGAATATGTGACTTACTTGTTCTATTATTAAATCTCCTCCAAAACAGTAGAAAAATATTTGCATAAGTTGGCTGAGGACAACAAGAAACAAGTAACTTATTTGTGAAAAAGTTTCAGAGTTTAAGTTTTCATCGTTAATCACCTATTAATAATATATTTCGTTAATTAGTAGAAACAGATAAATCATTTAAGTAATCATATGTACATAAACCAACTAAATATATATGTCTTACTAATACCTACTTACCGTAAGCAATACAAATCCACATAGACAAAATACGACACCATACATGAGCACCGATAAAAACAATACAAATGTAAATGTATTTTCAATATTACCGGCGTATCTACATATAAACGTATTTAAGAAAATATATTGAATCTAGTTTTCAAATTTTCGCAATCATTGGAATCATCAAAGCAAAGGGCTTCCGGACGGAAGCCTTTTTTGCATTGACAATATATTGAAATTTGATTTTGACATTAAAATCTCATATTGTCCAAAATAATTATGATATATAATTTTTTTACTGAATGTTGCATTATATTTACCAAGTTTGTGTTTTGGAATTTTCTATTAATAATACAGATATTAAATGTCCTTGAATCTTCTATTTTATTAAAAATTAACACAATAAATTTAATTACAAAGATTTAAAAGCGCAATTTTTGCAAAACGAAAACCCATGCATTGAATTCAATTGAATAAAAAAGAGAAAACTAGAGCAAATATTCATACATATACTCTTAAAAGTATCAGTATGCAAATTGTGAAAATTACAGAGATAATATTTAAAGTAACTTTAAAATTTAAAACATTTTTTGTAAGACACTTTTCTCATAGATTCTGATAAACTTTTATTAAATTGTTATAATTAAACCTACCTGATAAGACGTAAATGAATCATTATATTGCTACTCAGAGCTCTGTCGAAGTCTTTGCACGAAACCAAATTGACTATTCGACACTTGAAATTCTCTAACTGACCGCAGATATGAAGAATCACAAATGCTAAGAATGTATTTATTGCAAGGTAAGTTATTATTACCAGAAATATAGGTATGACTTGAGAGAAAAACGTCAGCACAAATTGCAAATCCTTATCGGTATCGTAGATGTAATACGTCTGTAGCGGTAACGGTTTGTTACGATCCGTAAGATTCGTTAAATGTCTAATTTGTATGCCCAAATAAGGAAAAAAAGTTATTATGATACATGCCGATCCCATTACAGCATATGCGGTGATTCCGATTAACCGTGCAATTCGTGCTTGTTTTATCATCACGTCTCTCTCCGTGCTTAATTTTGTCGCTGTCCAATCTTCCGCTATCGTTTTTATGATGGATGCTACGACTTGAAAATATAAAAAAAAAGCAATTGTTACACTGTAAAGGTTTCAAATTAATAGTTATTATTAAATTTACAAAGTAAAGTAAAAATTTTGTTAATATAATTTAATCATTACAAAATTTCATTTATTTCGAAGTTTGTAGCGTAATGGTTTGTTCAGATTAGTAAAATTGTTGAATGGACAATCAAAATAAAGAAAAACGTAAGCAAAAAAATGCCAATATTGTTATAATGAATCTAATAATAATTATTCGAGCGATCTTAGCGTGTTTTTTATTACATTTCTTTTAGCGCTTAATTTTAGCACTATTCAATTTTCTACTCTTTATCCTATTTATGATAAATGAGAAATATTTGAAACATAAAAAAATATTAATTGAAATTAGTAACTGTATGATGATACATATATAAAAAAATATCGTATCATAACTTTTCACAGTATAATACAATCAAATATAATACATCAAAATAAATTATAATAAAAAGCATTTCTAAATTTCTTAGTATCATATTCTGATTTGTGACTGTAATAAAATGTCAAGCATCATAAAAAGGATATCATCAAGAAATAAAATGTGAATGAATGTTTTACAATAAATAATTCTAGACATACCTGTTTGTTTCCACCGTATAATAACAAATTGTAAACAAACTGACAGAATGGGTATTGTGATATGTAAATTGTCTAGCATTAGCGTCATATTGCCCCAAACTCGTATAAGCGCATGTACAAGAGGAATACCAAAGACGAAAGCCATCATAATGAAAGCAAAACCCGCACGAATGTCAGAGCCGAGTCTTCTTTAGTAACTTCTGTGTTAGGCCATAAACCGATAAAGTCTAAACTTAGGCGGTTAAATTCAATTGCCCATATAAAATCTTTAAACAAGACATTTTGTAAAACTTGAATAATAATTACAAATTTGTATATAAATTATAATTTTTATTTCAAAAAATTATAAAAATGCATTATACGAAAATGTATATATATGAAATATGTAATACTTGTAATACGAAAAAACATATTACATATCTAATGGACGTTACAACTGATAAATGTATGGCACAGGCTTCATACCTTTGTAACCTAAAGATTTCGATATGTCCATGTCAAAGACCAACATGTATATGTTAAAGAGAGGTCGATCGCATCCTTCCCATCCTATAATGAGATGACCATCACGCATGCTCGCGAAACGAGTGCAATAACCTGGCTTCCCCATCGAAAGGTGCATTAATTATTCAAGATGCTACTTTCAGTTTCTAACAAGTTGCCTGTTTTGTAACAAAACTTTATGACCATAAGAATAGTCATGAACATCTGTTTTTGAGAAGGCGGAAAATATTTTATCACTTTACATATATCATCGAACTTGCAATAAAAGTTTTTTTTTTATTTTCTAACGTTCCATAAACATGCATTTGAATTGAAGATACAATGGCATGTAATTGCATGTTATGTAGTGGAAAAAATGTTCTGCCTATAGTAAAAAGTTGCATCAAAAGAGAAAGAATAAAAATTACAATACATAAGGTATATAGAATATTACTTCATATTTCGTATACTTGTATATTTGGTGCAGGAATGTACATACATATATGATGTAATAAATGCAGTACAGTGGACTTGTAAAAATTTTAAAATTAAAAATTTCTTTTGCTTGGCAAAATCTACAAAAAGAATATAAAGTCTCAATTCTATAGCAACAATTTTGAATAATGTTACGATATATTATCATTGAGTACAATTTGATACGACTTGACTGGTTTCCTCTCGAAAATTGTGCTTTTTTTCGAATGTTGACTCGTAAGATTTAATAATTTTTGTAGAGTCCACACAATTAAATTCATCTTACAATATTAAGTATTGGTAAGCTACAAAACAAATTTCTGTAATCGTTTCTCTCAGAAGCACAAAAACACGTAACAATAAAAATAAGTTTTAAACATTAAGATTCACTTTTTTTGCATTGAGGAGAAAGTAACTCATGAATCATAAATTCTTGTCAAAACATTATTACCATAAATATATACTCGCACGATAATATATTTTACAACAAATATTATATACATCGAAGTATAAAATTTTACTTCTGCAATGATATTAACATAATTTCCATTTTCTATAATAACATAATGATAATATATATATTAACATACGATTATCAATTTCGCATTGCTAGCAAAACGGATATATAACCAGCCATTGTTTTTAGTAGCTGAAAATAATATAATATAAAAATCATTATTCAAGAAAAGAGATTATATATAAATAAAATAATAATTTTTACTAAAAATATATGATTAAGTTAACCTGTTTCTTTTCATTTATGTTTGTTACAAATAATTTCTTATATTTACATGAATATGCGAAAATCTATCATGGAATTAAAGTGTAATAGCAAGATAATAAATATAACAACAAAAGAATTATAATAAAATATTTGTTAAAAGCTTAGCAGTAAAAGACCTCTTTTTTCTTTATCGTTGTCTTAAATTTAAACGTACGTGTAATTAATAATTAAATTTTAATATATAGGTTATTCGAAAAAGTATATTTAAATTATGTAAAAACAAATTATTAAAACTCTTACGCTGCAAAAAGTGGTCATCCTTAGCGGAAGAACTTTTCCCGCAGTAATACGAAAAGGTTCCTTGGCTACTAACATTAGTAGGATAAGGTTTCTCGCCTTGCGTGGCTCCAATGTATACCATTCAAGATCACAAATAGTTTGATATACAGCGTTGCACTTAATATAAAAAATATATTACGTACATACATATATAAAAAATTTTAATTAATTAAATCTGTGTAGCTATTTATAATAATATTTAAATATTCGATTAATATTCAAATTTTTTTCGAGTTGTTTGCAATTTTAAAAATAAGTAAAACTTGTACATTCTTATTTTATATTTTGTAATCTTAAAATTTTAATTTATAATAAAAAATTTATTTAATTACATGTAATGAATAAATCTTAAGTAACATTATAGAAATAACATTATTATAAACGCAATAAAGGACCGAAAAGCAAGGCAAAAATTAAAACAGTCAGAAATATATAAAATCTAAAAATACTTTAATCACTAACCAATCTAATTACAAGGTCTCAAAATTATTTAAATAAAATCCTAAGTGCCACATTGAGTTCCTTCGAAAAATAGAATATAACAGAATTTCCTTTCATTCACACATTTTAATTTACTATATATTGGTTTCTAATTGATTTAATAATTATTTAACTATATTGAAATTTTCAATGACCAACAATTGATAATGATCAACACAACTGTATACTTGTAAAAAATATATATTTTAGCAAGAAAAATGTTATTATAATGCATAAATTTAATTGGCTGCTTACTATATAATTCGCATTATGTTTTATATTTATATTTGAGTATGTAACTTACTTGTTCAGTTATTAAATCTCCTCCGAAACAGTAAAAAAAACGTTTGCGAAAGTAAACAAATAACACTACTAAGCAAATAACTTATTTGTGAAAAATTTTCGGCGGTTAATTTTTCATCACTAATAACCTAAATAATATATCTCGTTAATTAATAAAAACAGAATTAAGCGGACAATCACGTCGCATGTATGTCAACAAATTAAATGTCCTACTAGAACTTACAATAAGAATTATAAATCCGCATAGACAAAATACAATACCAAACTGGAGTACCAATATAAACAATATTAATGTATACGTATTTTCGATATTATCGGCGTATCTACATAAACGTATTTTAAAAAATATTATATTACAATTTAAGTAGTCAATATATATAGGTTTGTAATAAATAAAATAAAAAATTCTTTGAAATTAATTGACCAAAAATTAACAATTTTATTAGATTAATAGTTCAGTACTTTTCGATCTTGTGGTTATGGTCCTTTTTAAGTGAAGTGTAAGAATACACTAGAAAACATAATATGATGACTTACTTGCTAATACATAAAACATAAGAAATAAGTTACAAATTAAAAGAAAAAGAAGAACAAAAAAGATATGTGCTTACATATGGTCATCATATTAAATTTTTCCAGTGTATTTTTACCCTTTACTTGAAAAGGATAACAACCACATGGTCGAAACTATTGTAGTGAACTATTGAATTATTGAAATTGTTGGTTTTTGGTCAATTAATTTTTATATTACAATTTAATTATGATATTAAAATTTCAAATTGTACACAGTAATAATTGTACATAATTTTGTATTATTGAGTACTGTATTATTCGTATATTTACCAAATGATATTTTGGCATTTTTAATAATAACGTAGAAAAAGTTCTCAAATCTTGTGTAGTATATTAAATATAAACAAGAATTTTAACTAATGAGAAGTATCGAAAGTACAAACTCTTGCAAAACGAGAATCTATTGAATCCAAATCGAATTTAAAAGAAAAAAAAATATATTTATGACAGAATTACATATACCCTAAAAGTATTAGTATATATGTTGATAAAATTAGAGACGAAATATATAAGGTATATTTAAAAATTTTTAATTTATTATTCAAAAATTAAAAAATATTTTTGTAAGACTTAAATATATTTTCCCTCATAGATTGTAATAAACTTTCATTACATTGTTATCATCAAACCCACCTGATAAGACGTAAATGAGTCACTATGGTGCTGCTCAGAGTTTTGTTGAAATTTTTGCACGAGACTAAATTGATTATTCGTTGCTTGAAATTCTCCAACTGACCGCAGATGTGAAGAATTACAAATCCTAAGAATGCATTTATAGCAATGAAAATTATTGCTGACAAAAGAACCGCTATGGCTTGAGAGAGAAACGTCAGCACATATAACAGATCCTTATCAGTGTCGTAGATATAATAGGTCTGTAGCGGTAATAGTTTGTTGCGATCCGTAAGATTCGTTGGATACCTAATTTGTACGCCAAAACAAGGAAGAATAATTAGAATGGTAAATGACATTGCCATTATAATGCATCCAAAAATTATTAGAAACCGTGCAATTCGTGCTTGTTTTATCATTACGTCCCTCTCCGTGCTTAATTTTGTCGTTATCCAATCTTCTGCCATTGTCTTTACGATGGATAATACGACTTGAAAATATAGAATGAAAATAAGCAATATTGTTACACTGTAAAAATTTTTAAACTAGTAATTATTTTTAAATGTACAAAATAAAGTAAAAATTTTTATATTAATTTTAATTCTTATTTTTATATTTTGCATTATTTTATTTATTTGGACATGTATTCTACAATTCGTGTCAATGGCCTCTAAAGATGAAAGCCTAATTGATGTAAGAAGTAATGTAAATCGTTTACAAATTTTTTATTATAATAATCCGATGTGTGGCTGTAGTAATAAATCGAGCATTCAAGAGAATTTACGAAGACAATTAAATGTGAACGCTTTATATCAAATAATTCTAGACATACCTGTTTGTTTCCATCGCATAATGACAAGTTCTAATGCAACCGTCAACACAGGTATGGAAATACGTAAATTGTCTATCATTAACGCCATATTGCCCCAAACACGTATAAGCGCATGTACAAAAGGAATACCAGAAACAAAAGCCATCATAATGAAAGCGAATCCCATACGAATATCAGAATCGAGACTTTTTTTAATTCCATCGACTTTAGGCCATAAACCGACCAATTCTAAACTCAGACGGTTTATTTTAATTGCCCATACAAAATCTTTAAATAAAATTTTTTAAATAAACTTAGTAATTACAAATTTATATGAACTCAGTACTTACAAATTTATATCATAATTTTGTTTTTAAATGATAGAAAGAGTATATACGTATACAGTTATGTGCAAAATAATAGCACTGGTTGAAAGAATAAAAAAAATTTGCATGTTTCCTTTATCATGTTAAACTATCTTGATTGTATATCTAGAATTAAATTCTGACTTTTGTGGTCTTCGAACGAACTGACGAATACCAGGAAAATTTTTAATAATCACTTTTCGATGGTGGGAGAAATATATACAAATTTCTTTCATATTTTTTGCCGATGCTATTATATTGCACATTACTGTATATATATGTATATAACAAATAAGTGCATATAACAAATATATTTTTAATACAATTCTAACATAAAAACATGTTAGAAATTTAATATATGCTATAAGTAGAAAAATGTATAATAGGCTTGTACCTTTGTAATCTGAAGATTTTGACATATCCATGTCAAAGACTAACGTGTATATGTTGAAGAGGGGTTGATTGTCGTATTCTTCCCATCCTATTATGAGGTGACCATCACGCACGCTCGCGAAACGAGTGCAATAACCTGATCGCTTCATCGGAAGATTCATTAAATATTCAAGATGCTACTTTCAGTTGCTAACAAGTTGCCTGTTTTGTAAAAAACTTTATGACTATAAGAATAGTTACGAACATCTGTTTTTTAAAAGGCGGGAAGTATATTCTGTTACTATATATCATCAACGTGTATTAAAAGTTTTTTTTTTACTTTATGATGTTCCAGAAATGTGCGTTTTTGAAGTTACAATGCCACGTAATTGCATGTTATGTAGTGGAAAAAGTTTTCTGCGTATAGCAAAAAGCTGCATCAAAAGAGAAAAAAAATTATAACACAGAAGGTATAGAATATTACTTCACATTTCGTATATGTTCGGTGCAAGAATATATATATGATGTAATAAGTGCAGTACAATGAACGTGTAAAAATTCTTAAATTAAAAGTTTCTTCGTTCTCTGTACGAAAAAAACGTTATACATGTCTGTAGAGTCTTTATCGAACTATTCTTTTAACACTATTATGTTTGTCATTTTTAAATAAAAAATATAATATAGAGACACATAGGTTTAAATAATGCTATGCATATGTATATGAATATCGAATGAAAAGCTGACTTTTAATCTTATATAATTATTCTTAAGAATACACACATATATATATATATATATATATATATATATATATATATATATATATATAAATATAGTAATGAAGTATACATATATGTAATTGTTGGAATTTTTTCTTGACGTAAGATTTTTCACTTAAAGTTTTATTTTTTCTTCCTCTGTCATTTGTTTGGCAAAATCTTCAAAAATAATATATTGTCAATTTTATAGCAACAATGTGAAAAATGTTACGATTTATTATTATTGTGTAAAATTTGATACAACTTGACTAGTTTCTTCTCGAAAATTGTGCTTTTTTGCAAATACTGACTGGTAAGATTAATAATTTTTGTAGAATCCACACAATTAAATTCATCTTACAATATTAAGTAGTGGTAAGCTACAAAACAAATTTCTGTAATCGTTTCTCTAAGAAGCACAAAAACACGTAACAATAAAAATAAGTTTTAAACATTAAGATTCACTTTTTTTGCATTGAGAAGAAAGTAACTCATTAATCATGAATTCTTGTCAAAACATTATTGCCATAAACATATACTCGCACGATAATATATTTTACAACAAATATCATATACATCGAAGTATAAAACTTTACTTCTACAATAATAGTATAACATAATTTCCATTTTCTTGAATAACATAAGGATAATACATATATTAGCATATGATTTTTAATTCAGCATTGCTAGCAAAACAGAAATATAACCAGTTGTTGTTTTTAATAGCTGAAAATAATATGATATAAAAATCATTATTCAAAAAAAGAGATTATATATAAATAATAATTTTTACTAAAAATATATGATTAAGTTAACCTGTTTCTTTTCATTTATGTTTGTTACAAATAATTTCTTATATTTACATAAATATGCGAAAATCTATCATGGAATTAAAGTGTAATAGCAAGATAATAAATATAACAACAAAAGAATTATAATAAAATATTTGTTAAAAGCTTAGCAGGAAAAGACCTCTTTTCTCTTTATCTTTGTCTTATATTCAAACGCACGTGCAATTAATAATTAAATTTTATTAGATAGATTATTCGAAAAAGTATATTTAAATTATGTGAAAACAAATTATTAAAACTCTTACGCTGCAAAAAGTGGTCATCCTTAGCGGAAGAACTTTTCCCGCAGTAATACGAAAAGGTTCCTTGGCTACTAACATTAGTAGGATAAGGTTTCTCGCCTTGCGTGGCTCCAATGTATACCATTCAAGATCACAAATAGTTTGATATACAGCGTTGCACTTAAAATAAAAAATATATTACGTACATATATATATAAAAAATATTAATTAATTAAATCTGTGTAGCTTTTTATAATAATATTTAAATATTCGATTAATATTCAAATTTTTTTCGAGTTGTTTGCAATTTTAAAAATAAGTAAAACTTGTAAATTTTTTTTTATTTTTTGTAATTTTAAAATTTTAATTTATAATAAAAAATTTATTCAACTACATATAATGAATAAATCTTGAGTTATAGAAGTAAACATTATAGAAGTAACATTATTATAAACGCAATAAAACACAGAAAAAGCCGAAAAGCAATACAAAAATTAAAACAGTCAGAAATATATAAGATCTAAAAATACTTTAATCACTAACCGATTTAATTACAAAGTCTTAAAATTATTTAAATAAAATCCTAAGTGCCACATTGAGTTCTTTCAAAAAATGGAATTTAACAGAATTTCCTTTCATTCACACATTTTAATTTATTATATATTGGCTTCTAATTGATTTGATAATTATTTAACTATATTAAAATTTTTCAATGACCAACAATTGATAATGACCAACACAACTGTATACTTGTAAAAATATATATTTTGCGAAAATATATAAAAATTAGAATGTTATTATAATGCATAAATTTAATTGGCTGCTTACTATATAATTCTCATTATGTTTTATATTTATATTTGAGTATGTAACTTACTTGTTCGGTTATTAAATCTCCTCCGTAACAGTAACAAAACGTTTGTGAAAGCAGACAAATAAGACTAGTAAGCAAGTAACTTATTTGTGAAAAATTTTCAGCGGTTAATTTTTCATCACTAATAACCTAAATAATATATCTCGTTAATTAATAAAAACAGTAATAAGCGGACAATCACGTCGCATGTATGTCAACAAATTAAATGTCCTACTAAAACTTACAACAAGAATTATAAATCCGCATAGACAAAATACAATACCAAACTGGAGTACCAATAAAAACAATATTAATGTATACGTATTTTCGATATTATCGGCGTATCTACATAAAGGTATTTTAAAAAATATTATATTACAATTTAAATAGTCAATATATATAGGTCGCTTGTAAATAAAATAAAAAGTCATTGAATTTAATTGACCAAAAATTAACAATTTTATTAGATTAATAGTTCAGTACTTTTCGATCTTGTGGTTATGGTTCTTTTTAAGTGAAGTGTAAGAATACACTGGAAAACATAATATGACGACTTACTTGCTAATACATAAAACATAAATTAAGAAATAAGTTACAAATTATAAGAAAAAGAAGAACAAGAAAGATATGTGCTTACATTATGGTCATTAACATTATATGTAGTCTCCAGCGTTAAATACTATATGTAAGCACAAACCTTTCTTGTTCTTCTTTTTTTTTAATTTGTAATTAAGTTTTTAATTAATGTTTTATGTATTACCAAATAAATCATTATATTATATTTTTCCAGTGTATTTTTACTCTTTACTTGAAAAGGATAACAACCACATGGTCGAAACAAAGTGAACTATCGAGTTAATAAAATTGTTGGTTTTTGGTCAATTAATTTTTATATTACAATTTAATTATGATATTAAAATTTCAAATTGTACAAAGTTATAGTTGTATATAATTTTGTATTATTGAATACTTTATGTTATATTTACCAAATGATATTTCGGCATTTTTAATAATAACGTAGAAAAAAGTTCTCAAATCTTGTGTGGTATATAAAATATTAACAAGAATTTTGACTAATGAGAAGTCACAAAAGTACAAACTCTTGCAAAACGAGAATCCATTTAATCCAAATCGAAAAAAAAAAAAATAAAAAAATATTTATGACACAATCATATAACCCAAAACTATTAGTAATTGTAAACAAAGAAGGGCTATAAGAGCTATTAAACATAACAAAGTTGTCAGTTGATATTAAAAAAACTTTATTTGAACGGAACGAGAAATAAATAAGAAGTGATCATTTATTCACATTTAACGAAATAATAAATACATAAGAAATACACAAACGTTTCGGCTGACATTTCTTTAATGTTCAATATTACATTTCAATTTATATAATATGTATTGCTCTGAGGAAGGCTCGAAATGTCAGCCGAAACGTTTGTGTATTTCTTATGTATGTATTTATTATTTCGTTTAAATGTGAATAAATGATCACTTTTATTTATTTCTCGTTCCGTTCAAATAAAGTTTTTTAATATCAACTGACACCTTTTTGTTATGTTAATAACTCTTATAGCCCTTCTTTGTTTACAATTATTAATTTAACAGAGCTAATTACTATTTTTATTTAAAACTATTAGTATATATGTTGATAAAATTATAGACGAAATATATAAGGTATATTTAAAAATTTTTAATTCATTATTGAAAAATTAAGAAATCTTTTTGTAAGACTTAAATATATTTTCCCTCATAGATTCTAATAAACTTTCTATACATTGTTATCATTAAACCCACCTGATAAGACGTAAATGAGTCACTATGCTGCTGCTCAGAGCTTTGTTGAAATCTTTGCACGAGACTAAATTGATTATTTGTGCTTGAAATTCTCCAACTGGCCGCAGATATGAAGAATCACAAATCCTAAAAATGTATTTATAGCAATAAAAATTATTATTGACGAAAGTAACGCTATAGCTTGAGAAAGAAACGTCAGCACATATTGCAAATCCTTATCAGTGTCGTAGATATAATAGGTCTGTAGCGGTAATGGTTTGTTGCGATCCGTATAATTCGTTGGATGTCTAACTTGTATGCCTAAACAGGGAAGAATAATTACGATGATAAATCCAATTCCCACTATAATGTATCCGAAAATTATGAGTAACCGTGCAATCCGTGCTTGTTTCATCATCACGTCTCTCTCCGTGCTTAATTTTGTCGCTGTCCAATCTTCTGCCATTGTTTCTACGATGGTTAATATGACTTGAAAATATAGAAAAAAATAAACAATTATTGTTATACTGTAAAATTTTTAACTTAGTAATTATTTTAAATGTACAAAATAAAGTACAAAGTTTTTATATTAATTATAATTTTTATTTTTATATCTTGCATCATTTT